CTCATAGATCGCCAGAGCTTTGGACTGCCTGCCTAATAATATTGCGCCTGGACGAGAATCATTTTGCAACCCAATGAGAGCGATTTCACTTCATCCACCACACGTTCACTGCCTGTTATTCAATTTATCTTCGCTTTATCTGCCCACACATTCATATTGATTGCCTTGGCTTCGTGCTCGCTGCCCTTCTGATGGCATCGTCGAATTCTGGCCTTAAACTCATACTGCAAAGGGACCAAACTTCAGCCTCTGATCCTGCTCCACCGGTTCGTCGATCGCCCGCATGCACACCAAAGCTACTGGCCACAAGAGAGGGTCAAAGAAGACAAACACCTCAAATCGTCGTACTGCCATAGCGGGTGCTGCAGGGTGTGATGTCGTCGTAGGCAAAGATATTGATGGCACCAACCAAACTTCGGCCACCCAGCTTTCGTCTACGCTTTCGTCTATTACTGTCCCTCCAGCTGACGGTGGTGATGTCCAACCTGGTACCAGCAATGAAATCCAACTCTCTGCCAGTGCTGTGACGACAGTGTCGTTGGACGCTGTTGTACAACCCACACCAACCTTGACACTTCCTGGCAGAGCGCAGCCATCCTCCCGCACTGCAGCAGCCGCATGCAGCGATGGAAGTATCATGCACTCACCTGCCGTGGTACCCCATGGCATCAATGTCGCTATGTCATCGTCCCCCCATCACAGCAGTGGCAGTGGCACTCTGCCGTCTGAAATTTCTGCCAACTGTCCCACTCCACCATTGTCTGCCCAGAGTGGGGCTGGTGATGTTACAAAGGATACCCATTGCGACGTCCATACATCTCTGCCTCCCAACGGCGACATGGTAGCCTGTGGCATCAATGATGAGACTCTGTTGTCCCCCACCCGCAGTACAATCGACGTGCCAGCCACATATACCAGCAATCCCTCCAAGACTCTCAATCTCATCAGTGATTTGAACCCCTCTGACAAGGGCGATCTTCATGCCTTGAGTGAGCATGACGAAGTGGATTTGGGAACCATCAGCATAGATGATGATTTCAGTGCGAAGCTAAAAGGTGGTCGACTCAACAAATCGGAAAAGGCGGAGCTTGAAGGGATTACCCAGGGCTTCCTGAGGGAGATTGATGCATTTGCGAAGTCCAAAAATCGGACATTCGATTCCATCCTCGCTCTTGTCAATCTCATCCTTATGCAGAAGCAGCATTGAAGCCGTGGGAATGTGTGGAATGCTTTCCAAGCTTCCTACCTTGATTCGCACCCAAATCCGGATCCCGACAGTATCTCTGCTGCTGAATATACGAGGACAGTAGTCAGGCCTGCTTACCAAGCCCTTGTTGAGAGCCACGGTGGTGAAGATTCATCGGAATGGACAAAATACTCCCGTAGCCTTGTGTTTCGACATGAGGAAAGCAAGCTCCAGTTCATGGACGGACTCACTGGTAGTGCCAGCCAAGTTCAAAAACGAGTCATGAAAACTTGGTCAAAGCGACTTGTTGAGGAAGTCAATGCTGCCACAGCGGTTGGTTTGCATTGTGCCATCATCCTGGTTTCTGGCAGCAGCAAGCCCATGCCCCATCAGCTGGACAAAATCTATTGTGGCACTCCGACGTTGACAAACTACCTGAAAGGCATCATGCCTGACTTCAAGGTTGCCCTTCATCAAATCGCTATGAATGTTAATGCCATGATTGGCCGCGGTGGCGCTCATGCCCCGAATGGGAAGAACCACCAACCTCCTGAACCCATGAAAAAGCAAGACTATCGATCGGTGTGCTCAGACTATCTTATGCAAATGATGAAACGGAGGTCTCTCTATGCCGAGAATTGCAGGCGCATTGACTGGAAGAAACTTCCTCAAAAATTTCAGTCAGCAGACGTTGCTCTCATTAACTGGCCAGATAGCTTAGACTGGAAATCGCTGTTCTGGGACCAGGATGTCAGTAATGTTGGCACAGCACAGTGGCAGGTCATTTGGAATCCATTTTTCCATGAAAATGCCGATGTCAGGCCCACTCTTCAAGCGTTCAACCGCAGCGAGTACGGCAACGACGACGGGATTATCATCAGCACTACAGGCCGTGTCCTGATTTCTTTCAAAGAAGCGAAGGACCCATCTTTAGGCAAACGAGAGGATGCAAGTGACAATGACACTCATGGTCATGTCGAGGACTCCACCCCACCTCCTAACCCTCGCCGACGCGCTGCCAGGAAACAGCCTGCCCTGATGAAGAAACGGGCCAGGCTGGCAACACCCAGCACTCCGACAACCCCCCCAATCCCATCTCTGTCGATATGGACTGGCAGCCGCCCACTGGGTCAGTAGGCCCACATCATTACCAAGTAATGGGGCAGTCACTTCCAGGTCCTGCGCTGCAAGGGAATTCAGCTGCAGGAGGGGTACATCCATATCTCGGTCCTTCTGGGGTGGTGCCCTTTGTTAGCCACGGAATGGGATTTAATAATGGCTGGTCTCTGTTTGCACACCATGGGTATGATTCTACTTGCATGATGCCATCTGTGTCTCATACCCAAGGTGCTACTTTCATGATGCCGTCTGTGTCCAATCCCCAAGATGCCACCTTCATGATGCCATCCCCATCCAATCCCCAAGGTGTGCTAGTCTCAGGTCTTGATTTCTCTGCGGAAGTTCATGATCCCTCACAAGGCTCCTGATCTGCATACCCTTTATCATATCCCGTTCACTCTTTCCTCTTCGAAATTTCGACTTTTTAACCTTCAAGATAAATTCCATTAGCTGCTGTCTATCACGTAGCACCAAATACTCTACACTTTCACGGTTGCGCATGCACCAATTGTCATATATTGCGCATTACTTCTATTCATGTATATACGGTTGCGTACCATAGCCAATAATACTGTACTAACATGACCAACAACCTGTCATGCATCACGCTGGCCTTGAGGTCCGGCTCAAATCAAGGTTTTGTCACGCGTCATGCTGGGAAAAAGGTTGAGTTAGTTGTGTCACGCTGTAAACCTGGTTTCAGGGTGGCTGTGCAAACTGTAATTCAAATTTCCCTTTTTCGGAAGTAAATACATTCAAAAAATGGCCATTTCCTTGTCCAAATGGCGCACCTGTCTGGCCCGCTTTCTGCGGCCAAAGTCACACTTCTGTGGGCTTGAGGGGGGTATCCTCAGCACAGGTTGATGCAACTTGTAAGGTGCCATTGCAGCCTAATCAGCCAGGATCCAGGCCCAATAGGCCTACTATGGGTAAAAACTACCTGGTGGCTTGGGATATTATTTCTGTATGAAATAGGTTCATTTGTGCAAGAACAAATTTGTTTGCAAGTGCAAAACCATCCATATGTGATATCCGGGTGCAGGAAATTTTTCAGAAAGGCGCTCTAAGCACATTTTCAAATTCTTTTGCATTTAGTTACTTATTATGGCAATACCCGATAGTATTGCATTCCTTTTATGGTAAGTTCGCCGGTTGGGTGTCACGCATCAACATGAGCTGCCGGTTCAGTACTTTTTGTCACGCTCCGGATGCAACTGGTAGTTGGTCATGTGAGTACAGTAATGTGATTTAGACAACGCTGACGATGCGGAGGATGATCTCCATGAGTATGTGGACGGTTAGGGCATCCCTCAGGTAGTATAAAACATTCTATGGCATTGCTGAACGTTCTATACAGTCAGAGAACATTCTAAATGTTCGTGATGAACGTTTTACATGTTCAAATCAATACAAAAGAGAAAGTTCAACGAGCCTTAGAACGTTCATATGCATTTAGGCCTGTTAGGCCGGAGATCGAAAGTTCAATTTGGGTACCTAACGAGGCCTTCTACCTGGGTGTCCGTGGTGCTGTCGCATGTAAGAACCATCCCGAGGCGATAACTGGGTGCTTTGTTCACTATTATCTCGAGGCACCAACTGCCGAGTTCATTCATTGGAGTCCGATACAGTTGTTTCATTCGATAATGGGGTGCCGTAAGCAATGATTACATATTCTCCCGATCCCGAGAGCTGCCAACGTTCTTAATTTGTTGTCTTCTCAAATTACACTTTATGCAACCGCAGCGAGAGAACTGAGGGGGGTTCACTCACGGCGAGGAGCCCTCTGCCTGCTCGCCACTATACTCACTACTCCACACCGGCAAGTAGGAACCAGGGGCAGCAACCGTACCTACACAAACCCGCGCCCCGGTCTTACCCGCACAGGCCATCATTCGATGTTGTAGCCAGCGCAACCACTGCACCGTCAGTCGCCGATAAGATCTTTCTTCACATGCCGTCGATTCATATCTTTGCGCTTGCCTCCTACTCATTATGGTGCCGCACACGCACAATCTATGAAGGGAGATCCTCTGAAAAGGGGAGCGAGTTGTGGTGAGCGAGTCGCCAGTTACCGACTCATAGGAACTTCTTCAGCAACCCTAACTTGAACTTGCAAATGTAAATTTCGCTTGTATTCTTCTCGCAACAGAGGCCGTCACGTACCTACTGTTTTCAACTCTTGCGCTACTCACTGGTGCTAGGCCGCCCCTAGACTTGCCGCATGAAAAGTTGAATCCTAAATCCGTCAAAGATCTCATTGTTGTGTTGCAATAATTCTCATGAATACTTGGCCGAATATTCCTAGACCTAACCGTCTTGTAACGTGTCTCTGTCGCATAAGTTGCAGCTGTGGACTGCTAGATACAGAAGGTCTACTTCCGTGGTCGCTTGGAATCGGAGGTGACTTTGTTGTTTCTGTCAAACATCAGCGTGGTTTGTGTCCTTAGTATTCGCAAACGAGGCCTCAGGCCTCATTGGTGCCAATATAGATGAATATGTGTTCTTTGGTGTTCTTTCTCAGGATTCTGACTTGGGACAAAGCAATGTTGGTATGTCTTGCTTCGAAACTGGGCGTCTTTTTTTCAGATTTCGCTCTCATGTCAACGTGCCTGCACACCCCATCTTTTGCGTGCTGGATACCAAGCACGGTTTGAAATATTGCGTCTAGTGATGACGATGTTACAGCATTTCGAACCAACAACAATCAAGTATCACAATTCCCGATTCAATACTCTGTGAATTGGAAGGCAGTTAAGGAGAGAAATTATGGACGTGTATTTGAGGCACTAAACGACTTTTCTGATATCGATGACCACCGGAGCTCTCAGTTTGCCCTGGAGCAGAAATCGACGTCCATCCTTGCTGGCCCGAGGAAGGTAAAATGGAAGGGATGTCTCCCAATCCCAAAACACATGATCACCATACCAGAATTCGTTCTTGCTGGAGGGATGTGATTGTTCAAAGACTGGGTTGTACTTGGGGTGGACAATGAGTTCGACTTTTCCATCAAACGAGACCTGTGCACCCAAAGTACCGAAGCCGTCAGCGATAATTAATGGGGCCTCCCCTATCACTGGGGAAAAGAGCATAGCATCTTTTTTATGCCCGAAGTCTTCCCCCATGTTTGGCGAGAGGTCATAGAAGGGACATTTCAGCCAGGATTCATCCATGTGATGTCTGGGATCTGGCTCGGAACCTTGTACATGAGTTGCAATCTTTTCCGGAATCGAATGAACGACATGGTCACCAAGTACAGGCGTAGGAACAAGATATGAGAGAGGAGGTACATGACCAGTATTGAAAATCTGAAATCTGAAATCTTGCACGCGATATTGAGCAATCACCTCGCATGTACCCGTTGACCAGACAAAAGCATAGTTCATGTCGAAAGCGCCTACATAACGACCTCCAGGAGAGAATCCAGCTGTGTGACGTGGAGGAGAGGATAAATGGTAATCGGGTTGAGGAGGCTGGGGATCGGAAGGAGTATGAGGAGATGCAAGAAACCGAGTGGATGGCTCTCCTGAAAAACACAAGAGTGCCACCTTTCCATACCAATTACCATCTTGATTTCGAGGGACTCGCATGATAAAACATCCATCACTTGACAATGCAGTTATAGCAGGGTGACGACTTGTAGGAAGAGCCCCAAGTGGCACCAAACGCGTGCCATGACTCAGAATGGAGATGTTTCCATCAGTGTCCTCGGTGGCAATCTCGACATTACCACCACAGATAAACTCTATCCAAACTGGGGGCTTGGGGGGATTGCATTGGATGTGAAAGATTGTGCGTTGGTGGTCGATGTCCGCAACTTCAATAATTCCGCTTCCAAGACCAAGAGCGAGATGAGAACCATCTTGTGATATCGCTGCACAGGTCACAACCCCTTGCGAACATCGGACTCGGCTTCATAATTAGTTTCTCCATTGAACTTTTCAGTCAGCTTTGCTTCCATGGCCTCTTTAGCTTTGCATGCATCCTCACTCAATGGAATGAAGCCACCAGAGAACTCGCCAGATATGCTGAAGATTTGAACAGGATCGGAGAGATTCCCATGCACTTGATAGAGATGTGATGACGATGGAGTGAATGGAAGGCCTGCTCGATAAAGATCCCAAGGACCAAGGGTATTGGAATTTAGCCACTTGAGAAATGTGCCAGCTTCGTTCAGCAGTTTGATTGATTTGTGATTCTATAAAGCATCAAGTGATGTCATATCGTTCAAACACACGAAATACAACTGAGGTAGGAACTCACAGTGAATTCATCCAAACCACACCATTCTTTCCAGACCGACTCGTGTTTTCGCCACCAAGTCCGAGAAGCTGCCAAGAACGAGAAGAAGTTTTGCATCAAGAGTTGTTCAAACTCTCCTTGCAGTTCATTAAACCCTTCAGAAAAGAGTAGCGCAGGATTCAAGTGGGAAAACAACCACTTGAATAAATACTCGATGTGATCAGGTTGCCCTTCCATCGAAAAATTATCCCACTTCTTTTTATCTCCCAAAGGGAGTTCGGTGGGCAACCCAATTTCGTTCCTTTGAATGACATTATTCACATATCGAAGAAGTCGTAATCCGAGGAAGTATCCTTCCGAATCATCAATGAAGAAGACTTTGTCTTCATCATTGCCGGTGGGCACTCCAGTGATAAATTCCTTCGCTGTCGCATGATAGAATTTGATCCCTGTGTTGTCTGAGGGAATATCAATTATTGAGTTGATAGGTTTCAGTATCGCATAGATTTTTCCCTCGGAAATTCCTAAGAGATATGACATGATGTGAACACTGAGGGGTTCTTGTGCAGCGATGACCATCCCAACTACTTCGCGATAATTCTTCTCTATGTGTGGATCGATTCTCGAGGGATGGGGCCTGAAGGCTCGTCGCAGAATTCGCAAGTACTCCTTGTTAAGGTCCATAGGTGTATATGGGAGTTTGAGAAAGTATTCAAACTCTGATTCAAGATCGGAACCACTTTGAGTCCGGAACTGGACTTCGCGTATTCGCATCGAGGCAATAACAGGCAAACCACGGCAAGCTGAAGTGAATGCACCGAGATCACCCAATGATGGTTCCCACTGAGATTCTCTCATGCAACCCTTGAGCCCGTCCATTACCATCTGCCAGATTGTGTTGAAAATCTCGTCTGGTGGAACCTCATCCATATTTTCACATGGGATGACACAGCCCCGATCTCCCCAAACAGATACAACTTGACGTTCAGGACGACAACTGACTAGTATGGAAAAGGCTGAAGGCAGCTCATCGAGAAGAAGTATGAGGCTAATCAGAGACTTGAGCGCCTCTAGACCTCCACATTCGTCCAAACCATCCAAGACGATGGTGAAGCGTTCCTTGCTTGCAGAAAATATGTCCCTGAGACCGTTCATCGGTTCAAGAACCAATGTCCGCATTTGTTTCTCGAGAGGAAGGCTCAGAACCAGCTCCGAATCCGGCTGCCGAAGGCGTTTGACGAGCGAGATCTTGAAGTCCCCACTAAATATCGCAAGTTGACGCGCCAGGGTAGAAGGGAACTTGTCTAAAGAATCAAGGCCCGTTTCCTTTTGGTTTTTATCCCAAAAGAAAGAGGCTGCAAGCACGCCTTCCTTTTCGAGCGTGGATGCGACGCTCAGAGATATCGCCGTCTTCCCAGTGCCAGGGGACCCACGTAGCCAGACAAATCGGTTCTCGGCTGCTTTCAGATGATTGAGAAGCGATTTTTGCATGTTGACGCGCGTGCTTGGAAGGCATTCCGACTTGCTCTTCACGTAGGTGTACTCGGCCGCAACTCGCGGAAGTCGCTCAAGCTTCGCTAAAAGATGTAGCAGTGATAAAAGGGCCCTGTGGAAGGAGAAAGATAACGTACATTGCACCGATACTTCAATTGTGCGAAGAAGCGTTACAATAGTTGTCTGCGTCTATTGTATGCACATGTCAGCCAGTCAAATCGAGCACTCAGGGACCTAATGGAAACGAACCGAAAACGAGTTGAGGGCATCATTTATACACATTTTCACACCGCTTATCCTGTTCGCGATTTCGGCTGCTAAGAACGCTTTCGTTGCAAGATTCCGAGTTTTGAGCGACTCGATCTTGCTTATCTGCCCCTGAAGGGCCCTATCAATGGGAATCTTGAACCGGGTGAGAAGCAACGGGAGGAGGTGGACGTACAAGTGAAATCCTTTAATAAACTGAATCACTTCTGGGGGAATTTGGTCTGTCGACAGCTCGAGCGGCTGCAAAATGGTGGTATAAGCCTTTCGAATGTGATCATCCAATCCTTCGAGTTCATCGTCGTTTCCGCCAACAGTCTACATGGATTATGCATGGAAATGGGGTGAAAATTACATACCAGCGTCAATCACAGAAGTGGGACGATAAACTAACCTCGTAAACCTGGAGCCACGTCAGAAGTAAATTCGGAATTGCATCAAGATTCGCAATCGGGACGAATTTAAGAGCGTCGGCTGCATTTTGTAGAACCAGCCTTGTAGCACCGATGATTACTTTTTTTCGATCACTCCCTGAGTTGGCCGATGGCACCGTCGTGGGATCCGATACGAAAGGTACGATGACATCCTCACGCTCCAATTGGGCATAGATATTCGGCCGATTGTCAGGCGTGGCATGCGTCCCAGATGATTCACGAGGATCATCAACATACGCGGTAGGGGTGCGGGGAGATGGAGGTGGCACCGCATCATCCCCGGATGGCTGAAGGAATGGAGTAGTTGGCCTTGATGGCCCATGAGATTCAGGAGTGCTAGGCTTGTTGCGGACAGGACTCAGTTTCTCGCGGATCCTCCTCATTAGAGATGCTGGTTTCTTGCGATCACTCTGAGCAGCCACTTCGGGCTCAGGATAAGATCCTGCCGGCACTCCGAGCTGATCGCGGCGGTAGTTGTCGTGATCAGGCGATATTTGGGCATCGGTGACACGGACCTGCGGAACATGGGACTCCGAATGGGCCTGTGGGTGCGGTGGATGCGAAGATGAGCCACGAGCAGGACGGTTTCCTTTGTTGCGTCGAGAGAACATTTTGAACGTAATTTTTGTAGAGATCGCGCTGGCGTGATAATGGGAAAGGCTCTCCACGTGGAAGGGTGACCAGAGGACAGTTCAATCGCTGGATACACATGATGTATATGAAAATGCTCCTAGAAGGAAGTTGGACGCCGAGGGTTCAATTAATTAGTTGCACAGAACCCGAAAAAGCAAGTACTGTCAAGCTTACTTTGTTTGGGAATTGCAATGTTGTAACGTCTGAAACTTGTTCGCTTGACATCCGTAGCTCGCGCTCTTCAAAAATCCCCAGAGAAAAATGCGCAGTTGAGCGGAAAGCGAAATGTCGTCTCCATTTCCGGAGGTTAATGCATAACATTAGGGGATGGGGGTGCAATGGTTATCTGTACCTTGGTTGAGACATCTTAGAGGCAGCGCAAAGGCGAGGTTAGATAGCACCATCCTAATGCCCAATTCTCAACGTGCTTCTTTCGGACTGAGTACAGAAAATACTGCAGGGGCGCAAACCCATCCGATAGCTGAGGTGCCGAGATATCCAGATTCGGAGCGCCTGCAAGAATCTTGTTCTTACATGGCAGGGTAATTGGTAACCAGGCAGAAAGCATTCTCGTAAACGTCATCGAGGTTCTAGGTGAAGAGCAAACAAAAAAATCACGGTCAGTGCCCCTCTACTCACAGAGGCAATGGTTGCAAGGCCGCAAGAACATATGGTTCCTGAGCGAGGTGCACGAAATCCTGCATAATCATCTTGATTGATAGTTGCGTTCCAAGGTATTGTCGTGTCGACGAAGTTAACGCTGTGGTCAAGCGGACAAAGCTAGCATGGGAGAATGGACATGAACGGAATCAGTCACCGATTCCAGCATCTCGGAATGACCGTCAAAAACTCTGCAGTCCCTTATATATCACCTAATTTGACTATTGTTCAAGCTGAAACTGTGGGCGAGGCAGCGCACATATTGGAGCCGGAGAAGGGAAAAGGGCGACGAGGAAGGTGTCTTAGCGTTGTCGTACGTTTGTTATCAGATATTCAAATGCGAGGAGCGGTACCTTCTCCGACAGTGCCGGAATCACTACCACGCGCCAAGAGAGAGTTTATTCATTGGAGTTGGCGTAAGCAATGATTACATATTCTATCCGATGCTGAGAGCAGTGGTTCTCATTCCGCTTGGTAAGAATATTTCTCGATTTTATTATCATGGGCTGGATTGACTAATGCTTGACGCCCTTTGTTCATGCTGACCCAGGGTATTCGGTGCGGCCGGAACCTTCTTAATGTCGCATGTCTCAGTAATCTCTGATATGTCCCTAATATGTAACGAATGATTGTTTGCTTGCAGCCCGCTCCCCGCAACTAGAATTTTAGGACGAAATGATGATGAATTGTGATAAGAAATTAACGGGGGGTCGGAGAGGTCAATCTATGAGTAATTTCTCGGGTCTTGAAATCTGAAGCTGGCGGTCTGCGCTGTTAGTAGGGCAACCCTGTTGCGCCAGAGAGCTTCAAAACCATCAGTGTCTGTCCTGCTAAACAAGCCCGATCTGCATAAGACGCACGTTTGCGATTTGCCAACGATGCCTCTCATGATTTACACTACATATACTCAACACACACTGAGCTCTCATAGAGTGATGGCCTCGTTTCCCGTTCCCTTCGACTGCGATGCTCGACCTGAATCTCCCTCTCCGTCTTTCAAAGATGCATCTATAACATCAATATCTATCAGTGCACTATGGACATATTCGTCGATGGTGCGAGCTTGAATAGGTAAAGTGAAGTTCAAGGGTTACCGTTGGCAAACGCCTTATACCGCACATACGAGGCTTCCCAATTCGAAAGTCCTGACGACTTCACTTTCATTGAGACGTGTCGCACGGTGGGTGGCACGCCACACTTCCTTCCGATGAAGCTCAAAATCATCAACAAATTTAAATAATTGAGGGAACACTAACCTTCAGTGCCTCGTGTTTGAGATCTGGGATGCCGTGAAATGAACTGATTTCCTGATAACCATTCTTTAAAATAACTGGGATATTGGTGAGTATTTTCTTTAAATGTAACATATATAATAATTTAAATGAAGGAAATGCAATGGCAATTAAAATTAGACGCGGCTTAATCTCAGTTTAATCCCATTTCACGTGACTAATCAGGTGGATCCGCGCGCGCCTCAGAGGAGGCCGTCTTGTTCTGCACTGTCACAGTGCGGATGGAACAAGACGGACGAAACCCTCCTCCGGGCCCAAACTTGGTCTCAGACCAGCTGCGGGAAGAGACAAGTTGCATCCGGGAGCGAGATAAATAGCGCACCTTATCCACTCCCCACCTGCCTGCGCAATCGTACTACAACGTCTAACTGGTAAGTTAACGGTAGTGCGATGAGGCTTCTAACCGTGTGTGCTGGCCCCGCTCCTCAGGCCTGCACACGGTTATCCCTGCTCTCGCTATCCACTAAACGCGCGCTTACTCTTACTTTCATAGTTCTTAACTGAATCTCCGTGCTTATCTAATCGAACTCGATCATCTATCGATCAACTATGCTTACATCTTATATCGCATCATGCAGCTCAATCCCGCGGCGATACGTTCCAGTCACTGCTCGAGGCCGCGAGTACGGTCGAGCAGCTCGATGAAGTCGTCAGGCGATACAATGCCAACCAGATCCCACTTAGAGAGGCATACGCCACCCTCTCCGAAGCCGTCGCTGCGGATCAGTCCCTTGACGAGGAGCAGCGCAAGGAAACGCTCGTCCGATACGGCGACGAACTGGAACAGTCAGCAGAGGCAAGGATCCAAGCTCGAGCACGAGGGGACCGTGACCTCGATGGAGGTATCGCCTGACAACAGACCTCGGCCCAGCAGGATGGGACTGTCCAATCGAACCCTAATGTCACGACTCAGACTACCTCTCAAGTCAGACAACCCACCAATCAAGCCAGTTCCGGACGGCTCCGTGGAAACGAGGTTTTCAAACGAGTTGCCGACGAAGAAAGTGACCATCGTGCCGAGTATGCGTGGAACTGGAAATTCGGGAACGGAGGACCACCTTGGGATGCCAGCGAGGAGGCCATGCTCACCAACGCCGAGAAGACACAACTCCTCAAGAACGCGTACAACACCAACGTCAAACGTGCCGTCCGAAGTCTCATCTGTCGGGGCGGTCAACCTGAATTCCCACCATACCTCTGGAAGGACATCCTTGGGGACCGACTCGTCGACTTCAGACACTTGGTCGAAGATAGGCGCTCCCATGCCATCCGATATGAAGACTCCGTTGACCTCGGGAATGGGGTTCAAATCTCGACTGGGTCGAGTAGCCGGAGCAAGACCAAACTGGCAAACGAATCACAATGGACGGAGGCGTGGGACAAATATGTCGCTGCGGTTGTATGGGCATACCCCCACCGTGGTCCGGAGCTCCATGAGTACCACCGTCACATCGTCAAGCATTTCAGCAGAAACCGGAATGTCGCCCTCAACATCGAATATGACCAGGCTGCAAGGAAGTTCTTCCAGGAAACCCACTGAGCATTCTCCGACATTAATGCGCTCAACGAAATCATCCACGACATCTACCTCGGGGAGGAGACGGAGATACCCAGGGAGAAGGTAAGCCTGGAAAGTCGGCTGGAGAAGCAGGGAGCGACAAGGCGACCGGAGCTGGGGAGAATGTCACCAAAAAACGAAAGCGTGGCAACAATGATTACCCGATCTGCCAAGAATTCAACAAAACGGATGGATGTCGACACTCCGAATGTCGCTACCTCCACAAGTGTGGATCTTGTGGATCCAGTGCCCATGCCGAGCCAAAGTGTCCACAGCAAAAGGAGAAGACAACCACAAGATCTCAATGAGGCCGAGGAGAAGAGCAAACGACCAAGATACATGAGGTTCGTGTTCGGTCAGCATGATATTGGTCAGACACCATCGGCATCGTACACTGAGAGTGCTCAACCTGTCCTGAGCGTCCCTCAAAGTGATTATAGATATCAAGATATCACTATGACTATCAAGGACAACCCGAGCCTGTTCAAAATCGTTACCCCTATCAACGTTGACCGTTTCGAAGTCCTCCTGAAATCACACCCGAATCGTGATCTCGTCAGATCTGTATGTGATGGACTGCGGACTGGGTTCTGGCCCTTTGCAGATGTCGAGGACCCGAAGAGCGTACCGGTAGGAATCGTAGAGCGTGCAAAGGGTGCTCCTGAATTGGACGATGAATCAGTCGAATTCCTTAGACGGCAATGTGCTGCCGAGATGGGCCTGGACCGATACTCCGAAGCGTTTGGGGACCAGCTACTGCCTGGGATGGTGGCGCAACCTATTTTTACGGTACCGAAGAAAGGCTCATCGAAGCTGCGGCTTGTCAACGACCATAGCGCAGGGGAGAAATCCCTGAATTCGCTGATCCCGAGTGAAGGCGGGTATGTAGTCCTGGACAATCTAACTGACCTTGGGACCAATATCCGTGCCATCATGAAAGAGAATGGAGGAAGGAGGCCAGCTTTTCTCTGGAAATCTGACGCATCTCAAGCTTACCGACGACTACCAATGCACCCACGATGGCAGGCACGGCAGGCAACACTGATTGACGGGAAGTACCATGTGGACCGATGTGCAGTCTTCGGGAACCGGGCCTCTGGCCGGCTGTGGTGCTTGTTCTTCGGACTCGTATGTTGGATTGGAATCCATGTTTGCGGGATACGAGGTCTACTTCACTATGTCGATGATGCATTCAACGCAAGCTTCGACAATGAACTTGAACTTTATCCCCCATACAATAGGGAGTTACCACGAGACCAGACAAGATTCCTTAAATTGCTCGACCACATCGGAGTCCCACACGAGTCGGCCAAGCAACTCTTTGGGACCCAGCTTGAAATCATAGGCTTCCTCGTTGACGCAGAGCAACTCACGATATCCATCTCAGAAGAGGCAAAGGGAAGATTCTGCGCTGCGATACGAAAGTTCGTCCTTGACACCCCAGACAACCTGCGAAGGCAACCTCTGAAGGACTGGCTGAAGACCCTTGGGTATGCGAACTGGGTCCTCAACGTATTCCCACTTCTCAAGCCGGCGCTGAACTCGTCATACAAGAAAATCGCAGGGAAGCGGATGATGAATCAAAGCATCTATATAAACAAGCAGGTACGAAATGACCTACTATGGTTTGCTGATTCAGTAGAGCGGATGGAAGGAGTTCGCATGCTGAACGCCGAATCATGGGGGCCAAGCGATGCTGATGTGGTTGTATGGGGAGATGCCTGCAAGATTGGGCTCGCATTCTGGGCACCGAAATACAAAGCTGCGTATATTGGCGACCCGGTAACCCAACCTGACGAGGCATTCAACATATTCTACAATGAAGCTATCACAATACTCGCGGCACTCCAATGGTCTACAACAATATCCCCCCACCGAAACGACTCGCAATCTACACCGATTCGACAAACTCACTGAACATTTTCAACTCGCTCCGCGCGACAGACCTGTACAACCCAGTCCTCATGACGGCTGTCTCGACACGAATAGAGCACAAGATCGACCTCCGCATCTTTCTAGTGGAAGGGAAGCAGAATGTTGTGGCAGATGCACTGTCGCGACGCAATTTTGAATTGGTGAAAGGTATGTACCCGAAGCTGGTCATCAAACACTTCATGCCTCCGGCGCTTATGAAGCTGGGGGCATTGAAGAAATGAATGATCAGAGGCGCTCCAAGACCCGTCAACCACAGCGCGAGCCTTGGTCCCTGGAGCGCCTCCGGGAGGCTCGAGCAGCTGCCCTGGGAGCCGCTCTTGAGCCTAGCACTGCTCGTACCTATATGTCAGCGCTAATGTCTTACATCAATTTCTGCGACCTCCACCATTTCCCACTACGACCAACGATCGACACACTCACCTTTTACATCGTCTACATGTGTGCCCACATCCAACCAAACTCGGTCTCTTCGTATCTTTCAGGTATATGTTCGGAACTTGAAGCATACTGGCCGGAGGTCCGCGACACTCGCAACTCAAAACTCGTCTCGAGAACGCTAACTGGATGCTCCAAAATGTTCCGCACTCCAGCTGTCAGGAAGAGGGCTCTAACCGAAAGTGACTTGCGGACCGTTCTACAATCAATCCCACCTCAGCCTTCACATGACGATATGCTCTTCCTTGCAATCACCTTCACAGGATGGCACTGCCTCATGCGGCTTGGCGAACTAGTGGACAGCGACTCGGGGGCACTGCGCAACTACCGGAAATCAATAAGAAGATCTTCAGTTAGATTCCACTCCAAACCGCGACCTCACTATGCGTTTATCTTACCAATGCACAAAGCGGACAGGCTGTTTGAAGGCTCAACGGTCATGCTAGAGAGACGAGACAGTGACTTAGACCCCCTGGGAATCTTCGAACAATACCTGAACGCTCGAGACTATCGATTCCGACACCTCCCCGATTTATGGCTGCGAGAGTCAGGAAAGATCCCCACCCGGTCCTGGTTCTTGGGCAGACTGCAAGGAGTCATCACGATGGGAGATGTTGCAGGCCATTCCTTGCGCTCGGGTGGTGCAATGGCTTAGCACTTGCAGGTACTCCTTTGGAGTGGATACGCGCTATTGGAAGGTGGTCTTCAGAAGCTTTCCTGATCTACCTGCGCCAAAACCCGATACTGATCCAAGGCACATTGGGGGGACGATCAGCATTCGACGGCCAGCGTGCAGATCATTGAGTCTAAGTACTCACCACCAACCACCCCTCCACCAGCCATTATACGTGTACAAGTTACGGCTCGCATCGCTGGCGCACAATCATACGCATTGCAGGTCCATACGGACCGTGTCCACTAATTCATGGACCGCTCACGGAACCGAACTGATTAGTCTCAGTTTAATCCCATTTCACGTGACTAATCAGGTGGATCCGTGCGCGCCTCAGAGGAGGCCGTCTTGTTCTGCACTGTCGCAGTGTGGATGGAACAAGACGGACGAAACCCTCCTCTGGGCCCAAACTTGGTCTCAGACCAGCTGCGGGAAGAGACAAGTTGCATCCGGGAGCGAGATAAATAGCGCACCTTATCCACTCCCCACCTGCCTGCGCAATCGTACTACAACGTCTAACTGGTAAGTTAACGGTAGTGCGATGAGGCTTCTAACCGTGTGTGCTGGCCCCGCTCCTCAGGCCTGCACACGGTTATCCCTGCTCTCGCTATCCACTAAACGCGCGCTTACTCTTACTTTCATAGTTCTTAACTGAATCTCCGCGCTTCCCACCTCCTTCCCCATCGCCTCCGTTGCGTTACATCATTTTTTCACTTGCTACCCTCTCCTGCATTTACTATTAATGTATTTAATTGACGTACGGCTCGCATCGCTGGCGCACAATCATACGCATTGCAGGTCCATACAGACCGTGTCCACTAATTCATGGACCGCTCACGGAACCGAACTGATTAGTGGTGGCACTTTGGTGACACCTAATAGGAGGGCTAAAGCGGGAGCTCAGTCTCCGTTAATGAAGAACTGAATTACTACGGTTAATACTAACCTAAAGCGGGAGCTATAGTACAGAAGAGTACAGAGTAAGTAATGTAACAACTAACTAAAAACAATGATACTAACCTCAGTCTCCGTTAATGAAGAACTGAGGAGAAAAGGAAAGTAGACCCAAACAATTACCTATATACAATGCAGTCACGGTATCAATACAACGGAAACGAAAAATAAGATCATGTGAGTTTGGTTAGTGAGTCACGCACACTTGTCCGTCGGCACATGTCAACTCAGGGATGCATCGTCACACTGTGTCTCAAACATTTTAACGCATCCCATATCACACCACAGAAGCTATTTATCAGTGCAGAGGTTTTTTGAACATTGGGGGATTTCCTGTGTTTTTTTTGCTCTAACTGGAACTTCCGCGACGCTGTGGGGCAAATTAATCGACGTGCCCTTACTTTTAAATAAGGATGACACACACAAACTTCTCTCTGAAATTCAGCTGAGGATGAGCTTCTTCCCGAACGTGGAAACTGTGCTTGGCTGAGTCTGCTCTAAGATGAGAAGCTTGTTTATTTGCGCTCCTGTTGCATGGTGTTGAGTGTGCGCCTCCGTCGCCTCCGTCCTGTCATAGTCTGGATCACTGGGACCTCAGAATTAATACTGAGATCATTGCTCTCTTCCGTCTCCGCACTTTAGGGTTGGCCTGGAATATCGTATGCTCCTGTTCACCACCACTGAAGAGACGCAGCCGGTTTACCGCTTGTCGCAATCCGATGATTGACTTTCTATTGTGATATCTTCTCTCCCCGGTGATGCACGGCTCAAATCAAGCCCCACCTGCAAATAGATGGTTGGCTCAACGGCTCACGCTTGTTCATCACCCGTCAGTGAGCTCGAAGTTACTCAGTTGACTAGAATGCCCGAATGGGAGATATTACTGAACTGAGACAACGCTGAGAGCACCTTATGCTTGACATATTTTATGGTTGACACAAGGGGTACCATGATGTGCGACAAATCTTGATGGTGACCTAACTAGCGACTCGATCGCCGCTCTCGCTCCCGAAGCGAACTTTGACTTGTCCAAAAAATTTGCATCGTTCATCTTAGGTCATAATAGAGTATGGTAGGTATATGACATCGTTTGTGAGCAAGTTTAGGAGACTCGGGATAGGCCCCAACTTGTATCATTCACCGACAGTGGGGAATGTGCCCTCCCAGGTCCTGCTCAGCACTTACCACGTGGAATCAGTGTTGCCACGAACCGTAAGTGGAGCCTAGATCCTGAACTCGGTCATGACAACTATGTCTACTGCACGATTTGAGCCCGGGTCTTACATACCTAAGTGGAATGGTGCATGCCCCTGAGGCTTCCATCCATTTGTGGTGGCAAGGGCACCAGCGTGCAAGGGTTTGCGTAGACACATTAATAATTGTTCCTCACGTTAGCGCACTTGGGATACAACAACGTTAGTGTGTCTTGCTTCGAAACTGGGCGATTTTTTTTCCAGATTTCGCTCTCATGTCAGCGTGCCGGTACACCACATTTTTTTACGCGTTGGATACCAAGAACTCGTGAAATATTGCGAATAGCAGCTTTAGCGGTGACGATGTTACAGGATTTCAAACGTTTGCTATGTACAGTATGACAATTCCCGATTCAATACTCGGCGAATTGGAAGACAGTTAAGGAGAGAAATTATGGACGTGCATTTGAGGCACTAAACGACTTTGCTGATATCGATGACCACCGGAGCTCTCAGTTTGCCCTGGAGCAGAAATCGACGTCCATCCTTGCTGGCCCGAGGAAGGTAAAATGGAAGAGATGTTTCCCAATTCCAGAATACATGATCACCATACCAGGGTTCGTTCTCGCTGGAGGGATATGATTGTTCAAAGATTGGGTTGTACCTGGGGTGGACAACGAGTTCGACTTTTCCATCAAATGAGACCTTTGCACCCAAGGTACCGAGGCCGTTAGCGATAATTAATGGGGCCTCCCCTATCACTGAGGAAAAGAGCATAATGTCCTCTTTACTCCGGGGGTCTTTCCCCATGTTTGGCGAGAGGTCATAAAAGGGGGACTTCAGCCAGGATTCATCCGCGTTATGGGTGGGATCTGGCTCGGAACTTTGTACATGAGTGGCAATCTCTTCCGGAATTGAACGAACGACATGGTCACCAAGTACAGGCGTAGGAACAAGGTATGAGAGAGGAGGTACACGGCCAGCATTGAAATCCAACATCTGAAATCTTGCACGCAATATTGAGCAATCACCTCGCATGTACCCGTTGACCAGATGAAAGCACAGTTCATGTCGAAAGCGCCTACATATCGGCCTCCAGGAGAGAATCCAGCTGTGTGACGTGGAGGAGTGGATGAGTGGTAATAGGGTTGAGGAGACTGAGGATCGGAAGGAGCAGAAGGAGATGCAAGAAGCCGGGTGGATGGCTCTCCTGAAAAATATAAGAGTGCCACATTTCCGTACCAATTCTCATCTTGATTTCGAGGGACTCGCATGATACAACATCCGTTGCTTGACAATGCAGTTATAGCAGGGTGACGACTTGTAGGAAGAGCCCCAAGAGGCACCAAATGCGTGCCATGACTCAGAATGGAGATATTTCCATCAGTGTCTTCGGTGGCAATCCGAACATTACCACCACCGATAAATTCTATCCAAACTGGGGGCTTGGGGGGATTGCATTGGAAGCGAGAGATTGTATGCTGATGGTCGATGTCTGCAACTTCAATAACCCCACTTCCAAAACCAAGAGCAACATGAGAACCATCATGAGATATCGCCGCACAGGTCACAACCCCGTTGCGAACATCGGGTTCAGCGAACTCGGCTTCATAATTAGTTTCTTCCCTAAGATATTTATGGAACTTCTTTGGCAGCTCAGTCAGCTTTGCTTCCATGGCCTCTCTAGCCTTACATGCATCCTCGCTCAATGGAATGAAGCCACCGGAGAACTCGCCAGATACGCTGAAGATTCGAACGGGATCGGAGAGTTTCCCATACAGTCGATGGAGATGTGATGACGATGGAGTGAATGGAAGGAAACATCGATAAAGATTCCAAGGATCGAATTCGACAGCAAGCTGCTCAATAGATTTGTCAGCAAGCCACTCGTCAGCAAGCCACTCATCAGCAAGCCACTCATTAGATTTGTCAGCAAGCCATACAATAGATCTGAAGGCTTCGTCCAGCAGCTTGATTAATTCGTGATTCTATAAAGCATGAAGTGATGTCATATCATTCAAATACACAAAATACAATCGAGGAATGAAACTTACGGTGAATTCGTCCAAATAACACCATTCTTCCCAGACCCACTTGTGTTTTCGCAACCAAGCCCGGGAAGCCGCCAAGAACGAGAATAAGTTTTGCAGCAGGAGTTGTTCAAACTCTCCTTGCAATTCATTAGACTCTTCTGAAAAGAGTAGTGCGGGATTCAAGTGGGAAAACAACCACTCGAATGAATACACGACGTAGTCGGGTTGCCCTTTCATCGAAAAATTATCCCACTTCTTTTTATCTCCCAAAGGGAGTTCAGTGGGCAACCCAATTTCGTTCCTGTGAATGGTATTATTCACAAATCGAAGGAATCGTAATCCGAGGAAGTATCCTTTCGGGTCATCGATGAAGAAGCCCTTGTCTTCGTCGTCGCCGATGGGCACTCCAGTGATGAATTCCGTCGCCGTTGCATGATAAAATTTGACCTTTGCATTGTTTGGAGGGACGTCAATTATCGAGCTGATGGGATTTAGTATCGCGTGAATTTTTCCCTCCGCAATTCCTAGGAGATGCGACATGCTGTGAACACTGAGTGGTTCTTGTGCAGCAATGATCATCCCGACTACTTCGCGATAATTCTTCTCAATGTGTGGACGAATTCTCGAGAGACGGGGCCTAAAGGCTCGTCGCATTATTCGTAAGTACTCCTGGTTGAGATCCTGAGGTGCAGCTTGAAGATTGAGAAAGTATTCAAACTCCGATTCAAGGTCGGAGCCACTTTGAGTCTGAAATTGAACTTCACGTATTCGGATCGAGGCCATAACAGGCAAACCACGGCAAGCTGAAGTGAAGACATCGAGATCGTTCGTTGACGGTTCCCACTGAGATTCCCCCATGCACCCTTTGAGCCCATCCTTCACCATCTGCCGGATTGTGTCAAATGTCTCGTCTGAGTCAACCTCATCCACATTATCACATGGGATGACACAGCCCCGATCTCCCCAAACGGAGATGACTTGACGTTCAGGACGGCAACTGACCAGTATGGAAAAAGCTGAAGGCAGCTCATCGAGAAGAAGTATGAGGTTCATCAGAGACGTGAGCGCCTCTGAGCCTCCGCATTCGTCCAAACCATCCAAGATGATGGTGAACTTGTGTTCCTTGCTTGTAGAAAATAAGCCCCTGAGACCATTCATCGGTTCGAGAACCAAAGTCCGCATTTGGCTCTCCAGAGGAAGGCTTAGAATCAGCTCAGAATTCGGCTGCCGAAGGCGATTGACAAGCGAGACCTGGAAGTCCGCATCGAAGACCGCAAGTTGACGTGCTAGGGTAGAAGGGAACTTCTCTAAAGAATCGAGGCCTGTTCCCTGTTGGTTTTTATCCCAAAAGAAAGAGGCAGCAAGGGTGCCTTCCTTTTCGAGCGTAGATGCGATGCTCATAGATATCGCTGTTTTCCCCGTGCCAGGGGACCCACGGAGCCAAACGAATCGATTCTCGGCTAGTTTTAGATGATTGAGAAGGGAATTCTGTATCTTGACCCGTGTGCTTGGAAGGCATTTTGACTTGCTCTTCACATAAGTGTGCTCGGCTGCGACTCGTGGAAGTCGCTCAAGTTTCGCTGAAAGATGTAGCGTCAATCAAACAGACCCGTGAAACGGGTGAGGTGAACATACATTGCGACGATGCCTCGATTATACGAGGGAGCATTGAAATAGTTGCCTGAGTCTATGGTGCACACACACCGGTCAGTCAAATCGAGCACTTGGGGGCGTAGCGGAAACGAACCGAAACCGAGTTGAGGGCATTATTTATACACGTCCTCACACCGCTTATCCTCTTCGCAATATCAGTCGCTAAGATCGCTCTCTTTGCAAGACGTTGACTTTTGAGCAATTCAATCTCATTGATCTGCTCTTCTAGGGCCCTGTCAACAGGAGCCTCGAGTCAGACGAGCAGCGTTGAAGGCAGATTGACGTACGAGTGAAATTCTCCAATCAACCGAACTACTTCAGGGGGGATTTGTTCAGACAACAGCTCAAGTGGCTGCAAAACGGTGGTGTAAGCCTTTCGGATGTCATTGCCCAGTTCCTTAAGATCGTCGTCGTTTCCGCCAACGGTCTACACAGATCATGCACAAACAAACAAATGAACATGGGAAGAGTAAACGGCGTATCCTCATCTATCACAGAAATGAAAAGATGAACTGACATCGTAAACCTGGAGCCACTTGAGAAGTAAATTCGGGATTGCGTCGGGATTTGGAATCGGGACGAATTTAAGAGCGTCGGCTGCATTTTCCAGAACGAGTCTTATAGCATTTATGACGACTTTCTTTCGATCGCTCTTTGAGTTAGCCGATGGCGTGAGTTCCGATAAGGAAGGCACGTTGATACCCTCGTGTTCCAATTGTGCGCGAATTTTCGAGCCATTGTCAGGCGTGGCACGCATCCCAGATGATTCGCTCGGATCATCGATATTTCCGGAGGAGTGAGGGGAGATGGAGGCGGCGCTGCATTATTAGCATATGGCTGTGGGGTGGGCGTGGTTGGTCTTGACTGCTTGGGAGTCCCAGGCTTGCTGCGATTACGACCAAATATTTCGCTGATCTCACTCGATATGCGGCCCTGAATGATGCTGACTTCATTGGATCATTACGATCACCAGAAGAGTCTGGCAGCCACTGCAGGCTAGAAGATCTGCGGCACTCCGATCTGGGTCTTGTCGTGATCTGGGGATATCTGGGGCCGGTGATATGGAACTGCGGAACATGGGACTCCGAAGGGGCCTGTGGGTGCGATAGCTGCGAAGATGAGCCAGGAGCAGGACGGTTTCCTTTGTTGTGTCGAGAGAACATTTTGAACGTATGTTTTGTAGAGATCGCGCTGGTGTGATAACGGGAAAGGCTGCCCACGTGGAAGGGTGAACAGAGGACAGTTCAATCGCTGCATGCACATGATGCATATAATAGAAGGAAGGGACGCCGAGGATTGAATCAATTGGTTGCACAGAACCCAATAAAGCAAGTACTATCAAGCTTACTTTGTTTGGGAATTGCAATGTTGCAACGTCCGAAACCTGTTCGCTTGACATCCGTAGCTTGCGCTCTTCAAAAACCCCAGAGAAAAAAGGCGCAGTTGAGCGGAAAACGAAGTGCCGTCTCCATTTCCGGAGTTAATGCATATCATTAAGGGATGAGGGTGCAATGGTTACCTGTACCTTGGTTAAGACATCTTAGAGGCAGCCCAAAGTGGAGGTTAAATAGCACCTACATGAACCCGCTAGTAGATTAGTGTGGTTGGCCTCTGGTGGCATCGTCGAGGCGAGCGGAAGTAAAATAGCGACGACATACAGGCCGTGTGCTTGAGTGGACATGTGCACCCACCAGGCGTGCCTGCATCCTGACACTTAATTCTCAATGCGCTTCTTTCGGACTAAGTACAGAAAAATACCACAGGGGAGGGTAAACTCGTCCGATAGCCGCGGTGCAAGCATCTTGTTACATGCCAGGGTAATTGGTAACCAGGGTCGGGAGAAAGCATTCTCGTAAACGTCATCGAGATTCTAGCTGAGGAGCAAACAAATTGTGTCACGACACAGTAGCCCAACCCTCTAACCACAGAGGCAATGGTCGCAAGACCGCAGGAAGGTATGGTTCCTGAGCGAGGTGCACGAAGCCCTGTATAACTCGATAGTTGCGTCTCGACTCTCAAGGCATTGTTGTGTCGACAAAGTTGATGCTGTGTCAGCGATGAAGCTAGCGTCCTTATGGCCTCAAACGTTGCAAAGTGGGGCCTGCAGCAAGAGCACGCCACGATTCCAGCATCACGGAATGACCGTCAACAGAGTTCAGAAATCGTTGAGATTGAGGAAGGTGTCTCGTTTATTATCAGAGTTCAAATATGGAGAGCGACACCTTCTCACACTCGACCATACCGAAATCAATGGCAACGCTACGGTCGGATTGCGGTGCAGAATCACATACATAGGCTCAATATGGATAACGTGACTGAGAAGTGCTTCTCAAATCTGTCGCACGTAAGATCGAATCATCCTGAGGCGATTACTGGGTGAGCACATGTCCATTCATCAAGTCAATGCCGATTCATTCATTGGGTCCAATATGCTTGTTTCATTCATAATGGGTGGCGGCGTAAGCAATGATTACATATTCTCCCCGATCCCGAGAGTTGCTAACGTTCTTAATTTGTTGTCTTCTCAAACTATACTTTATTCAACTGCAGTGAGAGAACTGAGCTGGTTCACTCATGATGAGGAGCTCTCTGCCCCGCTCACCACTATACTTACTGCTCTGCACTGGCAAGTAAGAGCTAGCATGAACCAGGAGCGGCAGCCGTACCTATACGAACCCGCGCCCAGGTTTTACCCGCACAGGCCATATTCGTTGTTGTAGCCAGCACGACCACTGCACCGGCCGCCGATAAGATCTTTCTTCACATGTCGTCGAACATATCTTTGCGCTTGCCTCCTGCTCATTATGGTGCCGCACACGCACAATCTACGAAGGGAGACCTCTGAAAAGGGGATTATGCTGGTAGCATGCAGATGCGCGGCACTCATCGCGCGCTTCATTTGACCATTCGGCCATTCGGCAGCCTCGTTCTTCAGCCACCAGTGGTCCAAAATAATAATTGGGTACACAAAAGGGAAATATCGTGCTCCGAGCACCCTTTAGCATGCCCCAGTATTCCATATTGGTGTGTACCCTCATCAAGCCTGTTGACTGCACCTTATGCTCCGTGGCCTCCGATCTTCCTCATCGCATACCCTAACTCTGAGCCGCGCGAATTGGGATAACCTTTGATACCTGTCCGGCCCTGCTCCTTGATGTCTATCCGCTTCAACTTTGGGCCTTTCTCCACCCAAGCTACCTCCGTTTTCAAGAAAAATTCTTATACGAGAGGGGAATTGGTACGCACCAACAATCAACTTCGAGCAGTTTCATCCTTGTAAGTGTATCTCATTTGGAGGGATGGCTACGCCGATCAGGTTCCCTGCGATCTGACGACCAAGGTCATTAAGCTTCCGATGCTATATGTTGGAGGACGCTGTCGAGTATCAATGATGAACTCGTTAGTTGTTAGCCCACTAGTTATCGCTTGCACTCTCGGTTCTGGCTGTCTTTGACTGCGCTGCTCGACTCGAATTCTCGTCTTCGTCTTCCAAGGGCTACTAGGGTGGCTCTTAACTCAATATTTAAGAGTGCACATATGGACGATATTCGTTGAGCAGACGAATCGAACGAGCTTGAAGTCTGTCTGTCACGCTGCTATCAACGAACCAGATTCATCTCACACAAAGACTTGTCCAGTTTGAACGTCCTAACTGCTTCACTCTTTTATTGGAATGTTTCATACTGCGGGTGGTACGTACGCCACGTGGAAGCCCGTTGGACTTCTTTCGTTTCGGATAGAGCTCAAAGTCATCAATGGATGTAAGCAGGGGGAGATTATTCTCCGTTGCACTGAACTGATATAAAGCTGGGAGTCCCTTGTGCTTGAGATCTTTTAATGTTGATGCAAGGGATGCCGTGAAATGAACTGATGTGCGACGTGTCTTGATGGCGACCTGAATGGCGCTGGGCGATACTTATACCGCATCTCATAAGCCCGTCTTTCCCATACTTCTGCGAATCCAGGTACCATTCTATTATGACGCGATGCAAATTCCTGTGCAACTTGGGGTTCGCCTCGGGAGCGAGTCGTGGTGATCTAGTCGCCAGTTACCGACTCATTGGAACTTCTTCAGCAACCCTAACTTGAACTTGCAAATGTAAATTTCGCTTTATATTCTTCTTGCGAAAGAGGCCGTCACGTACATACTGTCTCAACTCTTGCGCTGCTCACTGGCGCTAGGCCGCCCCTAGACTTGCCGCGCGAAAAGTTAAATCCTAAATCCGTCAAAGATCTCGTTGCTGTGTCTTCATGCAATATTTCTCATGAATACTTGGCCAAATATTCCTAGACCTAACCATCTCATAACGCGTCTCTGTCGCATATACAATCGCAGCTGTGAAGTGCTAGATACGGAAGGTCTACTTCCGTGGTCACTTGGAATCAGAGGTGACTCTGGTTGTTTCTGTCAAACATCAGTGTGGTTTGTGTCCTTAGTGTTCGCAAATGAGGCCGAAGGCCCCATTGTGCCAATGTAGATGAGTATGTGTTCTCTCTCAGGATTCCGGGGATAAAGCAATGTCAGTATGTCTTGCTTCGAAACTGGATGATTTTGTTTTTTCAGATTTCGCTCTCATGTCAGCGTGCCGTACACCCCGTCCTTTTGCGCGCTAGATACCAAGCGCTCATGAAATATTGCGAATAGCAGCTGTAGCGGTGACGATATTACAGCATTTCGAACATCGCTATGTACAACTACAATCAAGTATCACAATTCCCGATTCAATACTCTGTGAATTGGAAAACAGTCAAGGAGAGAAATTATGGACGTGCATTTGAGGCACTAAACGACTTTTCTGATATCGATGACCAATGGAGCTCTCAGTTTGCCCTGGAGCAGAAATCGACGTCCATCCTTGCTGGCCCGAGGAAGGTAAAATGGAAGAGATGTCTCCCAATTCCAGAACACATGATCACCATACCAGGGTTCGTTCTCGCTGGAGGGATGTGATTGTTCAAAGACTGGGTTGTACTTGGGGTGGACAATGAGTTCGACTTTTCCATCAAACGAGACCTGTGCACCCAAGGTACCGAGGCCGTTAGCGATAACTAATGGGGCCTCCCCCATCACTGAGGAAAACAGCATAATGTCCTCTTTACTTGGGGAGTGTTTGTTTGGCGAGAGGTCATAAAAGGGGCACTTCACCCAGGATTCATCTGCATTATGTCTGGGATCTGGCTCGGAACCTTGTACATGAGTTGCAATCTCTTCCGGAATCGAATGAACAACATGGTCACCAAGTACAGGCGTAGGAACGAGATATGAGAGAGGTACACGGCCAGTATTGAAAATCCAAGATCTGAAATCTTGCACGCGATATTGAGCAATCACCTCGCATGTACCCGTTGACCAGACAAAAGCGCAGTTCATGTCGAAAGCGCCTACATATCGACCTCCAGGAGAAAATCCAGCTGTGTGACGTGGAGGAGAGGATAAATGGTAATCGAGTTGAGGAGGCTGGGGATTGGAAGGGGTACGAGGAGATGCAAGAAGCCGAGTGGATGGCTCTCCTGAAAAGCATAAGAGTGCCACGTTCCCGTACCAATTACCATCTTGATTTCGAGGGACTCGCATAATAAAACATCCGTTGCTTGACAATGCAGTTACAGCAGGGTGACGACTCGTAGAAAGAGCCCCAAGTGGCACCAAACGCGTGCCATGACTCAGAATGGAGATGTTTCCATCAGTGTCCTCGGTGGCAATCTGAACATTACCACCACCAATAAATTCTATCCAAACTGGGGGTTTGGGGGGATTGCATTGGAAGCGAGAGATTGTACGTTGATGGTCGATGTCCGCAACTTCAATAACCCCACTTCCGAAACCAAGGGCAACATGAGAACCATCTTGAGATATCGCCGCACAGGTCAAAATCCCATTGCGAATATCAGGTTCAGCAAACTCGGCTTTGTAATCATTTTTTTCGTGGCCATATTTATCAAAATTCTTTGGCAGCTTTGCTTCCATGGCCTCTCTAGCTTTGTGTCCATCCTCGCTCAATGGAATAAAGTCGCCGGAAAACTCGCCAGATATACTGAAAATTCGAACAGGATCGGAGAGTTTCCCATGCACTTGATGGAGATGCGATGATGATGGAGTGAATGGAAGGGAATATCGATAAAGCGCCCAAGGATCGAATTCGGTAACAAGCCACTCAATAGATCTGAAGGCTTCGTTCAGCAGCTTAATTGATTCGTGATCCTATAAAGCATGAAGTGATGTCATATCATTCAAATACACAAAATACAATCGAAGATAATGAAACTCACGGTGAATTCATCCAAATCACACCATTCTCCCCAGACTGACTCGTGTTTTCGCCACTCAGCCCGAGAAACCGCCAAGAACGAGAATAAGTTTTGCATCAGGAGTCGTTCAAACTCTCCTTGCAATTCATTAGACTCTTCTGAAAAGAGTAGCACAGGATTCAAGTGGGAAAACAACCACTTGAATGAATACATGACGTAGTCGGGTTGCCCTTTCATCGAAATCAAAAAATTATCCCATTTCTTTTTATCTCCCAAAGGGAGTTCGGTGGGCAACCCAATTTCGTTCCTTTGAATGGTATTATTCACAAATCGAAGGAGTCGTAATCCAAGGAAGTATCCTTTCGGGTCATCGATGAAGAAGCCCTTGTCTTCGTCATCGCCGATGGGCACTCCAGTGATGAATTCCTTCGCCGTTGCATGATAAAATTTGACCTCTGCACTGTTTGGAGGGACGGAAATAATTGAGCTGAGGGGATCCAGTATCGCATGGATTTTCCCATCGGCAATTCCTAAGAGATGTGACATGCTGTAAACGCTGAGCGGTTCTTTTGCAGCAACGAGTATCCCGACTACTTCGCGATAATTCTTCTCAATGTGTGGACGAATTCTTGAGAGACGGGGCCTAAAGGCTCGTCGCATTATTCTCAAGTACTCCTGGTTGAGATCCTGAGGTGCAGCTTGAAGATTGAGAAAGTATTCAAACTCCGATTCAAGGTCGGAACCACTTTGAGTCTGAAACTGAACTTCACGTATTCGGATCGAGGCCATAACAGGCAAACCACGGCAAGCTGAAGCGAAGGCATCAAGATTGTCCGTTGATGGTTCCCACCGAGATTCTCTCATGCAATCCTTAAGTCCATCCCTTACCATCTGCCGGATTGTGTCGAACGTCTCGTCTGAGGCAACCTCATCCACGTTCTCACATGGGATACCCTGACCTCCCCAAACGGAAATAACCTGACGTTCAGGACGACAACTGACCAGTATGGAAAAAGCTGAAGGCAGCTCATCGAGAAGAAGTACGAGGCTCATCAGAGACTTGAGCACCTCCGAACCTCCACATTCATCCAAACCATCCAAGATGATGGTGAAGCGTTCCTTGCCTGCAGAAAATATGCCCCTGAGACCATTCATCGGTTCGAGAACCAAAGCCCGCATTTGCTTCTCCAGAGAAAGGCTCAGAACCAGCTCCGAATCCGGCTTCCGAAGGCGTTTGACGAGCGAGACCTTGAAGTCCCCATTGAATATCGCAAGTTGACGCGCGAGGGTAGAAGGGAACCTCTCTAAAGAATCAAGGCCCGTTCCCTTTTGGTTTTTATCCCAAAAGAAGGAGGCTGCAAGCGTGCCTTCCTTTTCGAGCGTAGATGCAATGCTCATAGATATCGCTGTCTTCCCCGTGCCAGGGGACCCACGGAGCCAAACAAATCGGTTCTCGGCTACTTTCAGATGATTGAGAAGGGAGTTCTGTATGTTGACGCGTGTGCTCGGAAGGCATTCCGACTTGCTCTTCACGTAGGTGTGCTCGGCTGCGACCCATGGAAGTCGCTCAAGCTTCGCTAAAAGATGTAGCGGTGATAAAAGAGTCCCGTGGAAGAAGCAAAATAACATACATTGCACCGATGCTTCAATTGTCCGAAGAAGGGTTAAAATAGTTGTCTGCGTCTATGGTATACACACATTGGTCAGTTAAATGGAGCACTCAGGTACCTAGTGAAAACGGACCGAAAACGAGTTAAGGGCATCATTTATACACATCTTCACACCACTTATCCTGTTCGCGATTTCGGCTGCTAAGAACGCTTTCGTTGCAAGATTACGGGTTTTGAGCGACTCGATCTTGGTTATCTGTCCCTGAAGAGCCCTGCCGATGGGGATCTTGAACCAGGCGAGAAGCGATGAGGGGTTAGGTGGACGTACAAGTGAAATCCTTTAATAAACTGAATTACTTCTGGGGGAATTTGGTCTGTCGACAGCTCGAGCGGCTGCAAAATGGTGGTATAAGCCTTTCGAATGTGATCATCCAATCCTTCGAGTTCATCGTCGTTTCCGCCAACAGTCTGCACGGATTATGCATTGAGATGCGGCGAAAATTACATACCATCGTCGATCACAGAAGTGGGGCGATAAACTAACCTCGTAAACCTGGAGCCACGTCAGAAGTAAATTCGGAATTGCATCAAGATTCGCAATCGGGACGAATTTAAGAGCATCGGCTGCATTTTGTAGAACCAGCCTTGTAGCGCCGATGATTACTTTTGTTCGATCACTCCCTGAATTGGCTGATGGCACCGTCGTGGGTTCCGATACGAAGGTATGATGACATCCTCACGCTCCAATTGTGCATAGATATTCGGCCGATTGTCAGGCGTGGCATGCGTCCCAGATGATTCACGAGGATCATCAACATACGCGGTAGGGGTGCGGGGAGATGGAGGTGGCACCGCATCATCCCCGGATGGCTGAAGGAATGGAGTAGTTGGCCTTGATGGCCCAAGAGATTCAGGAGTGCTAGGCTTATTGCGGACTGGACTCAGTTTCTCGCGGATCCTCCTCATTAGAGATGCTGGTTTCTTGCGATCACTCTGAGCAGCCACTTCGGCTCAGGATAAGATCCTGCCGGCACTCCGAGCTGATCACGGCGGTAGTTGTCGTGATCGGCGATATTTGGGCATCGGTGACACGGACCTGCGGAACATGGGACCCGAATGGCCTGTGGGTGCAGTGGGTACGAAGACGAGCCACGAGCAGGACGGTTTCCTTTGTTGCGTCGAGAGAACATTTTGAACGTAATTGTTGTAGAGATCGCGTTGGCGTGATAATGGGAAAGGCTTCCCGCGTGGAAAGTGACCAGAGGACAGTTCAATCGCTGCATACACATGATGTATATGAAAATGCTCCTAGAAGGAAGTTGGATGCCGAGGATTCAATCAATTAGTTGCACAGAACCCAATAAAGCAAGTACTGTCAAGCTTACTTTGTTTGGGAATTGCAATGTTGTTCGCTTGACATCCGTAGCTCGCGCTCTTCAAAAATCCCCGGAGAAAAATTAGTAAAAAGGCGCAGTTGAGTGGAAAGCGAAGTGTCGTCTCCATTTCCAGAGGTTAATGCATAGCATTAGGGGATGAGGGTGCAATGGTTACATGTACTTTGGTTAAGACATCTTAGAAGCAACGCAAAGTCGAGGTTAGATAGCACCATCCCGATACCCAATCCTCAACGCGATTCTTTCAGACTGAGTACAAAAAATACCGCAGGGCGCAAACTCATCTGATAGCGGTGCCGAGATACCCAGATTCGAAGCGCCTGCAAGAGTTTTGTTCTTACATGCCAGGGTAATTGGTAACCAGGGTTGGGAGAAAGCATTCTCGTAAACGTCATTGAGGTTCTAGGTGAAGAGCAAACAAAAGAGTCACGGTCAGGGCCCCTCTATGTACTCACAGAGGCAATGGTTGCAAGACCCCAGGAACGTATGGTTCCTGAGCGAGGTGCACGAAATCCTACATAATCATCTTGATTGATAGTTGCGTTCCAAGGTATTGTCGTGTCGACAAAGTTAACGTTGTGGTCAAGCGGACAAGCTAGCATGGGAGAATGGACATGAACGGAATCAGTCACCGATTCCAGCACCACGGAATAACCGTCAAAAAATCTGCAGTCCCCTATCACTTATTGTTCAAGCTGAAGCTGTGGGCGAGGCAGCGCACATATTGGAGCCAGAGTGGCATGGAAAGAGAAAAGAGGAAGAAAAGAAGGGCGACGAGGAAGGTGTCTTAGCGTTGTCGTTTGTTATCAGATATTCAAATGTGAGGAGCGGTACCTTCTCCGACTGTGCCCCCACGCGCCAAGAGAGAGTTTATTCATTGGAGTCGGCGTAAGCAATGGTTACATATTCTAATAATTCTATCCGATCCGAGAGCAGTGGCTCTCATTCCGCTTGGTAAGAATATTTCTCGATTTTCAGCAACCGATTATCAGGTTCAAACCTGGGTTGGATTGACTGATGTTTGACGCCCTTCGTTCATGCTGACCCAGGGTGTTCGGTGCGGCCAGAACCTTCTTAATGTCGCATGTCTCAGTAATCTCTGATAAGTCCCTAATATAGCGAATGATTGTTAGCTTGCAGCCCGCCCCCTACAACTAGAATTTTAGGACGGAATGATGCATGATAAGAGATTGACGGGGGTCGGAGAGGTCAATCTGTGAGTAATTTCTATCTGAAGCGGGCGGACTGCGCTGTTAGTATGGCAACCCTGTTGCGCCAGAGAGCTTGAAAACCATCAGTGTCTGGCAAGCCCGATCTGCATAAGACGCACGTTTACGATTTAATTGCCGATGATGATTTACACTATATATACTCAACACACACACTGAGCTCTCATAGAGTGATGCTCTTGTTTCCCGCTGCCTTCGACTGCGATCCTCGACCTGAATCATCCTCTTCGTCTTTCAAAGATGCTTCTATAACATCAATATCTATAAGTGCACTATGGACATATTCGTCGATGGTGCGAGCTTGAATAGGTAGAGCTTGAAGTCCGTTCGAGGGTTGCCATCGGCAAACGCCTTATACCGCACATACGAAATTCCCGATTGTTCCCGATTCGAAAGTCCTGACGGCTTCACTGTTTTATTATCTTTCAGTGGGACGTGTTGTACGGTGGATGGCACGCCACGCGGAGCCGATTGGACTTCCTTCCAAAATCATCAACAAATTGAGGGAACACTAACCTTCAGTGCACTGGACTGAGGTAAAGCTGAGGGTGCCTCGTGTTTGAGATCTGGGATGTCGTGAAATGAACTGATTTGCGACGCAGTTTAATGGTGGCACTTTGGTGACACCTGTACTAAGTCTTGTAAGCTCGTTGCTCCTAAACGATGCCAAGTTTCGATCACCACACGTATGACCCAAGGATGAACGATGCAAAATCGGGAGGCGTTCTTGAAATTCGCCTCGGAGCAATCAAGTCGCTACTTACCGACACGCGGGAACTTTCTGCACTCGAGAGATCATCTATACTTTCCACTACGGGCCTGGCATCTTTGCCTAACCAGCTTTCCATACGGAATTAGCGCTGTTACTGGCTGAAGATGGTGTCTCCGACCCAAGCTAACATCCACCGTGTCTTGCATGCAGCCACACTTGTCCGTCGGCACATGTCAACTCAAGGATGCATCGCCACACTGTGTCTCAAACATTTTAACGCATCCCATATCACACCACAGAAGCTATTTATCAGTGCAGAGGTTTTTTGAACATTGGGGGATTTCCTGTGTTTTTTTTGCTCTAACTGGAACTTCCGCGACGCTGTGGGGCAAATTAATCGACGTGCCCTTACTTTTAAGCAAGGATGACGCACGCAAACTTCTCTCTGAAATTTAGCTGAGGATGACCTTCTTCCCGCACGTGGAAACTGTGCTTGGCTGAGTCTGCTCTAAGATGAGAAGCTTGTTTATTTCCGCTCCTGTTGCATGGTGTTGAGTGTGCGCCTCCGTCGCCTCCGTCCTGTCATAGTCTGGATCACTGGGACCTCAGAATTAATACTAAGATCGTTGCTCTCTTCCGTCTCCGCACTTTAGGGTTGGCTTGGAATATCGTATGCTCCTGTTCACCACTACTGAAGAGACACAGCCGGTTTACCGCTTGTCGCAATCCGATGATTGACCTTCTATTATGATATCTTCTCTCCCCGGTGATGCCCGGCCTCAAATCAAGCCCCACCTGCGAATAGATGGTTGGCTCAACAGCTCACGCTTGTTCATCACCCGTCGGTGAGCTCAAAATTACTCAGTTGACTAGAGTGCCCGAACGTGAGATATTACTGATTGATTATCCTCTTGTGTACTGAACTGAGATGACGCTGAGAGCACCTTATGCTTGACATATTTTATGATTGACACAAGGGATACCATGATGTGCGACACATGTTGATGGTGACCTAACTAGCGACTCGATCGCCGCTCTCGCTCCCGAAGCGAACTTTGACTTGTGCAAAAAAACTGCATCGTTCATCTTAGATAATAGAGCATGGCAGGTATATTGATTGAAATATGACATCGTTTGTGAGCAAGTTTAGGAGATTCGGGATAGGCCCCAAGCACCATTCACCGACACTGGGGAATGTGTCCTTTCAGGCCGCTCAGCGCTTACCACGTGGAATCAGTGTTGCCACAAACCGTAAGTGAAGCCTAGATCCTGAACTCGGTTATGACGACTATATCTACTAAACGATTCGAGCTCTATTCCGCCTAGATTTGAGCCCGGGTCTTACATACCTAAGTGGAATGGTGCATACCCCTGAGGCTTCCATCCATTTGTGCTGGCAAGGGCTCCAGCGTGCAAGGCTAAGCAAGGGTTTGCGTAGAGACATGAATAATTGTTCCTCGCCTTAGAGCACTTGGAATAAAACAATGTTAGTAGGTCTTGCTTCGAAACTGAGCCTTTTTTTTTTCAAATTTCGGCCTCATGTCCGTGCGTCTGAACACCCCATCTTTTTGCGCGCTGGATACCAAGCGCTGTGCTCATGAAATATCAGCTCTAACGATGACTATTTTTAACATCACTATGAACAACCACAATCAAATTCCCGATTCAATACTCTGTGAATTGGAAGACAGTTAAGGAAGGAAATTATAGACATGCATTTGAGGCACTAAACGACTTTGCTGATATCGATGACCACCGGAGCTCTCAGTTTGCCCTGGAGCAGAAATCGACGTCCATCCTTGCTGGCCCGAGAAAGGTAAAATGGAAAAGATGGCCCCCGATCCCAGAATACATGATCACCATACCAGGGTTCCTTCTCGCTGGAGGGATATGAGTCTTCAAAGACTGGGTGGTACTTGGGGTGGACAATGAGTTCGACTTTTCCATCAAATGAGACCTGTGCACCCCGGGTACCGAGGCCGTTAGCGATAATTAATGGGGCCTCCCCTATCGCTGAGGAAAAGAGCATAATTTCCTCTTTAATCCCGGAGCCTCTCCCTCTCCCCATGTTTGGCGAGAGGTCATAAAAGGGGCACTTCAGCCAGGATTCATCCGCGTTATGTCTGTGATCTGGCTCGGAACTTTGTACATGAATTGCAATCTCTTCCGGAATTGAACGAACGACATGGTCACCAAGTACAGGCGTAGGGACAAGATATGAGAGAGGAGGTACACGGCCAGTATTGAAAATCCAACATCTGAAATCTTTCACGCGATATTGAGCAATCACCTCGCATGTGCTCGTTGACCAGACGAAAGCGCAGTTCATGTCGTAAGCGCCTACATATCGGCCTCCAGGAGAGAATCCAGCTGTGTGACGTGGAGGAGAGGATAAGTGGTAATGGGGTTGAGGAGATTGAGGATCGGAAGGAGCAGGAGATGCGAGAAGCCGAGTGGATGGCTCTCCTGAAAAACATAAGAGTGCCACGTTTCCGTACCAATTCTCATCTTGATTTCGAGGGACTCGCATGATAAAACATCCGTTACTTGACAATGCAGTTATAGCAGGGTGACGACTTGTAGGAAGAGCCCCAAGTGGCACCAAATGCATGCCATGACTCAGAATGGAGATATTTCCATCATTGTCCTCGGTGGCAATCTGAACATTACCACCACCGATAAACTCTATCCAAACTGGGGGCTTGGGGGGATTGCATTGGATGCGAGAGATTGTACGTTGATGGTCGATGTCCGCAACTTCAATAACCCCACTTCCAAAACCAAGAGCGACATGAGAACCATCTTGAGATATAGCTGCACAGGTTACAATCCCATTGCGAACATCAGATTCGGCAAACTCGGCTTCGTAATTAATTTCTTCCTTGCCATCTTCACCTGGCAGCTCAGCCAGCTTTGCTTCCATGGCCTCTCTAGCCATACGTGCATCCTCGCTCAATGGAATAAAGCCACCGGAAAACTCGCCAGATATGCTGAAGATTCGAACGGGATCGGAGAGTTTCCCGTACACTTGATGGAGACATGATGACAATGGAGTGAATGGAAGGCCTGATCGATAAAGATCCCGAGGATGAGAACCAAGCCACTCGGTAGATCCGGAAGCTTCGTTCAGCAGCTTAATTGATTCGTGATTCTATAAAGCATGAAGTGATGCCATATTATTCAAATACACGAAATACAATTGAGGTAGGAACTCACGGTGAATTCATCCAAACCACACCATTCTTTCCAGACCGACTCGTGTTCTCGCCACCAAGTCCGAGAAGCCGCCAAGAACGAGAATAAGTTTTGCAGCAGGAGTTGTTCAAACTCTCCTTGCAATTCGTTAGACTCTTCTGAAAAGAGTAGCGCAGGATTCAAGTGGGAAAACAACCACTTGAATGAATACACGACGTAGTCAGGTTGCCCCTTCATGGAAATCAAAAAATTATCCCACTTCTTTTTATCTCCCAAAGGAAGCTCGGTGGGCAACCCAATTTCGTTCCTTTGAATGACATTATTCACAAATCGAAGGAGTCGTAATCCGAGGTATCCTTTTGAATCATCAATAAAGAACACCTTGTCTTCGTCATGGCCGATGGGCACTCCAGTGATGAATTCCTTTGCCGTTGCATGATAAAATTTGACCTCTGCATTGTTTGGAGGGATGGAAATAATTGAACTGAGGGGATCCAGTATCGCATGGATTTTTCCCTCCGCAATTCCTAAGAGATGTGACATGCCGTGAACACTGAGCGGTACTGGTGCAGCAACGAGTATCCCGACTACTTCGCGATAATTCTTCTCAATGTGTGGACGAATTCTCGAGAGACGGGGCCTAAAGGCTCGTCGCATTATTCGTAAGTACTCCTGGTTGAGATCCTGAGGTGCAGCTTGAAGATTGAGAAAGTATTCAAACTCCGATTCAAGGTCGGAACCACTTTGAGTCTGAAATTGAACTTCACGTATTCGGATCGAGGCCATAACAGGCAAACCACGGCAAGCTGAAGTGAAGGCATCGAGATCGTTTGTTGACGGTTCCCACTGAGATTCCCCCATGCACCCTTTGAGCCCGTCCTTCACCATCTGCCGGATTGTGTCGAATGTCTCGTCTGAGTCAACCTCATCCACATTATCACATGGGATGACACAGCCCCGATCTCCCCAAATGGAGATGACTTGACGTTCAGGACGGCAACTGACCAGTATGGAAAAAGCTGATGGCAGCTCATCGAGAAGAAGTATGAGGTTCATCAGAGACGTGAGCGCCTCTGAGCTTCCGCATTCGTCCAAACCATCCAAGATGATGGTGAACTTGCGTTCCTTGCTTGTAGAAAATAAGCCCCTGAGACCATTCATCGGTTCGAGAACCAAAGTCCGCATTTGGCTCTCCAGAGGAAGGCTTAGAATCAGCTCAGAATTCGGCTGCCGAAGGCGATTGACAAGCGAGACCTGGAAGTCCGCATCGAAGACCGCAAGTTGACGTGCTAGGGTAGAAGGGAACTTCTCTAAAGAATCGAGGCCTGTTCCCTGTTGGTTTTTATCCCAAAAGAAAGAGGCAGCAAGGGTGCCTTCCTTTTCGAGCGTAGATGCGATGCTCATAGATATCGCTGTTTTCCCCGTGCCAGGGGACCCACGGAGCCAAACGAATCGATTCTCGGCTAGTTTTAGATGATTGAGAAGGGAATTCTGTATCTTGACCCGTGTGCTTGGAAGGCATTTTGACTTGCTCTTCACATAAGTGTGCTCGGCTGCGACTCGTGGAAGTCGCTCAAGTTTCGCTGAAAGATGTAGCGTCAATCAAACAGACCCGTGAAACGAGTGAGGTGAACATACATTGCGACGATGCCTCGATTATACGAGGGAGCATTGAAATAGTTGCCTGAGTCTATGGTGCACACACACCGGTCAGTCAAATCGAGCACTTGGGGGCGTAGCGGAAACGAACCGAAACCGAGTTGAGGGCATTATTTATGCACGTCCTCACGCCGCTTATCCTCTTCGTAATAAGATCGCTCTCTTTGCAAGACGTTGACTTTTGAGCAATTCAATCTCATTGATCTGCTCTTCTAGGGCCCTGCCAACAGGAATCTCGAGTCAGACGAGCAGCGTTGAAGGTAGATGGACGTACGAGTGAAATTCTCCAATCAATCGAACTACTTCAGGGGGGATTTGTTCGGACAACAGCTCAAGTGGCTGCAAAACGGCAGCGTAAGCCTTTCGGATGTCATTGCCCAGTTCCTTAAGATCATCGTCGTTCCCGCCAACGGTCTACACAGATCATGCACAAACAAACGAATGAACATGGGAAGAGTAAACGGCGTATCCTCATCTATCACAGAAATGAAATGATAAACTGACATCGTAAACCTGGAGCCACTTGAGAAGCAAATTCGGGATTGCGTCGGGATTCGGAATCGGGACGAATTTAAGAGCGTCGGCTGCATTTTCCAGAACGAGTCTTATAGCATTTATGACGACTTTCTTTCGATCGCTCTTTGAGGTAGCCGATGGCGTGAGTTCCGATAAGGAAGGCACGTTGATACCCTCGCGTTCCAATTGTGCGCGAATTTTCGAGCCACTGTCGGGCGTGGCATGCATCCCAGATGATCCACTCGGATCATCAACATTTCCGGTAGGAGTGAGGGGAGATGGAGGCGGCGCTGCATTATTAGCATATGGCTGTGGGGTGGGCGTGGTTGGTCTTGACTGCTTGGGAGTGCCAGGCTTGCTGCGATTACGACCAAATATTCCGCTGATCTCACTCGATATGCGACCCATGAATGATGTTGACTTCATTGGATCATTGCGATCACCAGAAAGTAGAGTCTGAGCAGCCACTGCAGGGCTAGGAAAAGATCCTGCCGGCACTCCGGGCTGATCGCGGTGGGTCTTGTCGTGATCTGGGGATATCTGGGGACCGGTTATATGGAGCTGCGGAACATGGGACTCCGAAGGGGCCTGTGGGTGAGATGGCTGCGAAGATAAGCCGGGAGCAGGACGGGTTCCCCTGTTGTGTCGAGAGAACATTTTGAACATGATTTTTGTAGAGATTGCGCTGGTGTGATAACGGGAAAGGCTGGAAGGGTGAGTAGAGGCCAGTCCAATCGCTGCATGCACATGATGAATATGAAAACGCTCCTAGAAGGGATGGGCGCCGAGGTTCAATAAAGCAAGTACTTTGTTTGGGAATTGCAAATGCTGTAGCGTGTGAAACTTGTTCGCTTTGCGCTCTCCAAACATCCCCACAGTGGCAATGTTTGCAAGACAGCGTTCCTGAGCGAAGCTCTGCATAATCATCTTGATTTATAGTTGCGTCTCAAGGTATTGTCGCGTCTCCAATATTTCTCTTGAACGCTTGGGGAGTGTTCCTGAGTATAGTCATTTCATAACGTGTTTATCTCGCAGACGGTTACAGTTATGAAGTTCCGGTGCGATATACAGAAAATCTACCGCTATCCATGGAAGTAGTGGTGGCTTTGGTTCTTTCTCTCTGATCAAACATCGGCGTTGTTCGCGTTCCGGATGTTCACAAACGATACCAAAGACCCCACTGGTGCCGAGCGAGACCCCCCTCCGGGCGCCGACTTGGCCAGGGAAAAGGCAGTATTAGTAGCTAGTTAGTGGCGAGTGCTCCGAAACGGGGCGATTTTTTTTTTCAGATTTCGCTCTCATGTCAGCATGACTGTACATCACATCTTTTTACGCGCTAAAACCAGGAGCTCGCGAAATATTGCATATAACACCAACGATGACAACGTTACAGCATTTCTAACATCGCTATGTACAACCACAATCCCGTATCCCAATTCTCGATTCAATACTCTGTGAATTGGAAGACGTTACCTAGCAGTAAGGAGAGAAACGATGGATGTGCATTTGAGGTACTAAACGACTTTACTGATATCGATGACCACCGGAGCTCTCAGTTCACCCTGGAGCAGAAATCGAGTCCCATCCTTGCTGGCCCGAGGAAGGTAAAATCGAAAAGATGTCTCCCAATCCCGAAACACATGATCACCATACCAGGGTTCGTTCTCGCTGGGGGGATATGTGTCTTTAAAGACTGGGCTGTTCTTGGGGTGGATAATGAGTTCGACTTCTCCATTAAAGAAGACCTTTGTGCCCGAGGTACCATAGCCGCCACTGAGAAGTAACGGGACCTCCCCTATCGCTGAGGAATAGGGTTTAGCGCTGTCCTTAGATGTGGGGATTCTCTTCAAGCCTGGTGAGAGGTCATAAAAGGGGCACTTCAGCCAGGCTTCATCCACGTTATGTCTGGGATCCGGCTCAAAACTGTGTACATGAGTTGTAACCTCCGGAATCAAATGATCGACGTTGTCACCAAGTATAGACGCGGGAACGAGGTATGAGAGAGGAGGTACATGACCGGTGTTAAAAATCCAGGATTTGAAATTTTGCACACGATATTGAGCAATCACCTCGCATGTATCCGTTGACCAGATGAAAGCGCAGTCCATGTCGTAAGCGCCTACATATCGGCCTCCAGGAGAGAATCCAGCTGTGTGACGTGGAGGAGTGGATAAGCGATAACGGGGTTGAGGAGACGGGGATCGGAAGGAGCAGAAGGAGATGCGAGAATCCGAATGGATGGCTCTCCTGAAAAACATAAAAGCGCCACCTTCCCGTACCAATTCCCATCTTGATTCCGAGGGACTCGCACGATAAAGGATCCATCGCTTGACAATGCAGTTATCGCAGGGTAACGACTTGTGGGAAGAGCCCCAAGTGGCACCAAACGCATGCCATGACTCAGAACGGAGACGTTTCCATCAGTGTCCTCGGTGGCAATCTGAACATTGCCACCACGGATAAACTCTATCCAAACTGGGGGCTTGGGAGGACTGCATTGGAAGCGAGAGATTGTACGCTGATGGTCGATGTCTGCGACTTCGACAATCCCGTTTCCGAAACCAAGAGCAACATGAGACCCATCTTGAGATATTGCCGCACAGGTCACAACCCCGTTGCGAACATCCGCTTCAGCAAACTCGGCTTCGTAATTAGTTACCTTCTGTCCCAGTTCATTGAACTTCTTTGGCAGCCAAGTCAGCTTTGCTTCCATGGCCTCTTTAGCCTTACGTGCATCCTTGCTCAATGGAATAAAGCAGCCAGAGAGCTCGCCAGATACGCTGAAGATTCGGACAGGATCGGAGAGTTTCCCATACAGCTGATGGAGACGTGATGACGATGGCGTGAATGGAAGGCCCGATCGATAAAGATGCCAAGGATCAAGACTGGAACCAAGCCACTCAATAGATCCGTAAGCTTCCTTCAGCAGCTTGATTGATTTGTGATTCTATGTATAAAGCATCATATCATTCAAATACACAAAATATAATTGGAGGTTGAACTCACGGCGAATTCACCCAAACGACGCCATTTTTCTATGACCCCCCAATACTGTTCTGACCACCCCCCAGAAGCTGCCATGAACGAGAATAAATTTCGCGTCAGGAGTTTCTCAAACTCTTGTTGCAATTCATTCGACTCTTCTGAAAAGAGTGACGAGGGATCCAAGTGGGAAAACAACCAGTTGAATAAATACTTGATGTGGTCAGGTTGCCCTTCCATCGAAAAATTATCCCACTCCTTATTACCTCCCAAAGGGAGTTTGGTGGGCATCCTAATCTCGTTCCATTGAATGACATCATTCACATATCGAAGGAGTCGTAATCCAGGAAAATATCCTTTTGGATCATTGATAAAGAAGACAAGGTCCTCTTTACCGCCAATGGGCACTCTGGTGGTGATGAATTCCTTCGCTGTTGCATGATAGAATTTGACCCCTGTGTTGTCGGAGGGAATATCAATTATCGAGTTGATAGGTTCCAGTATCCCGGAAATTTTCCTCTCGGCAATTCCTAAGAGATACGACAGGCTGTGAACACTGAGCGGTTTGTGCGCAGCAACGACCATCCCGACTACTTCGCGATAATTCTTCTGTATGTGTGGATCGGGATCGGACCCGAAGGCTCGTCGCAGAATTCGCAAGTACTCCATGTTGAGGTTCGTAGGTGTATATGGGAGTTTGAGAAAGTATTCAAACTCCGATTTAAGGTCGGACCCTCTTGTAATCCGAAACTTAACCTCGCGTATTCGGATCGAGGCCATACCAGGCAAACCACGGCAAGCTGAAGTGAACGCATCGAGATCGCCCGATGATGGTTCCCACTGCTTCATGCAGTCCTTGAGCCCATCCTCTACCATCAGCCGGATTGTGTCAAAAGTCTCGTCTGGTGGAGCCTTATCCATGTCTACACATGGGATGACAAAACCTCGATCTTCCCAAGCAGAATCAACTTGACGATCAGGACGACAACTAACCAGTATGACAAAGGCGGAAGGTAGCCCATCAAGCAGAAGTACGAGGTTCATCAAAGATTTGAGTGCATCTGGATCCCCACATTCATCCAAACCGTCCAAGATGATGCCAAAGCGTTGCGTGCTTGCAGAAAATATGCCCCTGAGACGGTTCATCGGTTCGATAACCAAAGTCTTCATTTGCTCTTCTGGAAGGAGGTTCAGAATCAACTCAGAATCCGGCCGCCGGAGGCGTTTGACGAGCGAGGCCTTGAAGTCCCCATTGAAGATTGCAAGCTGACGCGCCAGGGTAGAAGGAAACCACTCCAGAGAATCGAGGCCCACTCCCGTTCGGCTTTTATCCCAAAAGAAAGACGCCGCCAGAGTACCTTCCTTCTCAAGCGTGGATGCGATGCTCCTAGATATCGCCGTCTTCCCGATTTCAGGAGACCCACGGAGCCAGACAAATCGGTTCTTGGCTTCTTTTAGATGGTTGAGAAGGGATTTCTGTATCTTGACGCGCGTGCTTGGACGGCATGCTGACTTGCTCTTCACGTAGGTGTGCTCGGCCGCGGCTCGCGGTAGCCGCTCAAGTGTCACTGAATGGTGGGTCGATGAAAGAGCCCCATGAAACAAGTGAGTTAAACATACATTGCGACGATGCCTCGATTTCGCGAAGGAGCGTTAAAATAGTTGCCTGAGTCTATGGCACACACCAGTCAAATCGAGCACTTAAAAGTACAGCGGAAACGAACCGAAACGGAGTTAAGGGCATTATTTATGCACGTCCTCACGCCGCTTATCCTCTTCGTAATATCAGCCGCTAGGATGGTTCTCTTTGCAAGATGTTGACTTTTGAGTAACTCGATCTCATTTATCTGCTCTTCTAGGTCCCTTCCAACGGGATCTTGAGTCAGGCAAGCAACGATGAGGGCAGATGGACGTACGAGTGAAATCCTCCAATCAATCGAACTACTTCAGGGGGGATTTGTTCAGACAGCTCGAGTGGCTGCAAAACGGTGGCATAAGCCTTTCGGATGTCATTGCCCAATTCCTTAAGACCATCGTCGTTTCCGCCAACGGTCTTCACAGATCATGCACGAACACATGAACATGGAAGAGTAAACGGCGTATCCTCATCTATCGCGGAAATGAAATGATAAACTGACATCATAAACTTTGAGCCACTTGAGAAGCAAATTCGGGATTGCATCGGGATTTGGGATCGGGACGAATTTAAGAGCGTCGGCTGCATTTTCCAGAACAAATATTACAGCGCCCATGATGACTTTCTTTCGATCGCTCTTTGAGTTGGCCGATGGCGTGCGTTCCGATAAAGAAGGTACGTTGATACCCTCACGTTCCAATTGTGCACGAATTTTCAAGCCATTGTCGGGCGTGGCACGCATCCCATCTGATTCACCGGATCATCAATATTTCCGGTAGGAGTGAGGGGAGAAGGAGGTAGCGCTGCATTATTAGCAGATGGTTGGGGAGTGGGCGTGGTTGGTCTTGGTTGGTTGGGAGTGCTAGGCTTGCGACTAAATATTCTGCTGATCTCACTCGATATGCGACCTATGAATGATGCTGATTTCATTGGATCATTGCGATCACCAGAAGTAGAGTCTGAGCAGCCGCTGCAGGGCCAGGATAAGGTCCTGCCGGCACTTCGAGCTGATCGCGGTTGGTCTTGTCGTGATCAGGGGATATGTGGGGACCCGTAATATGGAGCTGCGGAACATGGGACTCTCCCGAAGGAGCCTGGGATTGCGAAGATGAGCCAGGAGCAGGTCGGTTTCCTTTGTTGCGTCCAGAGCACATGGTGAACGTATTTGTTTTTCTAGTATAATAACGGGAGAAGCGTGGAAGGACGAATAGGAGATAGGGCGCAATCACCGCCTGCACATGATGCACATGAAAATGCCTTCATAAGAGGAAACTGGATGCCGAGGGTTTGTTCAATTGGCTGGACCCAACAAAGGAAGTGCTGTGAAACTTACTTTGTTTGGGAATTGCAATGCAGCGACGCCCCAAAGGTCGCTCGGTGTGTTGACATACTCTCTCCCATCCTACAGGCCTCCATTCCGGAGACGCGCGTGACGTGCGTAGCTTGTGCTCTTTAAACACCTTCAGAGATGGAGTATGATGAGAGCAGTACCGACAAAAGCGCGGCTGAGCGGACTGCGAGCTGCCAAAAAATGGCTACTCGACGATGCAGGTGCAGGGAATATCTAGGGTCAGGTGGGAGACTACATGGATCCGCTCCCGTCGCCCCGTAAGTCAATGTGATTGACCGCTGGTGGCAGCGTGTGGCGAGTGGAAGTGGATGGATATATATTGTTACCTTTATTTTCTACAGAGTGCCTGCACCCTGATATCCAGTCCCAGGACATTTCCCTCGGATTGCACAACCACTGAGCATACAACAGATTCATCCATGGCCGAGCTGCTGAGGTGAACTTGAAGGTATTCCCGATCCAAAACATCCTCGTCCTTACATGTCAAATCGAGTTATCGGTAATCGAAGGCGCCGGGACCTATGAATCGCAGCAATATACCAAATATCAGACATCGTTAGCTGTCGCGGCAGTGCTTGTAATTATTGAAACATCTCCAGCGGTAAGATGTAGGTTGACGTCATCCAACAGAGTCGAGGCTCTCGGTGAGAAGCAAAAAGTATCCAGACCCGGGCCGAACGATGCAACTGCAAAAGCGACGATTGCAAGACATCAGGAATGTATGGTTGCCGAGCGAAGTGTGCGAAGATTTGCATAATCATCTTGACTCATACTTGTGTTGATAAAATTAACGTTGTGGTCTGGCGGACAAAACAGGGGAGAACGATGAACGGAAACCAATATCAGCAGTGGGATGCAACGTGCTACGACGTTCTGATATAGAAGCTGAGATAGGATCCAAAGACACTTCAAAAAAGGCATAACGTGGTTTTTTGACACTTTGCACACCCTTCCAATCGCAAAGCCCAATATGATTGATGTTAATATTTTAGTCCTTCATGGTCCCAAACATCGCAAGGCGTGACCGTAGCAGTGGAATATGAAGAGTCGTCGAGATCGTGTCCTGGACCGGGAGCCTCTGTCGGAACTCGGCGATCCCCATCAGATTCTCGATCCAATCTAGTCCACAACATTTCGGATGAAATGAATTCCTCCCCGTATAAAGCTAGTAGTATCTATGGTATTTCTCGCAGGTAATGCGGTTACTAGTATCAAGCGAGCAGCCAGTGTGTCAGCCCCTGTTAGATATATATACGTGGCATCCTAGAATATGGTACCATACGTACACAAGACGAACGATCCCTCATTTTTTGGATGATATATATCTTCGACATGTACATATTCCCGATAAGAATTATCTCGCAACCAAATTTGCCAATTCTCAAACCTTCCTCATTTTCCTATCAATAAGTCCTGACTTTTCTTCATATCAAGTTCTCTAGTTCCCTCGTCACAGTTTATGTCAGGTGGTGCTCGGCCTGCGGGGCAGACAAACAGGTAACCCGCATCACAGTTGCACTTCGCATGATCGGGCATGGCATGATCGGGCAGCAGGGGCATGTGTCATCAGGATCTGGGCCTATCATGCACGACAAATCCCGCCTATTCGCATGTTGACTTAGGCTGATGGCAATGTTCAGCTCAGACACAGGAAGACAGTGGAACTGGTGAGATGGGATTGAGTGAATTAACGCCGGCCGCTTGAAGGGTCGTGTGAGTCAACGAGGAGGAACAGCCATATGAACCAACAGAAGACAAGCCAGGTGGGAACCGTGAGCGAGCAAGAGGGAATACTGGTATGAGCTTGGTGTGATGAGGGAAAGAGTAAAAAAAAAGTTAAAAACGAATTGTTAAGGCATGCAGTAATATGGGGTGCCGCAACTTAGACGTGGCATGTCTAACAAGGTTGGTTTTCCACCCATCGAGGGAGTTAGCGGGCAGCGCAGGCGGTCTAAAAGAAAATGGGAAGGGTCGATGAGCCGAACCTGATATGATGATGAGAGCGCAGTGCATGATCCCATAGCCGCAGTTCGGATCTCGGGTAAAATCTCCACTGTCTCCACCCACTCCACCCGCGAGAGCAGTAGAATACAACAGGGTCCGTGAGAAAAAAGTGGTTCATAGGCTCAAGTCCACCGGCATGGCGTCGTAGGCAGGTTACCAGCCTCTATTAGTATAGAGTAAAGCAGAACATGTTGTCAACGGCGTCCCAGATACGGCAACCCGTCTCCCAGCAGTTCACTCGCAGCTCGTAGCACATATGTAAGATAGGAGCGAGAAATATAACTGGTGATTTTGGGTCAACGCCCGCACATATTTATGCAACAACGGAATAAATCAAATAAGCTATTAAAGCCTCCACATGTGCGCCAATAAGATGATGGTCACCCAAAAGATGGATGCTTGGGTTACGTCAATTCAGTTGGTGAGTCGTTGCGGCCAACGCACAGAGCCTGGTAATCTGCCCACACAAGAGCCAGGTCTGCTCGAACCTAAGTTGTAAATGCTCAGGGAGATTATTTAGCCGACGGAATTTCCATGATCGACCGGTTCCATGGTTCCATGGTTCTGACCGCTTGTTATATATGCAACAGTTTATGCCTCTCCCCTGTACCTTTTCTCTCTCCCGCGTCAGTGCCAGTGACTTGCCTGCTCTGCCATGGTTCGCATTATAAAGGGCCATCAGGAGGACATATTTGGCGGCACTTTCGTTGGGAATATTTGCTCCGCGTTGTAAGGCACTGTTTTCCGATGCTTTCAGCGCGTCCCTTAATTACACGACGAATCAGTCTTTTCGGGATCCTCACGATACAGGTTGTCCTTTATTACCTCCGTTTCCCTCAGGATAGTAAATGGACGCGGAGAGCAGTATGTCCTCATAGTTGTTGTCGACTCGAGTTTGATGAGGCTCAAGCAACAATAGGTTGGATTTCTCTGGTTCGTTCCCTCCTCGTAGTACGTTTTAAGCGACAAGAAGACCGATTCTGATAACTTCCGGCTCGCGTTGAAGGGCTTTTATCCTGCTTCAAACGTAAGTGACCCAGCGTCTATAGAGCATATCCCCTTGATGCACCTGTAATTTTTGCTTTCAAGGATCTTGGTAACTAAGGCGGTTTGGTGGTACCACATCCAAAACCACTCCAACCCCCATGCACTGGCAAAGACGAGTTGGTACGTTTCATGGTTGAGCGAAGGTAGTCCCCCTTACTCAACGCTCTTCCCAGGGAACTTTCCTCATATCAACTTTGTACGACTGTAGCATCCCTTATCGTCCAATCTTTCTTTGTGTCTCGTATTTGGGGTTGTGAGTCCCTCCCTCCGGGAATCAATGAGTTTCACTGGTCATAATCTCGTCGATAGTGTGTTCGAATATTTATGTCGTTTTGTTCCTGGTACGTTGATCCGGCATCCTCTCAAATCAGTCGCAGCTCATCCATTGCATAATTGAAGCAAGCCCTTGTTGTCATACAGTTCAGTAAGTTTCTAAGCCTACAATGTCCTACACCTTCAAGCTGAGGTCCGATTTACGGTAGCTTTAGGCCTAAGTGAGTTTGGAGTCCGTGTCCCCGTTTTCAGAATCCTCATTAATTAAACGATTCATTCTCAGCACTTCAAACTGTGGCGTACGTGCCATTGTGACTACAGATTCTGATGCTGTTCACCATTTCTGATTTGGCAATGAATGACAGGGACATAACATTGTCCTACATCCAAATCATCCACAAGTGGAATTGGGCGGTTACAGCTTGGCTAGCGATGCAGGTGTGTAATTCTCATCTTCTTTCAATGCGTCGATTTAACTGTCCCGTGTGGGAACGGCCAGGCAGCGTGTGACGCCATGATAGCAGTGTTGATGACATCCCTGCTCTGGTACAAGAAGACTGGTTTCAAAAGGTGAGTGAATGACTGAAGTATCGCGGTCAGGAGACTAGATCGACCTTCGTCACAGAACGGACAGTGCCATCAACACGATGGTGTTCTGGACTATTGCCACCGGTGGCGGGACCTGTCTTCTATCTATTATTGGGATATGTGTCGTAAGTGCAGGTCACTATGATCCTCCCTGTAGAAGGCATGGGACTACTAAGAAGGTAATTCTAGTTCGCCAGCCAGGCTTCTCGTTTGCCCTTCTCGTGATCGCAATCGTAAGTCCATTCTCAGGCCACTCTTCACGGGTACCGGAGATTTTTTTTTTTGCCGAATATCTCTTCAGTCCTTCAGTTCTGTGTATGCCATATCAATGCTCGCAAAGTAAATGGACGCGCATTCTCGTTTTTGACCCCACTCTCACTGATGGAATTTACCTTGTGCTCTGGCACTAGCCTACACATGCGGTCAAGAATACGGGAACAGTTATCCGCACCTATGCGCTATGAGGACAGACCCAGTATTCCTCTTGATGCATTAACATCTGCTCAAAGGAGGGCCGTGGCTTCCCATGAGCGGCGAGAGCACATGCCACCACGCCAACCTGTGGTTTACCGCGGTTGGCTGTGGCGGAAGAACTGACCAGTATTATGATCCAGGTGGACTTGGCTGAGGGCAGTTTCGTGGTGAGTATTCATCGCTCAAAGTACGAAGACAGTCCCAGCAATGTAAGTCCTTTTTTCCAAGTTCGCCATTCTCAGATCGGACTTATTGTGTCATTTCTTGTATTAGTTATCCTGAAAGGTGCCCTGACCTTGGCGCTGCCACGAACAGCCTGAGGTTCGAGAATAAACATTGAACAAGCATTTCATATGACGGATGTGGTGGGCGTGTGACATCCATTGGCTCAGTCGTAATCAGACCCACTCGTCGAATACCGGTGCCCCGAAGTTGCACGATCCCATTGAATTTGGCTCCACCGAGTAACGGCTTGCCCATGCACACATTCCACATATCCTAAGTTGTCACAAAAGGGCATCAGGGGGACTCTCTGAAGCTAGCTCTCCCGGCCCTCGTGATGAGCTTTTCCCTGCCTCGAATTCCGTGCTATTTTCTTCTCCAGCCTTGACATATCCTTGCACTTAGATTTGGCAGTTGGGATATTGGCTCCTATCCTGTGCATTATCATTTAGGAGTTTTTGGAGTTGTTAAACCTACTGTTCATTCGACCGGCCGGTCATCTGCCCAGTAGTTTTCACGGTTGGAGAATTATTGACGAGAAGCATTGCGCAACTTTCATCAAGATCTCTGTCTCCCTTCGCCGAGAAAACCCTCAGTGAACACCGCAACCGCTGAACGTTCAGATGCCATATGAACGCCTCCCCCAAGTGCGGCAGCATGGTTATGTCACAAGTTGAAGAACGCATGAGGTGAAGTGGTTGAATGCTAGTCACGGTACCCAGCACGAGAGATGCGATATTCTAAAATTGAGTTGATCGTTGAGAACGCGAACCCATAGTTCCATGGCACCAAATTCTTTGAATTCCCAGTCTGGTTGACCCTAACGCTGCCACTGAGTCCTGGGCCGCGAGGCGGACGCGGACGCGGTAGAGTGAACCACTCGGCCAGGCAACACCATGACCCCTGGGACGAAGGATCGTTCAGCGGGACGAGCCAGACGGAATACCCTTTCAATAAGTTACTCTCCGCGAAGCTGCTGTTGTTGTTTGGAATGTAAGTAGGCTCCATGCTTGGTTCTTGGTTCGTGTTATTGAAAGGGTATTCCGTCTGGCGAACGATCCTTCGTCCCAGGCGTCATGGTTGGGTTGGGTTAAGGTCGCAGAGTGAATAGAATCGGACTTTGCCATACCTTGGGAAGATTTGTCCGCCATCGTTGACGAGCTGGCCAATGTCTTCATACATAACTCCTGACCGGTCACCAGCACCGTACATCGATCCAGCGCCGGAAACGACCCAGCCGCCTGTTCCTGAAGTCGGTGCCACTTCTGCCCCATTGAAATCAGCGGCTTTCTTCATCGGCGCACACTGCAAGGATTACAATGGTGCGAATATTCATTATGGGGTCGTGGCCATTTCTGATATTGGGATATGGACATTCGGCATTGATTATTTTTGGTTCTTTCTGGGTTCCTCCAGATGACTTCATGCTATGTAAAGCAGAAAATCGTGATCCTGCACATTGCTTGAAGGAGGGGAGGAGGGTAACGCGTTGTGCTATCGACTTGTGGGTTTTCTTTTCGGCTGGTAACTTCCTAGTGACTCCAGAACTCATATTGCGACCTACAGACTTGAAAAGCTCCAACAAAACTGCGCGAACGAGTGGAAAGCGCACTGGGAATGTTTAGACAATCGCAACTATGTTTGTATCATATCTTACTAATATGATTCATAAAATTCCAGTGCGCTCACTGTCGCGTACACAGGAATACTATCGGTGTCGGCCACAAGAGCGCACGCTGAACAGTTGCGTGTTCAACAAACTAGTTGAGTTGTCCATTTGCTATTGTCTTTCCTTGTTTTCCGACCCGTAGACCGCCGCATTTCCACCTTTCGTCTTCTTGCTACAGGGCTTGAAGAAGGCGATTCCTGGAACACCTGAAGGTCAGACTCCGATACATGAAGTCAGGAATCCCATCTTCAAGAATGTACAAAAATAGTTGCTTTAATTTTATTTAGACGACTTTTCTCGTGCTACAGGACCACCCTGCTTCCTACCCTTTAATGATCCGCTTGATAACAGCTATCTGTGACTGGATCATTGCTAACAGTTTAAAAGTACATAACAGGTAATGATACAGGATTCATAACGGCAGGCATTTCAGAAGCATGAAGCATGGTAGTCGTACAACCACATCCTGTGGTAAAAGCAGATGAAGGGATGAAACTGGACTCGAAGTCCTCAGGCAGAAATTGCGTGGCATTAATAATACAAGAATGTTCGTTACCTCTGTTTCTTCCTGGACTTCGACTCTCCACCGGATGACCATGTGATCCATCGCACCAGTCGCGCGAGCTTCCCTGGCTTCTTCTCTTTCAGCGATGCGGTAGCCTCTGCAAAGTTGGCCGCTTGGGGAGAAGCAGCGCTCAGCTTCCCAGAATTCAACAATGCTCTGGCCTCGTAACTTAAAGTAGGACTGCATTGAAGAATCAGATATGGTGGCAGAGCAGGGACATTAGCACTTACTCTATTTTGACCACATATACTTTATCGCGCACTTCCGACTCCAATCTCCGTACCCTGTCCTGGTAGGCAGTTTGAAGAGATTGGGGCACAGGGATCTTCCGTCTCCACATCCCGACAGAGTTCCCCGACTTTGACACGAGGAACATGAAGACAAGGCAAGTTTTTGCGGGATTACTGAGATATATATGAGCACGCTAGAGCAAAGCTGTGATCCCATGGACCTACTTTGCTGCAACCGATTGCTGCAGCGTTCGGTCTCTTGTTCGCTGGAGATCGGGGAACTTGAGCCAATCGAACGCAGGTTCGGTCGGGGCCTCCTCTGAGGTGTAGTCGACATTGACGAATAGAGCACCCTTCTCCCTAGTATTAAGGTATTTATGGAACTACACGGAAGGAAATAAAAACGTCTCCGATGAATAAGTAAGCTCTTAGGCTACGTACACCGAGTTTCGCCAAAGCGGAGCTTGACTGCTCTATGAAGTTGTGCATTGAAACGACACGGGGATCGTGTTGGTACTGAAGACGCCCCTGGTAAGCCAGAAACAGAATTAGGAATACAGCACTTGCGCACCGGAAGGATCCACATGAACCTGTCTTGAGCAAGGCGGTGCGATCCGTACATTGCATGATGCGCGTCACTTAGGCCTTTCCCGCCTGACTCTTGTATGCGATCGTCATGATCTAAAGGAACGGTACTGCCAAAACCTCTAGAGTATGATTTGATTGTCGAGCTACGAGCAGGAGTGGGATCATTCCATGCCGACCCGCCGGCATATCCCTTGAGACCAGGTTCTCCCCAGCTCTGGCCAAGGTGGTGATCAACCTCACGCTCATCGTTTATCTCGCTCCACCGGTCCTCAGGTTCACGCTCTCGTTCTTGATCGACGCTCATCGATACTCCCCAGGAACGAACAGGAGGTTCAGCTTCCTGTGAGGTATGCTTCCCTTTCTTCTTTCCTTTGCCTTTACTACGTTTAGAGTCCTCCGGAAATGAATCTAGCTGAGGTTGGCCAGAGTCTTCCCAGGCTGTGGCACCAGTACCACCTCGAGTGGGATCGTTCCAAGTCGACTTGCTGGGTTGTGGGGCACTCCAAGATGTGGCTGCTGCCGCACTCCAGTCGTTAGTGCTTGGGTTATCATTCCAATTGCTCGCATCGTTGCCTCCGTCATCTCCTGCACCTCCCCACGTGTCACCAGCGTTGCCATTCCACCCGAAATCCTGCTCTTCGGTCCTCATTTCTTCCTGCTCCATCTTTCCTTTTCGTTTCTTTGGGGCATTTTGCTTCCCCTTCAAGAAACCCATGCGGGATTTTGGGACTGGTTCTGGTGCGGTTTCTTCATTAATTCCAGGCCATCCCCCGACATTGATGACAGGCGGTTTTCCATCATACTTGGGGGAATGAATCGTTGTGTCGCCCCATGTGATGCCATATCCGCCTCGTTTATTTGCAGGCATCTCAGGTGCGGACTCCGTCATGCCTGGCCATGCAGCCAACGGACAGTTGGGGGCGGCGGTTCATCAGCGGGTCGTTGGTTACCGAGAGGAGAAAGGGTCGAGAATGCTACATTAGGGAGGTTCGCGATACCAGAAGGATAAACACCGGGTAAGTTGCCCTGAAGGTCATACTTGCTCAGTTTGCTCGACGATCCAGGGGCAGCAGCAAATCCATTGAGATTCCTCGCATTGGCAGGGCCGGAGCCCTGGATTATAGGGGATTTGGGGCTGAAGGGGGGATCCTACAAGATGAGAGCCAAAACCATTCACACCAAAGGCACTACCGAAGCTGGGATAATTATCCGGAGCCGAAGGGTTGAATGGAACGGACACAGGAGCGGCAGGTTCTGCTTGAGATTTAGATGCTCTGGGTCCAGGTCTGGAAGAGTGATGAGCGGCAGTAGCTGGAGGAAGGGCAGGAGGAGGCGAGGATGGCCTTGCGGCTCCGTTGTCGCTTTCCAGATTCCAATTTCCCAAGGCTGAAAACCCACCCCAACCACTCGCCTCCCCTTCAGCCAGTCTGTTATCGTAATCATCGACTTCATCTCCCCATCCTTGGAAATATGCTTAGAAATCTGAATGCCGGAAGTCGCGCGCCTGCGGGGAAAATGACTTGCGAACTCACTTATAGGTCGTTCTTCTTCCACAGCCTTCTCTTTAGCCTTACTTTTGTTTCCACCCCTAGGAGGCGGCCTCTTTGGCGGCATAGCTCAAGAGAGTTATGAGCGCCAAAAGGAGCTATCGGATAGGAAATCCAGCCATGAAGTATCGATTTGGGCGTTTATTCAAATGTCCAACTCGAAGTCAACATTTCACAACAAACGACGTCTTTCAGGCTTCTTCGATGATGTCGGTCATAATATTATCGCGCCTGGTGTTGAAGCAAGGGCCATCCGTATCGTTAAGGCCGTCGCTTTGGAATCACAATACTCTTCGTCATGTAACTATGTGTTCCCGGTCACTGTTACGCCAGACACCATCTATCCGGTCAACGCGGGCAATATCGATGTCCCCTGCAGTTCGGTCTTCATTGTCGGAATCAAACATCTTTGCTCCCGATGACGTCCGTGCGGCTGTAGCAGTCAAAACTATCACAAATAAAGGAATAGAACTGGTGGATGGTTCGTTTGTGGTTACGCTTGCAAATACTTGAGTGCATGAGGCATTTAACTCATGTTTGGGTGTCGCGGTTTTTTTTACCCTAGGACTGGTTTTACCGTCCGCGTGCATATTCATTGGAGGTCGTGTATTTCTCTGGAATGTCCCTCCGATCACTACCAGTTGGGATGCGTGGAACCTTGACCATTTCAAAATTTTCGAAGTGGTTATACCGCGACCAGGTACATACATACCGATTTCTCCTACATACTTGTTCTGCAAGAACAACTAACCCCCCCCCCCTCCTTTTGTAGAAATCCTTATTTTGGGGACTGGGGAGAAATCCCTGATCCCCCCTCCGGAGATAAAGAAGTATTTATCGAGCATCGGCGTCCAACTGGACGTTATGAACACTGTACGCCTCTCCCTTTACTCTCTCATCCTGTCCCGCGTTTGAATCAAGAACAATTGCATCTAGTGGAATGCATGCTCAACGTATAACCTTCTAGTTGAAGAGGGTAGAAGGGTTGCTGCGGCACTCCTTCCACTATCACATAGACAATGGGACAATGCCCCTTCGCCTTCGCCTTTAACTCTTCAACAATGATCAACTCGCCAATTTAGAAAAAAAAAAAAGTATTCCAGCGCCCAGTGTCCAATTAATTTGCTACATGTCATCTAATAGCCACTCTAATATGTCCCGTCTCACCTCCGCTGGATCCAGAAGTGTACCATTAGAATCCACACCCTCCAGTACGCCATATTTTTTTCCAACCAAATCCTCTCCCAACGTTTTGCACGTTCTTGTTATGATTTCTGCATCCAACGATTTCAGAGAGTGCTGTGGTGGTGGCGGGAGGTAGGATATGTCGCAAGCGAGGATGAGGCCTCGTTTGCTATGGAAGCTTGCATTCTGCCACCATTTTAGATTCCGGTTGTTTCAACAACAACCTCGTAGTCAGGAAAAACTTAATATCTTTCACTTACAACCTTTCCCCACGAGAACGTGTTCGCGATGACATGGGTAAACTCTGGTGACTGCCCATACGCCCATTCCCAGCTCTAAAGAAAAAAAAATGGTCATTTTTTGCGCCAGAAACAATCCAGGTGTTTTTTTTTAATCCACATACCTGCAGCTCTTTACGTACTTCCTGTATTCGAGGTATATGAGCATGAGAAGTCTCGTACACATCTTGAATGGGTAGCTACGAGAGAGAGTGTGTGTTATAAATTATGGAGAAAACCCCCGGAAAGGCGAACCAAAAAAAGAAACGCACACGTATTATTCCATCAGGTGCATAATACATTTCTGAAAACTGCTGGGAAACAGCAGTGACGAAAGATTCATGCGAGATGGGCGTATGTCGTAAGGTCGTAAACTGACACAGATTCTTTACTGGGGATCGTACGGAATCTACTCCTTTTGTTCGCATCGTTATCTTTTTTGTTTTTGGGTAACAGCATTCCGTTCATGAAAAAAGATTTTCAGGGGGAGGCGGGGTGGGCGGGGAAAATAAGAAGCACTGCGGTACCTTGGTATTACGCAACACATCCCCAAGATCATTTAATTTTGCATTGATAAGCATCGTTCCATGATGATAAGCCCTCTGGTTTATGATCTTGTACGCAGATCCTGAAACGTGATGGAGTCCCCCCGCCACCATCATCAAATCGTCAGGATACACACACAAGGGGGTAAAGTAAAGATGCAGAAGAAGAGGAGGAAGAGGAAGAGTCACTCATCTTGTATCCTTCAACAACGACATCGTTCCTCTCGTTTACGGTGGCAGGAGGACCCAGACTTCGAATAGCTTTTGCAACAAGTTCAGCGTTCGTTCTTCGATCGAACTGGACGCGGGAAGAGCGATAGAATAATTGGTATTTCCTAGGTCCTGGATATGCCAATATGATAAGTAAGGAGTTATAAAATCACACATAGAGAGAGAGGTAGAGGCATACATGATATACGGTTCCTCCACCACTGCGTCTCCTGACAAAAGGAACGCGGAGGCGACGTAATATTGGAAAATTAATTTCTTTCCAAGGGTTCTGTTTGGGAGATGGATGTGAGATCATTTTACCCCTCAAAAAGATACACATCATTTTAATTTTTTTCGAGCACAAACCTGATTGCGCCCGATGATTACGCAGGGTGAGTTTCTATAGAACAAGAGAGCGATTGCTTCTACAGGTTTGGAACGAAAAAGCCTGGTTTGGTTGTAAAATGGTTAAAAAATGGATCCTAACCGTCATCAGAAATTGCGAAAAAAAAAAAAACAAACAAACAAAGCAACCATAGCAAGAGCAATTTTAGAGGCACATTACTCACCAATCCTCGAAGGCTAAATTAAAGTATGGATCTATAGAATGCGAAAGATATATTTCCGGAACCGATTTCAAAGTTTGAGAAGAACTGTTTTGGCTTTGGGTGGAGTAAAGGTAAGATGATGGGAGAAGTGGTACAGCAGCAGCGGGGCCACTGCTGGTCACTCTAATTATGGTAGGCGAGCGATTATAAGCTAACGAGAGACATAGGGCTCGAGGTGAGGAAGAAGCTACTCGTAGCAAAGTGCTTGAGCTGCTCAACCTCATGGGGGTTGTGGGAATCGGGAGGTTCCCACGGTGGGTTGAGCTTGCCCCCACGTGGTTTTTGATCGTGATCGTGTCTGCAACGACGAGGTGGAAGGCTTGAAAGCTAGTCGGTCGTGATGCCTTTTCCCCATCATTTTCATTTTGAGAGGGAGAGAAGGGACTAAGTAATTGACTAGGTCATGAGTACTTATCCTTGCCTGCAGTGCGGTGGGTCGCCCTTGCATGAATCTGTCTGTTTTAGGAGGGGCTGCGACGAAGGTGCGTCTTTTACGTGCGGATGGGAGACAATCGTTTGTCCTCAAGGTCCACGCGTGTTTATTATTACTTTCTCTTTCTTCTATTTTTGTGGTTTCAAAATTCTGCTGTTCCCATACCGGTCTGGTCACTAGCAGATAACACACTCGCGTCTCAACTTCATTGAAATAGATGCGAGTTTACCACCCATACCTTCACCTCATGGAGGGAGCATGTGTTTTCCCCTTTTGACTTCCATACTTTCAAGACGACTGGGTACGACCTGATTTTCGTGATCTTTCTTACTTTCAATGCAGGTCAGTAAAATCCGGGTCTCCCTTCCGTGGGTACTTATACACTTTTGTTTTTCCCTACCAATAACCGCGCACAGAACACTTACCCCTCAGAGTCGCAGTCCTATACGAGTCCTACTATCCCTTCTACAAAAGTCTTCGTCGCCGGTGGCCAAATAAAGGCCAAAGCGAGCAATGGATGTTTCTCCTTATCGACCAAGTCTCGACGACTGACAAAGAACAACAACAACAACAACAGTACTTGCAGGGACGATGCTCGGACTCAAAGTCGCCGTTCCAGTGTGACCGATATCGAGTCTTGTCTGCAGCCGACGTCACTGACCATTCAATCACTTGGGGCGAGTCGAAGCGCCGTACTTGCACTGCCGGCACGGCCTTCATCATCATCATCATCATCATCATCTACCCGTATCGCAGTATTGTCAGTGTGGCCCCGGCTGTGAAAGTAGAAACTCCCTCTTCTCCAAGTGGTGGTCGTGTGGTCGCACTGCCTGTGCAATGTACACATAATCGGTGTTGTGCAATGTACGAGAAAGTGGGCTCAATTGCGAGGGTTAAATCGGGTTCTTTCATTCTGTGATCTTTTTTTTTTTTCTTTTTTTTTTACCAACGTAAGTCTTCATTAATATGATGTCTAGTTGTTAACATTGCAATCAGTTCGTAAAGAACGTGCTTGCCCTTCCTCATAGTGTTTCTTGATGGACGATCACAGCTGGGGTACTGTGCTGGTTGCCGGGCCGTCCGGAGATATTGAAGGTAATACCATTCGATCGCGCCTTTGACGTATTGGCTAGACTGAGTATTCAGAGGGCCTTGGCTTTTGTCCATCCCGGTGTGCGGCAACCACAGGGCATTCCCTCAGTTCGAATGCTTGCTTTAGGTCATGTTCATGTGTTGACTAGGTGCACCTTGGTTGTGCAATATTATTGGCGCTTGCAGTGTCGCAGAATTCATGAAATCAAGTATTGCATGCATAATTCGGTCACACGCGGAGGTGTTCGGGAATCGGAGTCGTTGACTTGATCCTTCGTTCTATCGGCCACTGACCGCCTTTCCAACTGCGTTCCCGGCCGGGACTTGGTTGATGCACCCGTGCGCTTATGCGTGCGATTGGCATGTGAGCATCACATATGAATGAGAGTAATTCGGCAATATCCGAATCGTTAAGCTTCCCCAAGGACACAGTTATTTAAAAGTGACTATATCAACGGAGGATTTGAGTAGATCTCCAAGAAGAGCATAAGGTTGGATTGGCTGACTTTGGAAGGAAATGGAAGCGACGATCATATCTATGAGTATCCCATGGGAGAATGAATGCCCCACCAAAAATGAGTTGTAACTTGTTTGGTCCCCGGTTCAAGTTGCCGAGACTGGAGAATGCTCTTTGGATCACAGTTGTCGCGTTTTAGGACAGCAAGTGCCTATCTCTTCATCACTCAGAGCATGTTATAGCACACTCAAGCTTAAGAGGCTTCAACCCTAACAGAGTGCATTTTGAGTTGGGGAACGGCCTGATCGCGTTCATTCCGGCGTTCTCATCATGATCCAGAAGAACTTCTCTTGCCCTGAATTTAGAAGAAGAAGCCCGGAAGAGGTTTTCCTCGATCTCATGTAATGAGTTTGCGGCTGGAGTATTTGAGCCCCTCCCAGGCTAATTGGCTTATAGGCCTCTCTCCCACCTTGACCACTACCTACCTGCCCACTTCGCAAGCCACCGCAGTCCGCCAACTTGGTCATTCTGTCCCTTTTGAAAGCTGGTGAGAATCTGCTTGTCAAGCCAATCTCAAAACGACGACAAACATCGCGTGTTAACAGCCCCAGCAAAAACATTATTCCTTAGCGCCCCAGCGTTCAATCGTTCAGCATGACTATCTACCGCTCCAAGCGTCCAGACTTCGATTATGCTCCTTCAACTAGTATCTTTACCTTCTTGAAACGCAATGAAAGTCCTTCAGACGCTAAGCGGGTCGCTTTCATCGACGCTGTTACGGACGAACGGATCACTCGAGGACAGGTTTTCGACTTTGCTTTGAGAGTCGGTTATGGTGTCAAGCAGATTGGGGGGAAGCGTGGAGATGTTGCCATGATCCTCTGGTAAGCTTTTGTGTCACGCTGCTTTGGATAAGACGAAATTGTGAAAATCTCATATATATTATGCCGGCCCCAGCCCAAACTCCATTGCATGGCCTTACACGTTCCTCGGACTTCAAGCTGCAGGTCTCCGTCCAACTCTAGCAAACGTAGCATACACGCCCCCCGAACTAACACATCAACTCAAAGACTCCCGGGCCCATCTCATCTTTGTTCATCCATTGCTTTTCCCTACCGTCATCAACACCCTGAACGGTTTAGGTTTGAAAGAAGGCGAGATCAAGAAGAGGGTGATCATCATGAGTCATACGAGTCAGGATGAAAAGGATGAGAAGACTGTTGGGATTCCTGCTTCGTGGAGGAGGTTGAAGGAGTTGAGGAATGGAGGGAAGCTCGCTAAGGAAGAAGAGTTTAATGGGTCTCAGGTTCACGAGACGGCTTTGCTTTGTTATTCCTCGGGGACGACTGGACTGAGCAAAGGGGTGGAGGTGAGTTGCACCTGCTCCCGTTTTTTTTTCAATGGTTATGATCAAGGCAACTGATTTTTGCGATCCAGACGACGCATGAGAATATCACTTCCGTCATTCAGATTTCGAAACCCGTCTTTCCTCCAATTTCTTCTGATAAAGATGTCGGCCTCGCCGTTCTCCCATTCTTTCATATTTTGTAAGTCGGGAAACACCCTTATATGGCGACCGTACTCTGATCACACAATGCCTTTTCCCGTCTACGCGTTGTTGTGCGACTCCTCTTTTTTTTTTTTTCTTTCAATTTGATTTAGCGGGTAAGTAGAATATGATTCCTTGCCTCAAAATAGAAGAACTGACATTGTTGTTTAACAAGAATTTCTCTCGTCGTCCTCTTCTTCTTTGACTTTAAAGTTCCCAACGTCGTCATGGCAAAGTTCGAACCCGTTCTCTTCTGTGCTTCCGTCGAGAAGTACAAAGTTACCGTACGTTACTCCATATCTCAATCTCAGGCTATATGCTATATATAATCCTTGAGCATTTTAGACATCCGCCATCGTTCCACCGATTCTATTGGGTTTGACCCTTCATCCTGCGGCCAACAAGTATGATCTACGGACGATCAAAACGCTCTTTTCTGGTGCTGCTCCTTTGAGTGCTGGTCTTGTGAAAAGGGTCAAACAAAAGTTTATATCTCGGGGCAATCATGACGCTGTTATTACCCAAGGGTAAGTGTAAAAAAAAAATGTCATATGAGTGTCCGGCTTCCTCTTCTCACACACACACACACACACACGCCCTTCTCTTTTTCATGTGGGATGATTTTTTAGGTATGGTCTCACGGAGACTTCACCTACGGCGATGTTCCTTGAGGCGCCTTGGGCTGACTCGAAAGCTGGTTCTTGCGGCTTCTCCTTCCGAACCTTGAGGTACGCCTCGTCGACGATGACGAAAAGGATGTACCTCCTGGACCTGACAGTCGAGGAGAGCTATGGATTAGAGGGAAGATCATCATGAAGTGAGGAAGCGCATTTTTTTCAACAACAACAAGAGACCTATTTTACTGACGTCTTCGCTGCTTCTTGAAAAGGGGATACTTGAACAACGCGAGGGCAACGAAAGAATGTATCACCCCAGATGGATGGTTCAAAACGGGTGATATTGCCATCATCGATAATGAAGGCTTTTACTATATCGTCGATCGTAAGAAGGAACTCATCAAGTATAAAGGGTTCCAAGGTAAATTATATATCGCTTTTCATTCTGCAGATCAGCCATACTAAACTCAATTGGTTACCTTTATTACTTAAAAAAAAAATATCAGTTCCTCCCGCCGATTTAGAAGCGGTCTTGCTCACTCATCCGGATGTCGCTGATGCTGGTGTCATTGGCATCTACTCTCAAAAGGACGAAACCGAACTCCCTCGGTACGTTAAACTCCATTTTTCCTTTCATACTTCGGCATCACGTCAACCACCCATTTTTTTTTAGTGCCTACATTTCACCCAAGAACGCTGCGCTGGCCGACCCTAAAAATCGTGATCAATGCAAAGCGTTCGAAAGAGCCGTTCAAGATTGGATCAAGTCTAAAGTGGCGCATCATAAACAATTGAGAGGTGGGGTGATCGTCATCGCTGCTATCCCCAAGAGCCCGACGGGGAAGATTTTGAGGAGGGAGTTGAGAGAGTTGGCTAAGCAGGAGGCGAAGGCTACTAGTGCTACTGCGAAACTCTAAAACTTTCTGCCGAACCCTACTTTTTTTTTATGGCGTGCAATTAATCTTGTATGATGTTCTTCTATATCAGCGGTTCTATTGCCCCTTCGTTTCCCATTTATGGTGGAAATTTTTTGAGTTGCTCGTTTTTGATTTCATCTTCAGATATGTGTGTGATTAAAAGTAATAAATTGTACAATCATTACTACTATGTATGCTAGCCTGCTCCAACACATTGCCGGTTACGCGCAACGTATCCCAAGTTGTTCGCTTGGGGGATCGAGAGGGGACGGAAACGCGGATACTTTCTCGATCAACTAGAAACACCCCCCAATCCCTGTCTCGAATGGGTTCCATCCATGAACCCTCAGCCGGGATATGACCACAGCACGTCGCCATTTTTGGCCGCTCAACGCCTGGAGGTCCATCTATCAACCAATTGGCAGCTATCCAGAAATGGGCTTTCCAAATGGTCAATGATGTGGTCGATCAGGCTTTGAGGACTTTTTTGACGAGGTTCAACACCCAAATGAAGACCGACATATTGCAGAGCGTTGAACAGCAGATGTCTCAGCAGCCCAATGCTGATAACATTAGTTTCGGCGTTCGGACATGGGCGATGTGGGAAGAAAAAAAAACTCCGGTGGGCAAATGTGCTGGTGGGCATGGTGTCATCCAGGAAAGGTGGCCGATTGAGAACTAGGGAAACACGATGCGCAGTATATTCAAAGTAAAAGACGATTGGAAGAACATTGTATCAACGAAAGTCAGTAATCGACTAGAACCGCGGCCGATCATGCACATATGTTATAAATAATCGCGGGTGTTAGTGAGTGCGTTCCCTTTGAGCCAGCTCGATGGGGTTTGGGTTGATCGATAGTCGACTACAGTTCGCAAGCGCCTCACCGATATGCTGCCCGCTTAGCTAGCTAGGTACATGCATGACAGCATATCTTGAGGCGGTTGAGCGCTGTACTACCAGCGAAGAATCTAAATCCCCCGGCCTTTTTACCAGGAGAGAGGCCGAAGACTTTTTTTACACACCTTACTAGATGCTGTGGGGATTGGTGTGATACTGTAGATGAACGGAAGGGTATTCTCTATGCCATGTTGAAGGTACCTTGTAAGTGGTGAGGAGATCAAGCGAAGGACGGCGATGCGGATTGAAAAGCTATCCTCCGGCGCGGTATCTTGCAAAAGCCATATGAAGCACATTCAAAATCCTAAGGTGCACTAATACGAGTCACGACGGTCAACATTCTTCCAACAAGTGAATGATACATGCCTGTAGCTTCTAAAGCCAGATGTACAGATTGCTTTCTTCTGTGATCTTGCCAACATGGGTCGACATGGTAAATTCGGTGCCTTCAGATACTCCAGCTGATGTAGAAGCGATCTTACGCATCCGGATGTCGGTGTCGTTGGCGTCTGCTCTCAAAAGGACAGTACTGAGCTCCCTCGGTGCGTCAGCTTATCCTTTCCTATCCTCGGTACTTGCCTATCTTCACCTCAACGAACAAACTAGTGTCTACTTTACGCTGCCCTCGCCAACCTCAAAAATCATAATGCAGAGCATTCGAAAAAGCCGTTCAAGATTGGATTAATTAGTTTAGAGTGGCGAACAGAAATGGCGTAATTATTACTGCAGCCATCGCCTGACTGGAAGATGTTGAGTGAGATGGGTGAGCAGGAGGCGAAAGCTACTGCTACTACAAAACTTTGAACTTGACACACGTTCAGTCATCTTGGTTCCTGTGTTCGTTACCTGGCGGTCTGCACCCTTCGGATTTAGGATGGACGATTTTGACGTGTCTTTCGTTCCGACAGAGTCCGTTACGTCGCAAACGTGGTACACCATCGTTTGGCACACAGGAGGGTTATGGTCGCACGTACAAAAGAGGAATGAGAACCATTGCACACAAGTGACTAGTACCTGCGTTGCCGTGCAGTACTCTTACTCTGCCACACAACGTATTCCACAGATAATCTGTTGCTCGTGGCATGGATACGCGGATTTCGATTGTCGCAAAACGCGCAAGCTTGAACATCGTCTGACCTTGCCACGGGACCACGCGAGACTTGTTAGCCAGAATTCTGCGCCCGGCATGGGGTTGTGAAGAAATGGAAAAATGACCCCGATAACAGGCTGGCGTGACCATCGAATAAGCTGCTTGGGTGGGCGCAATGTCACTACGTAACAAGTGGCTCGTGGAAATGGGGGATCGGGAAACACGACGCACAGGGACAGACAAGTTCATAATGAAGACGATGGAAGATTGTCCAAACATTGAACGAAATTTATAAAGTGACGAGAATCGCGAGTTGAGATCGATGGCTACGGTGGTTCCAATGTCGGACAATGCTGCCTGCTTCAGTGCGCGGCAGCATATCTTAAAGACGCTTGAGCCTGGTACTAGCGAAAAAGCTAAACTTTTTTTGCCCAAGTTGACCATTCACTGCGAAGGGAACGATGATGTTGAAGACCTTCAGAGACTTTACGAGCTTAAACGCTATGTGGCCCAATGCCGCAGACGAAGAAAACAGTATTCCATTGAGGTACAAACGTAGGTGTAGTGTTGAGGGTAATGAATGCAGATTTTGAGCTGAAAGAAAGGATCCTCCGGGAAAGAGGAGAAAAGAGGATCACCGGCAATCTCCTCCCAAGGTGCTGATCTCGATGATGATACAACGTATACGCTAGGGTATGGCGCTGCCTTGTGGCACCGAGCGGGAGGAGGCCATTCCAAATGGGGCACCAACTTGAAGCATCGGCGTCCCTACCTATTTCGGTTCGCTCCTGCAAAGGCAGCATCGCAGTGTCATACTTTCAGTCGATCAGCTGGCATGGAGAATTCAACTACTTACTAAGGCGAGTTGATCACTCCGTGATCAACTGTTGCCTAGCGGAACAGTTAGCCTGGATATTGCGGTCTGGCCTTGTTGGTGAATACTGACCTTTTGCGCTTCTCATGCTCCCGGAAGCGCCTCCTAATCTCCTGGCAGATTAGGCACACCTTGGCATGGAAGTATTCCCACTATGTAATTTGTCAGTAAGTGGCATAGGGGGGATGGAAGGGGATTGCATTACTCACGCGGTAGGCGTTGATCATGCCGACCGGCATGTTCGGAAAGAGCACCTCGATAGGCGCTTCGACGACCGTTTTTAGAGCCCAATCGGGCTCTAAAACGTGCTCATGACTGCCACACAAGGCAAGCCATGGGGGGTAATGAAACCCAGGTGGAGGCACCTGGGGTTCACTGTCGGTCGTGCTATTAAACCACTGAGTCGCAAGATTGGATGGGATAAAATCCTCAATTACCTGCATGCCCCTGCACCACGTTCCCCTGCTGGCAACATTCTGTTGTGGCCGGTAGTATTCGAGTGTAATGGGTGTGATGGCTGTTGGCTGGCAAGGGGAAGTACGCGTGTTTAGAAGGCAAATTGGGGAATGTTCGATCAGATCCTACCAACGTATGACACAACCGAAGAGTGACGAGGTGTACCCACAAAAAAAAAACAAAGTTTGGATTCCAATCGCCTCGGCTAGAAGCCCTAGCAGCCGACAATGAGGAGCGTTGGGAATGGAGGAGGGGGCGTTGGGTAAAACAGATGCGGATCTTTGAACTGTCCAACAACTTTTTATATGGATTTGCGGGCAATAAATTACCATATTCGTTCTAGAACTAGCTTGTATCCGTGCACAAAACCCGCATCTCTGTCGAATTTTCCTTCACAGTAAGAAGCGGTGTACATTTTGGTGATTTCAGCAGTGATCAATTTTTCCAGGTACAAATCAAGAAACGGTTCCATCTCGATATTCGATCTCTTGCTATGTAAAGCCCGTCCCACGTCAGCCGGTCCGACAGGACCACCTGGTCCAGCAACTGAGGGGTGAGTCGAATCAGCACCTTACTCTCTGCAACAAGTGTCGGTGTGTGCCTGTAGTTTCTCCATGAGCATCCGCCCATTCCCATCCAAGTTGAGCCTGATGCTCAAATCACCTTGCCTTCGTCGAACCGTTGCGCCTCAATCGAATGAGTCTTCTCGGTTTTTATTTCATTTCCGTTTGGGTTTGTGTGAGGGAGTGGAATTGTTTGAAGTTGGGACCGCAGATCCAAGGGGGCCAGAGCTGTAGTGTGCATCCGTTGAGCCTGAGAGATCGGAAATTCATCCTATGACTGGGGGGAAACGGCTGATTAAGTTTTATTGCTTTCCTCCGCGGATCACCAACACGCTCAACACACATGGTATGTACTTACATAAATCTGGTGCCATAAAAATAATAACTGATTTAGAAGCGATCTTGCTCGATGTCGCGACGCTGGTATCATTGGCGTCTACTCTCAAAGAACTCCTTCAGCTCGTCTGCATACTCACTGAATATCGGATCAAGTCTAGAGCGGCGAACCATAAACAGTTCAAGAGGCGGGGCAATTTTTATTGCCGCTGTCTCGAACGGACCGCCGCGGAAGCTATGATGCGAAAGCTGATGGGAAAAATAGACTTGTACGGCTCGCGAGCTTTTTCTACGTGTATTTGGTGCTCAGAATTTGCGCATTTGCGATACTTCAGTTTTCCCGAATCAGATCGTGGCTACAGCAACGATCACTGCAACGGCAGAGTGACCGGCAGATTCAATCTTGGAATGAATCGGCAGAGTAGGATAAGCTGGACTTAGCACAGGCCCCCTTAACTGGTGACATAGGAATTTTCAGAATATTTATTTGTTTCCAGCGTGTAACGTGTAAAGAGCTCAACTAAATACTGTCCGATTCTTTCCCGGGTTATCCCTCTACTATAAACAGCATTGGGAAGACGCTCATGTAAAATATCTCAACAAAGAGGCAATCCTGCTATGAGCCCCTGCGGTTGTCAGATCTATAAGCAATTGTATTCAGCATGTAGAGGGTGAGAACACCGTTGTAGCGTACGGCATAATTCATCCTCCCCCCAAATCGGGGTGATTTGTTTGGGCACTGCTTCGCCTGCTCTGGTCAAACCCACGGAAATGCCGCCGGCTATGCGGAGCAATGTCGGGGGTCGGGGAATTATGTGGTTGGCTGCTGATTGAAGATGCTTGAGAAGCCGAAATGGCATGCCAGTCCGTTATGGCCCGCTGGCCAACTGGCTCAGGTGTTCGAGGCGCACCAGCAGCATAGCTTGGGTTCCCATTAGTGCCACCTCGAGGAACTCGATCCTCTTCAGGTTGACCATGATTTGTAGTACCAGAGGACTGATCTTGGTCTCTCATAAGGTTTCCGATTGAGACAACATTACCAGTTGTTTGCCGCTGCCTCCTATGTTTTGAGAAGCGATCGAGTGGCGATTCAGGGGATTCCCATGGAGGCATAAGAGGACTCGAAGAGGATGGTGTTCCGGCGGGTTGGGATGCAAAGTCCGAGGGAGCTCCTGGAGCAAATGGCATTCCACCTGGTTGAGCAGAAAGCATAGATCGAATCCTATCAAAGGGCGGCGTCCGACCTGGCTGAGGGGTGGACATGTGCTGAGTACCACCAAGCCTGGAGGGACACGGTGTTCCGCTCACTCGGTGCTCGCTGCTCAAGTTGCTTGAGGCAGGGGAGTCGAAGAACGGGATATACGAGAGGGTTTCCCCGACCTGACGAGCTGAACGAAGCCTCATGTGACTCTCGATCTCATGGTGCCCAGTCGAATCAGTGTTTGCGGGGCTAAGGCCTGCTAAGTAAGTCGCGGCCCCGAGGTCTTTGGGTTCGGGCCTCGGAGGGAATTTTAGAGTCTCGGCATCTTCAAAGATATTATCCATCGTATCTTGAGATCTTTCCATGTCGGCATCCTGCCAAGCCATACCCACATCGTTGTTGCGAGAGCGAACAGTGCGTGGCCATGCAAGCGAGTCTTGACACACTTGTTCGTCAACCAAATCACGAATGAGCATCCAAAATCCAACTGCTGTATTGTCCAGGAAATTTGGTGCGAATCCCTCATCGACAAGAGTCATCTCGGCGTGTCCCCCCCTCATCTTGTACAGGTACATACGAAACCCTACAATCGCAATGCCGTATAGCACATCCGTGCAGCTTCTTTTCGAAAAGGCATCGATCATATATCGATAGAGTTGGTCTACCGCTTTCCTTGTGTCCTCTTGCCTGTCTTTAGCAGAAAGAGGCTTGTTTTTCACTTCTATTACCAAACAAGTGAGGGCATCTGAATCGTCGTCGACGAGTTCTGCGTCGGTTACAACTGTAAAGTCGGGCCGCAGAAGTTCGCGTTGATCGCGCTTCTCATCTTCCAGGGTATACTGCGGCATCGGCCTGTATAAACTATCTTCCGGGAATGTGGCGTTCAGAATAGCACTGACGGGGCCATAGAGTATCGTCTCATTAGCTGGCCTCCCGATGCCGAAGTACTTAGAATGTTGCTTCCTTTGTCTCCCTAGAACCCTAGCAAGGCGATTTCGATCCACAACAGGTAATTTCGCCTGGAGCATTTGAGCAGGGCTATTAAGAGGTAATGAGAGTTGTGCTTGTGACGACAGAGGACCTAAGATGACAGGCAACAAATGTTGAGGAGGCTGGAATCACAAAGGGCTGGGATGTGTTCTATTTAAAGCCCGACCCCATCGATCATCAAATCAGATGCATATCATGGTACCGGACCACGTATGTTAGTGACAGATTGAGGGTTTTCTCTTTCACCTGCAACATATGGCAGCTTTCTGAAGCTGCCTCTCCGTATAATTTCAAGGATCAAATGAACCCCATAATTCTCCCGATAAAACCCGAATGCTACACTGACCCAGCACCAAAGGTGCAGACAGGAAGCGAAGTAGGTGTTTCTCGGATGTCGGAAAAAACACCGTTTAAATGCTTGATAAATTGTTTTTGGTATTTTGATACAATTGAATGTAACTTGTGTGCAGCTGGATGGGCGCGCCGGTATGATAGCGTGACAACAGCCCGACAACCATCGAGACTTTTTGAATTGGAGGTGTCCCGGTACGTACACAGGAAAGGCGAAAGGGGCCGGAGGGTAACGTTGAAGAAGATAAGAGAAGACTTGGAGAGGGCCAGAAGGCAAAGGCCAAAACGCAAAAGGAAGAGGACCCAACGCTGAATTGTAAATACTCGGGATCCTACTCGCCATAGGGAGGCGGGAAAGCAAGGGACCGGGAGGAACAACCAACTGTAGAATAGAAATGCCAGAATCAGACCATGAGAAACAAAGAACCAAACTAAGAAAAACGAGAAGAGCCACCGATGCACGCAGTGGACATGTGAAGACAGCAAGTAGGAGAACGCCTACAAGGACTGCCCGACAAAATCGATCTAGGAGTAGGGATCCGCTAGATCAGCATGACTGAACGAGCGCGGCGTCAGCATGCGGTGAGGCCGACAGTGGGTACGGCGCAACGCATGCAGCGGACGTGCAAGAGCCCCAAGCACGCAGCATACGCCAAGGAAAGAGCGTTAGTGCCGGAACACCATGACACACGAGCCTAATTTAATCTCGTACCTCCATTAAATCTCAATTAAACACCCCGCAAACGTTCTGAATACATACGCTTTTAATAATTTAACGATTGCATCATAAATGCTTCCCACTGCATCGAAATTGTCAAAAACTAGCCTCACCTAGGCGAAAGCTTAGTTTCAACGTAGTACGGGATTCTCCGACAGAAGGTATTGCGCGACCATGTGACCAATTTCTAACCGGATAGTATCGTTATCCTTGTTGTTTGCATGCATCTCCTTTCTTCTGGTTTGCGTGGTCCTGGAGTCAGCGTTAGTGGCGTGGGGACACTTATGGTTCAGGAAGAACATCGCGCCCGTGAGGATCCAAGGCGTGCATCTAGGTCTTGGAACACTCTTCCCCCAGATATCATATACGAAGTTGTCCAATACCTTATCCCGCGTCACTTGTACCCCGGTGATAATGGCTACTCATCTTCTTCCCCGAAATTTGTGACGAGGTACATCCAGGAACGTGCCAGTTTCGCGTCTCTCATTCTCGTCTCCCGTAATTGGGTCGACCCTGCGATGCGTGGCCTCTATCGTGAAATCACAATATTCATTTGCACCGAAGCGTCCGTATATTTACTACGCGAATCCCTCAAGTCTCATGGGAACCTCGTTCGAACCATTATTCTTGACTCCCGAACCCGTCATTTGAAGGACCGACCATCTCTCATAGGCAGGGTTCCTGATCAGCTTGCTCGGTTCAATCAGAGGGCTATGTTGTTAAACGAAATTTTAGCATCATGTTCGCACCTGACAAGTTTGGAGAGTTTTGGCTGGCATGACGATGCCTTTGCCGAACTCGCTCAGTTCAATGACAACTTTGAAACTGTCATCGGTCCTTCATCTTCCGTGAAGCATTTTACGTGGACGATTGGGGGTTATTCACACGGGTTGCGCTGTGCCCTCCGGCACTTTTCTCAGACATTAGAATCCTTGATTATCTATGATTGGGATCCAATTACTTCTGTGTACAGAGATAGCCGGCCTTTCACACCCGTCTCTCGCCTTCCTGGCCTTCCGCGACTTTCAGAACTTCGTCTTAAAAAGGCGTCAGACTCCAAATTGCCTCATTTGCTTGAACTTCTCAAATGCACGGAATATCTCGGGGAAGATGGAAACACCACTTCTCGTTTACGTGTCTTAGAGGCGGAAAGACCATACTTGTTGACGCCCAAGGACTTTCTGTGGATGATACGAATGACAAAAGCATTTTCCAACCTCAAAACGCTTATTATCACATGTGTTCCGTCCCGCTCAAAGCCGTTCCATATCACCGGTACATGGGAGTGGTATGATTTTTCCGAACTCCCCGGTGCACTTTTTCAAAGCTCCCCACATTTAGAAGAGCTCTCGCTCCTCAGTCCAATTCCGCTCTCTTCACTCTTAAGCCCTCCTGAAACACTCCGCACAGTTCGTACTCTGATTTGGCGGAGTTATTTTGGGCCACACGAGTTCATGCGCTTCCTGAACTCTCCATCGAGCCGAAATCTGACGCTTATCGAACTACAGCATACCTCGAGGACTGCGATGGCCAAGTGGAAAGTTGAGATGGAAACTGTGTTGCGAGTTGGACGTGGTCTTGGAACAAACATCATTATCCCCGCCGAAATCTATCCCGAGCCCAAATTCAGACAACCTGGTGCAATAATAAACAGAAACACGCGCTACAGTCACTAGGTACCAGGTCGTGCATCCCCCCATCCAGATCGGCGATGAACCATCTCAGGAGAAACCCCTTAGGCAGAACCTCGCCGGAAACAGTTGGAACGAGGAGCGAAGCTCCTCAACCTCGCTACAGTCACAGGCGCAAATTGCAACCAGGCAATTTTTGCGTTTCAATCACCCTCAAAGCGCTCGTTCGGGAATCGAAGCGTCAAAAATCGGTGACGTGGGTGGCAAATAAAGAAGTCGTGAGGACCCCAAGTCAGGTCTTTCCATTTAACGGGTCTTTGGACATTTCGACACCCACGAGATTGTCCTGTAGCCTGTCCCGTACAGCACGATTACTCAGACTTTCCCCATGGGCTTGTACTGGATTACATCCAAAAACGCGTCGCTTTGGCGTAGTTTGCTCTCGTCGCCTGACCGCCCGTAGCTGATCCCATGGAATCAAATGTCCTTTCGCTCCCTCTACGAATCGCTTAGGTCGTATGGGACTCGCATTCACACAATCATCGAACAAATTGTTTGGAAAGGCCGGCCATTGGCGGGTCGTTCAAGGGGTTATCTGGTGAACACTCTGAATTCAATCAGAGAGCTATGCTACTGAACAGTGGCAGCCAACCGCCGTTATATCCAGGGACAGCCGACCTCCTGCTTTTCGTTTATATCGTGCTAGAGGCTGAATGAACCCTAATACTGGTTGACGCCCAAGGATTACATGTGGATGATGCAGAAGTCAAAAGCGCTTCCAATCTTAAAATGCCCCTAATAACCTGTTTCCCAACACATTCAGACCAATAACCAGAACGTGGGAGTGGTTTGATTTTTCCGAAGTCCCCAGTGCAGTTTTCCAAGTGCTCCGGATTTAGAAGAGTTCGTGCTCTTCCCCCTCTCTTCCTTCTCCAATCCGCCTGGGACATTCCATGTGTTCCTAATTTGGCGGTATTAATGTTTTGGACTGCAAGACTTCATGCGCTTTGAGCGGGAATCTGACAAACATTGAGCGCGCTACGGTATACGTCAAAGTTTGCAGTCGCCAAGTGGACAGCTGAGATGGAGAATCTGTTGCACACCGGATGTCGTCCCTGTCATCATACTCAAAATTTATCCCGGGCCCCAATACCTAAATGAAACTACAGGCTACGGTTACTAGAGACACAGTACTCCATTGCCACCCATACTGTTCCTGAGTTGCGTCTGATGGCTATACGAATAGCATGGCAATAGAGGCCGCCGGGGGGAAGACAAACCCGCCTAGCACCCCATAAGGATGGATCCGTAGGGACCAGCATGACTGCGCATATTTTAAGAACTCTGATGTGGAATACCTGAGAATTGCCACTCAAAGATATTTCCTCCACAAAGGTCATCGCGGCAAGTCCCAGGAAGACTAGAGTGATGAATACCAAACCCCTCCTCTATCTGGGATCGGAAAGGGAGTGTCTCCCCTGATAGACCATTCTCCTGTTCATTTGCCGTCAACTACAGGAGTTGCCTATTTCTAGTCTTTCGTCGTCGCGAGTGAAAGAAATAAAAACATGTTCCGATCATTCCCCTGACATGTGTCGGAACAGGGAATCAATTTCATACCCTCCACATGCATGCAATGGAAAGGTCACTGTTCATGTCGTAGCAAAGAAAAATGGAGTTATCTGCGCTGAATGCCAACAAAAGCCACCGGAATGAATGTTATAGCGTCGGCTCGGTTTCCCGACGGTGAACAGAGCGACGAGGTGTTGAACGGGAATAAAAGAAACAACGATTCTGGCCACAACCACTGGTGGCCCGAGTCACGTTAAGCGCCCGTAATCGCAGCATCCTATAACGATGGCTCCAAGGGGCCACCGTGACTGCGCGTATTTAAGAGCTCCGATGTGGGCCACCTATGAATTGCCACTCCCTCGGACTCATTTCCCCCGAAGATGTTGGGCACCGCACCGGTAGAGCAGTTCTGATTAGTGTTACCCTGCCCTTTGCAAGCGTACCAATCCCCAAAGGCTGTCCCCGCGGTGACAATGTGCTTCTCTCCTGAGGAATGATGGAATCCCGTGAAGGGGTACGAGAGGGTAGGGATTGGATCCTTTTTACTGATGGAAAATATTTTCAGTTAATCCCTATGACGAGAGCAAGGGGACAAGGCAAGTTCACTTGGTAATGCGAGCAAGGTTAGTGACATGGGCGTCAGCGTAGTCGGCAAAAGCTCGATTACCAACGCGTGGCATCCCAAAAGTGTTAGTGCAGAATTCTGTATCAAGAGGGAGGTCAAGCGGGAGGTAGACTGCATCAAGGAGCGCAATGGCTCCTAACGGGAACTTCAACACTAGTCCAGCAAATATCCCAGCGTCAACAATCGTTCAACTCACCAAGTGAATGCCTTATGATATAGACCGTCTTCGAGTTAGTAGTCTTCATGGGAATGTTCACCGCCGCTCGTACTCCGGGGCCGAGCGAGAATGTGTGCCGAGGGATCCACGATGTGCTTCAACTGAGGAAGGAGGCCGGGAAAGAACTTGTGGTTGGGCCTCTCGAGGATGATATCCAAATCGATTAAATCAGCTTCGAGTCAGACGTGTTCGTTCCCTGATGACTGACGAGGATACCTCCAAGATGGTTCGCATCATAACCGACATACCCTGTCCTGTAAATCTACGCCTACGGTCTGAGCAGCGCGATACCTATATCAGTGGTGTATCGGCTGCCTGGGCGAGTCCTGTCCTTACATACACGACGACGTGGTATACGCCACTGAGATGAAACTTTGGCAAAGAGTGCCAAAGCGTAAAGGAAACAAAGGGAAGGTAGGGTTAGCACCTCAAAGCGCCCCGCCCCCAAATCCCAAAATACGGATCTACGGTCCGTACATTCACCTTGGTGACGTTTGTACCGCGGCGTTGGGCTGCTATCCCTAACATGTCCCGCGCGCGAGGGCTCGATATCACTAGGCTGACACAGAAAACACGCAATATTGTGAATCAGAGCCATCTCCACCACTTCCCTAGCACCGGAGGAGTCAAGCATGCAAATTGGGCCGGAGTAGCGTATGAGAGCTCCTGAGAGGAGGCCATGGGATTCACAACAGTAGATCTAGAGTCCAACCTGACGGGAAATGTTTGACGACAAAGGTCGTCGCAGATAAGATCACGATCCAAGGAAGGAGGGCGCTACTGAGACAGGTCAGTGTGAGGTGCATTGAAGCTTATATATGAATATTCCCGCTGCTCTGTAGCCCTCTAAAATTGCAAGATAAGTTCTTCTCACGGGCCTTCGAGTTCACATCTTCCACCAAGCACGCTTCCCTTTACTCATACTATCCATCATTTGCTTCACTACACCCGGGTATATGTGCATTGCATGTGTATGAATCCCTGCAGATCGCGGGTTCGACGTCAGGCCACCCAAACTCCTATCCCAGCACCAAGTAATTTGCCCAAAAATCCCTTCCCGTGGTCCATGATCTCGCCAACTCACCCTGCTTGGCCACAGGCCCACGCGAGACTTGTTAATTAGGATTCGGTGCCCGGACAGTGTAGCATGGAATTGTGGAGCAATGGAAAAATGTCTTCGAAACTCTGATGACGCAGTGATCATAGAATAAGGTGCTCGTCGTCGTGCACGATTTTTTGTCGCTACGTGTTGGTGGGCTAGTGGAGAGGTAGGATCGAGAACTGGGAAATGCGACCCACAGCGACCCAGTCAAGTTCATATGGAAGATTGTGTTTTGGACATTGTAAGAAACCTTCGGGTGAGTAGAGTCATCAGCTGCGTTCGTCACAAGCTGGTCCTTTGTGAACGGGGACGAGTAGATCAATGGCCTAGCGGCTTCGGCATCAGCAATTACTGCCTGCTCAGGCGTATGCCCGGACGTCTTGATCGAGCCTGTACCAATTTTACGCCAACTAAGGAGGGGACGATGACGCCGAGGACGTTCACAGACTTTACACGCTTACACGCTGCGGGTAGCCAATGGAGAGGAACTAAAAAAGGATTCTATTGGGGTGCAACTGTCAATGTAGCTTGCAAAAAAAGCGAGGGGGGGTGAAGATGAAGGTGACAGAAAATCATCCGGAAGAAAAAGTCAGAATCGCGGCAATCTCCTCAAAAAGCACACCCGGGATGCATGAAACGCGTTATCTACTAATTACCAGATGATCTACCGGTCGCTCCGTAGCGGAAGCCATTGATGAGCCGGTCGAGGGCGACCGTGCGGATGATAGCTGCTTGCGGCGCTCTCCGCATTGCGGGCACTCACAGCCACATTAGCTGGTTCCATAAGATTAAGACTTAGCCGGGGCCTGCTACGTAGCTGCCGCTTGTGGCTTTCTGTTCTGGGTCATGTGGATACTCGCGGCCCTGTTGTAACTTGTCCAGACTCCTAGTCAGTACCTTCACCCATAGCCCGCAATGATAGGTGGTTCCAGCGGTGCCGAACAGTGACTGTCAGAAATATGAAGTGGATTCATCGAAGAAGAAATCTGTAGGGAGCCCGTTGATACTGCGCGATTAGAGCTTTCAGTACTAAGCAGCCTGAGTTGCGGTCCGTCATGGCACGTGTGGCCTGCCCTTGCACTAATATCAACGGTGAGGACCGGCGTTGCTGGGACAAACTGTAATTGGGGCCACCATGCAGCTGGAGCCACAATCCCGACCAGCTAAATGTGCGTTGGTGAGCGCTGTGTCAATTTCATCACAAACACCCAGTGGTCGTCGGTACTCTTGCCTCGGCCCCGGACATGCTAACGATGACCCTGGCCAAATCGAGTTTTAAATTTGGTTCGACTGGTTTTGGAAGGCAAAACCAAATTTAGAATTCGATGCTGGCCACTGACGCGCTCGCTGACACTGAATATCAGCCAGTTGCCTTTTCGACCGTCCTATGCCGCACAGCAGTTCTGGTGGATGGCAAGTTCAATCCCCTGACGTTCGGGATTAGCCACTGTACGTGTTTTCGATGCAGGACGGCATGGCTTCCTTCCAGATCGAAGGAGGGGTGCATTATTACCGCGGATCGTGAGTGATTAGCGTCATCCATTGAGCTTGACTGGTTCTTCTTCCCCATCTCGACAATACGTCGTCGCCAGCCTCACCCTTGCCAACTACGGCGAAACATTGATAGAATGAGTGACGTTGGTATGAAACATTCTACCGGGGGGGAAGGGTTTTCTGGACCAGAGCTCCTGTCTGAGCAGGAAGAACTTTTATAAGCCCGTTTCATCACTCTTTCATCGACGGCAGACTTGCACCTTGAACGTCTCGAACCATCTGCTCCAAGTGCGGTTGCTCTACTCATGGCGATTCTATCCACCACCGCCGTTGTTATCACTTCCATCGTCATATCAGTTGTATACTATATGTACAGAAGACTCGCGATTGGATCCAGGTCTACTACCCATCTCTTGGATTATCCAGTGAGTTGCATCTCACCTCACATTGCGATTCCTGCTTCTATCTTTGCTCACTTGCTCCCAGTCTCCCCCCCACTGGTTCTGGGGACACGAAAAAGCGGCTTTGTATGACACCCCTTACGGGGAGCTCTATTCCGAGTGGATCGACGAGAAGGGGAGAGTCATCAGAACCAAAGGGGCACTTTGGGTATTTCGAGCAAAACTTCGTTCTCTTTGATGGAACTTATCATCTTCGAATTTCGTTATCTAAAAGCATGGGGATATCGTACGTGCACAAACGTCGCTTTGTTATCCAGAAAATTTTAATCATATCTGTAGCTTATCGTGGCTGATCCGCAGGCACTGTGGCACATAGAAGTTAAGAACGCGTACAGCTATCAGAAGTCCAGGGGTCTCCGCTCCTTGATCGAGCGCATCCTTGGCAGGAGTATACTCTGGATCGAAGGTGACGAGCATAAGAGAACGAGGAGTGCCCTTATCTCCTGCTTCACGTATGTGTCAAATCCCCCTGATGGAGGGAACCTCCACATTTTGAATTTCTTACATGCTGTAGTGGCAGAAAGTCAGAGAGATGGACGGTGTCGTCAACGGGTGTGCTGAGAAGGTAAGCTTTCTCAGCCATCCATCCGATCCCTTGCATCGATTCATCTTCCATGCAGCTTGTAGATTCCATGAGGATGCATATAATTAACGAGATGGATAATGGAGTATTATCGCCTATTGTTAACATTGTGGAATGGAACTCTGGCATAACGTCAGTCTCAAACACGCTCCCCTCTCAATCCCCTGCTGACATCCCTAGCTGTTCAGGCTTGACATCATCGGACGAGTGGTGAGCTGTGTGACTACTAAAGCCTTCCGTCTGATAATCTAGGCCCAGGGCTTTGATCATGACTTTGGTTTGGGCAAGTCATCAGAAGCCACGGAATTATCACGGACCGTGGAGGACTTTGTCGAGTCGACATCGACATTTACGGGCTTTTTGGTGCGTTCCATCCCTGCTCTTGGCATTGATTATTTAGCTGATATTTATGACAGACGCCGATTCTTTTGCGAGCCTTCCCTTTTATCTTAGTCTCCCATTCGATGTTGTACGAAAGCAGGCAGCTATTAGGAGTCATGTCCGAAAAGTTGGAAGATACTTGGCGGACGCGAAGGTCGCTCGTCTCATGAGAGGTGAGAGCCTCTCTGAAGACAGTAAAGATCTTCTTAGTCATCTAAGTGAGTCGCCCCCATATTTTTACAATAACCATGAAAAAGCAAGCGACCTAAGTTCCATGTATCCCTAAGTCAAAGCCAGTTATAAGGAGGGAGAGGCTTTGGATGTGGATGAACTACTTGACCATGTGCGTGCTTTTTCTGGTGTCAGTTTGCTTTTTGCTTCCCGTCTTCTGATACACGATCCTCCATCTAGATCAATACTTTCATGTAAGACATTTGATCGTGTTTTGCGTAGGCACACGCATTATTAACAACCGAGAAACCAGCCTTACCGGCTACGAGACCACCGCTGTAACGGTGAGCTTTGCCGTCCATGCACTCGCCCATCATACAGATGTCCAAACCCAACTACGCGGAGAATTAAACGAATTTGGTCGCGAACCGAGGTTCGATGATTTCCAGAACAAAGATATCCTGAGACTCCTTGATGCGGTGACTAAAGAGTCGTGAGTCAGACTTTCTGGAGTGGTTCCTCCTCGCGGCTCATCGTGCCGTGCTTGCCAGTTTCAGACTTTACCCTGCAGCTCCACATACAGAACGAGTTGCGGGGAAGGATGACGTGATCCCATTGAGTGGGCCAGTGCGTGCATCTGATGGGAGCCTTATGAATTTCATCGCCATCAAGAAGGGGCAGGTACGCTTCATGATACCAGAGCCAGACATATGAATGTCACGAGAGCTAAATGAAACCTCGGTACTTTGTAGATGATTGTCATTCCACGTCTTTCTATCAACACCCGCCGCGGAGCGTGGGGTATGACGGCCAAACGTTCAAACCCTCACGTTGGCTCTCACCGAACGATGGCGAGGAAAAGACTACCTTCGCAACACCACAAGTTTCGCTTTCCGGCTGGAACCATCTAGATACCTTTGGAGAAGGGGCACACATGTGCATTGGATTTCGGCTCGCCATTTTCGAATTCAAAGCGATCCTTGCCGCCCTTGTCAAAGCGTTCGTATTCGAGGAAGTCCCAAACGTCCAAACGAAGAGCCATAACATTGTCGGGACGTTGCAGCCGAGCACGGTGTTACACGATCCGTCGACGAAGCGTCCTTTTACCAAAGCCCACTACTTGCCTGTGAAGCTGTCGCTTGCCGATCAGCATTAGCGTACATTCTCGGCAGTCCGTTTGCCCTGCAATATCGCCATATCCTGGTCACGCGCATCGTCCGAACCATCGCCACAGTTAAGCGCGATCATTGTACTTAGAGTCGACCCCTGCAACTGTAATCATTATCATCTGAAGCTGTCATCGCACCATCTCGTGGCTTACACAGTGATGCACCTCAGTCTGAATGCCATCATCTGATTCACGCGCTGTTTCCCCAGTACTATTAGCTGCACGTCCATCCGGAGGAGGTCATATCAATCATGAGGCTGCAGGCACGTAACGAGTAATATGCATACCGCTGCAATCCTCGGCCAGAGTCCAGAAAGAATCGAAACGTTTGGTATGGAAATCATATATAGCGCGGAAGACTCCTTACGCTTGAGCATTCAACCGTCAATGACTACCTGGGGCTTCTCTTGATTTGGCAAACTGGAATAATCCCTTCACTTGACCCCTGCAGCGAAGAATTTACTGCCAGCCAGCCAATATTGTTCATCAAAGTAATGATCTGCACATTGATGCAGGTGCTGCATCTAGATCATGCAAGGAAGCGTCAAAGTTTATTGCCGGGCCGATGGCAATTCACTACATATGACGAACACGGCCGGTGACTCAGATTTCCTGCAACTTTGTCCAAACACGATGGGTTGCTGTGCGTCGCGTTTCCCAGTTCTCGGTCCCATCCTTCTACCACGCCTCACGCATTTCCTGTGGGTCAAATCATGATGGTGTTACCACTTATACAGACTGCCCAGTGACTGCTGTAAAGAGTGTCAAAGCCATCAAAACGAAGGACGGATCAAAATTGCGTCCTCAAAGGGGAAGGGCTGTGTGCAGACCGAATGCACGTTCAGGGACTTTTTCCAATGGTGACCTTTGCCTTAACTCCCGAAATCCTCCCGGTCGCGCTCTTCGGGACAGTGGCAATAGGAATTCTACCTCCTGACTGTCTGTGGTCCGCCGTTCCAGACTTAATCCAAGAGCGAGTATAGGATCCAACGCAGATATGGGCCAACGGGCTGAAGGCGTCCTTTTGAGAGTAGATGTCAATGACATTAGCGTCAGCGACATCCAGGTGAATGAGTACGATCGCTTCTAAATCAGTCGGAGGAATTATTTTACTTAAGGCACCAGATTTATGTAAGTAGAACGTGTGTTGAGACGTGTTGGTGATTCCCGGAGGAAAGCAATACGACTTAATTAGCCGTATCTCCCCTGTAATAGAACGAATTTCCGATCTTCCAGGCTCAACGGGTGCACACGTTCATACCACAGCTCTGGCCAGTCCCACTCCTTGGATCCAACTCTAAGCGCGGTCGCGTCTCTAGCTTCAAATGACTCCAACGGAGGGAGGAAATAAAAATCGAGAGGACTCGTTCGATTGAGGCGCAGCATAACGAGTCGACGAAGGCGAGTATCAGGCCCAACTTAGGCGGAAAAGGACGAATGCTCATGGAGAAACTATGGGCACGCATGGCACACTTGTTGCAGGGGGCAACGCGCAGAAGCGTAGTTTTCCGACTCAGCAGAACCCTGTAGTCCTGTCGGACCAGCTGATCTGGGACGGACTTTGACCAGAGATCGAATATTGAGGCGGAAGCATCTTCCTGATTGATTTGGTCTTCCTGTCATTGCGTGGAAAAATTGATCACTGCCCTATGTCCAGTGTAATTACTTACCACATTTTGAGGCACGGGTATGCATCCCACTTCTTACTCTGAAAGAAAATTTGACACATATACACTGGCGCTTCCGCTTGACCAAGGGAGAAGATTCGATCTGAGACTCAGGTAGCTCGAGACGAAGATATGCGAGTTTTGCGGACGGATACAAGCTGGTTCTAGAACGAATAGGGCTCATCAGGGAGGCGTCGTCATTTATGTAAGAGTTTATTGCCTGCAAATCCATATAAAAAGTTGTTCGACAGTTCAAGGATCTGCATCCGTTGTACCCAACACCCCCTTCTCCTCCCTCCTTCATTCCCGACCGCTAAGGCATCTAGGAAATACTTCAGCTGACGAGGTGATTGGAACTTCGTTTTTGTGAGTACACCTGATCTCACTTCTGTTGTGCCATACGTTCGTAGGATCTGATCGACCATTCCCCAGTCTGAACACGCATACTCTTCGCCAGCCAAAGGCCATCATACTCGACTCTTAACACACACCGTCTGTTCCTGGACGCCAAACCACTGTGAGTGTTTATCTTTCATTACAACCATAGTATATCCGTCTCAAGGAACTGAATCGCGATATTCGAATCAGTAGAATGTCGCCGAGGGGGCAACATGGCGCCCGGGCATCCAGGTATTTGAGGACTTCGCTTCTGCATCCAATCTCATGACTCATTGGTTCCACAGCCAGGATGCCCACGCAACAGATGATGAACCCCAGGTGCCTCCACCTGGGTTTCATTACCCCGCATGGCTTGCCCTATGTGGCGGCCATGAGCATGTTTTAGAGCCCGATTGGGCTCTAAAAACTGTCGTCGAAGCGCCCATCGAGGCGCTGTTCCCAAACATGCCGGTCGGCATGATCAACGAGTACCGCGTGAGTAATATTTCACTTTCATCTTCCATATGTTGTTTACTGACCAATAATATAGTGGCAGTACTTCCATGCCAGGGTTTGCCTGATTTGCCAGGAAATCAGGAGGCGCGCCCGGAATGAGAGGCGCCGGAGGTAAGTCTTCACTAGCAAGGTCGGACTGCGACATTGGCCAGGCTAACTGTTTCACTAGGCAACGTTTGATTGTGCGGCGATCAACTCGCCTTTGTAAGTAGTGGAATCCTCCAGGCTAGCTGATTGACTGAAGGTATAACGCTGTGGTGTTACTTTTGCAGGCGCAAACCAAAACACAATAGGGACGCCGACACTTCAAGCTGGTGCCCCATTCGAAATGGCTTCCTCCCGCTCGGTGCCACAGGACAGCGCCATACCCTAGCGTATTCGATCCAGGTCGTACCATCATCGAGATCGGAGGAGATTGCCGGCGATTCTACCGTTTCCTGGATGATCTTTTCTAGAATCTGCATTCGTTCGCCTAGCACCATATCCACGTTTGTACCTCGACAATAGAATACTCTTTTCTTCGTCTGCGACATTGGCTTTCATAGCGCCTAAGTTTGTAAAGTCTTTGAAACGTTCTCAACGTCAACGTTCCGTTCGTGTGGTCAACTCGTGTAAACAGGGTTTAGCTTTTTCGCGGGTGCGCGACTCAAGATATGCTGCCACGCGCCGAAACAGACAGCATTGAAACCACCGTAGCCATCGATCAATCCACCTCCACGACTCCAACAGAGGGCTAACTCGCGATTCTTCGTCCCTTTACAAGTTTCGTTCAATATGTTCCGGGCACAGTGTTCCATCGCCTTCGCCTGTTCCTGTGCGTCGTCTTTCCGAGCTCTCGTTCCCCCATTTCCACCGGCCACGGGCACGTAATCACGTAATGACATTGCCCACCAGAGCAGCTTATTGGAGTTTCCAAGGCATTTTTCCATTACTTCACAACCCCATGTTCCACTATCCAGGCGCCGAATTCTGTCAAGTCTTGCGTGGTTCCGTGGCAAGGTGAAGATCCAGTCGATGTTCAAGCTTGCGTGTTTTGCGGCGATCGAAATCCGCGCGTCCATCCCACAAGCAACAAATTATATATAGAATACGTTGTACGGAAACCTGCAAGTCGCTTGTATGCAATGGTTCTCATTCCTCATTTGTACGTGCGACCATACTCCCTCATGCACCTCCTGTGTGCCAAACGATAGTGTTACCACATCTGCGACCTAACAACTATGATATCCAGAATAAACAACAACAACCTAACAACTATGGGCGCGGAGCAGGCGCCGTGCACATCGTAAAGGGGACAATATTATTACAAACTTTATGCATTTCTTAGCTGTGGGGGCGAGAGACAGGTCAGGATCGTCCATCCTAAACTCGAAGGGTGCAGACCGCTGGGTGGCGAACAGAGGAACCAAGATGACTGAACGCGCGACAAATTCAGAGTTTCGTAGTAGTAAGCATTCGCCTCACCTTCAAACGTCCTAGTCAGACTCCTCGGGATGGCCGCAATAACAATTATGTACGCCACCTCTGTTCGCAACTCTAGACTTGGACGGCCTTTTACGAATACTCTGCATTATGATGTTCGAGGTCGGCGAGGGCAGCGTAATGTAGGCGCTAACTTGTTCGTTGAGGCGGAGATAGGCAGGTATAGAATCCAATGCAGATGAGCTAACGTACCGAGTCTATCTAATATGGAGGCTGGGTCCTGCCTACGTACCGAGGGAGGTCAGTACCGCCCACCACACCGACATCCTAGTGAGTTAGATCGCTTCTACATCGGCTGGGTAGACTATTTTGAAGATACCGAATTTACCACGTCGACCATGCTGGCGATCCACAGAAGAAAGCAATTTGACTTTATAAGCTACAGGCATGTATCGTTTACTTGTGAAAGGGCAACGCGTAGGAAGCATGGTCTTGCTTACCCCTCAGTTGCTGAACCTGGTGAACCCGCCAAATTAGCTGGATTCGGGACGGGCTTCAACAGAAGCCTCGCAAGGTCGGAATCAGCCAACAAGAGGCCGGCCGAATGTGAAGCGACAGCATTTTTTTGTTTTGGAGAATGATCAATATCCCACGCATTGGGACCCTCAAGAGAAAATACACACTGTGCTTCTGCTCCACCAGTGTGTAGATGGTTCGAAGACACAGACAGCCCGAGACGAAGATGTGCAAACCGATCGATCCTGGAGGGAAGCATCGGAGTAATTTTATTCTATCGAGGAATCAAACCGAAGAGTTTAAGGACAGGAGCTCAGAGTGAAGAATGTTTGGAGGGATTTGACCTTGCCACAGTCGATGGAGGAGGTGGTCAAGTTAGCTCAGGCTTTCCTCCAGTAAGACTTGCATCGAGATGCGGAATTTGATGATGAGTCGGAATTTGAGGAGTACAAGGCTGTCGCTGAGCCTAGTTCCGATGAAGAAGGCTACACCAGCGCTATGCAAGCGTAAAAAAAAAACTGCGCCCGATTTGGATAAATCGCCCAGCTATATACACTGTTCAGGAAATCAAATGCATACCACAACAAATGAAACTCTGTCCTAGGGTTCGAGAACCCTCTGTCATAGGCAAAGCATTGATTAAACTTGCGCTTGGACGCCATACTGTACACAGAAACATCAACACAAACACAGCACCCAAAATATGACAATAGAAACTGGCGGCCCTAACATGACTCGGAAGTGCCAAATGGTCAAAATCAACTAAAGCACCGCCGAATCTCTGTATGCCTCCGTTCTGAACGAAAACGTAGAATGTCTGTATCGTGCTGGATTATCGTACAATCCGTCCTCGCCTCCCCCTGGCATTGGAGTCTCTGTATCCATACCAGGCGTCGTGGGCGAGGAAGGAGGCAGGAGGTTCGCACTGATGCTGGGATTCCTCAAGCCGGAACTCACGGTGGACATGCGATACGTTTCTGACAGAGGAGCACCTCTGTACGCTGCATCGGGATTTTGCAACGAAACCGGACGATACGAAAACCCAGGATTATTCGAACTGAATCCCTCGGTGTTGTCTCCATTATTAGGCGCGAGCTCCATCGTCGAGATCGTATTGTTGGCTGGTCCATTGCGACCCCGTTTCTTCGTTCGCTTGCCGGCCCTTGAAAGACCGCGGAAACCCATAGATGAAAAGGGATTCTGGAGGAAACCAGATTTCGGCTGCGGCCCATCATCCGGAGTGTCCCCGGTCGCCCGGTCTCTCCCGCCGCGCCGTCGAAGGCACATAATGCCGACGATGACAACCACAAGCATAATGACAGCATTAACGGCTAGTACAGCAAATAGAGCTGGTCCATACGATTCGATATGGTTCACTTTTCGGGCAAGGTCATCCAGGGAGATAGTGGATGTAGGAGAAGGGGATGGTGTCGGAGAGCCAGATCCCGTGCCGGGATTAGAGGGCACCTTGAGTGTCGATGAGCCACCTCGCTGATTTTGAAACTCAAGGATGGCCTGGGAGATGTTGGTGGTTGGCAAAAGCTGCAGTAATCGGGAAATTGAATGTTAGGAATAACACAAGGGCAGACTGTTCACCTTCACGTATGGATCTCCCATTGTGAGCTTCGACGAATCTGTGTAATCACCAAAATCGAAGCTACCAATGTATGAGTTGGTCGGACAGCTGTTATGTGTTCAAAGAGATTTTACTCACACCGTGTAGACATTTCGGAGGAAGACATCGCCAGCAACAATATCATACTGTCCACTTTCACCCAAGCTCTGTGGAATAAATGATCCAATACATTTGTTCTTGTTACCGAGCACGGGGACAACAAGGTCCAGGGGATGCAAATCGATCCGACGACCGCTACGGGCCGAAAATATGAATAAATATCCAATGCAGGAAAGAAAGAAACCAACCCAATCCAGAATCCGAAATAAACCTGTTGATTACAAGGTAGACCCAATGACCTACAGATCATGCCATGACATTTCAGCTCTGGAACGGCAGACAGGGAGTAATAGCCGACGAACCAGCACTGCTGTCGTACGTAGCACCTTGCACATTTCCATACATAGCCGTCACCAAATCTGATGGTGCGTATACATACGCAGTTCCCGTGTCAAGAAGGACAACTGCTTTTCCATTCGGGACGGAAGATACACTCGAAGTTAGAGTCTTCGCTCCATCTGAGACCTCGTATCCGTCCTAAAAGCCAAAGCACGGAAATGTCGAACAGGAGTTCGCTTTGGCGAAAGAAATTATAACACGCACGATAAGTATGTTCCAACGCGTTGGATTTGACTGGAAATAGACCATAGATGAGGCATGTCATTGAGAAATGATGCGTGCATACCACAGGCCAAGTCGGAATCGGACTTGTTGACATCACATCCGTATAAGCCGAATCTAATTCACCTATAGACGCATATATGTCACCAATATCTCCCAAGTCTTACAAAGCAAAAAAAAAAAAAACTTACCAATAGTGAACCCTCCTTCATCCAATAGTGTCCCGTTCTCAGCCCGCGTCAGAGAAAATGTTATGTAATTCGGTTCACTGGTGTTTTGCGCGAAAGCATTATAAAGGAAAGTTTTTCCCCAATTCCCTCCTGTTTTGGATATCGCATTCTCTATGTTAGATAACGAGGGGAAGCCTAGAGAAGCGAAGTGAGGAGAAAGAATTCAATTGATATCGTGAAGGCAACGGGAGCGACTGATGGGGCGGAGAACGTACCAAGTCCCATTATTCCGACAGCACCAAAGCTTGTGACGGGATTGTTAAATGTATCGGCAACTAACAGAGCTTGATTTGGTACGTTTTGGTTAGCAAATGCGACACTCGCATTCCCAATGAATCCCCCCGCGCCAGAATCCGCTCCAGTTCCATATGTTAAATTCAATGGGATTGACTGTGAATCGGCGGAGCGGGCTCAGTCTAGATCACATGGACGGGCTTGCTCAGGAAAACGCGTACTGAAATTGCCACATGTGAAACCGGAGAAGAAACGACAAGATCAGAAGAGCCGGTATCGAGCTAAATGAAACGGGAAAAAAATGAATTGTCAGGTACACCTGTATCGGGTGTTGGTTGGCATACACTTACCTGTAACACATAATCTTTGCCACCAACAGTAACATTCGCAATGTATATCACATCCTCTATATTTTTTAGATCCACAGCGCCACCATCTCCAGTAGCACGTTCATCAACATCGCGGTCGTATACAGGAGTACTTTGCAGACGCGGTCTACTTGTTCGGCCAGGGGCCCGCCTTAGCGGAATGCGAGTTGAAGATGAAATCGGAAGAAGATATAGCGCTAAAGTGCATAGCAACGCTGGCCGCATCCCGAAAAGTGAGGGAAGGGAAGTAAATGGACGGTGTGTCCTTGTAAAAGATGTTCAATGCTCAAGGTCTCAACCCAAGGAGTGGAACGAGATATGACAAGCAGTCTACCAAGCCCTAAAGAATGGCGTGCTCCAGTTGGAAGCCTCAGGAATTGTAAGGAGAGCAACTGGCCACTGTATTTTAGCCAGCCAAAAGGGACGTCGTGCAAGCAAAGAATGATGAGTTGGCCTTCAATGGGAGGTCGTCCTCGGCTGTTTCCGATCAGGTCCAACGCTGCCACCGATTCTAAGCACTCCACAATTAATATGGCGCCACAGTAAAAAGGCTTCACATGGTATAGCGATGACGTGAGTTGGGGTCATGGAGCAATATCTATAAAGAGACAACGCAAAGGGGGGAATTTGGTTCTTGTTTGCATTGGACTTAAAGCAGTAACTACACCATGCCAGTCTCCAGGAGGCATCGACAGGATGTGCGTGTTGTCCATCTCATCAAGTCGCGCCTCCAACCCTATCTGATAATTATAACTTCTGACAGAAAGCTAGGAACGTGCCACCGCAGGATCCCCAGTCAGCGCTCGACCTACGTTCCTACGCCCAAGATTCTTGTCTGAGCATGGAGAATAAGCACGCCCAGGATGCCAATGCCTCGAACCTTCATGGCAATCCCACCGTAGCAGGCGTTCAATCCGGCGCTAACCCTCATTACCAGAATGTAAGTACACGAACCCCGACGTCTCCAACAGCATAAGTTCAACTATGCCCAGACACCGACCAAAGGCAGCTCAACTTACATTTCGAGGAGTCACAAGCATAATAAGCAAATATTCAACCTTCCGCCTCCGGCGCTTCGAACGACGTCAGACAGCTGGTCAACTCAAGCCACGCAGGGCGACACGACCAGCCTTACCGATCCCAATAGCGACACCACTTCCTATTTTTCTCAATACACTCAAAACACTCCCGTCCTTAGTGTCCCAACGTACCGAAATTCAACCCCTCCCTCAGTTCTCCCAACAACAAACACACTTGCCACGAAAGGAACTGATGAACTGAAATCGCAAGAGGTGAACGAACTAGCAGAGCAACAAGCAGCAGAAGCTCTGGCATTGCAAATGCAGAGAGCAGAACTTGCGGAAGCCGAAAGGCTCGAAAACGCAGCGCTGGCAGCACGGGGACGCGCTGTTGCCTATGGTGCACATCCATCACATGGCAGATTGTACGGAAGTCCTAGTGAGGACCGATAGGGCTACCCATACTCAGGGCAGGGCCCGCCTCGCTTTATCTGACTGTCCAATTGCTAAATGCGCTTTGAGGTCAATTACTTGATATCCCTCCTCTATCTCAGAATTACCATTTCTCTACTTCTCCCAGATTTCTAATATGTAATGTAAACGCCTCAGAATCCGAGTGCTTTCCTCTCCTTGACATCCCGAAACTTTTCACCCGTGAAATCAGGGACAAACCCGACATGCCTTCCAGGCGGTATATCCGACTGAAGAATCATTTGCACCTGAGACCCGTCTCCTTCGGGGTCAGCGATGTATGTCGCCGGTGGTGCCGGTTTTGGTTCAGGTGAGAGCTTTCCAAGATACAGACCATCAACCCAATCACTACGGACATGTAGCGAATACCAAAACGCACCTCTTGTATTCGGCTAATCACCTCTACGATAGGCTTTGTATACCATCGACGCAGTAGCCCTACGTAATACTGATGGTCAACGTCAAAGACGACCAAGGATAACTAGCACAGCTCACCTCCATGCCCATCCTCAAACCAACCAACATGTCCTCCCCCCGGAGTAGCTGCAAACACCACCGCCCCATTCTTGCTCCTTTTTACAACATCCCAAGGCATGTTATCGGGATGCAAAATAGGATCGTCTAATGCGTGCAATGAAAGGGTCGGAATCCGGATCGCTTCTTTCTCAAGCCAAGGTTGACTACTAGTCTTCACATAATAATCTTCCCCATCCTCGAATCCGAAAAGTTTCGACGTCACATGGTCGTCATACCACCGGATAGTGAAGTATCTCTTTGCGAGTACTTTAGGGACATTCACATCAAAGGGAACGGTGACGTTTGAGTGTGGTGGGAAGGCGTGGAGGTTAGCGGCGAAGATGGTGCGTAGGGCGTCGGCAAGAACGGGGCCGTAGACGAAACGGTTCAAGAAGTGCCCTGTTTCAATGTATTTTGCGGCGGAGACCCAGCTGAATGCAGAATCAACAACGAGGAAAAGCCGCCTTCAATAGGAAATAACTTATGCACTTACTCCCATGGATTAGATACGAAAACTGCGGCTTTGATAGGTGTGTCGCTTCCCTCTTCGCCGAGATAGACCGCCAACGTATTCGCCCCCATGGAGAATCCAACAGCATAGATGGGTGCTCTAGGATATTTCTGGGTGAGATACAGAAGAACTGATCGAGTATCATCTGTCTCTCCCGCATGGTACAGGCGTGGCGATGTGATAGGATTTCCGTCGCCTAGGATGAAACTACTTGAGCCAAACTCCAACATAGGAAAAAGTGAAATCATTTATTGCTTACAGCCGCGGAAGTTGAGTACAATGGCCCGGAACCCTGGTCCGCCTTCATCCCCGACTTCGTGAGCTGGTTGACAGTAGCTCGGGCGTAGCTTTCCTAGGTGTCGTTCGCATTCGAGAAAATTTTGGGTGGCCTGGAGATGAACTTTGACCTACCTGAGAGCTGCCTGTAATGCCGTGAAGAATGAGGACAATCGGAGTGTCATCGGAGGTTGACTCGAAGGGAGGATAAGTATCCAAAACGAGCGTGCCATTGTCTGGCACACGCAAGTATATTCGCTGATACGGAACGGTATCTGTCTTCGCATGGTCACCAAGAGTATTCCAGATCGTCTGAAGATTTCCCCTTTGAAAGAACATAAGAAAAACGGACTAAGGAGGCTAATGAACGAGGTGCACTTCATGCTGACACTCACGATCGAAGCCACCATGTAGAGATATACCTCGCCTTTTCACCGTATAACGACGGACAACTCCTGATCACATCCAAGAACGTCTTCCCATTACCAACAAGCATGCTCGTTTCCTCGGGTCCATGAGTCAACTCTACCGGAACGCCCTTCCCTGACAGAGTAGCAGCCAGATCCCCATTACGAACGAAGTTGGCCAATAGAGAAATGAAAACAACGATAACCCATGGTTTAAGACGGAAAGTGCGAGAACCAGATTTCGATGGGGTAAATAATAAACTCCTCACAAGTGAAGAAGCGCTGTTCAACCACTCCTTCAGATGGAGCACAGGCAGTGTCATGAACTACTCGGCGTCTAGAGCCAGATCAGATAGTTGAGAGGGCGTGGGGCCACTTGGGGAAGTCGCCCCCAAGACTTCCCATCCCTGCGGCGGCGGGATCCGGGACCGGGCCGCATTCACTCCGCTAAAAACGATCCTTCCTCGGACATTGGTGGGGTTGCGTTGCGCCAGTATTACATAGACCATCTTCAATCACTGATTTTTGACTCAGCGTATTCACCTTGTATGCCAGACGTAAATACATTAGACCGAAGACGTGTGTACTGTACAAAGTGTGCAATGAGATGCATCATGGTCCCAAAAAATTGCAAGACGGCCGATGAGAAAGCGAGACATGAATCTCTAGAGACGTATGTACCTCATTACCCTATATTATAAATAAATCCGGCGAAGGTTGGATGCAGCAGAAATGTGCTTGCAAATAGGACACAGCCTCGTTGATCCAAGACATTGAAGCCAACATGTTTTACAGAAAACGTGCCAGCACGCCACAGACACTGTTGGTTCGGAATATGATTCCAGGCAGATACGGCAATTCGAGCTTCCAGGGCCCGAAGTGCTCGCGGAATGAGTTGTATGGGGTACCGCTATCGGAGGAGACGGAGGAATTCTATTTTCCTGGATCAGAAGCGTGAGACAACAAAATACTGTAAGGGCGTAACAAAACCTACAAGAAGGGCAGCTTTTCGCTTGAGTGCCCTGACGAGAATGTTTGTATCCTCCTTCCTTTCCGCGCTCGATATCACTCGGTTCAGCTCCGAGATATCGTCGACCATGTCCAGAGAGCCTAACGCCCCATTCACAACATGTATCATTTTGGTCCCATCGTTATCAACTATTGGCTGTCGAAGAACCTCTCCCGCAGAGACGAGATCTCTGAGGGACCGTGCACGAGCAACACGGGAGGTTGAAGAATTTCCGCCAAGCGGCGCTTCCTCCTCCACCTCCTCCATCGGCGAGTCCTCAGCATCAGAATTATTGTCAATGTCAACGACGTCATCCTCGTTTGGATTCACGGGAACTATGTCTCCCTCGTTAAATTGCGCATCGCCAAAGACAGCCTCGTCGACACCTTCAATATCCAATTCATCGTCCACATCGCCCAATGTTCGATCCCGAATGCTGAAGCCAGTCCCTTGGTCATTTTGAAAAGTATGATGCAAATAGCGACTGGAACATCAGGAGCACGATCTCAGATCATGTGCACGCATCCTGACTCACCTTGATACCCTGTCAGTGATGTGACTCGAATGCGGGTTTCCCCCGCAAATTCATAAACTTCTCCTGTTGCTTGTTGGAGTTGCCTCTCAGCGTTCGCTATCTCTGCTCGGAAAGCTTCGCTCGCGGCCGTTTCAGTTAAGCATCGATTGACATGTTGATCCATTGTTTCATCGCGAGGAATGTGGATACCACAAACAGGACAGGTGGAGGAGTTCAAGGCTGAAGCGGTTACTGAGGGCCCATCAAGATCGTCCAGAATCAATTTGGAGATCTCTTTCGCTTTCGCGTGTCTCTTTCTCCGCCTCGTTTGCAGGAAGCGGATCGTCTTCTCTGCTTCAGTGGTTAATGATTCTAGCGCAGTACGAGGAGCCGCACTCCGAGGTGTGATGCTCTTCCTGGCACGAGCAGCTGCACGACGAGTGCTCGGACTGCCAAAGTGCGCAACATTTAAGCCTCGTTTAAATTAAGCTGGTCAGGTGCAACGTGCTCACCCAGCTTCACCAGCATTCACATCGTAATCCAGAGTTTCCTCAAGGGGTGGGGGCGATGGCATCCGATTACTCAGCTCCTCTAACCTTTGTGTTTCCCACTCTGCATGGGCAGCAAGCTGACGAACTGATATGTGCTCTAAGCAAACGGGACATTGTCGAGTCACTGCTCGTTTAGCTGCAAAGCAAAGGGCACGCAAATCGAATCTTTGTCAGCAGCCCTGCTGAATCTGCACTACAACTTACATTTCTTTTTCAATATATCCCTTACATCCTCCGGTACTGGAGATAACGATGATGATGAACGATCACCTTGCATGACCGTCGAAGGGGCATTTGCTTTGTCTCTTCAAGTACATATTCACCCGAGCGAAGAAAGCTTAGGCGCGGCACGCGAATGACCCATGAGAGGCAAATGACTGACTTTGTGGCATATTGCCCGAGACTGTTGTTTGGGGCTTTGGTGATTGATTTGGTGCCGCTCCGGAGCTCCGCACGTCGACCTCCACAGTGGATTGGCAGAATGGATTTTGGATGCAGCGTGGCTGTGCTTCGGTGCCAACGTAAAATGACTCATGCCTGAGACGCAGTGCAAGCCACAGAAGGCAGGACTCCAGCCTCTATGTATGACTTCATAATATTGGATAGAAAGCCACAGGCACCCTCTTTCATCGCAAACTCTTGCGCAAGCTGTTGCCGTCCAACCAGGATCATACACCGCAGATTTGGCTATCGCACTTAATAATCTCTTTCCAGTCTTGGGTGGCACTCGGAGGCGCTCCCGTTCATCGAAGAAGTGTCCAACTCTGGCGCCAGCTAGTTGATGTTTACCCAGGATCATACGTTCCGGATTTGGCCATCTCGGTCTATGTTTCGCTCCGATTCATCGAGGAAAGCGTCAAACTCCAGCGCCAGCTAGTTGCTGTTCACCGGGATCATACACCTTGGATTTGACATCTTACTCAACGATATTAATAATGCTCTTTCGAGTCTTGGACGAGGCACTCTCGTTCGTGGAAGAAAGCATCAAACTCTACCGCCAGCTAGTTGGCATCCACAAGGATCGTACACCCTGGATTTGGCCAAGTCCCTCAACACCCAAAACATTTTCACCTCCCAACACCCATTGCTAGTTTCTGCATGCGATGACGTCGAGATTGGATGAATGATTAATGTTGGCGCAGTTAGTAAAGGGAAGGTGAAATTGACACGTCGGCGTCACCCAGTGTGTCGAGAACTGGTAGAGTCGTGGATATCCAACGTCAATACACGAGGGGCACAAATGAACCCTCTCCTATGGATACCCTTACCCTACAACCCCACATACCGCATCCTAAACGATGCATCTTCACCCCTCTCTCTCCTTCTCCTATTTTGGCTCCAGCGAGAATATTAGATCAAAACAGAAATCGTGTCGCCCACATCACCAGTGCCAGCACCGCCACTACACCCGAGTGCAGGACAAAACTCTGATGGAGCGAAATGAAATGAATTTAGGATTACATCAAGCCCACGGGGTCATGAGTAAAGGAAAGAATGCGTGACGAACCACGGTGAATGGAGAGAAATGATGTAGTAGCCTAGGAGACAACTCGTGTCCGTGAACCAGTTCATCGGAGATGGTAAAGCAGCCAGAAGGATGGGTGGATTGGAGCAGTAGATAAGTTACATGATGGAATAGCGCCCACCGGCCAGCTTATGTCCAAAATCAAGTTGCGTCTAAAAGGCGGAACCCAGTGATTCGGTCAAAAGAATCTTCACTTCACTGTACCTGGCAGAGAGAGGGTGATATATAAATATGGGTTGCAACGACGGCTCTCATGACAGTCGGAAGCTAGAAGGGACTTGCAACATCTGGGTGTCCGTTCCCCGGTCGACGGATGGGCACCGATTCTCCTGTCAGTCCTCGCCTCTAACCTTGGGTGCTGCATGCAATGAACTCGGGATCAGCTGCTCCATCACTCCCGCACGCGTATCATCCGCAACTTAAGTATGTCTTTCCATGTAAAAATATTGCATGGAGCGCTGTTAAGGATGATCTGTGCCATCCTCGACTCCTCCCGTTAAAGAGAGGCTGATCACATACCTACCTTAACTATTGCCGAGGACAAGGACAACTGGGATATGAGTTGTGCTATAGGTGTCTGTAATTACTTTATCCATAGTGTCCAATAAAAAATCGAGGTCCATGAGCAGGTAGCAAAGAATTGCAATGACAAGGGGGAATGAAAGAAACCACGGGACTTGGGTGGCTCAACTGTGGCCTATATGTGCCTCGGAATGATGTCCGAGATTGGAAACAGCGATGCCAAGAATCGTGAGTGAAGTGACCAACTGCGAGGTGTATGCTCCTGGGTTGATTTCGACCAGCTGCCACCAGAGTTCCACAGCTTCTTCGATGAATGGGACCGCCTCCGAGTGCCGTCCGAGTTTGGAAAGAGCGGCATATAGATTATTGAGTGAGGTGGCCAAATTCGGGGTGTATGATCCCGGGTGGACAGCAACCAACTGACGCTGGAGCTTGATGCTTTCTTCGATGAATGGGAGCGCCTCTGAGTGCCGTCCGAGATCGGAAAGAGTGCCATGTAGATTGTTGAGTGACATGGCCAAATTCGGGGTGTATGGTCCCGGATGAACTGCGACTAGCTGGCGGTGGAGGCTGACGCTTTCTTCGATGAATGAGAGCGCCTCCGAGTGCCGTCCGAGACCGGAAAGCGCGCCACGTAGATTGCTGAGTGAGATGGCCAAATCCGGCGTGTATGATCCTGGGTGAACAGCAACCAACTGACGCTGGAGCTTGACGCTTTCTTCGATGAATGGGAGCGCCTCCGAGTGCCGTCCGAGATGGGAAAGAGCGTCACATAGATTGTTGAGTGATGTGGCCAAAGTTGGCATGTATGATCCAGGGCGAACAGCAACCAGTTGGCGGTAGATGCTGACGCATTTTTCTATCCATGGGAGTGCCTCCAGGTGTCGTCCAAGATTGGAAAGAGCAAGATATAGATTGTTGAGTGAGGCGGCCAAACCCGGCGCGTATGATCCGGGGCGAACAGCAACTAGCTGGCACTGGAGGCCCACGCTTTCTTTGATGAATGGGAGCGCCTCCGAGTGCCGTCCAAGTGTAGAAAGAGCGTGATATAGATTGTTGAGTGACGTGGCCAAATCCGGGGTGCATGATTCCGGATGAACTGCAACTAGCTGGCGCCGGAGTTTGACGTTTTCTTCGATGAATGGGAGCGCCTCCGAGTGCCGTCCGAGTTTGAAAAGGGCCAAATAAAGAGCCCCAAGTGACTCGGCTAAATCCGGGGAGTAGAAACGCGAGTCCACTGAAAGAAGGTAACGGCAGAGTGCGACGGAATCGTTTGCTGCCTCGTATGCCTCCTGGAATCTTGCAAAAAAATCCAAATTCCCTACAAGCCGGACAAGCACACGGGCCAACGTGCGCACAGCACCTTTTGACCTGTGGCCACCAGCCAACTGAAAGATCATGAGACAGTTAGGTAGTTCAATAACACAACTGATAAACCACACCTTAGCCCACTCAGGGAGTAATGACATACTAACGTAGCCCTCCATTCTCACACAGGCTTCCACCCAGCGAGTTGCTTGCTGACTGAGAAACACGCCAACTAACCCATCGAGTTCCTGCGAAGGTTCCCGGACTCCGCTGAGATGATGAACAATATAGCGACATGCGTAATAAGAGTGCTCGGATAACTCCCCCAAGGGAATAAGCGGCAGCTCGTCTTTTTCGGACAACTTTTCAATCAGTTCTAAGCCCTTTACAGAGCAAAGATCCTGGTTCAGAATTTCAGTACATCGCAGGGAAACCCTGGAATTCCCCATCTCTATATCTACTGGGATGCAACAAGGGCTGATTGATGAGGGAACGATCCGATCGACAATGAAGTCGCGGAAAGATTGGTGTAAGATGCGAACAGGAAAGTGAGAATCCTCAACTCCTGAGAGCAGAGGAGCAAGTTCAGCCAACGAATATCGAACAGGAGACTTGAGGAAAGGTGACAAAATTGCATCCCAGGCTGTGATGGACAGAGGCTGCTGTGCGACAAAGATTGCTCCCATCACGATTGGGTAGTCATGGACAAAATCTTCATCATCCCAATCGCACTTCCTCAGAATGCTTGTATATAAGCGGTCCATCATTCCCTCGGCAGGGATCTTTGATCGTTTGGCACCAGTGTTGAGCAAGCCCTCTAGCGTCCTCATGGGATCCTTGTTGGCTGTTTTCATGTAGCGAAAGACGGTGCTGATCCAACCAAACAAGCCGCTCGCGCGTTCCAAGATCTCCCCAACTGTTTTATCCTCATCCTGAAGAGTACACCGTAAATCGGGATGCCAATTCTTCAGCTTTTGCAGCTCGAAACGTATATATGTAGCACAGTCCTGCACATTTGTGTCATCCAAAAGGTCAATAGCGATACGACCGATAGGGAATCGGGGTGAAAGGGAGCGCTTAACAAGATCAGTATGCCTCGATGTGATAAAAAATTTAATGGAAGATGGAAGCCTAGGCACTTCCTCCCGAAGAATATCAGCCAAGGACTCGAATACTTCTTTGTCACATTCATCTAAAGCATCGATGATAACCACCATGGGACGGTCGGAAGGTGGAGGTTTATGGAGGAGAGGCAAAGCCACCAAATCCTCGAATTGCTTCGCGAGTAGGGCCGTTGAGAGGGAAGGGTCTTTTCGAAGAGCAGAGATGATGAACGTGCGGTAAACCGGGTCATAGTCTGCTAGAGTCCGAGCTATGCCGCTGAACAGAAAATCGGGCCGCGACCGTTCTCCTGCTTTAAAGAAGAAGTGCAGTAACAGCGTAATGTCCCCTTCACTAGCACATTGTTCTGCTATTTTGAGTGCAATTGAAGTCTTGCCGGCACCAGCCACACCAGTCAGTAGCATTAGCCGGTTCTCACTTTCCCCAGTGTTGCGACACCATGTCATGATACGCTCCGTGAGATCAATCCTAGTCCCTCCCAGGCATGCCTGGGTGAAATCATCGTGGGCGATATGAGGGTATCGGAGACTATCAAGGATGTTGTCATCCTGTTGACGACGTTCTATGGCCGCTAATTTGGCACCGCCTATCAGATTCGTCCTAAGCTGCATTGGCCGGGAATCAGGACGGTTATGGAACGTATACGGTAAGGAAAGCTACCTGAAACGACGCCAATGCTTTGTCAAAGTCTTTCTTTAGGCCATCGATTCTTCCAGGGTCTCTCAAGTAGGACACTACATTTAGGATAGCCGGTCGTTTCTCGACTTTTTTCAGTCTTCGTTCGATTTCGGACTTAATCATCTGTAGCGCCCTGAGACTTGATGTAAGTAACAATATCAATGATCACCAAAAACAAATACAACTTACCTGTCGAGCCTTGTGACACTCTCCACCCACGGCTTTGCCTCTTCCGCCGACGCATCATAGGATTTTATGGCTGAAACCACATCGGCCACGGTGTCGACAACGTATTTCCCAAAATCAATCCATTCCTTCTTGTTGTCCTTGAATTTCTACATGACGCAAACTAGAGTGAGCTTGCATTCATGGCCAGGCAAAAATTATTGCCAACTTTAACTTCGTCGAGGATGGAGAGTGCACCGCCAGTCGCCATCTTTAGAGGGGGACACCAATCAGCCGTAGCATTGACGACTTTGAGAATTGGGACCGCGATGTCAACTCCCTCCACGAGGAGATCATCGATCTTTTGCCTGAGAGCTTCAGCCTTTTGCTGCACTGACATGATCGATAGAGGACAAGGTGATGGAGGAACGCTTTAGGCGCGTGTGGGCCCTCACATGCTCAGACTCAGAGCCACGAGGCCTCCGTCTCATTATGGAAGGTTAAGGAAGGGCGTAGCATACTTATACCAACAGCATGCGGACATCTAATCCTGCAACATCAGCGGCGAATTCCATGTAGTCCGCGCGGTGGGATGATGTGATTAAGTCCTGGCTTATCAACTGCGAGAGAAGAGCTGCAAAGAGGATGAGTGTGCGAACCCAATATGAATTGACCCAAGCTGGTAAGCGCCAGTGTTTATGCACGAATGATAAGTATGTCGATTAGCATGAACATTGCGAGATTTAAATCAGGGCAAATAAATCAAAAGAATCTATTCCTCATTGGGTTTTCTTCACACAGGACGAAAGGTCTAATGACAGCCAGCATCCATGACAACGCTCCAATAGAAAGACATACTTACATGTAGTACAAGGACCCGTCCGGTCGATTTGAGGGCCGAATTAGCTTTTTCGCAAGGTCCAACTTGTCAGAGGGCCTAAATGGGACCGGGAGATTCAAGATCTGAAGACCTCTGACGAGCTATGCCGTGATCCTCATGTACATGAACAAGGAGTGGCTTCGAAGTACTAGTTAGGACTCCTGCCTCTATTGTCCCTGCACGACGCAGAAAGATTCTGAACTTTCCTTGGCCTTGAGGTCTGCACAACTCAAGAAAGCGGAGGGAAAGAAGCTAGAACTTTGAAGACCTCGCCCACACTCCGTTCTTTCTGAAGACTGACGCATTGCCTACCATTCGGCCCGTCAAACCCAATTACACTCTATCCTCCCTTTGTGCCATTGGACGCCATTCTACCTAACCCAAAATTTCCTCCGGAAATCAATCGCGTCACTATTAACGGTACAATGGCCGACGAACGCAACAAGCATCATGATGCGCAAACCTATTCACGACATGGGTGTTAATGTTCGCAAAATGTGAAACATTTTTCTACTCCATTAATCTATCAATGGGAGGGAGTGGGGGCAATCTCTTTTGGTAAAAGGCTTGCAGAACAGAATAAAATGCAGCGAGTGTGACGAAGGATATGACGAGGTAAACGGCGTAGCCTCCGAGAATATCATGTTTAACGGAGAGAGCAAATAGACTATTTGCGGCTACAGGGAAAAATGCTCGAGTGAAGTTTGTGCGACTCCGTTGACAATCCCAAGATGCTGTGGAGAGAGAGAAGCACCGGTGATGAACAAGAAAATAGTGACTGGGGCAGAACGGTGATCGGAGGTGAGACGAAATCTACGAAGAGAAGCTTACCTCCACCCATTTCAAACATGGCCTATGGTATAATGATCAAGACAATCCCAATCCACAGCCATCTCAAAGTTCCATTCTCGGGCGTCGTATGTTTGACCCACATATGAACCATCCGAGGGAACGCCAAGAATACTGGCAGTGAGTAAGGAAGACATGACATTAGTAACTTCCTCAACCCAACCAACCGAACGGGTCTCGTTTTCCAGAGGAAAGTTAAAAATCAGTCCCGTTGGTGAGATGGGGACAGCCAGGTATACGGAGAACATGACGAACATTGTGATGATGACTAGGCGCTTTGAATTTGGGTGCTTTCGGAGTAGGAGCTGCCCCGACTTCATGCTGGTTGCTGCATGTGCTGCTGACTCATATGGTGTTGACGGCGCATTGGGCTCCTTCGTCTTTAAAGTCTATGGAGTAGAATTAAAAAGTGTGTCACTGTTAGGGAGAACTGAACATACCTCGTCTAGGAAGAAAACCCTGAGTCCGGACAGGAATGCAATTGCTATTGCCAAATAGTCTAGGAAATTCATCTTGGGGATGTTCCTCCAATCAGGGTAGCTGTCAAGTAATGTAGGTTTTCGATAATTCCTCAAAACTAACCAGAGGTGACCTACAAGCCAAGCAAAGGGGAAGACGGCAAGTGCTGTTGGCCTATTAACTCCAGCGAGAATAGATCAAAAAAAATCGTGTCGCCCACATCACCAACGTGCCAGCATCACCACTTCACCCGAGCGCAGGATCGACAAAACCCTGATGGAATGAATTTAGGATCATACCAAGCTCACGACGAAGCTTGAAAAACGAAAACCAAAGAAAGGAATGCGATGGGATAATCTGAAGACTCTGTTAATACATGTGCGTGCGACTGGGTCACTGGCAGGAGTAAAAGTGAAGACGGTGAATGGTGGAAATGATGTGGGAGGCAACTCGTGTCCGTGAGCCGGATCATCGGAGATGATAAAGCAGTCAGAAGGAAGGACTCAGAGCGGAAGTAGATAGGATAATGCCATAGCACCCATGACCGACCAGTGAATGTTGCGTCCAAGAGGCGGAACCCAGTTATTCGGTAAGAAAAGAATCCTCACCTTGCTGTACCTGGTAGAAAGAATGGACCAGACGGCGACATGTAAATATGGGTTGCGACGACGAGGATCCTGCTTTCATGAGACTCGGAAGCTAGAAGGAAATGAGGGTATTTCCGCGGTCGACGGATGCCAGGCCCGCCTCTGACCCCTTGCTTCTGGGTGCTGCATACAGTGAACTCGGCTCCGTCACTCCCGCGCGTGTGTCATCCGCATGTCTTTCTATGTAGAAATATGGGAGCGCTGTCAGGGATGATCTGTGCCATCCTCAACTTGCCGGACCATTGCCGAGGACAAGATGACAAAGATTCCGTGGCGATACACGCCACCGTGTGATGGACCCAATATATTGATGATCGGACCGATCGGGTGTTACATCATCGTGCCAAGTCAAGGGGAACGATCAGAAAGACTCCTAATTAACCTCGACCACTTACGTTTATAAGCACCGACCTGACAGCGCTCAATCATTGTTCTTCTGTGTGTATTCAACCTGCTCATCGTGATACTGTCTCCTCTTTTTACTTCCATTCTCTTTCATTCCTTGCCACCATCCAACCACAGCTGATCGCTAAACCACCTCCTTCTACCAACGTTCCTACTCCTCCGCCTCACATGGAAACGCGCGAGTCCTACTTGATCGTCAAATAGCCCGCCGACTCCAGAACACTCAAGGATGAATGCAAGAGATTGCCGTTGAGAGCGAGACCAGGCTTGGTTGGTGAGTTTCATGGGGCGTGTTTACTTCCTTTGGTTTTCGAGTTGGTGGTCGCTTATCTTTTTGGGTAATATTTTTTTCTTGGCATTTTGTTTGGCGAACATGATTGGTGATGCTCTTGCTCGTCTCCGGTCTCTTCACGCGGTGTCAACGTTTCACTGCTCCCCCGCCTCGACTCCTCCGATGGACTCGAACGTTCGGTCTCGGCTCAGTACACTCGCCGTATATTCATGACGTGCACCATTCGAACACTGACAGCTGCTGGTTCGAATGTACCCTCACTCGCCACCAATGGACTCTATGACGTAACCTATAAAACGACATGTACGAAGGCATATCCACACACCAGCCGCACCAAATTCATCGAAGATCCACCCATTTCCTTCCAACCGCCCAACCCTCCCTACATCTCAAGACAGTCTCCTTCCTCTGGTTGGATCGAAAGCAAAAGAGGAAGCGTGCGGCATTACTGTTACCAGAGGGCCTAGAAGGAAAGAACCAAGTCCAGCACAACTACTTGATCTCGGCATCTTAAGTGCATTCTGTCACCGCTGCAAAGACAAGTCCGATCTACAGCCAAGAACAACAGAGCAAGAACCAGAGGCATTCAAGTGATAAAAAAAAAGTATGCACATTTCTTGTATCAGTCGCTTGGGTTAAGCTAGATGGACTAACCAAAATCATTAGCCCCTCCATAAGAACGAACAACACAACTTATCGAGGATAAATACTGGACCTCGCCCTATTCGCCTGCGAAAACTTTCATAAAATAAACTTGGCCGCCTTATTCATATCCATCCCCCCCGTATATTCCGGGAAGATACTCTCTAACGGCTCTCCTAAACTTCTCACAGTGCTCGTTCACATCCTCATTCACACTCCTACCCCCCGGCCCCGACTTCGCCCTCCCGCAACATTCCCACTCCCAGCCCCGCCATCCAGTTCCCCGGCTACAGCCCTCCCCGCGATCTTCTCCATAACACATTCTTAATCAGAAAAAGGATAGTACTGGTAGAAAAAAACTATAAGGGACTCCATCCGATTCTGAGTAGGATTCTCAACCAATGGTTGATCGTATTCCGATAGCACGACGCAGAACATGCGGGTTCGAACCAGTAAATTCATCTTTTACGCTTGGGGCGTTGACCGCCCACGTCAAACATGACAGGTGAAGGAAAAAGTTGGAGTTCGTTATTCAGAAAGCTAATGGGAGGGGGGGTGAAGGGACATATTGGATATTCATACCAAACTTCGTCCCCGTCTCAGTCCTCGCCCTCAACACATCGGCCGAATTAGGTACGTAATTCCTCGAACATATCCTCCTCGCACGACCCAAAAAATACGCCGCTGAATTCATAAAGTAGAAGTCCCCAGGTTGGGGGAATTTCCCCCATCCCCGCCACCACACTATTACTTGCATCCCACGTCAGGCGGCTCCTGAGAGCGCCAAAGGCAGGCAGAATAAATGAAGCAACAAGTAACCAAAACCTAGATCATGCTCTAAATTGAATGGGATGAGACACCGCGAGACGCTTGAGTGTGATGCGCAGTACAATGGAGTCATGGACCTTGTCGGCGCAGCGCTTGATCATAAGAAAAGGAAATTGGGCTGCAGATAACGGTTTTTGGAAAATCATAAGACAGCCGATGGCCACTTCCTTGCATCCAGAAAACTTGAATAAAATCTGATTGCTCTTCCATGATGAGCAATGAGAAGACCGTGCAGGATTCCAACCTACACCGGCGCTTACCGCCGGTGATGATGATAAATCTATCTTAATACCCCGCGGCCTCGTGATGACGTGGCAGTGCGGCTATCCCGTCCTAACGCGTACATGGGGGGAATATCTATACATGGTGGTATTCTGGTTGGTGTATTCGGGTGTCAATGATCCTCGGGTTCTGTGGTGTCCATAGGTATTGTCGTGGTGATAAAAAATAAAAATAAGAAATGGAAAAAATGAAGAGGTTCCGTCTGTCCCCTGCAAGTTCTGTTCTGCTTCGTCTATCCTGTGAGTCGGTCGGGCGATGGCGGTCCTCGCGGTGTGTTTGTTGTCGTCGGTTTGTCGCCTGTCTTGCTTACCGCCGGTGCAGGTCAATTCATATCGAGTTGGCACACTCATCCTGTTCGCTCCTCTCTTGCAGTAGGACATGATGTCATCCACCCGTTCCGGTTACTTGACCAGTCTGAATCATGCTGCCGCGCGGATTACATAGAATTCGCCGCTGAGGATTAGATGTCCACGACCAAATGTATATGCTATACCCTTCCATAATCAGACGGAAGCCTCGTGGTTCTGAGTATGTAGGGGCTCACACGTGCGTTGCATGCCCAAAGCTCCCTCTCCTCCATCACCTTGTCCGCAGTCGATCATGTCGGTGCAGCAAAAGGCTGAAGCTCTCAGGAAAAAGATCGATGACCTCCTTGTGGCGGGAGTTGACATTGCGGTCCCAATTCTCAAGATCGTCAATGCTACGGCTGATTGGTGTCCCGCTCTAAAGATGGCGACTGGCGGTGCACTCTCCATCCTCGACGAAGTTAAAGTTGGCAATAATTTTTGCCTGGCCATGAATGAAAGCTCACTCTAGTTTGCGTCATGTAGAAATTCAAGGACAACAAGAAGGAATGGACTGATTTTGGGAAATACGTGGTCGACACCGTGGCCGATGTGGTTTCAGCCATAAAATCCTATGATGCGTCGGCGGAAGAGGCAAAGCCGTGGGTGGAGAGTATCACAAAGCTCGATAGGTAAGTTGTATTTGTTTTTGGTGGTCTTTGATATCGTTGCTTACATCAAGTCTTAGGGCGCTACAGACGATTAAGTCCGAAATCGAACGACGACTGAAAAAAGTAGAGAAACGACCGGCTGTCCTGAATGTTTTGTCCTACTTGAGAGACCCAGGAAGAATCGATGGTTTAAAGAAAGGCTTTGACAAAGCATTGGCGTCGTTTCAGGTAGCTCTCCTTACAGTATACGTTCCATAACCACCTTGACCCTCGGCCGATGCAGCTTAGGACGAATCTAATCAGTGGTTCCAAATTAGCGGCCATAGAACGTCGTCTACAAGATGACAAAATCCTTGATAGTCTCCGATACCCTGATATCGCCCACGATGATTTCACTCAGGCGTGCCTAAAAGGAACTAGGATTGATCTCACGGAGCGTATCATGACATGGTGTCGCAACACTGGGGAGAGTGAGAAACGGCTAATGCTACTCACTGCTGTGGCTGGTGCCGGCAAGACTTCTATTGCACTCACGATAGCAGAACGATGTGCTAGTGAAGGGGACATTACGCTGTTACTGCACTTCTTCTTCAAAGCGGGAGAACGGTCGCGGCCCGATTTTCTATTCAGCGGCATAGCTCGGACTCTAGCAGACTATGACCCGGTTTACCGCACTTCTATCATCTCCGCTCTCCGAGAAGACCCTTCCCTTTCAACAGCCCTACTCGCAAAGCAATTCGAGAATTTGGTGGCTCTGCCTCTCCTCCATAAGCCTCCACCTCCCGACCGTCCCATGGTGGTTATCATCGATGCTTTAGATGAATGTGACAAAGAAGTGTTCGAGTCCTTTGCCGATGTTCTTCGGGAGGAAGTGCCTAGGCTACCATCTTCCATAAAATTCTTTATCACATCACGACATACCGATCTTGTTAAACGCGCCCTCTCACCCCAATTCCCTATCGGTCACCTTGCTATTGACCTTTTGGATGACATAAATGTGCAAGACTGTGCTACATATATACGTTTCGAGCTGCAAAAGCTGAAGAATTGGCATCCCGATTTACGGCGCAATCTTCAGGATGAGGATAAAACAGTTCGGGAGATCTTGGAACGTGCGAGTGGCTTGTTTGTTTGGATCAGCACCATCTTTCGCTACATGAAGACAGCCAACAGGGATCCCATGAGGACGTTAGAAGGCTTGCTCGATACTGGTGCCAAACGATTAAAGGTCCCTGCCGAGGGAATGATGGACCGCTTATACACGAGCATTCTGAAGAAGTGTGATTGGGAGGATGAAGATTTTTCCCATGACTACCCAATTGTGATGGGAGCAATCTTTGTCGCACAGCAGCCTCTGTCCATCACAGCCTGGGATACAATTTTGTCACCTTTCCTCAAGTCTCCTGTTCGATATTCGTTGGCTGAACTTGCTCCTCTGCTCTCAGGAGTTGAGGATTTTCACATTCCTGTTCGCATCTTACACCAATCTTTCCGCGACTTCATTGTCGATCGGATTGTTCCCCCATCAATCAGCCCTCATTGCATCCCAGTAGATGTAGGGACAGAGAATGCCAGAGTTGCCCTGCGATGTACTGAGATTCTGAACGAGGCTCTTTGCTCTGTAAAGGGTTTAGGGCTGATTGAGAACTTGTCCAAAAAAGACGAGCTGCCGCTCATTCCCTCGGAGCAGTTATCCGAGCACTCTCATTATGCATGTCGCCATATTGTCCATCATCTCAGTGGAGTCCAGGAACCATCAGAGGAGCTGGATGGGTTAGTTGGCATGTTTCTCAGTCAGCAAGCAACTCGCTGGGTGGAAGCCTGTGTGAGGATGGAGGGGTACATTAGTATCTCATTACTCCCTGAGTGGGTTAAGGTGTGGTTTGTCAATTGTGTTAATGAAACTACCTAACTGCCTCGTGATCTTTCAGTTGGCTGTTGGTTGCAGGTCAAAAGGTGCTGTGTGCACTTTGGCCAGTATGCTTGTCCGGCTCGTCCAGAATTTGAAGTTTTTTGCAAGATTTCAGGAGGCATATGAGGCAGCAAACGATTCTGTTGAACTCTGCCGTTACCTTCTTTTGGTGGACTCGGGGTCCTACTCCCTGGATTTGGCCAAGTCACTTGGGGCTCTTTCTTCGGCCCTTTCCACACTCGGACGGCACTCGGAGGCGTTCCCATTTATTGAAGAAAGCGTCAAACTCCAGCGCCAACTGGTTGCTGTTCACCCAGGATCATACACCCCGGGTTTGGCCGCCTCACTTAACAATCTATGTTTTGCTCTTTCCAAGCTCGGACGGCACTCGGAGGCGCTCCCATTCATCGAAGAAGGTGTCAACCTCTGCCGCCAGCTAGTTGCTGTTCACCCAGGATCATACACCTCCGATTTGGCCGTCTCGCTCATCAATCTGTATGACGCTCTTTCCAAACTCAGACGGCACTCGGAGGCACTCCCATTCATTGAAGAAAGTGTCTACCTCTACCGCCAGCTAGTCGCAGTTCATCCAGGATTATATACCCCGATTTTGGCCGCATCACTCGACCATCTGCGTGGTGCTCTTTCCTATCTTGGACGGCACTCGGAGGCACTCCCATTCATTGAAGAAAGTGTCAACCTCTACCGCCAGCTGGTTGCTGTTCACCCAAGATCATACACCCCAAGTTTGGCCGGCTCACTCAACAATCTATATTCTGCTCTTTCCAAACTCGGACAGCACTCGGAGGCGCTCCCATTCATCGAAGAAAGCGTCAACCTCTACCGCCATCTGGTTGCTGTTCACCCCGGATCATACACCCCAGATTTGGCCACGTCACTCAGCAATCTAAATGATGCTCTTTCTAATCTCGGACGGCACTCGGAGGCGCTCCCATTCATCGAAGAAAGCGTCAAACTCCGGCGCCAGCTAGTTGCAGTTCATCCAGGGTCATACACCCCAGGTTTGGCCCTGTCACTCAACAATCTATATTTTGCTCTTTCCGAACTCGGACAGCACTCAGAGGCACTCCCATTCATCGAAGAAAGCGTCAAACTCCGGCGCCAACTGGTTGCTGTTCACCCGGGATCATACACCCCGGATTTGGCCAGCTCACTCAACAATCTACATGCCGCTCTTTTCAAACTCGGACGGCACTCGGAGGCACTCCCATTCATCGAAGAAAGTGTCAAACTCCGGCGCCAACTGGTTGCTGTTCACCCGGGATCATACACCCCGGATTTGGCCACGTCACTCAATGACCTATATTTTGCTCTTTCCAGTCTCGGACGGCACTCGGAGGCGCTCCCATTCATCGAAGAAAGTGTCAGCCTTTCCCGCCAGCTGGTTGCTGTTCATCCGGGATCATACACCCCAGATTTGGCCAGATCACTTGACAATCTGCGTGGCGCTCTTTCCCATCTCGGACGGCACACAGAGGCGCTCCCATTCATCGAAGAAAGCGTCGAACTCCGGCGCCAGCTAGTCGCAGTTCATCCAGGATCATACACCCCGGATTTGGCCACGTCACTCAACAATCTATATCTTGCTCTTTCCAATCTCGGACGGCACTCGGAGGCGCTCTCATTCATCGAAGAAAGCGTCAAACTCAAGCGCCGGCTGGTTGCTGTTCACCCAGGATCATACACTCCAGATTTGGCCACGTCACTTACCAATCTACATGCCGCTCTTTTCGAACTCGGACGGCACTCGGAGGCGCTCCCATTTATTAAAGAAAGCGTCAACCTCTTCCGCCAGCTGGTTGCTGTTCACCCGGGATCATACACCCCGGATTTGGCCACGTCACTCAACAATCTATATTATGCTCTTTCCAGTCCCAGATGGCACTCAGAGGCGCTCCCAGTCATCGAAGAAAGCGTCAAACTCCGGCGCCAGCTAGTCGCAGTCCATCCGGGATCATACACACCGGATTTGGCCTCATCACTTGATAATCTGCGTGGCGCTCTTTCTCGTCTCGGACGGCATTCGGAGGCGCTCCCATTCGTCGAAGAAAGCGTCAACCTCTACCGCCAGCTGGTTGCTGTTCACCCAGGATCATACACCCCAGATTTGGCCATGTCACTCAACAACTTATATTTTGCTCTTTCCAATCTCGGACGGCACTCGGAGGCCCTCCCATTCATCGAAGAAGCTGTGAAACTCCGGCGCCAGCTGGTTGAGATCAACCCAGGAGCATACACCTCACAATTGGCCAATTCACTCGGGAATCTTCGCAATGCTCATTCCGAGCTTGGACGTCATTCTGAGGCATAGATGGTCCACAGTTGAGCCACCCCAAGTTCCGTGGTCCCTCTCATCCCCCTTGTCATTGCGTTTCTTTGCTACCTGCTCATCGAGAAAACTAGCAATCCTACCTCATATTTTTTTTATTGGACAAAGTAATTATAGCCGCTAAACCCATAATCGCAACTTATAATCCCAATATGAAGGATACTCATTTCTTTTATCCAACACGTTTCCCTTTCCGTCGCTCATCACCGATGTACTGGTCCATGTTCAAGTTTCTGCATACCATCGTAAGCGATGACATTGAGGTTTGATGGGTGATGAATGTTGATGCAACGAAAGGCCCAACTGGCAGGTCAATATTGTCCTATGTATCATGAGGGGGACGTGTAAGTCGAGAACTGTACTAGTGAAGCTAGCTCAACTGTGCGGTGACTTGGGCTAAGGGACACAACATGCTTCGATCGGACTTTGGACTATTATCTCGACAACAGTATGCATTCCTATCGAACGCCTTATTAATATGTGCGTTTAAAGGGAGCTGAAAGTCTAAAGTGTGTGAGACCGATTGGTTGTGATGTCATCAAGAGTGGCAGGCTGGGACGAGCACGTCGGACTCGATCGGCACACTCGGTGCATTCCCGACAACCCCATGTCTTGACTCTCAATTACCTCTGCTTCGGAGATGCACCCATCTCGTCCCACCCACCTGTTTCCCCCAACCCTCTCGTATGCTTAGGAGACACAAAGCTTTCCTCATACCCGATCATTCCGTCGAAGCAATTGTTGATTAGTGAATCATTTCTTGCCGCGCGCCCTCCATAGTTGACTGGTGTTCCCCTTGTCACCACCTTCGTGCCACCATCTGAAGTCTTAGTTCTGATTCATTCGGACGACGAAGACAAGATTTGCTTTTTGTAAGGGCACTTTGGACATTCGGTATGTTTCTTTTTTTTTTTTTTTCTTCTTCTTTTTACGCTTTCTCCCCGGTTTATTGCGTGTGTTGCCAGCTCTCCCTCATGTAGGTAATTGGCGCCGCGCTCCGAACACGTAGAATGTTGGAGCTACTGTTTCAAATTCGTGACATCTAACAATCTTTAGTGGAGGGTTAGGGTCAACGGCCGAACGAGAATGGCACTTTTTGGAATCGGATGGGGAGAAGTCGCTGGCATTGCTGCAGAGGTCGTGAGTTTGAGGGTGTTTTTTTTGTCGATGAGTGGTGTCCTTTTCATTGAGATGGACGTTTTTGCAGATGAGCTAGTTTCTGAGTAAGATGAAGTCGGATCGATGTGATCAGTAGGAGTGGAGTGAATGATGGGCGAAGTGGGTAGTAACGGGCAGCGGAGTCGTTGGAGCTACTTTATGGAGTATTCATGGAATGGCAATGCTTAATAGTAATTTATGAAAATTTTTGCGGGCGAATAGGGTGAATAATTCTCCGTAAGTTTTGTTCCGCAGGATGTCGATCGATCCTTTTCACTGGTGATGACGTCTTTTCTAGGCTGGGGAGGTGCATGATGCGAAGACTGTTGAGTAGTACATTTTTCTTTCGCTTATCCATTCCTTCTTGGTCACAGACGACAGCAACTCTGACAGCCATGTAGATTGACGCCTGTGCTACTTATATCAAGCATTAGAAAAGGGCGAGAACGCGCAGTGAGTTAACAATACAACGCCAAATTATGGGATCGAGAATCTAAAAATTAAATTGAAAATAAGGATTCCCGATGACGGGCGAGCTCCGCACACAAGCCGCAATGCGTAAACGGACTCCCCGCTAGTGCAGTTCCAACCCAACACCCGGACAAGCCGCCCAGATCCGAGGTACCACCTCCCCAAGCATCCATGCGGTTATACGTGGGAGGTAGGTTCCACCAAAAAATGGGTGCGAACACGTTCAGATCACGGATGTAGAGATTCTGAAACTGTGATTCGTTGGTAAATTATGCGAGAACACTTGGACGAAGGCCAACTCGCGCCGAGAAGTATTCCGTGGCGATGCCAATGATCGGGCCGATCGTGCGTTACATCATCGGGGAACGATCAGAAACGTCAAACAGGCCTACTAGAGCTACGTTTACCTGACGGCGCTCAATTGTTGTCATTCAACCCGCTCATCGTGCTACGTCCCTCCCCTCTCTCTTCTTTTTACTTCCATCCTCGCTCTCATCGTCCTACCACTGAACCACCTTACCCAACTTGAACCCCAAACGGGCAACTGTTGCCCCTTTGCAAACCCAGCCGTTCTCTCTCCGTCGTCATCCCCTTCTACTGGCAGCACTTCCTTCTCCCGCCTCACATGGAAACGCGCGAGTCCTGCTCTGACTCCATCGATCGTCAAATAGCCGCCGACTCAAGAAAAGTATTGTTGTTGAGATCCGGGGAAAGCGAGAAGGGCACGATTGTAAAGCAGATGAAGATCCTTCATCAGGGTGGGTCGAGCGATGATGAGCTGTTGTTGTGAATCCGAAGCTGGTAGAGTGTGCCAAGCGCATGACGTCGAGAGGATATTGGGTAGTGACAAGGTAGACCACCCTTGGTTGGTGAGTTTCATGGAACGTGATTACTTGATTCCCACCTCGGCGACTCTGATGAACTCGAACGCTCGGACTCGGCTCAGTACACTCGGCACATATCCCTGACGTGTACCTGATCTCTGCTGATTCGAATTTACCCTCGTTTGCCACCAATGGACTCTATAATTTGGCCTACAAAAATATCTCAAATCCACACACCAGCCACACATCGAATCCATCCTTTCCTTCAAAGACCCACCCATTTCCTCCCAACCGCTCATCCCTCCTTGCATTTCAGGAGAGTCTCCTTCTGGTCGGATCGAAAGCAAAAGAAGGAGTGCACGGAGAGGCGGTATTATTGTTACCAGAGGGCCTAGGAGGAAAGAACGAACCCAGTCCAGTCGCACGTCTACATGGTCCCGACATCTCTAAGTGCACTATGCAGTATCGTCTCTTTCAGACAAGCTCGATCTACAGCGCATTCAGCGGACAGCAAAAAGTACGCACATTTCTTGTATCAGTCGGTTGGGTTAAGGTACTTAGAAGGACCAACCAAAATTAGCCCCTTTAGAAGAACGAACAACTAAACTTACTGAGGGTGCCTTATTCGCCTGCGAAATTTCACAAATAAATTTGGCCGCCTCATTCCCGCCCGTATATTCTGGGAAGATACTCTCTAACGGCTCTCCTAAATTTCACACTCCGCTCGCTCACATCCTCATTTACGCTCCACCGATGTGTTAAGCGGCGAGGGCTAAGACGGGGATACCGGAAACGAAGTTGAGTATGGGCCAGTTGAAGATCGAGTCCATATGTTTTCTTTTTCTTTTCCCCTCCCATTAGCGTATGCTAAATAATGATCTCCACCTTTTTTTTCCACATGCCATGTTTGACGTGGGCGGTCAACGCTCCGAGCGTAAAAAATGGGTTCACAGTTCGAATCTCTCACTTCCATCATGTTTTGCGTCGCGCTACAATCAATCACCATTGATCGAGAAGAATCGGATGGGCGCTATTTGAGATAGCTTTTCTCAGAGTAGTATCATCCTTTTTCTGAATAAGAAGGATGTGTTTATGGAGAAGATCGCGGGGAAGGCTTTAGCGGAGGGACAGGGGAGTCGGAGTCGGGGGTGCGAGTTAGGGTCATAATTCCTTAACATATCCTCCTGAACTCAAAAAGTACGCCGCTGAATCCGTAAAGTAGAAGCTTCCATTCCTGCCACGACCAAGTAAATCGGTATCGGCACCACGCCAATCAGCACTGAAACAGCCCCATGGCCAGAGTTTTTGTGTCTTCTGGATATTTGGCTTGCAGGGCTGCTCCTGAGAGCGCCGAAGGCAGGCGGAATAAATGCAGTAACGAGTAACCAGAATCAGTCCAGAACCTAAGATAATGCTCCAAACTGAATGGGATGAGACGCTTGAGTGATGCGCAACAATGGGGTCATGGACCTCGCAGCGTTTCAGGCCGCTGTCAATACGGCGCTTGATCATAGGAAAAGAAAAATTGGGTTGCAAAGAACGGTTGTCAATGATAGCTAGACAATCACATTCTCCGGTAGGCGTTGACGCGCGGCCGACGGCCACTTCCTTGCATCCAGGAAATTTGGATAAAAGATGATTGTGCTTCCATGATGAAGATCGTGAGAAGCGCCGGCAGATTCCAGCCTCACTGGCGCTTACTGCCTCGAAAGTCGTCAATTCATATCGAGTTCGCACATCATCCTGTTTGCAGCTCTTCTCTTGCAGTAGATAAGCCAGGACTTATTTTCTTGATCCGTCCCAGTCCGAATCATGCCACCGCGCGGACTACATGAAATTCGCCGCTGACATTGAATTAGATGTTCTGTATGCTGTCCACCAAATGTATATGCTATGCCTTCCTCGATCATCCTTCCATAATCAGATGGAGGTCTCGTGGCTCTGAGCATATAGGGGCTCACACGTGCATCGCTCTCCCAAAGCTCCCTCTACTCCATCACCTTGTCTGCTATTGACTTGACTATGTCGGTGCAGCAAAAGGCTGAAGCTCTCAGGCAAAAGATCGATCACCTCCTCGTGGAGGGAGTTGACATCGCGGTCCCAATTCTCAAGGTCGTCAATGCTACGGCTGATTGGTGTCCCCCTCTAAAGATGGCGACTGGCGGTGCACTCTCCATCCTTGACGAGGTTAAGGTTGGCAACAATTTTTTGCCTGGTCATGAATGAAAGCTCACTCTAGTTCGCGCTGTGTGGAAGTTCAAGGACTACAAGAAGGAATGGACTGATTTTGGGAAATACGTGGTCGACACCATGGCCGATGTGGTTTCAGCCATAAAATCCTATGATGCGTCGGCGGAAGAGGCAAAGCCGTGGGTGGAGAGTGTCACAAAGCTCGATGGGTAAGTCGTGTTTGTTTTTGGTAGTCTTTGATATCGTTCCTTACATGAAGGCTCAGGGCGCTACAGAAGATCAAGTCCGAAATCGAACGAAGACTGAGAAAGGGAGAGAAACGACCAGCTATCCTAAATGTAGTGTCCTACTTGAGAGACCCCGGAAGAATCGATGGCCTAAAGAAAGACTTTGACAAAGCGTTGGTGTCGTTTCAGGTAGCTTTCCTTACAGAATACGTTCCATAACCATCCTGATTTCCTACCAATGCAGCTTAGGACGAATCTGATAGGCGGTGCCAAATTAGCGGCCATAGAACGTCGTCTACAGGACGATAAAATCCTCGATACTCTCCGGTACCCTCATATCGCCCACGATGACTTCACCCAGGCGTGCCTAGAGGGGACTAGGATTGATCTCACGGAGCGTATCATAACATGGTGTCGCAACACTGGGGAGAGTGAGAACCGGCTAATGCTACTGACCGGTGTGGCTGGTGCTGGCAAGACTTCAATTGCACTCACGATAGCAGAACAATGTGCTAGTGAAAGGGACATTGCGCTGTTACTGCACTTCTTCTTTAAAGCGGGAGAACGGTCCCGGCCCGATTTTCTATTCAGCGGCATTGCTCGAACTTTAGCAGACCATGACCCGGTTTACCGCACTCTCATCATCTCTGCTCTCCGAGAGGACCCTTCCCTCTCAACGGCCCTACTCGCAAAGCAATTCGAGAATTTGGTGGCTTTGCCTCTCCTCCATAAACCTCCACCTCCCGACCGTCCCATGGTGGTTATCATCGATGCTTTAGATGAATGTGACAAAGAAGTGTTCGAGTCCTTTGCTGACATTCTTCGGGAGGAAGTGCCTAGGCTTCCATCTTCCATTAAATTTTTTATCACATCGAGACATACTGATCTTGTTAAACGCGCCCTCTCACCCCAATTCCCCATTGGTCGTCTTGCTATTGACCTTTCAGATGACACAAACGTGCAGGACTGTGCTACATATATACGTTTCGAGCTGCAAAAACTGAAGAACTGGCATCCCGATTTACGGCGTAATCTTCAGGATGAGGACAAAACAGTTGAGGAGATCTTGGAACGTGCGAGTGGCTTGTTTATTTGGATCAGCACCATCTTTCGCTACATGAAGACAGCCAACGAGGATCCCATGAGGACGTTAGAGGCTTTGCTCGACACTGGTACCAAACGATCAAAGGTCCCTGCCGAGGGAATGATGGACCGCTTATATACAAGCATTTTGAAGAAGTGCAATTGGGAGGTTGAAGATTTTGCCCATGACTACCCAATCGTGATGGGAGCAATCTTTGTCGCACAGCAGCCTCTGTCCGTCACAGCCTGGGATGCAATTTTGTCACCTTTCCTCAAGTCTCATGTCCGGTATTCGTTGGCTGAACTTGCTCCTCTGCTCTCAGGAGTTGAGGATTCTCACTTTCCGGTTCGCATCTTACACCAATCTTTCCGCGACTTCATTGTCGATCGGATCGATCCCCCATCAATCAGCCCTCGTTGCATCCCAGTAGATGCAGGGATGGAGAATGCCAGAGTTGCCCTGCGATGTACCGAGATTCTGAACCAGGATCTTTGCTTTGTAAAGGGCTTAGGACTGATTGAAAACTTGTCCGAAAAAGACGAGCTGCCGCTCATTCCCTCGGAGGAGTTATCCGAGCACTCTCATTACGCACGTTGCCATATTATGCATCACCTCAGTGGAGTCCAGGAACCATCAGAGGAGCTGGATGGGTCAGTTGGCGTGTTTCTCAGTCAGCAAGCAACTCGCTGGGTGGAAGCTTGTGTGAGGATGGAGGGCTACATTAGTATCTCGTTACTCCCTGAGTGGGCTAAGGTGTGCTTTGTCGATTGTGTTAATGGAACTACCTAACTACCCCATGATCTTTCAGTTGGCTGTTGGCCACAAGTCACAAAGTGCTGTCTGCACACTGGCCAGTGTGCTTGTCCAGCTTGTATGGAATTTGCTTTTTTTTGCAAGATTCCAGGAGGCATATGAGGCAGCAAATGATTCCGTCGTACTTTGCCGTTACCTTTTTTTGGTGGACTTGGGATCCTACTCCCCGGATTTGGCTAAGTCACTTGTGGCTCTTTATTTGACCCTCTCCAAACTCGGACGGCACTCGGAGGCGCTCCCATTCATTGAAGAAGCCGTGAAACTCCGGCGCCAGCTGGTTGCTGTTCACCCAGGATCATACACCCCGGATTTGGCCATGTCACTCAACAATCTATATTTTGCTCTTTCCAAACTCGGACGGCACTCGGAGGCGCTCCCATTCATCGAAGAAAGCATCAACCTCTACCGCCAGCTGGTCGCTGTTCACCCCGGATCGTACACCCCGAATTTGGCTACGTCACTCAACAATCTATTTTCTGCTCTTTCCAATCTCGGACGGCACTCGGAGGCGCTCCCATTCATCGAAGAAGCCGTCAACCTCTACCGCCAGCTGGTCGCTGTTCATCCAGGATCATACACCCCGAATTTGGCCGCAGCACTTGAGAATCTGAGTGGCGCTCTTTCCAATCTCGGACGGCACTCGGAGGCGCTCCCATTCATCGAAGAAGCCGTGAAACTCCGGCGCCAGCTGGTTGCTGTTCACCCCGGATCGTACACCCCGAATTTGGCTACGTCACTCAACAATCTATATTTTGCTCTTTCCAATCTCGGACGGCACTCGGAGGCGCTCCCATTCATCGAAGAAGCCATGAAACTCCAGCGCCAGCTGGTTGCTGTTCATCCAGGATCATACACCCCGAATTTGGCTGCGTCACTCAACAATCTATATTTTGCTCTTTCCAATCTCGGACGGCACTCGGAGGCGCTCCCATTCATCGAAGAAAGCGTCAACCTCTACCGCCAGCTGGTTGCTGTTCACCCAGGATCATACACCCCGGATTTGGCCATGTCACTCAACAATCTATATTTTGCTCTTTCCGAACTCGGACGGCACTCGGAGGCGCTCCCATTCATCGAAGAAAGCGTCAACCTCTACCGCCAGCTGGTCGCTGTTCACCCAGGATCATACACCCCGGATTTGGCCATGTCACTCAACAATCTGTATGATGCTCTTTCCAATCTTGGACAGCACTCGGAGGCGCTCCCATTCATCGAAGAAGCCGTGAAACTCTGGCGCCAGCTGGTTGCTGTTCACCCAGGATCATACACCCCGGATTTGGCTACGTCACTCAACAATCTATATTTTGCTCTTTCCAATCTCGGACGGCACTCGGAGGCGCTCCCATTCATCGAAGAAGGCGTCAAACTCCGGCGCCAGCTGGTTGAAATCAACCCAGGAGCATACGCCACACGGTTTGCCAATTCACTCAGGCATCTTCGCAACGCTCTTTCCAATCTCGGACGTGATTCCGAGGCACAAATGGTCCACAGTTAAGCTCGTGGCTTCTTTCATTTCCCCTTGTCATTGCGTTCCCAACTTTGCTACCTGCTCATGGTGAACACTAACAAATCCAACCTCAATTTTTTTATTGGACACTTGGATAAAGTAATTACAACCGCTACACACCATGACAGATCACGGTCGCAACTTATAATCTCAATATGAAGGATACTCGTTTCTTTATCTAACACATTCTGCTTCCCGTCGCTCATCACTGATGTACTGGTCCATGTTTCTGCAGACCATCGTAAGCGATGACGTTGAGGTTTGATGGGTGATGAATGTTGATGCAACGAAAAGACCCAATCGGCAGGTTGACATTGTCCGATGTATCATGAGGGGGGGGGGTGTGGAAGTCGAGAACTGTACTAGTGAATCTAGCTCAACTGTGCCGTGGCTTCCAATGCGTAAGGGACCCAACAAGCTTCGATTCGAGACTATTATCTCGACAACAATACACATTACTGTCGAATAGATTATTACTATGTGCGTTCGAAAGGAGCTGGAAATCCGCAGTGTGTGAGACCAATTGGTTGTGATGTCATCAAGAGTGGCGAGCTTGAGCATATCGGACTCGACTCGGCGACTTGCCGGCCACCCCATGCCTTTGCTCTCAACCTCTGCTTCGGAGACACGCCCATCTCATCCCACCCACCTGTTGCCCCCAACCCTCCTCGCATTCTTAGGCGGCACAAGCTTTCCTCATGCCCGATCATTCCGTCGAAGCAATTGTTGATCAGCGAATCATTTCTTGCCGTGCCTCCATATGTAGTTGTCTGGTGTTCCCATGCACCTTCGTGCCATCATCTGAAGTCTAATTCTGATTCATTCAGACGATTACGAAGGCTAGCAAGATCATGCCTCAGTAAAGATATAAGGCAGGAGCGGAGGGAGTGTGTGAGGCCAGAATTGCATGAGGCAGAGCCGCATTGCTTATAAGTCCATGAATTCCACACGAAAATATACGCATGTGAAAGAAACCCATATTTGACTCGGATAGCCCAGGAAGACGTCACGATAACCTACGGCAGAAGCCACCGGCTGTACCACCCGTCCGGCCGGATCAGGACCCTTCCGCTCTTACAAGGTTCCTCACTTTCGATTCAAGTCACCGTCACCAATGAACAGATAACGAGAGGGTGTACTACGGAGGCAAAGGAAAACAACCGGGGAAAGTGTTCTATGTATAAGACATGGAGATCGGTTTTCGAGGGTTGATAGGCGCTCCGAGTCACCATAAGCTTGCGGCGCGATCGCTAGTCCTCAAGCCATGCCAAGAGAATTCTTGTTCTGCCGTTGGATTTGTGTTCCGGCGCCAAGAAAAAGCTGGAGTATGAAGTGGGGTAAATTCAAATTGAATTTCCAAAAAGGCAATTGTATTACTAGTTTTGAAATCTGTTCCTCGTGCACGTCTGGCACGCTTTCCACGGCCCAAGTTCCTCTACAAAGTAAGAAGGCCATCCTGCAGGCCCACCGGAAACCGGTCGCTATCCAAATGCTCGGGGGGGTGTCAACGAACTCTTCTTCGGGGGGAACCTGTGTTTGAGTCAGGGTGGGTGTCAATGTCACCGGGGGGAGGGCACCTCCTTGGTGAGGTGATTGCAGTGGCGAGTTCAGGATTATCGTGCTGGAGGTTATCGAGTAGGCGGAGCGGACGACTTGTTAGACTGGAGTGAGGGGGATTGAAGTTGCCGGAGCGGCATAATCCAAAGGCCTCAACACTACTAAGTATCAGTGTGTGCGGGGTAAAAATTTTGAGACTTACTTTCCGAATTCTGTCATGGCGTTACATGCGTGGACCAACGTCAAGTTCTGTATCGATCTTTACATTGCATAGCTCAATACCATTTTTTAACTGAGGATACACCACCTTGGCAGAAGCTGTCCGCTGAGACCGAGCGCGCACTGAATTCTGACATCGCAAAGTCGACAGAGACCCGCCTGGAACTCATGATATGATCCAAGGGTAGTCGTCGTACACTCCTGCAGGGGGTCGAGTGAGAGGCGATGCTTGCAAGCTTGCAAGCTTGCAAGCTTGGAAATAAGAGACTAGGATATTCTTGATGAACGATTTCATTGCATCGATGTTAGCCCAATATGAGTCGTTCCCAAATATTTTCCAAGATGACAAAACCAAGGTCCATTGCTTCATTATAACACGGAGCATCTCGTGAAGGAAGACTGAAAGTAGTTCCCCCCTTGAAGATCCCCTGAAAAGGCAGAAGGTTCACCCCATTGAGCACGAAAACACGCTTTTCATCATGGTCAACAGACTTGACGAGGTCCCCTTTTGTTCATACGTTGGACTTTGTTGATAGATCGCTTGGGTCTGATCAGAGCTCGCACGTAGATTGCTCGGTATTGCATACTGGCGCACAGAATAGGCCTGGCGGGAGTGAGGAATGAATTTTTTTGGTCAGCATCTGGGAAGCACGTGTCGTTACGCCACCATCAAAATTCCAGTTCATCTCATCCCTGAGAAATCTTCGAACTCATCCCATGCGCTTGCAGAAAATACACACCTATCCTTCTTCACTACTGTCCTCAGAATCTCTGGCTGGGCATGCTGGATTTGGGCAAGGATAATTTCCACGGAGTTTATGAACGGTATCCAATGTGGCGCCTGCCTGTCCGATGCTCGTCAATATTAATGTTTCTTTGATCGCTGCTATATATTGTGTTTGGATATGACATGATTGACCGGTTCGTTAAGCCCTCATACTTCATACTCACAAATATGCCTTTCTTTGTGGCATTCCCCGCCCGGAGAATTTCCCTTCAATCTTGCCACCTCTGACAATGTTGCTTCGGACTGGCAACATATGCGGACCCGTATGATCAATCCATCTTCGGCCCTCAATGAGCCAAAGAGCCTCCTGCTCGCGCCTCTCATTATTGTAGCCAGACCCATCTGCCACCCGGCGACTGATGCGGCGACTTTTGAAAAATTATCGTCCAGAAAAATAGGGTGGATCCAGTTTGTCGCCTTCGCAATCCTGCGCAGTCGCTGCTGAACTAGTTGGATTACATTCATCTGATCGGAAGTAACCTTTGTTCCTGCTTTCTGCTTCAACCACTCCCCCGATCTGGCGTTTTGGTTCGCAATGTTTCAGCGATGGAAATCGTAGCGTTGCATGGCTCCATCTTCACCGTTCAATGCCATACTTTGAATCTGCTGACAATGTCTATCTATCAGGGTAACGTCAGTGCAAAGAACTTGCTTAACCATACCTTCAACTTCTCATGTTCCCTTTTTTCAGTTTATCTCGACGACGCTGCTCTCTCTCTGGCCAGCGCTTGCCCCCTCTCCTTCCATTTTCTCGCTTCCAGTCGGGAAACAGCACGGGGCCTCCTCACTCCGCTCACCAATGCTCTCAGATTCCGCCAACTGCTGTCGTTCGTATTCTCCCGGACTCACACGACGAAAAAAAAAAGCGCAGCAATCCGGTGGGATCTAGTTCACGCTTAACAGCCTTCTGTCCGCCACTGATTAGCTTTAGTTGTGAGTGTGCAGTTGTAAGGTTTGCTTTTTGGACTTATACGTGACTCGCATAATCTGCAAACGAATCTGTGATATGCAATTACTTGAACGTGCAGTACCCATTTTCAATTCCCTAGATCCTCGATCTTATAATTCGGCGTTAAATGCATGGTTGACTCACTGCAGCCCGGCTGCACGTCCCACCCTTTGCTAATGTACCATAAGTTAGCGCAGGTGCTAATCTACATTGCTGTCGAAGTCGCTGTCGTCTGTGACCGAGAAAGGAATGGATGAATGAAAAAATGCAGCCACAGTCTGTCACATCATTCACCTCCGTCAGGCTAGAAAAGACAGCATCACCAGTGACTCTCCCAGGAAAGGACAACCTCAATGGAGAATTAGTCACCAGATCTAGCCCTATTCGCCCGCAAAAAAAAATCCATAAATTAAGAATGTATACTTTCCTACTTATATACTTCAGAAAGGTCGCGCCTCCAATGGCTCCCCTAGCCCATTACTACCCACCTCGCCCCATCATCCACTCCACTCCCACTGACATCCCCCAAACTTCAACCTTACTCAGAAACTCATATATACAAAAACGCCTGTCTTATTAAATAACAAGACACCATCATCCACCCTCAAATTCACGACCGCTGCAACAATTCCAGGACTTCCAAAAAAGGGCCATTCCCGATCAGCAGTTGACCCTACGACGATAAACGCTACACTAAAGATTGACAGATGTCACGGATTCGAAACAGTAGCTCCACATTCTATGTGCTCAGAGTGCCAATTGGCTACATGGAGCATGCTGGTGGGAAGAAAGATGAAGATGGACGATCATTATTCAACGAAGGGAGAAAGCGCAAAAGAAAGAAGAAAAGAAAAATACCGAATGTTCAAAGTACCCATACAAGAAAGCAGACTCTGAGTGAATTAGAGCTACTAGACTTCAGATGATGGCACGAAGAAGGTGGAGACAAAGGGGAAAAACCAGACAAGTATATATGGAGGGTGGCGGGGAATGATTCGCTGGTCGGCAATTGCTTCAACGGAATGATCAGGTAGGCATGAGTGTGCCTCCTAAGAATGCGAGGAGTGTCGGGGGAAAACAGGTGGGTGGGACGAGACGAGACGAGTGTGCCTTGGAAGCAGAGGTTTGAGATCCAAGATACGGGGTTGTCAGGAATGCGACGAGTTCGCCAAGGCGAGTCCGATGCGCTCAAGTCCGCCACTCTTGGTGGCATCACAACCAATCGGTCTCACATACTTCGGACTTTCAGCTCCCTTCAAACGCACATAGTAATAATTTATTCGACAGGAATATTGTTTGTCGAGATACTGGTCTCAAATTGAAGCTCGTTGTGTCCCTTATTGGAGCCCAAGTCACCCCGCAGTTGAGCTATCTTCACTAGTCCTCGACTTCCACATCCATTGCGATACATCGAACCTGTCGATTGGGTCTTAGCATTGCATCAACATTCATCACCCATCAAATCTCGACCTCGTCGCTTGCGATGGTATGTAGAAACATGGGGCAGCACATCGGTGATGAGCGACGGGAAGGAAAAAGCGTTAGATAAAGAAATGAGTATCCTTCGCATTGAGATTACAAGCTGCGACCGTGATCTGTCAAGGGTGTAGCGGCCGTAATTACTTATCCATAGTGTTCAATAAAAAAAAGGAACCACGGGCTCAACTGTGGACCATTTGTGCCTCGGAATCACGTCCAAGATTGGAAAGAGCGTTGCGAAGATTCCTGAGTGAATTGGCAAATTGTGGGGTGTATGCTCCTGGGTTGATTTCAACCAGCTGGCGCTGGATCTTGATGCCTTCTTCAATGAATGGGAGCGCCTCCGAGTGCCGTCCGAGTTTGGAAAGAGCAGAATATAGATTGTTGAGTGACATGGCCAAATCTGGGGTGAACGATCCTGGGTGAGCAGCAACCAACTGGCGGTAGAGGTTGACGCTTTCTTCGATGAATGGGAGTGCCTCCGAGTGACGTCCGAGATTGGAAAGAGCAAGGTATAGACTGTTGAGTGAGATGGCCAAATCTGGGGTGTATGATCCCGGGTGAACAGCAACCAGCTGGCGGTAGAGGCTGACACTTTCTTCGATGAATGGGAGCACCTCCGAGTGCCGTCCGAGATTGGAAAGAGCGTCACTCAGATTGTCGAGTGAGATGGCCAAATCCGGGGTGTATGATCCCGGGTGAACAGCAACCAGCTGGTGGTAGAGGTTGACGCTTTCTTCGATGAATGGGAGCGCCTCCGAGTGTCGTCCGAGATTGGAAAGAGCGTCACTCAGATTGTCGAGTGAGATGGCCAAATCCGGGGTGTATGATCCCGGGTGAACAGCAACCAGCTGCGGTAGAGGTTGACGCTTTCTTCGATGAATGGGAGCGCCTCCGAGTGCCGTCCGAGTTTGGAAAGTGCAGAATATAGATTGTTGAGTGACATTGCCAAATTCGAGGTATATGATCCCGGATGAACTGCGACTAGCTGGCGGTAGAGATTGATGCTTTCTTCGATGAATGGGAGCGCCTCCGAGTGCCGTCCGAGATTGGAAAGAGCAAGGTATAGATTGTTGAGTGAGATGGCCAAATTCGGGGTGTATGATCCCGGATGAACTGCAACTAGCTGGCGCCGGAGTTTGACACTTTCTTCGATGAATTGGAGCGCCTCCGAGTGCCGTCCGAGGTTGGAAAAAGCAAAATATAGATTGTTGAGTGACATGGCCAAATCCGGGGTGTATGATCCTGGGTGAACAGCAACCAGCTGGTGGTGGAGGTTGACACTTTCTTCGATGAATGGGAGCGCCTCCGAGTGCCGTCCGAGTTTGGAAAGAGCGCCATATAGATTATTGAGTGAAATGGCCAAATCTGCGGTGTACGATCCTGGGTGAACAGCAACCAGCTGCCGGTAGAGGTTGACGCTTTCTTCGATGAATGGGAGTGCCTCCGAGTGCCGTCCGAGTTGGGAAAGAGCAAGGTATAGATTGCTGAGTGATATGGCCAAATCAGCGGTGTATGATCCCGGGTGAGCAGCAACTAGCTGGTGGCAGATGCTGACGCTTTCTTCGATGAATGGGAGTGCCTCCGAGTGCCGTCCGAGATCGGAAAGAGCGTTATATAGATTACTGAGTGACATGGCCAAATTCGGGGTGTATGTTCCCGGATGAACTGTGACTAGCTGGCGCCGCAGTTTGACGCTTTCTTCAATGAATGGGAGTGCCTCCGAGTGCCGTCCAAGTTTGAAAAGGGCCAAATAAAGAGCCCCAAGCGACTCGGCTAAATCCGGGGAGTAGGACCCTGAGTCCACCAAAAGAAGGTAACGGCAGAGTACAACAGAATCATTTGCTGCCTCATATGCCTCCTGGAATCTTGCAAAAAAAATCAAATTATCTACAAGCCGGACAAGCACACTGGCCAGCGTGCTAACAGCGCCTTTTGACCTCTGGCCAACAGCCAACCGAAAGATCATGAGGCAGTTAGGTAGTTTCATTAACACAATTGACAAAGCACACCTTAGCCCACTCAGGGAGTAACGAGATACTAATGCAGCCCTCCATCCTCACACAGGCTTCCACCCAGCGAGTTGCTTGCTGACTGAAAAACACCCCAACTGACGCATCCAGCTCCTCTGATGGTTCCTGGACTCCACTGAGGTGATGGACAATGTGGCGACATGCATAACGAGAGTGCTCGGATGACTCCTCTGAGGGAATGAGTGGCAGCTCGACTTCTTCAGACAACTTTTCAATCAGTCCTAAGCCCTTTACAGAGCAAAGATCCTGGTTCAGAATCTCGGCACATCGCAGGGCAACTCTGGCATTCCCCGTCCCTACGTCTACTGGAATGCAACGAGGGTTGATTGATGGAGGAACAATCCGATCGACAATGAAGTCGCGGAACGATTGGTGTAAGATGCGAACAGGAAAGTGAGAATCCTCAACTCCTGAGAGCAGAGGAGCAAGTTCAGCCAACGAATATCGAACAAGAGACGTGAGGAAAGGTGACAAAATTGCATCCCAGGCTGTGATGGACAGAGGCTGCTGTGCGACAAAGATTGCTCCCATCACGATTGGGTAGTCATGAACAAAATCTTCATCTTCCCAATCGCACTTCTTCAGAATGCTTGTATATAAGCGGTCCATCATTCCCTCGGCAGGGGCCTTTGATCGTTTGGCGCAAGTGTCGAGCAAGCCCTCTAACGTCTTCATGGGATCCTTGTTGGCTGTCTTCATGTAGCGAAAGATGGTGCTGATCCAAATAAACAAGCCACTCGCACGTTCCAAGATCTCCTGAATTGTTTTATCCTCGTCCTGAAGATGTAAATTAGGATGCCAATTTTTCAGCTTTTGCAGCTCGAAGCGTATATATGTAGCACAGTCCTGCACATTTGTGTCATCCGAGAGGTCAATAGCGAGACGACCGATAGGGAATTGGAGTGAGAGGGCGCGTTTAACAAGATCAGTATGTCTCGATGTGATAAAGAATTTTATGGACGATGGCAGCCTAGGCACTTCCTCCCGAAGAATATCGGCCAAGGACTCAAACACTTCTTTGTCACATTCATCTAAGGCGTCGATGATAACCACCATGGGACAGTCAGGAGGTGGAGGTTTATGGAGGAGAGGCAAAGCCACCAAATACTTAAATTGCTTCGCGAGTAGGGCCGTTGAGAGGGAGGGGTCCTCTCGGAGAGCAGAGATGATGAGAGTGCGGTAAACGGGTCATGGTCTGCTAGAGTTCGAGCAATGCTGCTGAATAGAAAATCGGGCCGCGACCGTTCTCCCGCTTTGAAGAAAAAGTGCAGTAACAATGTAATGTCTACCTCACCAGCACATCGTTCGGCTATCGTGAGTGCAATTGAAGTCTTGCCGGCACCAGCCACAGCAGTCAGTAGCATTAGCCGGTTCTCACTCTCCCCAGTGTTGCGACACCATGTCATGATACGCTCCGTGAGATCAATCCTAGTCCCTTCTAGGCACACCTGGGTGAAATCATCATGGGCGATATGGGGGTATCGGAGACTATCGAGGATTTTGTCGTCCTGTTGACGACGTTCTATGGCCGCTAATTTGGCACCACCTATTAGATTCGTCCTAAGCTGCATCGGCCGAAGTCAGGATGGTTATGGAACGTATACTGTTAAGGAAAGCTACCTGAAATGACGCCAATGCTTTATCAAAATCTTTCTTTAGGCCGTCGATTCTTCCTGGGTCTCTCAAGTAGGACAGTACATTTAGGACAGCCGGTCGTTTCTCTACTTTTTTCAGTCTTCGTTCGATTTCGGACTTAATCATCTGTAGCGCCCTGAGTCTTGGTGTAAGTAACGATATCAAATACCAACGAAAACAAAACACAACTTACCTATCGAGCTTTGTGACGCTCTCCACCCACGGCTTTGCCTCTTCCGCCGACGCATCATAGGATTTTATGGCTGAAACCACATCGGCCATGGTGTCGACCACGTATTTCCCAAAATCAGTCCATTCCTTCTTGTTGTCCTTGAACTTCTACACGGCGTGAACTTTCATTCATGACCAGGCAAAAAAAATTATTGCCAACCTTAACCTCATCGAGGATGGAGAGTGCACCGCCAGTTGCCATCATTAGAGGGGGACACCAACTGGCTGTAGCATTGACGACCTTGAGAATTGGGATCGCGGTGTCAACTCCCTCCACGAGGAGATCATCGATCTTCTGCCTAAGAGCTTCAGCCTTTTGCTGCACTGACATGGTCGGTAGCGGACAAGATGAGGGGGGGGAAGGAGCTTTGGGTGGCACGCGACGCACGTGTGGGCCCCACACCGACTCAGAGCCACGAGACCTCTCTCTGGTTATGGAAGCATAGCATATACCGATAGCATACGGACATCTAATCCAATATCGGCGGCGAATTCCATGTAGTCCGCACGGTGGCATGACTTGGACTAGTTAAGTAACCGGGACGGATGACATTAAGCCCTGGCTTATCTACTGCGAGAGAAGAGCTGTGAGTGTGCATGCGAACTTGATATGACCTGGATGCTTCTGGGACATCTCGATTCACTGCTTCAGCGTTATCCCTTGACTTGGCGTGATGACGTAACGCACAATCAAGATCAGGAAGATTATATTGGGTCCAGGCCGTTGCGCGTATCACCGCAAGTTGAATGCAATGGTATGTTGATGAGGATAAACATTGCGGGATTTAAACTAGAGTGCGTGCCTTCGCACGCGCTGACCTGCACTGCTTTTCAACACCCTAGTCAGTTGTACAGAAAAAAGTGAACCATGATTAAATCATTATTCCACACAAAAAGAGTGCATAGATGTTCTATGCTCAGGAGAGATCCCGAATCATGGCATCGGGCTATGTCAAGTGTGTGGAGACAATAGCGGAAGTGTTCCGGATAATAGGAAACAAATAGGAAAATGGGGAGCAGAAAGAGGACATCAGGACAGCGACTTGGGGGGGGACAAGTGTACAAATGAGGATAAGACAAGCGCACTGAAAATTGGTCAATAGTATCAACTAATAAATCTCCTTCCCTTGCCCAAAGCGCCCATGCGGCAGGGCAAGCGGGGGTGCAGCAGCAGTGGGGGGGTTGGACCAAGAGCTGCGCAGTTGGGCATGTGTCTGCTGCATCCCTTCAAGAATGGGCCGCATCGCAGGCTGACATGCCAATTCATGAGTACGACACAGTATTTTAGCAGATGCAGGCTGTGGCTGTGTCATCGGACGCAGCCTAGCACGACGAGTAAGGCAGGTAGGGGTGCAGATACAAGTAAGGGGAATTTTGGCCAGGTAAGCGCTGGGCGCGCATTCAGGTGTGCTTGGACTAAGCGCTGACATTGCGAAGGGCAGAGTTCTTCATATTAACTCCTGAAGTAGTTGGGCATTCACCCCTAAACTCGGTACGTGGATAGATCTAATTCTCCTCTACCAAAAGAGCCCAAAATCAAGCCTCAGAGATTCGTAGGTGACGCTCACGTTGGGTTTTGCCAATCTCACTTGATTTTCAGCGTGACTCACTTGATTTGTCTACCAATTGTACGTTATAAATATAAAAGTCACAAGGTCATGAAACCTAAATGGAAAATGAACACGTCAGCACAAGTGGCAGAAATGGCGTAATTTCACCCGGACGGCTGTGCAGGTAATACAATGCGGAATACAACACGTAAGCAAAAGTGGCACGTTTTACATAATTATGGGGGAGGCAGAGTGACCTGCAGTGCAGGTAATCAGGGCGAATAAACCAAAGGCGCACGAATTGAGTTGGAACACTGACACATTGCTACCATTCGGCCCGTCAAGAACGATTACACTCTATCTGCCATTGGACGTCATTCTACCTAACCCCAAAATTGTCCTCCGGAAATCAATCGCGTCACTATTAACAATACAATGGTCGACGAACCCCAGCAAGCATGCGCAAACCTATTCGCGACATGGGTGTAAATGTTCGCAAAATATGAAACATTCTTCACTCTATCAATGGGAGGGAGTGGAGGCAATCTCTTTCGGTAAAAGGCTTGCAGAATAAAATGCGGCGAGTGTGACGAAGGATAGGACGAGGTAAACGGCGTAGCCTCCGAGAATATCATGTTTAACGGAGAATGCGAATAGACTGTTTGCGGCTGCAGGGCCAAATGCTCGAGTGAAGCTAATGACGGTTTGTGCGGCTCCGTTGACAGTCCCGAGATGCTGTGGAGAGGGAGAAGCACTGGTGATGAATAAGAAAATGGTGACTAAGGCAGAACGGTGATCGGAGGTGGAGGTGAGACGGAAATCTACCGAGAGAAGAGAGGGTTTTCTTACCTCCACCCATTTCAAACATGGCCCACGGTATAGTGATCAAGACAATCCCAATCCATAGCCATCTCGACGTTCCATTCTCGGGCGTCGTGTGTTTGACCCACAAATGAACCATCGGGAACGCCAAAAACACCAGCAGTGAGCAAGAAAGACATGACATTAGTAACTTCCTCGGCCCCAACCATCGAACGAGTCTCGCCAAAAGCAAAGCCTGGGACCCACCCAGAAGCAGTCCCAAGCTTGCATTCGCTAGGGCCACTTTTTCTGGAGGAAGGTTCAGTCCCCCTGACGAGATGGGGACAGCTAGGTATACGGAGAACATGCCGAACATTGCGATGTCTAGGATCGCGGCCAACGCGTAGTTGAGGATTGCGATGATGACTGGGCGGGTAAGAGCTTCTTTCAATGTGGGTGCTTTCGGAGTAGGAGCCGCCCCGACTTGATGCTGGTTGCTGCATGTGCTACTAGCTGGGAAAGTCCCGTATGGTGTCGATGGCGCATCAGGCTCCTTCGTCTTTAAGGTCTACGCAGTGGAATTAGAAAGTGTGTCACTGTTAACGGGAACCGGCACACCTCGTTTAGGAAGAAAAGTGCGGATAGGAATGCAGTTGCTATTGCTGAAGAAACAACGAAACAGGGGAGGAAAAACGGGTGTTTTGACCAGAATGCGTTTCCGAATAGTCTAGGAAATTTATCTTGGGGATGTTGAAGCGTTCCTCCAATCAGGGCAGCTGTCAAGTGATGTGGGTACAACATAGTTTTCGATGATTCCCCAAGAACTAACCAGAAGTGGCACCTACAAGCCAAGCAAAGGGGAAGACGGCAAGTGCTGTTGGCCTATTTGTGTCATCCGTCAATTCAGCCAGCACTGTTTTCGTTACTCCAATGTTTCCATTCAGTAGTCCTGACATTCCTCGACTAATGACTACTCCTGGGTATGTTGTAGACATTCCGAAGCAGAGCATTGAGAGGCATGTCCCAGAAAGCCCAATCAGAAGGACAGGCTTCCTGCCGATCCTATCTGATAATCTACCCCAGTGAAGAACAGCACAACCTTAAGAACATAGGGAGTCGCGCGTCAGCTTCGAAGAGATTATATAGTGTGAAAAGAAATGATACCTTGACAGAAGAAGAAAAGGGATTCCTATCATTATAAATTGGACGTAGCTCGAACAAGCCATGGATAAAGTCCTACTTACAATGAATCCCACGTAATATCCTGTCAGTTTTGTATCTCCCTTAGTGACATCCAGTTCGTTCACCAACTAGGTGGCACCATAAAACCCATCCGATGTGCGTCAGCTGCCCGAGAATATCTCCGATTCGGTAAAAACTCACCTTGGCGACGAATGGGAATATCGTCTGTGAAGCTAGCGGCTCGACTAGCAAGGTCATCACGACTATTATCACTTGACCCCACGGTACTGGTGTTATCTTTGGAGGATCCGTTGACGATCGACCACCCGAAACGGGAGATGTGGTCTGATTTCCCAGTAACGGGGATTCTTCACGTTGGCTGTCTGTATCATCCTCCATATCGTTGCTCTGGTGGTGAACGGTGGGGGATCAGCTGGTGTCCGGGTGTCCTGGGGCTCACGGTCGGGTGGAGTTTACGCGTGGGATCCTCCGTGAATCGGGATTTTATAATTAACTCCCGCGCTTCAGCACAGGACCGCGAGAAGGCGCGCGTGCTTGGAGTTTCCGTCGTAGCGTTTATGACTACAGGCGGCTATTCTCAGTATTTGATGGCTCGCACTGCCCGGTGTATTTGTCCCGAGGTTGCGCCGCGCGTCAATGTGTATCATACTATATGTATCGTTGCACAAATAATCTTGGCATGTCGCGGCTCGATATCTCCAACACGTACGAAACCTCGAGACTCTGGTTATCTGATAAAGTCGTAGCTGCTCAGGGAAGCGCACGGGTCTTCGGAATAAATACATGAAAATAAAGTAAGAAATAACAAAAAAATCAGTCCACCCGTCCACCTTCGCCGGGGCAAAACCTAGATCATGCTCCATTGGCAAGTCCCACTTTACAGGTAAAATGGAGACTCGATATTGGTGTTGGATGAACAAGCCATGACGACGTGTCGGTACACGTATCAGTTACGTACATGTACTGATATGGTACCCATGTGTTACATGTTTCACCGTTGACTGCGCTCCACATGCAGCGCTTATGCGCATCTTATTCCTTTATTAGGTCTGGCTCATACCATGTTATTCTTATACCCCTGTGCGGCTACAATGTTACAAGTGTGAGATCTTCCCCCGTTTGAGTATCCCCGCTGGTGAAGGAAACTGTGCGTGCCACCTATCGCGGCAAAACACCCTCAGGATGTCCATCCTTTGCATTCAGGGTAGATACGTCTCCGACTTCAGTATGCCCCGTGTGTGTGGCAAGACCTGCCCCCGAAGTTTTGACTCGCCTCGAAGCGGAACCATGCAAGGTCAAGCAACAGCTTGACAAGGGCTGGATATTCTGTGACTTTTGTGTCGAACAACCGAGGAACCCCCGAATTCATATCATATCAGTCCCGAACGAGCATATGGGTGCCTCCGTGCTGGCTTTGTAGGCTGCTACCACCGTTTCCGAAATCCCCGAACCGTACTCCCGGCAACCTCGACCTCGGTACCAAGTCCTCTCTGAGCATTTAGGATCTGGGCCTTCACACGCATCTATTGTATTTGCGATAGACAGAACAACGGCAGGAGGAATACGAGCGGAAGAGGAGATCGATTTAAAGGGAACGCTCTTTTCCAAACATTGACACTTCACTTGTGTCCCATATCAGACTCTAGCCCCAGGACGAATATTGATCCAAAGGCATTGTTGGATGTAGTGCAGCCAAAAACACCTAAATGTCAAAGTCCTAACAAGGGACTGAGAAATGACTAACGTATTACAAGCGTACAAACAAAGTTGGTATCCACAATCAAAAGGATCCAAGGCAAAGAGAATTATTCTAGGCAGTACATGGATATATTGTCATCCTGAAACCGCACCACGAACAGTGTGGAGTTTTAACAGTCTATCATTAGCATTGGAAAATTTAGTTAGACGGTGTAATCAAGAAGAACGCAAGGAAGCTTACTCGGGAAACTCCCCATTTCGCTTTGGATCAGCTCTTCGCTTCTCCATGAACTTCCGAGTTTTTCTCTCGGGTCTGCGGGGAAGTATTTTGAGCTCGATCCCGGATCCGGGAACAAACGCGTTGACTCACTGCACAACAATCACTGGTACGGCGAACGGCTCACACAATATCTTCAATGGACCCAGGTCAATAATCCTTTCCCACATTCAATGGATTCTTGAAATAAATCCTCACCGGGATACACTTCCCATTCCTGGTGCACCAAGGGCTGCGCCCCATACTTTGAGGGTGCTCCGTGGCCCTCTTGTGCCAACAACTAATGAATCGGGCCGATAGAGAGCGATGAGACGCTCGATGGTCTCAGTAATCTTCCCTGCAATGAACTCCACGATTACTGAAAGCTGTGAAAGCGTGTGAATATGTATCTGGAAAAATGGGATCAGAAGAGGAAAGAAATACACTTCTGCCCTCATACGCAGTGTTTTTTTCTAGAACCAGTCTCATGAGTTCCTTTGCCTCATCTCTCAGGTCCTCATGCGACTGTTTCTCTGGATTGAGATGAGTTAGTATCCGGATAAGCGATCATTGCAGAAACTGACATACGTAAATCTTCAGGGTCAAACCCTCTTACAACAATAAGCTCATCTCCATCTTGAACCAATGAATCCATGGCCCAATCGAGCGCTTGCATTCCAGAGCTGTCTGCACTGGCGGCGCAAAGAAACACGCGCGTATTTCTCGATTTGTGATATCCTTCCGATGCAGCCTAATTCCAAACATCTCGGAAGTCAGTGCCATCGAAATTTAATTTAGTTGGTTCGAATGGTCGATGTCCGTTCGCAAGACTTGTAAACGTGCCATCGATGCCAAGAAGTGGAGCGGAAGAAAAGGGCCATTGGACGATTCTGATTGCCAAGCAAACGGGATCACGCCCTTAGAAACTGATTCCTTACCTGGAGGGTGTAACTGAACATAGTTGCATCGCCGGGAGTGTTGTTCTCGAAGGTGTCAAAGGATACTTTATTCGTGTATCCTGGTGGGTTGAACGATGAGGAACTCATGGGATGAAGCATCCCCACCCCGGTGGTGTGAGGTGGAGAGGTATCTGAGGCAGGCAATTTGGAGTCATCAGAAGGCGAAGGGGATAAGGGTTGAGATGTAGAGACATTGAGGTAGTCGGGGGAGTTGACATCCACGGATGGAGACGTGAGTTTAGATGAATCCCGCTTCAATGCTGGTCTGAGAATAGGAGAAAAATTGTGAGGTGTATAACCTTCTCTCGGGGAAGACATGCTGTATATCTTAGCCGCGATCGTCACCGAGTTCTATGGCTGTGTCGCGTGACCGGTTTTGGGCTTGAACTGCTAATAAATACATTAAAAATACGGTACAACCACCATGGCAACCTCAATGGCCATCCTCTAAATATCTATCCCAAAAGCCTGGGGTCCCATTATTCGGTGCTGCAAACCTTTCTATGCCAAGGAGACGGCAAACAAGTCCATATATCTCCACGTTTTCGAACCCTTCTATAATCATAGGATCTTTCTGCTCATCCAAATTAGTGTGTCGGTCTAGCATAGCACTGCTCGGGCTTCTTGGGAAGTAGTCACGGAATCCCCCAAATCGCTTCTTGCGCATTCGGGTTGCGAATGGTCCATCAGCAACAAAGAATGCATGCATAGATGATTCGTCATTGTCATAGCCATGGTTCTGGTTCGTGCAGATGAACGTATTGAACAACCAATGAGAGTTGAGAATGCTTACTCCTTTAGGTTTATAATTCCCTGCCATTACTACTTCGTGTTCATGGTGGTTCGTGATGGCCCAGCCGATGTGAGGCACAATCCAAAGCGGCGCAATTCTGGGGTTCCTGTCGGGATTGAAGTGGTAGCGAGCTGGCATGGATTTGGCAGTGTATACGTTAATTGCTGGGGGATTTGAAGTTGCGGGATTCGACGAAAGCAAACGCAATAGAACTTGCGTCAAATTCGAAGCCTTCGACATCCATAGGCCAACAGAGGGCCATCCTATTCCGTAAACACAGTCAGAAGGAAAGGCAAGCTCTGATGAGTTCAAACATACCGTCCTCGTGCTCAATCTCCGCCACCTGATCTTTCCCCATAACATCATCAAGATAGACGAGGCGCGTATTGCTTGTATTTGTCATTCCATGGTCGCTTACGAAGATGACGTCCACAATCTGTGTCAAATTCCTTTGCTTCAATGAGGCATGTATTGAGGCGGCAAACTTGTCCACATCGCCCAAGACGCTCTGACAACCAACCATCGTCTCGTAACTGTATGCGGATAAGAAATGCTCTCTTACATTGACAAGGTTGGACTCTGGACCGGCCTTGTGTCCAACTTGATCCAAATGGGGCTCGTACGCTAACGGCAAGAGAATTTAGGGACACCAATCCACGTCAGACAAAGCGCAGAGAGCACCTAAAATCAGCTGAGGTCGCTTCTCGAGCGGAAGATCAATCCATTCCATTATTTGGTCGTGCTTTTCCTGCAACGGGACGTGGTCCTTCCAGAAAAGCAATCAGAACACTCGGAGTAGAGAGGATTTGCATATAACGCACCCTCCACGGTACCATGTATGTTGGCGAGATTCCTCGTATTGTCTTCAGCGGCCCCGGCCACATTAGGTTGGCTGTAGTTAATCCTGCCTTTGATACTGTTTCCCATATCTGGTATGCCAATCATCAGGGCCTGATTCAAGTCTGGACATAAGCTGAAGACTTACTGGTTCTCCCCACCACCAAGAGGCGTTGTAAACCGTGTTGGAGTCTGCGTAATGGAAAGACGTATTCGTGATGGGATCGTAGAAGTTCTATAGGAAGCAATCTGCACAGCGGATCGTGCGGCCAAGCGAACCGCGACTGACATTAGCCACTACAATGAACAATCGGTAAGACTTTCAGCCCTTGAAGGTATTATCGTGGCACGAACCCATTCCGTGGGATTCCGCGTATAGCCCTGTCCTGAAAGAGTTTGAGCGCGGATATGATGGAACAATAATCTAATGTCTACATTATTGACCAATGGTTTCTGCGTCACCATACTTATGGTCAGGCTCTGCTAGAGTCGGGGCGAGATGACATACGGAAATGTGAGAGTCTATATGTGTCGGGCGGGTCATCGGTCAGGTACTCCGATTGTGCAAGCGAAAGGGGAACGAACGGGAAACACAGGTTTCAAAAATTTAGCTCGCAAGCCTTGGTGACTAATGTTGAGCAAGTGAGGAGTGAGCCCGCGTTCTACATAGTCGGCTCTGGCGGAGAGGAATGATCAGATGGAAGGAACACTTTGTCACACGTTACACTCACCTCAAACCGTCAATGGACACCATAAGGACAGTTCTGCGGAAGAACTGCGTCCCATTCCAGAGCCTCAGATCATGCTCTACGGGCATCCCAATATTGTGATGCGATTTTTGAGGCAGGAATGCAGGAATCACCAGGAAGACGACGAATGCAGCCGCCAGGAAGGTCAATCCAAGTACCCTAGACGTTCGAGACAGCTCTGGGGCCCTATCTGCCCGGAGTCGCTTCTGACGAAGTTTGTGACTTTGCTTTAGCTCTGACTTCCCAACAGACTCAGGGAGGAGGCTTTGCCCCTCAGTTATGGTGATATCATCTTCGTCCTCCTCCTCTATCTGAGCCCTGGAGGTCTTAAGAGACGGAAGCCTCATGCTAGTTTGCATGACTCCAACACCTCCCTGATGTGGGACCTTGCTTCAGAGTGCAGGAGCGAGAACAAGCTTGCAAACAGACAAAATTCAATGTCACGAATAAAAATTCTTCCCACGCTCATGGTACCCAACTTTGACGGGCCGAGGGCGTTCTTCATCAGCGTTTCTTTTAGGCAACGCACTGCAGGAGTCTATGCACCAGGATCATGTGGCGGCAGCTCACGGTTCCAGCGTGAAAATATCGACCATTGAAGGAACTTCAAGTTGCCTGCTGTCGACGACGAGGCGCAATGCAAGGCGGAAATGCTTTGGACACGTGTCATGAGATATATAGCAGAAGGTTACCCGTGGTTTGCGAAGTCGTTTACCCCGCCTGTTGACCCCTTGGGACTCTCGCACCAAGAAAAAGGGACGGTGCGTATTCGGGGAAATTGAATAAATTCCTCCAACCAATCGGAAGGTCCCTAGGCTTCGACCCCAGGCATAGCTCCTCCTGCAGGAATGAACTTGAATGACACGACAGCATATGCCTATGATTCAAGGAACGGAAATCCGGGAAACAACAGAGCGACGCTATACCACGACGCCATCGACTCCTTTGATCCTTCGCATCAAAGACGCCACTCGGGTAGACATTCTGCTTTTCACAATCCATATTATGGTCGCTCTGGGAATTACTACCATAATGCTGGTAGAAACCCAGAACCCACCACTGTTGAGCAACCGTCCAATCCAGACATCCACAATTCCGGCCACGGCCACTTTCTCAATCGTCAGTCCAGAACAAGCGGGTGGGTGACTCTCGCCATTAAGGCCCTATCACCGAGCCCTCATGGATTTTCACTCCAGACATGAGCGAAATTATCAGGAGCCACATGGAGATATCTCTTCCCGTCGGCACAGTCGCTACTCGTCGAGATACAGCGGCTCTTCTTCGAACCTAGGAAGTTCGACAAGCTATCTATCTTTTGAGCGAGATGACCCTGCTCGCTTCCACAGCAGAACTAATAGCGTGAATACATACCCCAGCGAGTACGATACCGCCGTTCCTGAGTAAGAAACCATCGTGGTTGGTTAGTAGGACTGCGCTAGATTAATATTTTCACGTTAGATCAAGGACCAGTCATTCCTCTCAGAGCGATTGGCACTCATACGATGACGGGGACGATGTATTATATCGGGGTGATCGTACACAATCCTACAGGAACGAGTATGACGACAACCGAAGTGTACCATCGACCTATTTCAGTGGGGGCTCTTACACTAGTCACCAACCCTACCAGCAAAGCCCCAGTCGCAGCCCATCAAACGGTTACTATCATTCACCGTCTGTACCGGACAGTCATTCAAGGTCGAGTGCGCAACAGTGAGTGAACGAGCTGTCCGTGCTGTAATTCCCTTGCTCCAACCTTAGATTGCTGAACGACAGGACACCAACCGAATATTACTATGACACTCATGATAGAAGGTTCAAACGTAGCCGTTATCTACCCGGAGCCTATTTCGATGAATACGATTCTGATTCAACGTTCGAGGATGGATGTGGTGCAGCCAACATTGCAACAACAACACCTGTATTGGACGCCGATGTACACACCGAAGGATACAGTACCTCGGACGAAGGTGTAAGTGATACAGATATATCAGAGACGGACAATTCCAGCGATGGTGACTACAGTGATGATGAGGATGATTATGGCAGAGATCGATACTATAACGATCGTGCTTACTACAGCGATGAGGACGATGATGATGATGATTTGTATGGCGAGCCGGGATACGACGGTTATGGATATTGGAACGATTATTACAACGATTTCCGGGGTCGCTCATACTGAGCAGGTGGTTTTGGATGTCGGCCCATGGCCAATAAAGCAGCTTTGCAGACAAAATGAAATAGTTGCTCTTGACACGCGAATGCTCCTACACTGGCAAGTCATCTTGGATCGCAGTTGGTTACAATGTCCCGGCCCGACAATCCTACAATCTTTCGTGAGGGCGTTTGAGGACCCCTCAAACGTGTTCGCTTGACAAGTGCCGCAAAGATGGTTTGAGATTCGAGGACAGCACGCTGAAATCTAGCGCGCATCTACGTAGCTTCCTTTTCCAAGATTGCTGAGTCGAATAGCCGGACTTGTGACGATCCGTGGGTGTATAACCTTTCCTCGCCAGCGTCCAGCACAAGGCAACGTGGTTCGAACGTTTGACTCTGTGTCTTTTGATGAAAAGAGGAGGAACGATAACAAAAAATCAGAGCCAAATCATTTTCCCGCAAAATATGACCCAGAGTCCTGGTTGACTACCATGAATTGTGATTGAAACAATCGCTATATCTGAGGACCGTGGAGCAGGGTATAACAATCACTAATCATATCGGAGAACGTAAAACTGGTCATTGCCAGGAAAGCTGGCGTCCGTGTCGGCAAAGAATACGCCGCTACGAAAACAGGGCCAACTTTGCAAAGAGACACAAACGTGTGATTCCTCCTCCAATGCAAAGAGCAAAGTTGACCGCTCGAAATTAGGGTTCGCGGAAGGAAGGCGCTGGGAACCAACTCGCATGTGCCAAGATAGGCTGTCATTACCAGCACTTGATCCTTCCAAGGCTCTTCCAGGTCGCTCAAATGCAACTTGAACCGGTACGAATAAGTCCGGTTCAATCAGGCAAACGAGATCGTCCGGGAGAGAGTGGGATGGCCGGTAGTCACAAAGTACTTGGAATCGAGCCTGCAACTGTAACAAGGCTGTATTCCCTTGAATGCTGTCATACAGCTCTGGGGAGGGGTCGAGCTTCTGAATTAGGAGTAAGAGATACCTTTCGTCTCCTCGAACGAGAATGTACACAACGTCGCTCCGGGAAGGGTGTGGCCGAGCGCAGTCTATGTGATCGATACTGAATTCGACGATGTCGGGATCACCAGCATCAAAGGGAGGGATACTGAGTCCATAGGTGTGGACGGGTGCTGATCCACCATTCATACTGGGGAATGATGGCGGAAGCATATGTGAATTGTCAAGTGCTTGTTGAGGTGGCAAAACAAATTGGTAAACATGTGACAGATCGCCTGTGATGCCATAGAGCGCCAGTGGCTGAAGCCACATTCGACTAGACTGCGATTCGGATAAGTCAAGTGTTTGAGGAGATCCTGCGCAAGTGTACCTCAAAGTTTGGTGTGTCCACTTTGACCACAGAATGGGCACGCCAATCCCATATAAGCCACCAATCATCAGCATCCCAACGGACACCGACCATGTTGCATTCCATGAATGTCCTGACGTGTTGATCCCCTCGCTCACGGGGGATACAAAGGTAGTTCAGCCTCGATATAGTAGGGGACGTCGAGTAGGAGAAACCCCAAGTGACAGACACTATCTCCATCACTCTAGGTGGCTATTTAGTCCAAATCCATGACGTCGCTTGAATTATAGAGGGGAAACTTACAAAAACCCAATGATCTCAAATCCAATAAGAACTACTGTGCGTCGATTCTGTGGGTCCGCTTCATGAATAACCGTGTAGATACTGTCTACCAACTGATTATCATGGTCGATTATCAGGCTCGCCGTGGGTGTGATATGATGATCGAAGTCTGCTGCGGAGTTTCTGTAAATGACGCTGTTAGCCGAATTGAGATCCCAGCAGTACACCCGGTAATGAGTGCCATCCCAGGCACAACCAATAGCCCAACGTCCCCCTGGGACCAGGAATGCATGTGGGTTTGAGCTTGGCTCCCATCCTCTGGTAGGAAAGTCAGGCCCTGGATCAACGCGTATTGATTTGGTAGTCAAGTTCACGGGTCTTTTCAGCACGAGATCCCGATATAGCCGTAAGGGACGACTGGCCAGACGCTTGAGCCCTTCCATCGACATCATCTCCAGTGGAAATGTAGACCGATCGATGCACTCCTTTTCAATCAAGCGATGTACGAGGCTAATCCATAACGCTCGGTTTCCATAAATTTCACAATATAGGGACTTGCATGTCTATAAGTGAATTTCATACGCCTGTCGCTGACGATGACGAATGATTGCGCACCAAACCGAGCATCACTAGTTCCCTCACATCCAAGGAGTATAGAATGATAAGAACAACGTCGGATGGCACTTCATGGAGAAGTCTCATAGAAGGCGACGTTCTGACCCCAAGAGTAGTATTAAGGCTAGGTGCCTCGAGATTGCGTTCGGTGTTCTACGCACAATAATCACCAGCCCTATTGGAAGAGATGTCGGAAGCGCGAGTCTAACTGGATTAAAGTGGCAGTCCCATCACGTGACTTGCGGTGATTGACTGTGGCGAGCGCGTCCAAGCAGGGGCGAATTCCACGCGGAGCGTGAGTCGGCAAAATTCACGCTTGGGTGCCGTTTGACGGGACACTGACCTCCGCACGTGGCATCTGTCAATATGGGTGAGCCCTGAACGCGATCTTCTTGGCCTTCCTTGTCTGACCGCACCTTACCACAAAGAGCCCAGCATCTCTAGGGGTCTGACAGACAAATTCTACGAGAAAAGGAAAGCCGCAGCATTGGAGATAGAAAAGTAAGCTTAAAACAGCAGGCCTAAGTCTCCGTTTTTATCATGTGTTGCAATACGAACCAGGCTGGTCCGCGAGTGTTATGCTCAGAATGACACCAATCGTATCCACCAAATCATCGAACAGCTTGTTGATTTATTCTCGACTCCATCGAATGCCCTTCACGCTAGGAATGGGGGTCTCATTGGTCTTGCCGCAACGGCTATTGCCCTTGGGGTAGAAATTTCACCCTTTATGGAGAAGTTCATCGACCCTCTCTTGAAATGCTTCTCCGACTCGGAAAGTCGAATCCGATACTTTGCTTGCGAGAGTATGTATAACATTGCAAAGGTGTCCAAAGGCGAAATACTGGTTTATTTTAACCAAGTCTTTGACGCCCTGAGCAAAGTGAGTGTGAGATCATAACATGCTGATGGGTATGCCTCAATTCTTCCATAGTTGGCGGCGGATTCCGAATTGTCGGTCAAGAATGGCGCCGAATTATTAGATCGGTTACTCAAGGACATCGTTGCAGAATCAGCTCCTGTCTACTTTCCTCAATACCCCGAAACGGAACGCATCCGAAATGAAACACATGATCATAGCGTGTACGGATTGGATATCATGGTCCCAGTTGAAGACAATTTCGACAGCGAGAAGCCACTTCCGAAGAAAGCCTTTTCGTTGGCGCATTTCATACCTCTATTGTCTGAGCGGATATACGTTATCAATCCTTTCACTAGAAGTTATCTGGTATCCTGGATCACCGTGCTGGATTCAGTCCCTGATCTGGAGCTCGTGTCATTCCTCCCAGAGTTCCTCGATGGTTTGTTGTGAGCATCTCAGTTCTATTCCTGTCAAATAGTGCTGAAGGATTTGGCCAGTAAGTACCTGTCGGATCCGACTGAAGATGTTAGGGTAGCGACCGAAATTCTAATGGCTGATTTTTTGAGAGAGATCCGTGGAATTGCAATTTCCAATCGTCAACGGGGCGACAAGGAACGAAGGTCTGGAGACAACAGGTCACCAGACAGCCTAAGGGACATGAAGTCGTCGAATCGTGATGATCACATTCCTTCCATCAGTGCCTCGCCGGAACGAGGAGGTTTTTTGCTGACCCCTGATGGACAAGTAGCCCCTAATGAGGAAGAAGCAATTTTTCCAAACCACCACCATTCGGAGGAGATTCGAGACGGCGGTCTGTGCATGACGCTTGATCTATTTCCCTCTTCTCATTCATCACTTTTCAGCTTGGAGTCGTGGCCAAGGTGTAACTGTGGATCATGCAGCGATCGTTGAGATATTAATCCAACAATTAGATGCTACTCGTGCGTCGGTGCCAGAGTCCCCAATATAGTCCCTAATTCTTCTTTTTAGATGATGAAATACAGCAATCTACGGCGCTGAGGTGGATTGCCGAGTTCCTAGACTTCGCGCAAGATGTCATGCTCCCATTCACACCTCGCCTGATCCCTGCGATCCTGCCAAATCTCGCTGTACATATCGCCGCTATGCAAAGCGCCGCTCAACAAGCAAATCACAATTTATTCACCGTTATTCAAAGTCTTCCCTCTCCACCATCAAGACCTCGGCTTCCACGCGCTTCCTCATCATCCTCTGTCCGGACTATTCCAGCATCGCCTCCATCTACCGAAGCCCAGATACCAGCTGAATCGTCTCGTGCGCATGAAATTGCAAGCGGAAGAAAATCTCGAGCCAGCACTCAATCTGGCGATGCCGTTAATTCTGAACTTTCCGAAAATATTCGACCCCACTCTCCGAATTCGAATGGGACCGTTCAAACCGCGACCTCCCTGGCATCACGATTACAACCTCCACAACCAACCCAACAGCATCCTCATTCACCGATACTTTACCCTGAATTCATGCCGGATGACATCGGTTTATCGGACGACGCTGATCCGTTCGACTATCAAGCGACTGTCAGTGGATTGACAATCCAGTTCATTAGCGAATATGATGAAACCCGGGTGGCCGCCTTGAAGTGGCTGATTATGCTTCATTCTAAGGCACCTAAGAAGGTTTGAGAATGCTTCTTATATGGCATGCTTGAGTTAATACTTAGTGTATAGATCTTAGCAATTGATGACGGAACCTTTTTCGCACTTCTGAAAACCCTTTCGGATCCTTCGGAGGAGGTCAGATTCCCTCTTACATATTCAACCCCACCCTAACATAAAGTGTTTAGGTCATTAAATATGACTTACAGCTGCTAGCACAAATCTCCTCCACATCGGAAGAAGGCTATTTCAAAGCTTTCATGATCAACCTTTTAAAGTTGTTTAGTACTGACCTTCGACTACTGGAGACCAGAGGGAGTCTTATCATACGGCAGCTTTGTTTAAGCCTGAACACCGATCGCATATACCGGACATTTGCCGAGATACTGGAGCAGGAAGAAGACTTGGAATTCGCCAGTACCATGGTCCAGCGTTTGAATGTCATCCTAATCACTTCTCAGGAGCTAGTGGAATTCAGAAGACGACTGCGGAACCTTGACTCGAAGGTTAGAAATCATAGCCTCTCTCCACCTCAGTGCGTTCAACGCTATCTTAGGATGGTCAAGCACTGTTCTCCGCTCTTTACCGATCGTGGTGCCACAACCCAGTGGCCGTCTTTTCCTTATGTTTACTCGCTCAAGCGTACGAGCATGCTTCCAATCTGCTTCCAATCCTGTGAGTTCGATCGCTGGAACTTCTTACGTGTCCCCTGAGACCCTGAACCAGCGCCGAGATGGAAATCACCGTTCAACTATTGGTGCAAATCGACAAACTAGTTCAGTTGTTGGAATCCCCCGTGTTTACATGTCAGTAGCTGACTGAAACGGCTGATCTGGTGACGCTTTCGTTGACCGGTTCCCTAGACCTGCGTCTTCAGCTGCTGGAACCGGAAAAATTCCCATTCCTTTTCAAGTGCCTGTACGGGCTCCTGATGCTCCTACCACAAAGCAGTGCCTTTATATCCCTGCGGAACCGCCTGAATGCTGTCAGCTCGCTTGGATTCGTCCATGCAATTCCAAGAGCGTATGTCATACCACTTGATAAAGTGCAGTTTAATCCAATTGCTTCTGTTAGAACCCAACCATCAACAACTTCGACAATACGTTCCAAACTCACTGGCGGTCGAGATGACACCATTCGGTGGCCTGAACTCTTATCACACTTCAGGACGGTTCAGATGAAGCATGAAAAGGCGCGAAGGGGAGAGTCGGTGTTCACATCCTCGGATACTGAGAGCGTGGATGCGTTACCTACTACCCCACCTGCACCTACCGGATCACCGTCGCTACGGCCTGTGCTGCGGCGGAAGTTGACCGGGGAGCTTTCTTCATCAAGTGTCAGAGTTCAGGGAACAAGCACTTCCTTCGCACTTTCTCCTCTAAACCCTAAAAGAGCATCGTCGGTTAGTACCGGTGCAGGTCCGACAAATGGAAGACCCGCAAGTCCAGCGCCCAGTAAACAACGACGGGCACTAGGCGTTGTCGGGGTGCGTCGTTAATGATTCAGCCAATGTTACGACTGTTATGGACAATTGATGTTGATCATCATAACCACTGCCTATATATCTTGTGCTTCAGTTTGAAGAAGCGGAAATATGATAGTAGTAGAATAGATCTAATTGTAAGATTCCTTGTTGCAACGCAAACAAAGTGAAGAGTTATCGAACAGTAAATTTGGGGATTATCGTACGAGAGCTTCCCACGAGGGGAAGTGACATTATCACGTTAATGCAAGTAAGGAATCCTGATTCCAAAACGCAGTGGCGATCTTCGTAGATAATGCCAAGTTCAATATTCTTCCAGAAGTTGTTCCATCCGTATTGTATTTAACCTGGGAGGGAGTGCTGTTGACTGAGACAAAAAAGTGAACGGAGAACATCGTACGAACCACGACATCAGACAGAATGGCGTTTCTGCGAATAGGATCAGGCTCGTTCTGATAAAGTTCAAATAAGGAGCGGAGGGTAGGAGCACGTTCTACTATGGCATCAGCGACGTTCTCCGTGATGCGATTCAGTTGTATCAGCATTTTCTTGTACGTGTCCTCAGGATCTGATCCAACTTCGATGTTTGTGAGAGAGCAGAACGGAAGATGTGAACGCTCGATTAATCTGTAAAGAAAGTTGATATGGCTAGGTTTTCCAAGAGATTGATCGGCTTACTTGTGCGGCTTCATGCCTAGATCTAACGATGAAAAGAAGGTCATTATTAACTTATATGGGAAGGTGAATCTTGTTGGTATAAACCCTACCTCCGGTCATATTGTATATCCATTGAGCGGCATCGTCGTACCCTTCGACGTGGACAATAAAGCACTTCTGCGCTGCTTGCAGGGAAGCAAGGGCCCGCTCTATGTCACTCTTTTTCACCAGGACGCGACCCTCCAAGCGAGCAAGCGCATTAGCCGCCCTACTCCCTTTACCAGTCTTCCGATAATACAACTCCAGTTCATTGATCATAATGAAGATTTGATGTTTCGAGGTAAGCCTGTATTCAGCCCGCAGCCCCTCAATGGTTTGGCTCAACGCTTGGATGCTGTCTGCCTCCGAGATAAGAGATGCTGCTTCCAGAAAAAACATATAAAGTGCCTCGAAACGTTTGTACTCCTTGACGGGGGTCCATTCGCGGTTGAGTTCGTCGTACCTGGCTCTAACGCTTCGTTCCCAACGGAATAAACTGGTAAAGTGGGTAGAGCTAAAGTACTTCACTGCACAGCCGTGCTCTGCTAGACGATCAGTGACAGGTTGCATCAGTGGACTATCGCGAAGTGGGGAGGAAACATGGAGTGTGAAGTCTTGTACGAGGTCTTGCTTGCGTGTGGGAAGTTTATTGGCAGCCCGGAGTGTCTTCTTGGCGGCTTTCTCTTCCTCAAGGCATTTCTGTAAATAAGTTTATTAAACTAACCTTCAGAACACCGAGCCATTATTAGAGCCGCTGGTTTCTAACCTTCTTCGCAGCTTTCTCGGCTTCTTTTTCGCGTTTCTTAGCCTCTTTTTCAGCCTCGATCTCTTCCTGCACAAACAAATGCTTACTTGGAACCGATTAATAGTATTTCAGATACTGCGCACCTTACTCCTCTTTGGTTTTGTTGCTCTCCTCTTCTTCGGTGGTATCACCACATCGTCATCATCCATTCCTTCATCGCCAACTCTTTTCGCGCCTCTGGTTTTTGGAATGAGAGAAGCTACAGGGGTGAAAAACTCATCAAAGGGGGAGGGAATTCCAAGGTCGAACGCGTTAAGTGATTCGAGGACAGGCGATTTCTGCGTCCGGGTTCCCTCCCATGCGGAGGTCGTAGCCTGTGAAGGCCCAGGTTGAGACGAAACTCTCCCCCTCAATATGGAATCTATATCATCTTCCTCACTATCATCCGAAAGGACGATCGGTATAGATGGGTGTGGGCTGAAGTCAGTCACTTGAGATTGAGTCCCATTGAATGATGTCTGAATTTGTGAGGAGATGGAGACTATGTCATCTTCTCCGTCGTCGCTGCTCAGATCAACAATTCCAGACGCAGTTGATGTCGTGCTCAGCTGGCTTGATTGCATTATTGCTGCCTCTCGCAGCTCGGTGACAGGTGCCCAAGTTGGCGCAGGTTATGTACGTCACGTCACAAGGGGAATTCTTCTCCACCTTTTCCGTGACCATGAATCATTAGTTGACTGCCTTGCGTATATCGATGCTATCTCTGGCACCACTCTCACTAGGGCACAGGTACATGACCAGAGATTGCGTCTTGCATGGGGTGTTCAAACATGGACTGAAGCGTGGATGATTTCAGGTGCGGGGGATGAGATGACCAACGTTTGCTGCGTCCAACACCTAACTTTGGGATAGCCCGAATTCCCTTGCTTGGTACATGGCTCTATTGCAGTAGGAGTAAAAGCTACCTCATCTACCGCCTCCGAACTTGCTCACCAAATCCGCGACCGCAATGCGCGTCTTGTGTTTGTTCATCCGACGTTACTCTCCGCACGAGGAAAGACCTTCAATAATTTGAAGATTTCTGCCTATGAAATACAGAAGGAAGTCGTGATTATGAGTTACACGCCACATGATGCGGCTGCTACGTAAAGAAGGATGTCAGTGGTGCCGTGTTACCGTTTATCACATTTAGTGAGTAGGCTTATACTGTAAGAGGGAAGCACGGTGTTGGATTCATGCGTTACCAATAGGTGCGTAATGATACCAATGTCCAAGGTCCATACCTCGATCTTCAACTAATCGTTGATTTTTTTCGCTGCTCATGCCGGCGTTCCAACGGCAATAATACCTCGTTTCAAACCTGGATCCTTCCTATCTACTATCCGGAGATACATGAGATTCAGAGTCACCGTACGTGTCCATTCCGCTGAAAAGGATTCTTGACTAATCACTGGTCCTCCCCATCTGTGAAGATATTGAAGATCGTCTCTCCCATGCTTTTATTTATGGCCACCCATCCAATGGTGGACACCTAGGCCTCCCTTCTCTCCGGTTCGTGATGTCTGGGGTGGCACCTCTGGGCATTGTCGCTTGCCTCAAAAAGCCAAAGGTACCAATGAAGTCGTCCTTGTGTAAGGATGCGGCCTCACTGGAACAAGCCCTGTAACTCATCCCATCCCAACGGAATGGCCCATGAAAAGGTTGGGAGCTGCGGCGCCTCGTTACCCAACTTGGAGGCGTGACTTGTAGATGATGGGAGCGATGTCGTTACGCCATTGGAAACATCAGCAAGTAGGGATTCTGCCGCGGATCACGAAAATGATGGACGCGGGGAACTTTGGAGGCGGGGCCCCAGCATGATGAGAACGACCCCACTGCCACTGCTGGTTCAATTATGTCTGATGGGTGGTTCAAAACAGGGGATGTGGCGATTTGGGATGAGGATGGGTCTTACTGTATTGTGGACAGGAAGAAAATATAGAGGTTCCTAAGGTATCCTTCTTGTCATAAACATCCAAAAATTATGGTTCATCCAGTGCCTCCCGCCGAGTTGGAAGCGGTCCTCCTTACTAAGGGGATCCTTGACGTCGGCGTCATCGTCCGTCGATGAAGGGACAGGACTTATGTAAACGAAACGGAGAGCTGCTCAATGATAAATTGACCCAGAAAGCGTATGAATTCGGGGTTTGGGAATGGACTAAGCCGAGGGTTGCGGTGCACAAATGGGTAAGGGATTGCGTTGTGGTAGTTGGCACTATTCCCAAAAGGTGAGTATCGCCAAAGGCGACACCTGATTATCTGCTCTAATTGGAATTATGGAATTTAGTGCGTCTGAGGGGCCTTGCTAGAAAGGAGGCTGTAGGGAGGGTCAAAGGAAGGCTGTGATGCTGAATTTAAACCCGCTTTGGACATCTTTTCGTGGTATTCATGCCTATCTTTGGTGAACCCGTATTTTACGGCGAATTATCTCCTAGGAACAATCGACTAGAAGGGTGCCAAGGAATGGCCAGGGATTTGCGTGGGTGTTTGGCTTTTAAGGATCAAGGTATTAATTACACTGCGCCTGGACCGAACGCTGTTGCCCGGACCAACTCCGAGTTAGAAGCGTACGCAGTAAAGTCGATTATCAGGGGGGTGAATGTAAATTTGGAAGCTGTCGCACTGAGTTTCCTGCTTTCTTTTTGCTCAATTACTGATCTGTGTGTCCCAAATTTTTGAACAGCGATGTATCTAAATCGGTAAGATTCGGCTTCGAACATAATAAACATCTTGAAGGCGGCATATGCACACAAACTTTGAGTACACAATAGCTCTTCGTGTGCAGTGGACAATCATGGAGTGTCTCTCTTGGGGGAAAGCAGGAGCCTACTGATAGCGTCTCACGCGCGGGTAGCACCAACTGATTTGCGATGCGGGTGACGCGGTGATATATAGCACCAAAAATCCTGAAGTTAATAACTGCGAGTGCGTAATGGCACAAGAGGAGTTTGGCGGACGAGACGCACTGTTATATGATGGGCAAATCCTGCATCCAGCCAACAGGGCTCCGTCACAGATCTCGTGCCATTGGGGCCTCGACGACGATGAAGGCTGGAGCGAGAGCGGGGGAGGAGCGAGAAAGAATAGTGATATATCAGAGCGGGAAGTAACTTGGTCATCTCCAATAGAAAGACGTTTTTTCCCTAAACTCATTACTGATTGTAACGCAAGCAATGGAACCTAGGAGCAACCTTACAAGGCACACGCGGCTGCCGCCACCAAACTGACGAAGGGCGAGATCGGCGGCTGACTTTGACAAAGGTCTTGGGGTGTACTCACAGAGAAGTAGTTTCGTTCCATGTGTGCCTTCTCGTGGTCTACCAAATTAAGCCACCTCTCTGGCTTGAACTCATCCGCATCTTCACCGTATACTGCCTGGGACCGGTGATACGTAAAGGCACTGACCCCTATTTCTGTACCTTCAGGTAAGAAGAATCGCTTGGTTTGCATGTTATCATCACTAGTGTGCTCTGCAATTATGCCGCCTGCGGGAACAACCCTGGGTAGTTCCATAGCAACGCTCGGTATAAGCCTGGCTGCTTCTTTAGAGCATGCCCGGAGGTACTCCAATTTGCATCCTTCTGCGTATGATACTGGGAAGTGGAGCCTTCCTTCGTTGACGGCTGCATCTACCTCAGCCTGAAGGAGAGCATATGCCGATGGATTTTGGAGGATGTAGTAGAAAAACGCCGACAGCGTCACACTCGTAGTCTCGCTGCCAGCAGAAAACATCGATGTCGTTATCGTAGCAACGTCCTCCGGACCGTACGGGTTCTTTGACACTGGGTGCGATGATTTAATGAATCCCATGAGCATGTCAGAGCGAATTCCGCTCCGAGTATCTTTGGGGAGCAAAGAGTCTGCTGCATTCTCATCAGATAAAGCAGCCAGCATTGAATATCGACGATCCACATATTCCCATGTACGCTTGGCTACGATCGCAGGGGAATGACGAGAGAGCTTTCGGAGCGTCCATTTGATGTAAGGCGCGAACGTCGGCACAGAGCCAGCTAATAGTCCAAACCATGATGAGTTCACTATGGGTAGAATGAAATTGGACTCGGCATCATGTGTCCCCTCTTGTATGAGACCGAACGAGCCTCCAAACTCGGCGTGAACGCCCTAAGTCCTCATCGGCAATCGGAGGCTGCAAGGACTTACTGCGAGTTCACCCATAGCGTCTGCGGCAAAAAGCCGCATCCATAAGCTGAGTTCGAACGGAGCACATCGCGTATCAGAATTGCAAGATACCTCCGGACCTGATGCCCTATAGTCATCGATGATCTTGTCCATAGCTCCTAGAAGACTGGTGACACAAGGATCGATGTATTTCTCCAATCCTTTCAAGTAGGGAAGGCCGAAAACTCGCGCGATCTTTGCTCAAGGAATGGGGAAAGTTAGCCCCATGAAAATATCTTGGGGGGAAAACACTCACAGACCGCTTCTTGGCAGCATGAGCACTGGAATCTCTTTCAGAGACTAGACTAGGTGTTTTGAGCTGTTCTATTGTGCTGCATCAGCTCAACGATCCGTCTATCCCGAATCTTGTGCCTACGGAAGTTATCATACAATGCCGATTTCAAGAACTCGCGGCTCCGATCCAGGGGATGATGACCATAATATATTTTTTGGAAGCTCACAGGGTCGATCACACTAACCGTGTTCTGTGCAATGCGAACAACTGAGCCATAGTGCTTGTGGAGGTTTTGTAGTTCCCAAGAGTAGCTCAGATTAAGCGCCATCATGAATCTGTACAAAGGAAAACCAAGTCGTGCCAACAGAGGGCCCGGTACACGATGCAACGGATGGAAGCACAACGAATACATACAGTGTGCGATGCAGCCACAGAGAAAAATGAGCAAGCATGACTGAACCAAGAAAGGCAAACCTGGGACGCCACACGCGTCAAGAGCGTAGGTAAGGTGGCGAAGCTCGAACATGCTCAGCTGAATAGGAACTGTTGACAGTTGTTGTCGCGGTAGTATCAGAACGTCTATCAGGATCACAAGGTCTATTACTGTTGGGGCACACATACCTGTTTATGGTCGGCGTGGTTTATGTGGCACATTGACTGTGACATATCTGAGGATCGAGTTAAAATTGGACGGATATTTCTTTGGCTTCCAACAGCATGGATAGTTGCCCCAGAATCGGAGTTTTAAAGGGGGGAAGAAGGACTTGTAGACAGTAGGTTCAGAGTGAGTAGGGTTTATCATTTTACGAATGAGCACGGATGCTGGCAAGGTGGAGACGAGTTTCAGTTTTTGGTGGCCGACGCCTGTCGCGGCAAGTGCCCGCACCCCCTTCATTTATTTTTCTATCCATGACAAATCCCTGAACGTATGTGTAGTCTGGGACTTATTGAACTCGATGACGCGGATACTGTCGACGTAGCATGAAAGGCAGCACCCACAGCCTCCGGAAATTGATATATGTATTGTCGCCATGAAACATCCCATCCTCTCCGTGTCTTCATGCGCAGCCTGATCACAAACCAATACCACGAAAATACCGAGGAACATAAGTGCAACACAGAAGAGGTAGCGGAGAGAATGATGTACGGTGGACGCAGAAAGAGACTAAGTACCTTTTCCCAAACTTCCCCTGGGACAATTCCATAAACCTGGAACCCTCAAGAATAACCAGACCGGAGAAAAGTGTAAATCCAGCGTCACAATTTCCCTCTAATCTGCTCAGTCTCCTTTCTAGCAAGGTCCCTCAGATGCCTCCGAAGGATCTTCCCAGCCGCACTGAGTTCCATATGTAATTCCAATTAGAGGCAGAATAACCATGTGAGAGACCTCCATGAGCGACACTCACCTCTTGGGAACGGCCTCGATTACCACAACACCACCTCTTAACCATTTGTGCTTGGCAACTCTTGACTTGATCCATTCCTGAACCTCGAGTTCGTACGCTTTCTGGGCCGATTTATCCTTGAGAAGCTCTCCGTTTCGTTTAGACACGACATAAGCGCGTGGAAGCTCTTCCCCCTCGTGGACGGACTGGATGCCGACCACGCCGACGTCGAGGATGTCTTCTTTGGTCAGGAGGACCGCTTCTAACTCGGCGGGAGGCACTTAGAAAGAGATAATGTAGCTGAGTAAACCATAATTTTTTGCATGCTTGTGATAAGAGAAGGGTACCTTGGGAACCCTTATATTTGATGAGTTCTTTCTTCCTGTCCACGATGTAGTAAAATCCATCTTCATCCCGAATCGCCACATCCCCTGTTTTGAACCACCCATCACGTGTAATCGAATTGGCAGTGGCAGCGGGATTGTGAAGGTATCCTTTCATCACGCTGGGGCCCCGAATCCAAAGTTCCCCGCGTCCATCGTTTTCGGGATCCATCGCAGAAGCTCCACCTGCCGATGGCTTGATAACATCGTTCCCATCATCATCTACGAGTCGTGCCTCCAAGTTGGGTAACAAGGCGCCACAACTCCCAATCTTCTTCGTGGACCATTTTGGTGGGACGAGATGTGTTGCAGGGCTTGTTTCGGTGAGGCCGAATGCTTGTGTGAGGACGATTTCGTTGCAACCTTTGGCTTTGAGGCGGGCGATCAAGTTGTTGGAGGGGCCGGCGCCCAGAGGTGCCGCCGCAGACATCACATACCGGATAGAAGAGAGGTCGTAGTTGTCCACCATTGGATGGGTGTTCATAAACAAAATTATGGGAGGGACAATCTTTAATATCTTTACAGACGGAAAAGAAAAACGAGTAATTAGTCAAGAATGCTTTGTAATGGATTGAACACATACGGTGATTCTGTATCTCTGGGTGGTGGATAGGAAGAGTTCAGGCTCGAAACGAGGCATTATTACCGTCGGAATGCCGGTATGAATAGCAAAGAAGAGTAGTTGAACGACACTTTTCCAACAATTAGTTGAAGATCGAGGTATGGACCTTGAACATTAGTATCATTACGTACCCACTGGTAATGTCGAGGAATGCATGAAGGTCAATGCCTTGCTTTCCTCGTCACCGTATAATAAGCATACTCACTAGATGTGATAAAATGGCAACACGGCACCACTGACATCCTTTTTTGCATCGTAGTCGTAGAACGCCGGTTTAAATATTTGCAAGACAGTGAGGATGTTTCGATGCGTAGTCTATTAGGAATTATTGTTACGACTCTTTTCCACGCCCCTGAGCCAGAATGTTTGCTTACCTCTACTCCTTTGCTGAGACCGGTGGTACCTAGCGACTCAGACTCAGCCCTAGGTCAATCACAAACAATGAAAATGCCAACATACCCGAAGAATAGCATAGCAATACAGTGCTCAAACTGTCGCTTCCATCGAACCTCTCCTCCCCGACTAGCTTGCCGACACTTAGGAAATCCTTCAGCCGTGCCCATTCCTTGCCAATTCCGGCCTCCTTCTCGTCAACCTCGTCCTGTGGCGTGTAACTCATGATCACGACTTTCTTGCGTATTTCATGGGCTGGGATCCTCAAATGATTGAGGGTCTTTTCCAGTGTGGAGAGTAAAGTCGGATGAACAAACACAAGACGCGTATTGGAGTCACGGATTTGGTGGGCGAGTTCGGAGGTGGTATATGAGGTGTTAGCGAGAGTGGCTTTTACTCCTGCTGCGATAGACCCAAGAAGAACGATGGGCCAAGCAAGGGAATTCGGACTATTATCCCAAAATTAAGTGTTACAGGCAGCAAACATTAATCATCTCATTTCCCCCCGCACCTGAAAATCATGGCGACATCATCACGCTTCAGTCCATGTTTGCGAACACCACATGCAAGACGCAAACTCTGATCATGCACCTGTGCTCTGGTGAGAGTAATACCGGAAATAGCATCGATGTAAGCTGGGGAGTCGTCCAACGATTCCTTGTTGCGGAAAAGATGAGAGAAGAGACCCGAGAATTCGAGTTTTAAACTCGGGAAGAAGGACTTGTAGATGATAGGTTCAGAGTGGGTAGTAGACTCCAACATCTTGCAGTGTTTGCGAACGAGTGAGCACGATCAGGAATGCTGACAAGGTCAATCCGTTGTTTCCGCATTGATGAGGAGGCAATAGAAGGCTGAAGGCCGAACTTTTCGGAACCCCGAAGCTATTCATAGTGAATCATTACCAATCAAGCAACGGCTTCCGATTGGCTGCGGCCCTTTGTTTCCACTACCCACTCAAATATTCCAAATCCTGAGGTCACTGCATTGCTGGCAGATTGTGGGTTGGGAAAGCAATAATTCCCACGGATTTTGTGGCCTTCATCAGTTTGTTTTATGTTGGGTACCTCAATCGGTTCATTCTGTTCCGACGTATGGACTTTACATCCCAGCTCGTTCACCACTGTGTCTATCGATTCCCACCGAACACCACGCATGGATGCTTTAGGCAGACATGGTGAACCGTCGATCAGAAGTTAGAAATAAAGTCTAAAGTAATGCGAAAGAAAGCAACATTACTACCCAACCCGTCACACCCCATCCTCTTCGGACATGAGGATTATGTATGTCGCATTCTATGTAGACATTGAATTTAGTCAGAACAGTTTATTTCAATCCAATACAAACGACCATGATGTAGCAATGAGAGGCACCACGATTTTGAGTCTCAGGCGCTCCAACCTGGTGCACTGTGCTCACAAATGCAATGTAGTTGTGCTTGTGTGCACGCAGGAGACGCAAGCGATTAGCGGGGCAACAGTCCCGGCAAATGCCAGAACCTCTGGAATTGAAGGCGACCCGGTAACCAGGTAGAAGAAGGAGGAGGGGAGGGATGGTGGTGAAAAAGAAAGAGAGACAGAGGTTAAGAAAAATCGAACAGAGACCAGCGTTAGAAGCCCGCGCACACAAAAGCACTGGGTTCTTCCGGATGTAAGAGCGCCATGCCTCAGAAGTCCAACGACCAAGTGCTTGGATCGTAGACTCAGGCACACCTTGTGAAGCTAAATGTGTAGCCCCTCCCGAACGGAAAGAATGGCCAGAGAAGTCCTTGGGAAGAACAGCATGTAGCTTCCGCAAGAACCAGGATCGAGAAGGTAAAGATCCATCGCCACGTATCCAAAGATGAGGAAAAAAGGGAAAGAGTGCATCACGACTCTGAATATATAGCTTGAAAAAATAGAGCGGGTCCAATGGGAAAACTCGAGACTGAATGACCACGAGACTCCCGTGCCACTGAGGATCAGTGTAAGGTCGGTTGAGGTTCCGACCTTGGTGTTGACTCTTGCTATCCTCAAGCTGTCAGAAGTTAGGCAGTATAGAGCTTTATTTCGACAGGGGAGGAGAAGAGTGAAAACCTGTTTCACCCTTCCCCGCAATTTATATACATTGTTTACATCGAGAAATAAAGAGTAATAAACAATGAATAAAGAAAGCGTGCACAGCATGCATCACCACACATCCATTCCCTACAATCAGTCTTATGCGTTGGCAGTAAGAATTGGTATGTGTTAATGGCATCATGATGTATAAATTCCATGGAGCAGCATAGGGTGAGTTTCCAAAAGTTCAATTTTGAAGTATCATCTGGGACCACTAACTCCCCAATCCTAAGAAGACCGTGGAAGGCAGTGAAGCAAATCGCCAAGAACAAATGATTGTCAAACTCTGATGAAACCACATAGCGATCAACCAGAAGATGAGATTCAATCAGTAACTTCCATCTGATCGGTTCACCATCTGTTCGTTCCACACCACGAAGGACCCCAACGATGAGAAGATGCTTTCTGACAGCTTGGGCTCCCAGATAGAAAGGTTGAAGATGATGGACAATTCCCAATAAGTATGAAATAATCGTTTGGATGGATAAAGGATTACCGGATCTCCCAGTTTGCTTTGCCATGTAGCAAATGAAAAAACTGACTGTCTTGGGTGTTGGTTCGATGTCACGGTTATGGAGGTTACAAAAGGTGATGTAGGAATTGATTCCAGATTGATACGCTGATTTCATCGATGCATCAAGAGCATTGGACAAATAAATCACCTGTTGGCTACAAAGACAATCCATTGTCCATGGGGCACACTTGGGCTGACATGCCCTAGCACTCAAGAGGGAGTTCATTCTCGAAGAATCCCCAGCAACTCCCACAGGGGTTTGAATAGAGCAATGTCAAGCCCAGGACACAGTTGTTGGGCAGTATCAAAAAGATGAAGCATCTGCAACAGTATTTTTGTCACCCGGTATGTGGACTCATCCCAAAGTCCATATCCCAAGGAATTTTGACACCCTCCTGATTGAATGCTCCAACATCAACATCTTTCACTCTCTGGTGGCACAACCAAACTATGCATTGTTGCTTTTCAAGGCAGTTGAGACTATGATGGACTTTGGGGTGGATGTGCGAGTAGTCCACATACTGGGTGACAAAAATACCATCACAGACACTTTATCACGTCATCTTTTTGATACTGCCCGATGACTGCATCCTGGACTCGACATTGCTCTATTCAAACCCCTGCAGGAGTCGCTGGGGGTTCTTCGAGAATGAACTCCCTCTTGAGTGCCAGGGCACATCAGCAAGCGTGCCCCATGGACAATGGATCGTCTTCGTAGCCAACAGGCGATTCATTTGTCCAATGCTCTTGATGCATCGACGAAATCAGCGTATCAATCCGGAATTAATAAGTCTAATTTGATCTCGTACCTCCATTAAATATCAACCAATCACCGCTTGAAAACTGAGTTCCAGCATATCTGTCAGGGGACGACTCCCGGGTCCCCATGACCCTCCCCTATGGTCCACAGCCCTGAGGTGTAACCAGCCCTATCCAGGGCACAACCTACTGTGGGTAAGGAGATGAATAGATAAAGAGGCAAGTATATACACTTGCCTACTGTGGGTAAGAAGATGAGAAGGAAGCTAACTTCTCATCTTCCCACAGTGGCCACAATATCAGCAAAACTTCCGGGGATACCCGGAAGTCACATGAAGGGATAGGGACCGGGCCCGGAGCATGCGGCGCGCGGAGCGTGCATGTGTGCGGGAAGTGCGGTGGGTGGAAGCGGGTCCGGACGCGGGTCCGGGTCCGGGCTAGTCAGAGTGTGTGCCCTGACAATATCCCGAGGAATTTCGACACCCTCCTGATCGAATGCTCCGACATCGTTCAGAAATTCGACATCCCTCTGACTGGCAGGCGAAGGGATGGCCCTACGGAAGTGTCCATCCGGATCCAATTCAGGCTTGGAGAAAACAATGGTTGGAGTCACTTCCACATCCAAGGTAGAAGAGCCGGGAGTTGAGGATTCATCTGTGAAACCCCGCCTTGTCAGTGTCACGAATCTCGATGTAATTAATGCTACATAGCATGTTGGAGACGAAAGTAAGGCATGTCGTTGTTGTCCAAGTAGTTCCAACCATATGAATTTCCACGACAGACAAAAGTACCCACCTTGAACGTGATCATCTGTCCTGCTCCTCATTCACTCGAGCATGGAACCTTCGACGTCCACACAAGGTTCAGCATTTGTCCACGCGGAAGTTACTCCAACCATCTTTTTCCATCCACATTGGGATCCAGAAGGCCACTTCCATCGGGCCATTCCCTCGCCCGCAATGAATACCTGGTCGATGTCAGCGCTTTCGATGAGCATGGAGCGTGTGTGGAACGTGATCAGCTGGAATTGTCGTTCGTGGAAGGGGTTGCAGTCATTGGAACAGCGTCCACGCATTTGTGAGTTGGGTTCGCTCGAGTCCCTTACCGTTTTTTGGTACAAAGGTGACATTACTGCAAATGGGAATTAATGTGACGCAGATCTCACTGCGAGCAGTACTGACCGGTGTGGAAAGTGAAGAGTACAGAAGAAGCAGGGTTAGTAGTAGGCAGGGAGAGCGGGGAGCTAGGCTACACCCTCTATATGTGAGGGGGGTTAAGGACCCCAAGTTACCGTTCAATGCATTTTCAGATGACCTTGCCATTCAATCAGGGGCTCAGGACCTGGGCCTGCAAACCTCAGGCTGCGGAATGAATACATATGTGCACGAAAAAGTAGGAAACAAGTTTTGATCTGTGGAGTACTGATCTTCCCGAGGGGAACCCAAACCGTATTCCTCGGTGCTTCAGGATATCATGTTGCCGGTTTTGACTCAGGTTTCGGCGCAACCCTAGCATGAGGTGTGCACCCGGAGACTGCCGCCCGAAGCGGAGGTTGTTGACTGGTATATTGAGTCATACGACCCATATGCAGACCCTGAGGACTGATCTCTGATCATACACCACGATTTCATAATCCAATAACTGGTGGACGCCGCCTGGCGCGGCAAGTACCCGCTACTCATTCCGCGTTGATTTGATCATTCAGCAATCTCCACATTGTTTACATTTCGCTTTTCGGAAATCCCGCTGCGAAGCTATGTGTATATACTTTTGAAGTACATTTGACTCAAAAGAAAACTATCTATTGGATTCGAAGGTTGATCAGAGACAAGCGCCCACATCCTTGGCTCAGACACACACCGTGAACACAGGCATCCCGATCTGAAAGTGTGCGAAATGGAACGTAATGCGCATCACTGGGGTTGCACGCTATCCGTCATTGGTGGAGGTCATCGAACACTCATTGCGACGGGGGCTCACTTGGAGGCACACATGAACATGGGGAACCCCACTCCCCTCATGCTCAATGAATCCCAACCATGCTTTGTTCGTCTCAAAATTCTGTTTGAAGCTGTCACCCTCTATAGCTGCGGTGTGTCAGACGTCATTACGCACCGATCCCCATACTAAGACATGGGCTGAACCACATTGTTGGTGTAATATCACGCAGTCGGGTAGAACTGGAGTACATCCACAAATCTGCATGTACGGTTGAAAGAGTGGATCAGAAGAGATGTACACAGACTCACTCAAGTTAGAGGAAGCCATAGTCTGTACAGACACGGTTGATTCGCAAAGGCAGCGTGAGGTAGATGGTCCATGGACGGTTGAGAGAGCGGATCAGAAGGGATAGACAGAGACTCACCGAAATCAGAGGAAGCCATAGTAAGAAGTCGGACGTGGTGATGCAGTGTGAGGTGGATGGTCTTTGTGGCCTGAGTTGCATTGTAGCGGAGTGAGCCGAAATTCTATTGTGGTATGGTCAGAATGGGAAAAAAGGACCCTAGGTTACAGAGGACCCTGTGCACAGAGTGGGGCCTAAATTTGCAGGGCCCGCTACAGAGTAGCGGGAATACACCGTTAGCCCTGAGTTGCTAGGATCATGGTTGTGCCCGGATCTTGAAAACCGTTACCGAATGATGCACGTTCCCTCGAGAAGAGAAACGAGCGACTCGACGATGTGCAGTCTCAAATAACTGCATGGTTCCTTTGCTGTACAATGGCTTCTGACAAAAATTTAAATGTGCCCGATGATTGGATCGGAAATGGATCAACTTGTCGTCACTCTTGACACTCACCGGCCTCACCAAATGCCACTTTCTGCCATTTCGTTGGCCGTTTGCCCTTGGAGTGCCCGTCCCTGCCCCTTGCATCCCAGTAGCAACCCAGGTTGTGGAAGTGCTCTACGGTCTGTGTTGTTATGTAGCTCTCAGCGGGGACACTCGGATAACGGGGAACAACCGACTTGATATTGTAACCGCACAGCGGTATAAGTAGTTAAAGTAATAACACGAATATCAGACAAAAGTAATAAGAAAGTGAGATACGCGACAGCGCTACATGTGGAAGGCAATCAACAGTGAAACACGAAACACATGGTAAAAGGGTATCATATCGGATAGCCGATATGGGCATGATATGCGTACCGGCGCGTCGTCATGTCTTGCTCAAACAACACTCCCCCTCAAGTCATGACGTCGTCCGTTAGTGAAGAAACAAATTTGGTGAAAACGGGGTTTGGAAGCGGCTTAGTAAAAATGTCAGCCAAGTTATCTTCAGAACGGATGTGAAAAATAGAAATATTTCCACGTTCGACGTGGTCGCGAATAAAATGATGACGGATATCGATATGCTTACTGCGGCCATGGAACTGAGGGTCGCGCGACAACGCTATCGCTCCTCGATTATCGCTGTTAAGTCTGAATGGACGCAGGGCCTCAAAACCTAGTTCCGCCATAAGCATATTATGCCAAAGTATGTGCCGAACAGCGTGGCTGATAGCAGCATATTCGGCCTCCAACGTAGAAAGGGCGATAGTGCCCTGCTTCTTCGACGTCCACGCAATCGGTCCACCAGACATGACAAACACGGCCCCGGTAATGGAATGGCGATTGAAGTCTTCTGCATAGTCAGCATCAGCAAAACCTTCGGCAGCGAAACCAGAGTCAGATTTCCTATACACGATCCCGCGATTGACAGTGCCTTTAAGGTAACGTAAGACACGCTTGACACCATGAACATGATCGGGTCCGTATGTCATGTTGAATTGGGCAAGATGTTGAGTGGCGAATGCGATGTCGGGACGGGTGTTAATAGCCAACCACATAAGTGATCCGACCATAGTGAGGTAAGGGTAGTTTGGACGGGGGCCAGGGAATGGGGAAAGCTTCCTCTTGGGCGACATGGGTAGGTCTTCGACATTGCAGTCGGCCATCCCAGCCCGTTCGAGGACTTCGTGGGTATAGGATGATTGGGAGATGGTGATGGACTCGCGTGTACGATCTCGCGTTACTTTAATCCCAATGAAATGATGTAGCTCACCAAGGTCGCGTGTGTTGAACTTAGACTTAAGTTCATCCTTGACTTGGTCCATGTGAGCGTCATTGGCGAAAATCGCGGAGTCGTCAACATGGAACGCGATCATAGAGATTTGGTCGTCTAAGTGCCGAACGTAGACACATGAGTCCGTGAACAAACGAGTGTAGCCCAGATCGACGAGAGCAGCGTGCAAACGTCTATTCCAGACTCGGCCCGCCTGTTTCAGGCCATAGAGCGTCTTCTTCAGCCTCAAGACCTTATCCGTCCCATCCTCATACCACGGTATCTGCTTCATATAGATTTCTTCCTCCAATTCCCCATTAAGATACGCCCCTACGACATCCATCTGGTGAATCTCCAGGTCTAGCTGCACAGCAAGTGCCAGCAGGAGCCTGAACGACTCAGTCCGCATCACTGGTGAGAAAGTCTCACCATAATCCATCCCCGGAACCTGCGCGAAACCCTGCGCAACCAACCGGGCCTTAAACTTCACAATCTCCCCCTCAGCATCCTTCTTCGTAGCTAGAACCCATCGACATCCAATAACTTTCCGATCCGCAGGTGCACGTTGTTGTGGGGACAAGTCCGTGCAGGTCAAACCAACCCTTATCACGCATTTCACCCCCTACTGCATCAGGGACTAGGATTGGTGAGTTGTGGTAATAGTAGGAGTTGTAGATACTGTGGAGGTGGTACTGACGAGCCCAAGATCGTCGGATCTGGTTGGGTGGTTGAGGAGATATGACCTTTTCTTTATTTTCCTTATTATTTTCATTCATTCACGCATGTGACTTTCCTTTTATATTTGTATCGGACTCTTCCGTGACAACTGTACAGACAGTTAGTTAGAGGTTAGACAGAGTATCAGCACCGTACTCGCAGGACCCACATCTACCCTGAGAGATAGAGAGAGATACCTACCCCCCCAGGCCTGGGTTGCGAGTCTAGATTGATAGACCCGTTACAACGTACGGGTTCGAAAGTGTCCAGGTTTAGTAACTGTGCGACTTCGGCATCCATCGCGGCCCGCCAGTGCTCAGCGTGAGGTCCTTGAAGAGCGTCCTTGACCTCGGGTTTCTCGTCTGTGAACGCTGCAAGAGCAACAGGGTCACAGTCCCCGCAATGGGAGTACTGTACCGTTGATTGAACAGCACCATGGTCGGAGACAACCTTGAGGAAAGGCTCATTCAGAGGAGTGCGGCGTGTGTGGTATGGGTGGATGGGGTGGTTGGACTGATTGGAAGGAGGTTCAGAGTGTTTGGGAAGGGAAATGGGATTGTGGGTAGCGTGCTCCCCCTCTTCCTGCGTCGCCTGTCCACTTTCAGCAATCTCCCCCTCAGGTGATGGCAGTGGAAGAGGGAGGGAAGGTGGACTCTCAGGGGTGGGGTTAGGGAAAATGACGTTCCGCGACTTCGCAACCTCCCCGCTGGACTTGTAATACCAGTAGGCGGTGGTCTCCTCTGAGTTGCCTAAGAACCTGAACTTGTTAGAACGGGGATCTAACTTCCCATTCTTACCAGATTGGTCTAGGACCCAAACATCGCACCCAAATATTTGAACGCCTGCAACACTTGGCTTCTTTCCAAAGAAGGACTCGTATGGAGTTCGGCCATCAAGCGCGCGCGTCGGGGTACGGTTTTTCAGGAAAGTGGCATATGATACGGCATAGGGCCAGAGGGACTTGGGGAGTTGGGAATTGAACAACATGGCACGCGAGTGGTCTAGAACGGTGCGGTTCAGACGCTCGGCAATGCCATTTTGGGCAGAGGAATGGGGAGCGGTTGTCGTGTACGTAGTTCCTTGTTCAGCGAGAAAAGACTTCATCGAATCGTTGAGATACTCGGTGCCGCTATCAAACCGGATGGCTTTGATTTTACGATTGAACTGAGTCTGGATGCGAGCAGCAAATCGACGATATTGAGTAACTGATTCGGATTTCTGACGAAGGAATGCTACGACGCTAAAACGGGTGGCAACATCGGTGAATGAAATGAAGTACTGATACCCGCCTTTGCCTAGAACCTGAGCCGGACCCCAGACATCGGTGACGATTAAGTCCCCGACTGATTTATATTTAGTTCTGGACTCTTTGGGGAAAGGCCTCGAGGTCTGCTTAGCTTGGATACAGGCTTCACAGGTGAAATTCAGAGTGGAATTGGGGGTAACCTCCAAGCCTTCAACGACTCCCATGTCCCTCATCGTCCTAAGCGAGGACGGGTTAAGATGTCCGAGGGCCCGATGCCACTCCTCCCAGGTACGACTTTTGGGCGAAGAATCACCCGAAATCGCAGCTAGTATGGAAGGGGCATCGGCCACGACAGTCTGCATGTCGAGACGGTAGAGGTGGTCTTGGATTCGGCCATCACAGAGTGGTGTGTGATCACGCGTGAGAAGTTTGATCTGGCCGGACTGTGTTTGCATGGTACCACCGACATCGTCGAGATGGGAAAGGGATAGGAGGTTGGGTTGGGATGATGGAATGTGTAGACAGTTGTGGAGAGTGACAATCCGTGAAGAGTCCCCAGCATGCATTACCGTTGCAACAGTCCCGCATCCTCGGATGGGAACCTTAGCTCCCCCTACACCAGTCACAAACTGGCCAGGGGTCTCTGCATAGTCAAAGAAGGCTTCTCGCTCAGATACAACGTGGTCATCTGCACCAGTATCCCCAATCCATCGACTACCAGCCAGGACAGCAGGATTGGCAGATGCGACGAAGGAGAAGCTCGGCTCCTGCTCCTGAGAGGAGACATTTGCCGAATTCTTCTTCTTCTCGTCTGCTATCCGCTTCCGGCACTCCTTGGCCCAATGTCCATGCTTGTGGCAGTAGCGGCACTCGGAGTTGGATCGATCGGGTTTCTGTTTGTCTTTGTTTGGTTGGTCGGATTTGGAATTGAATGCGGAGCTGGACGGCTCTGTATTGCGCGATTGACGACGATTGGCTTCACCTTTAATCCTGTTAAGGATGTAATCAGCAGCGGCGCTCTTCACAGCAGTGTCCATAGAGTCGAGATCTCTGAGTTCAATGGTAGAGGTGAAGCTATCCCAGGAGGTGGGGAGTGAGATAAGTAACGCCATTACAAACTCTGAGTGTTACAAAAATGGGGCCGGAGGCGCCCATTTTCGTCCGTCCTTAGCGCAGGAAGAGGGAAAGGTTGGGAAATGGGGTTCATATGGTTATACAGATGTTATCACAGGCAGTTTAACATTAGTTGTAACAGATGTTAGCACAGCGGGTTTTTGGTTAATTGTTGATTTGTTTTTTTCATTACTATACAAATCATGTGACACAGAACCCATAAGAGTCTAAAATGGGAAATTCCCATTTCCATAACACTGAGTCTTGAATATTATCACCGGCTATGCGCAGATTATTATAGATTGTGCGCATCTTCTGGACATGCATGTCCAGGTTGTCATCTTCGGCCATGCAAGTTGTGTATAACTCCCGGCGGAGGAATATGCGGGATGTGGCGCCGGTCACCTCAAATTCCCTTTTGAGGATCTTCCAGGCCGCCTCGGGGGTCTGAGAATCAACGACAAACGTGTGGACGAACGGTGATACTTGCAGACGAATCAACGTAAGCGCCTTGCGCTGTGCCTTCTCGGCTGTGGCCTTCTGAGTCGCGTCGGTGGGCAAAGTGTAACCGGTTTGAACGTAAGCCCATAGATCCGAGTAAGTCAGTATATCCTCCATGCTGGTTTTCCATTGAGTGTAGTTTTCCTTCCCGGACAAGATAGGGAGACGTTTGCCAAGGGATACCAAGTCTTCAGCCATGGGTTAGGTCGACTAGAAGTTGAGCGCGAGGTTTAGATGTAAGCAGCGTCGAGTGTTTTTGAGTTGTGGTGGTTAAGCCCTAGGCTGGGCTCATAACCTGTTGTTATGTAGCTCTCAGCGGGGACACTCGGATAACGGGGAACAACCGACTTGATATTGTAACCGCACAGCGGTATAAGTAGTTAAAGTAATAACACGAATATCAGACAAAAGTAATAAGAAAGTGAGATACGCGACAGCGCTACATGTGGAAGGCAATCAACAGTGAAACACGAAACACATGGTAAAAGGGTATCATATCGGATAGCCGATATGGGCATGATATGCGTACCGGCGCGTCGTCATGTCTTGCTCAAACAACAGTCTGTCCGATTTTTCTGCAAGTAATCATCCTGAAGTTATTCGCGGCAGCAACCTATATGCCAACCAAAAAACCCCAGACTGTTCGGCCTCTTGACTTTGTCCACAATGGCATTGTTCCCCCCCCTCCCCCATTCTGCGAGGATGCTGTGGCTTACACATCGGGCAACCAACTCATCATTGACAAGGGTCATGATGCCCTGAGGGTTCACACATGATCATTGACGCGAAAATTAAAGTGCCTTCTTGCATATTTCGCTTTTCACATCGCTTCCCTGGCTCAAAGCTCAGGTTCTCTTGGAAATTCATCACCACTTTGATGACAGCAGCCGATGCTTCGACAAGGTTCAAATATTCTTTGTGCGCTCTAATTGGATGTGTGACTCCGCAAATTGTTTCCACTACCCCCATTGAAAAACATCATGTACCTGCGTTTTTTCTTCCCACCGAAATGCATTTTCGGTAGTGGAGGAAGACAACTCCCGCTCAAAAAAATGGTGACCAATGTGACCAATGACATTCCGTTTGCTCTCTTGGCAGACGATCTTAATTTCGCGGCTGAGTCATCTGGCTGCGCAGTGGTTCATTGATAAAAAGAGAACGCCATTACTTAGATACGTAGTCCACCTCGCGAAAAGAATACAATATTGGCCGGGTCTTGGGACAAAGTGACCAGTGATAAGTTATAACATCATTGAAGCAAAGGCGAAAAGTGCATGATGAAGCAAAAGCATTACTAGATGTTTGGCCATCATAAGTAACCATATCTTACGATAGTGAATAATTTTCCGCTGCCGCAGTGGATTCCCGGAGGGCTTGAGTTGATTTGACGCATCACCTGATCGTCCCGATGGATCCCTGGTTCTGCTGCCATCTTGTAACCGGTCAGACACGCTTTACTCGCAAACTAGCATAGCAAGCTTTGAATCAGCCTAGCAACAATGCCTCCTCTTCCGAGCCGAGCCACCATCGCACAGCTGATGAATCTGAGCAGGCACACTGTGTGCCCATGTCATGCCTGTCGAACTTCCGGTCCAATAGCATCTCACGCTATCAACCAGTTTAGAAAGTTCGCCACGCCCGTGGAACTCGCTCCAGAGAAGGAATATGCCTTCGAGGTGGCAGCGAGCAATCTACGATTTGGTGCGGGAGTAACGAAAGAAGTTGGTATGGACTTTGCAAATGCCAAAGCTTCGAGGGTGTGTTTGGTTATGTTGTCTCTCTCGCGGGGAAGCTTCACCGACGTTTCCATGTGACGTCTTAGGTCGGAGTCCTCACGGACCCCAACCTTGCGAAGCTTAAACCTGTTAAGACTGTAAGCTGTCGTTCCTTTTCGCATATTGACAGAGTCGAATGTGAAGGATTTGGGAAATAGGCGATTGAATCGCTCCAGGCCAATAATGTCCCGTTCGAACTCTTCACAAATGTGGCCGTCGAACCTACAGATGCAAGTTGGTTAGAAGCGATCGCTTGGGCACGCAAGCACAATTTCAGCCATTTTTTGGCTGTTGGAGGGGGTAGCGTTATGGATACAGCTAAAGCTGCGAATTTGTGCGTTGGACAAATCCACCTTATGAATGTCGAATTTGTGATGAATGGGGGCGATCGAAACAGGTTCACCGTTTACCCTGAAGCTGACCTGTACGATTTCATCAATGCCCCAGTAGGGAGAGGTCTTCCGTTACCAAAACTCTTCGCCCTCTCATTGCTGGTATGCATACCCTCGTACATCGGGAAACTCACCAGTTAATGGCATTCACTTGAATACTTGAATGAAAGTCCCTACGACCGCTGGGACGGGATCTGAAACGACTGGGACGGCGATCCTGGACATACCCTCAAAGAAGTTCAAGACGGGTATCGCGAACAGGGCTCTGAGGCCGACACTTGGGATCGTAGATACTGATAATACTGACTCATGCCCCACTGAGGTGCATATCAGTGCCGGTTTGGATGTGGTCAGTCTTGTTGCCGGAAGTCACATTCGGGCGTCGAATGATTAAATCAATCTGCAATAGCTCTTCCATGCCATGGAATCGTACACTGCAATCCCTTATTATGAGCGCACGCCCCGCCCGGCCAACCCAATTCAACGTCCAGCATACCAAGGCTCAAACCCCATCTCTGATGTATTTTCCATGTGGGCTTTGCGTCAAACGATTGAGCACCTGCCTAGGGTAGCGAGGAACAAGGAGGACAAGGAAGCCAAGTCACAAATGTTGCTTGCAGCTACGTTTGCCGGTATTGGCTTTGGCAATGGGGGAGTACATTTGTGTCATGCTGCGAGTTACCCGGTATGGAATTGCGGATCATTTGCATAAGTGGTGATCAAATAGATTTGACTGACTGAGTTTCTCATTCTTGGTAGATTTCCGGTTTCAATAAGACGGGTCCGAAGTGGTACCATCCTGGTTATAACCCCGATAAGCCTATCATCCCACATGGAATAAGGTGCGTTGTGGTTTCGCGATTCAATAACCGGCGTCGCTGACTTGAGTGGTGCCTAATAGCGTGGCGCTCACCTCACCTGCTGTCTTCCAATTCACTGCTCCCTCTTCCCCTTCCCGTCATCGTGAAGCACTATCCATCTTCCGACGCGTACCGCTCACCGATCCATCCATCACACGCCTACCTGAGGACTCGATAGGAGACCACCTTTATGAAGCTATTGCAGAGTTTTTGGATTCTCTGGGCGTTCCGCGCGGGTTGGAAGCTGTTGGGTATGGGAAAGATGATGTGGAGATGATTGTACAAGGAACGTTGCCTCAACGGAGGGTGTTGGACTTGGCGCCAGGAATTGGAGATGTTGCGGGAGAGGACGGAGCGGAGCATTTAAGGGGGATTATTTCGAAGAGTCTGAGGTACTAGTTACTCGGGCCTGTGTTGATGCTTGCTCGTGGCAACTACTTTCGTGTTTCTCGGGCCTTTCAGCATTGGTACACATCTTGGATTGACGCTGGTCCCGTCAAAAAGGAAGGACTTAACTGGGATCATGTACACATGTACACAGGTCAGGAATTGTGATGCATATGCCATGATCTTCGCATATGTTTTCTCCTCATTCTGCGCATGGGCATCCGAAGCCGCTATGCCACCGTTGTGTTGGGACTGGAAAAAGGTTCTTCAACGCATCATGGAAGATTAGGTGGTTTGATTTGATTTTTGTGGCGCGATTAATGCCGTGAAAGCCTCTCTTACGCGCGAATCATGCATAGAGGCTGGAGTCCTGCCTGGTGAAAGCCCAACCCTCAGCCATGAACGATCCCCCACGCACGTGGCAAGACCCAGAGTGGCGCATCAGAGAGCCTGCCATGACGTTGTAGCACATAACCTACGTCAGGGGATAGGTATATCGTAAAGAGGATTACCTTTACACTGCCTTGTAGGGAAACTGAATGAATTGGAGGATTAGACTCCTGAAATTCCATTTGGGCAGGATTGAATTGAAGGACCACAATTCTTGACAAAGTTGCAACCTCCCACTTCCCAACGTCATTCTGAGCTGGACAGAGCGCAGATCATGCTTACTTGCCTTAGCACCCACCATCACCAATAACTGTAATTTCCACGCGCTTGGACACGTATTTGAACACGAATATCACTGCATCGCAACCAGCACCGTTGCCACAATGCCGACTGGAACATTTGGATATGCCTGGAAGACGACGACGACGGTCCGTCGATATTCTGAGCCATCCCCTGTCATTGCTCTATCACCCGTCGTGAAGGATGTTATGCAAACAACATTCCCTTCGCCACCATTACCACCTATTCCACCCACACCTCCAGCTCATGATGGAGTCAATACTTCGTTTCTTGAGGTTTTTGGGGGAAGAGATCGTCCAAAGTGAGTGAATCCCCCACCTTTGGCGCGTGGGGCTCCGAGCTTTCAACGCCTTACGACTCGCAACGTGTTTTCTTCTTTCTAGTTCTGTTCCCTCAGCTACCGTAAGTTCAAGTGATCGTCAACGAGCGACCATAACCCTGTCCACGCAACCAAATGACACGAATCAGAGCCAAGAACGCGATGCCTGCCTCCTGCCTGATACCTCTGAAACGAACGCTTCAACGCCTGCACCCACTACCATCTCACTCCCTTCCGTTCGAATAACCCCAACTTCCCCTGTACTCTCTAAATCGGACAAGTCGCCACTAATAAAGCACAATGTTGGTGCGTTGCGTGCTTCCGCTTTCCCAGTACACATTTCTTCCGAGTGGGTGTCGGACATCTCCACACCACCTGCATCCTCGCTATCCTCAATAAGAGGAAGGCGAGGTAACTTGTTGGGTTTCTATACCACGCCAAATCAATTCCATCAGACGTACTCAACACCAACATCACAACCTGCAACTCGCGGTTCTAGATCAAAATCCACGCTGAATCGTAAGAGAATCGGCCCACGTATATCCGAATCCGCGGAGTTTCCAGACGAGCGCGAAAAACGCGATGCGTTAGATTCGCCTATTATTCTCGTTGCTGATATTTCGTCTGCTGCTGTGGCTACCGGGCCTGATGATCATTCCATGGCTATTGGGGAAGGCAACTTGGAACAATCATCCAGGTCGCCCATGTGCCCTTTGTCGGAGTGTTCGAGTGATCATGCTAGTACCGAGCCGTCACCTGAACCACCTCCCAAGCCTTTGAGGAATCGGGCATGGTATGTTATGGCGGAGCTTGTAGGTACCGAAAGAGCGTATGTGGATGATCTCCAGGTACTTCACGAGGTACGTTCATCCACCACACTATCATTCACACCAATTAGTATCTCATTTGTGGCTTCTATTTAATCTAGGTCTACCTTACTGAGCTCATGCGAGACACAAGCTTGAATCTGACGCAGGATGAGCGGGAGCGAATCGCACTGAACGTGCCCGAGATTCTTGCTGTGCATAAGCCATTCGCTCAGAACTTGGAGGCAGTTGCAAGAGACCACGGCATTGTAGGGACTCAGACAGGTGCGGATGAAGGCGGCGTCGGGGATGAGAAACTTGCAATAAATGCAATCGCGCTGTGCTTTCTCGATATAGTAAGTCGAGCACACGTCTCTCACACACCGTCGCAGTTTTATTGATCGTTGATCTCCTAAATTGCCTCAAAAGACTTCTCAACTTGGTGCCGTGTATGAAACGTTCTGTTCTGGTCATGCAGAAGCAGCGGCAATCATCCACAACATCCAACACGTGCCCGCATTTGCTGCCTTTGAAAAGGCATGCGCTTCAAGGGCAGCAAACGCTTCAAGTATACAATCCTCCCCTTTGGGCTTGATATACGAGGATGACGCGGAAAAAAACGAAAAAGACAAGCCTACGTCCTTATCCCCTAATCGTCAGGATAACATTCCCTCCACTCCAACCAGCAACAGCCCAACGCCATTGCGCAAAGCATCCAAATCTCCCCTAAGCAAAAGAGCAAGCGACAAATCTCTCAAACGGCTTTCATTCACTGCATCTAGCAGTCCTTCCAAAAGCGCTCCTCCATCACCTAGCGTCAAAATTCAGGCGCACTCGTCCTCTCTTCGGTCCCGTCCGTCTTCATCCATTCTTTGGCGCCGTTCCTCTCCCGGGCTACTACCACAAACAGAGTTCCACCCAGATACTCCAGACACCAGTGATACACCCCTCGTTCCGCCTGTTCCCCCGTTGACCCCTCCTGGGTCGCCGTCGCCTCCCACTACATCTTTAGCGCCCACGTCGAAGAGGCTGGCATTTCGTGATTTACTTATCAAACCGATTCAAAGGGTGTGTCGGTATCCGTTGCTCCTGGAGCAGTTGCTACCCCCACCACTTCTCAAAGGAATGGTAATGGTGACGAGGCACAAGAAACATCTTCCGAAGACCTACTCGTCAAAGCTTTGATGGCCACGAAGAGAGTTGCCCATGACGTGGACGTTGCAAGGGCGAAAAGAGACATCGAGGTTAAGACTCAGCGCATCGTTGACCGGCTTGATCCCACATCTTCGATTTCGTCAGAATTTGTCGCGAGTCTTGGTGATATTCGGCTGGCGTCTTCACTTGATCTGATATACCATCATCCGTCGCTCGCGCCCCTTACTGGAGTTGTTAGGGTGAGGTATTGCGGAGCGTTCGTATATGATGGGTACTTGCTATTGGTGAAGGTACGGAAAAATAAGAATTTTTTGCCTTTACATTGGCTCTCGCTTGGGAACGTGGAGGTGGAGGATGTGACTGAAGAACCAGGTGGGCATGCCGTTCCGAGTTGAGGAAAATGAATTAATTCTCCCTATGTAGGGCTTCTTCCGCATTCTTTCAAAATTAAGGTGGCAGATCATACCCTGGAACTTGGAGCCTCATGCATTGGCGAGAAAGACGTTTGGCTACGCACCCTAATTACGATTCGTTCTGTTCCGTCGCAGGCGGATATTCTTCTGCAGAAATCGAGTTTGCAGATCATGGAGGATCAACATGCTCCTCCGGTGAATCTGGTCCACCTCGGAAACGGCGCCAATCCATACTTGCATCCACTGGTTTCTACGTCCCTTCAGGCCACTCTTCGCATGCTACTCTACCTGCCACAATCTCTTTCATTTCCTCTACGAAACTTGGGGCTTCTCCAGTTTCCGAGATCGAGTCGAGACCGGTGCTCGCAGAGCCAGTTGCACCGTCCAAGATGGAACGCCAATGGACCACTACTAGCAAGCGAGCTTCGGCAGGGAAACGTTCGAGCATATTTTTGTTGGATACCTTTACTACGACATATCGACGTGTTGCTGCCACGGAACGTCTACTGGTCGATCGAACGCTGACGGATATGTGGTCAAGCGAGTGCATCTCTATTCGGACCCAGGCTCAACTTCGCGGAGAACTTTTCAGTCATCCGAAGCCCCACAGGCCAGCTTCGACACAGGATCTGACGGAGAGAGGGCCTTGGTCGAAGGCGGCTACCTCATTCCCCGGACCCACTCATACATCACTTAGTAAGAAAGCTGCCACCTCAACATTGTATGCTCGTGTTCGGCGTCAATCTGCTCCCCCTTCCCCACCTCGGCATCACAAGACTTGTTCTGTGCCTTGTGGTTCGTCTGATCCAGATGAGCTTAGAGGTCATTCGCCGATTCGTAAGCGAATGGTTGCTTCCGATAAATTAGGGGATCCGGTTCTGCGAGAACCTGATAACTTTGGATATATGGTATGGCCCCAGGAGATCTCTGACGATGATGCCGAATCCTTCTGGGATGATGTGTTGTCAGTTACCCGGACTAAGCTTATGAGTGAGGACACTCAATTCCCTCGAAACGGCAATACGGTTACGGAGGTAAAATCTGATGTCGACTCGGCCGATGTCCCTCTTCCAGAATGCAAACTAACACTCCCGCCTGAAAGAATTCCAGACCAACCCCCTTCGAAAAGATCTTCCTTTCTGACGCGGTCTCTGACGGCAGTCACTCGGCGGCGCACAAAGAGCACCCCATCCAAAGTTCCGCCTTCACTCATAGAAGCGCAGACTTCCGCAATTCTTCTCAAGTGAGATCTAGTAGCCCAATCCGCTCATCTCGAAGCACACGAAATGGTCACGATTCATTCTTATCACCTTACTGGACCAAAACTTCGGTTGTATTGCGATCAGCGTCCCCTATCCACTTTGAACCTTCCCCGGTCGTGTCACCCTTTCCAAACTCTACTCCACCCCCACTTCCAGATCCACCGGAGGATATGACTGGCAGATCTCGTTCAGCGATTGACTTGTGCAGATTGGAGCCTCTCCCAAGCTCTAGCCGAAAGATGACAACGTCCTCAACTTCAAGCTCTTCAAGTGCCACTTCGCACTCCGCACGGTCCATTCGGTCTTTTTTCCAGCACCGAAATAAATTCACCTCCATATTATAGCATCCATTGACCCTATTTATTCTGTCCTCCATCAGTAATCACCACCACTTAGCATTCCTGATACCCAGAAACTCAAGTAACACCAAAATTCCCGCTCTCAGTCTCAAATGCGAGCGCAAGGAGTTGGTATATCCTACTTGTACAATCATTCATGACAGTGTATATATTTATATTGTTTGGCAGTGTACTAGGATTCAAGATGATAAGTGGATTTCGCAGGAGGGCCCTATTGATCAGACAACCTAGAAACAAGCCAGCAAAAGAGATGCATCTTACAAGTAACAACATAGAGATCGAGCGATGTGGACAATAGATGTGGAAGCGAATTGTGAAATGTAAGTTGGCAGATAATGTTATGAGATTAACCCATGAGCTCGAAGAATCCGTCCCCATCTAAAGAACGGTCGCTCAAATTCACATATCGAGAGGAACACAAAAGACCTCACGCACTCTTCGCTCTGAAGTTGAGCCAGCTCTAGACTTCGTTTTAGTGACCTAAATAACATGCAGCATTAAGAGGACAATCTTAACGAAGTCATGACCACTGACGAATTTTGCTTCGCTAGGGAGTTTCTGTCGTCCTTAGCTTTCCGGAGATCTGTTACCATTGCATCCCAAGCCTCAGTTTTCGGAAGGTTTGCATCTTGGAACATGCCATCCAGCTCCTCATTGAATGCCTGACAGCTAAACTCAGCTACCTTAGTGGATAACCACCTCATCTCATTCACTTACATCATACATGATCTCGTTCTCAGCAGTTGCATCAGCCAGAAGCTTTTTCACCAAGTCGCATTGCCGGCGTGCATGCTGTAGCTCGTTCTCGGTGCGCTCAAGCTGCGATTGACGCTGTATGTAGTTGAGTTCATTGAACCGGTCGAATTTTACACGAAAATCAACGTACTTCATCAAAATCCATCGAAACAGCTTCCAGTTCAGAAATTAGTGACTCGTGTTTTTGAAGAAGTTTCTTGAAGGTCCGTTCAGCATCAAGGATCTGATCCTTAAGGGCCTCAATGGATGCCGAATCATCACGAAAAGACCCCTTAGTGGGGCTTTCGGGCCTCGATGGAGGGACTCTACTCTGCCCGATAAGCCGACGCATTTCTTCCAGTCTGGCCTCCGCCTCCCGAGTCTAGGAGAAGACGTGATTCTTAGTCTAATAAGAGTGGAACACGGGACTCACTGGGGGTGCCCGGGTGGGTGTGCGAAGACCAGGATTCGTCACCGATGAACGAGACTGTGAAGAGCTCGTCAACGCCACATTGAGGCTATTTACCTCAAGTTTGATACGTTTCAACGCACGACTTGAAGCAGTCGCCTGAATGCTGGTGAGTTTATATTTCAAACGATAGCACGACAACCCTCACATCTTCCATTGCCTCTTGGGCAAGTGATAATGAGCGCTTCACGGAAGTTTGACCCTTCAATGGCGCAGACTGAAGGAATGGATTTAACTCTGATACGTTATGAACGTTTGTAATATCGATGGCAGATTCGCTCGCACCCTTCTTGAATACCGGAGAATTTCGCCTGGTGGATGATCGTTTCTTGATAGAGAGGGGTTCGACAGGACCCGTTGTCTGGATAGGTATTGAAACTGGCGGCGGAGAAGGAGTACATGTGGTTCCTGCAGTGCTCTGCTCTGCAGCTGGCAATGGAAATTGCTTACCAGACGCGCGGGGTGGTGATGGTGTTCGAGGCCGGGGAAGTGTTGAAGAACCCAGTTGACTGAGGGTTCGTTCGATCTCATGCTCAACCTTAGTCGCCCGCAGGCCTGGACTTTTCGGTGGCTCTCGAGGCCCAGTTGGTTGCCGCCGAATGCTCATTGAGCTCGTTGGCCGAGAAGGAATCTCCATCGTTCGTTCTGTGGGAGCAGGGGATATCGGACGCAGCGTTGAATTTTCTGACGGCGCTTTTCGAATCGTCGATCCATCCTCTACATAGATGAAGAATAAGTAGACGGGCACAGAAAGGTAAACCATAAATACCTTCCGATATGCTCTCAGCAGATGGGGCATACGATGACATTCGAAGATGGCTCTCGCTGGTTTGATGCTGGGATAAGCTGTTTTGCCGAGCAAGCTCAAGTCGCATACTAAGGTCCACTTCTGACTCATCACATGGCATGGTTGTATCTGCCACTGCAAGTTCACGCTCCACACTGGATCGTTCGCGAGAGCTTTCGCGAGATTTGGATGGACTGCTCGCTTGGCTCGGCGAGCGCCCACTCTTATACAGCTTCCGCGGCGAAGTGCTTCTCGATCTGGAAAAACTCAGCGATTCGTCCTCCACCAACGATGTGGCAGTTGTAGAAACGGATCGTTGCGAAAATTTAAAGCTGTCGGTGGTGGTTGTCCCAGTGGTCTGAGACATAAGCTGAGATGCACGGCTCGCGAAAGATCTGCTTCGCTTGTGGCTACTCCCACTACTACTTCCATCTTGAGCAAAATCATCCCCACTTGGACCTTTACTCGAAAGAGAAGTGGAGCGAGAGTTAAAAAGATTACGTGATATCGCATCCAAGTTGAAAATGGTGGCACGGCCGCGAGTGCTGGGGGTAGGAGTGGTCGGTCTCGATATTCGTTCTGTCCTGAATCTAAAAAGCCCATATTGGTGAACTAGCGTATGATGAGGTATTGCTCAGCAGAATCGTAGTCAGATCTCACCCATAACTTACTCGTGTGGACTATGCGATTAGGGACAGTGGCCGTATGAACAATCTCTTCCTCGACTTCGTCTGGCTCATCGCTTGAAGAGACACCGTACCGGCAGAGTTCCCCTTTCATTGGTTGCACACGGATGATTACATAAGGACCGCAATCGATACCGAACGGAAGTCTATCTGCTCTTCCAGATGGGTCTATGTGAAGAACGATCTTGCCCTGGAAGAGTCAAACTTAGCTTTTTGTGAAAGTGTAGCTGGTGTTCAGTAACCCACCTTCCTAGGTTCACTCAAATATGCCATTCGACGATACACGTTAAAGTAAGTACGTGCAATTGTTAGCCGGCTCGAGCTGCTGCCAATATTCTTGTCGTCTGAGACAAAAGTCACTGATCGACCAGATTTCGACCGATACATGGCCTGTGCTAACCACAGACTCTCTAAAAAGCGGCCTTTAGCAGCGAGGGCCTGCTGGGGAGCTTGAGGGCCAGCGGACGGACAAACGACGGAAAGCGAGCGGAATGGACGATTGGTCCATCTGTCGGATTGGTCAGGAGGCTCTTGTTCGAGGTAAATATGTATGTCTGTATAGAAAAAATGTCAATAAGCGATTCGTCACCTCCGTATCGGTTCTCCTACCAATCGAGCCAGGATCTGTGGCAACCACTTCAGTGATGTCAACCACTCCTTTGCAACTCATAGCATTCCTTTTTGATGTGAGACCGTTCAGTATCCCCGATTTTGCTAAGCGATCCGCTTCGTCCAGACCAGCCAGTGCTCGTCCAGATGATGACGAAGTGTGTCGCTTGGCAATCATCAATTTATCATCAAACAGGAACAGTGTGCAGGGAAGTAGTGTTGATGATGATCCGGAAGGGCCACTATGATGATATAGGTCGACAGGCACATCATCAACGTCAATGCAGTCAATGAAGTTTCTGCTATTGCTGATGAGCCCGTGCTAATGTCGAATCTAGTCAGTAGATCGCCCCGGAACTTGTGCTACAGGCCAATCCTCACAGGGAAACCATCAATGCTGCGCTGCAGTGCGGACATCACAGCGAATCTACGTGTCTCGTCTCCCGCTTCACACTTGCCTATGCTGGCGATTGCTTGTTCCGCATCAAGAACTCTGGCTCTCTGTGGATCTTTCTCTGGCATGTATTTAGTTATCTCTACCAAGTTTCATGTCAGTCTCAAAATTGAAAATGAAGGTCGAAGACGCATCACGTTGGACAAAGAGGGTATATCGGGGAATGCGTTGTACTGGCTCTATAAGAAGCTCACGAAGCCCAATTCGACTATGAGAGTCCGAGGTCGAGTATTTGATCCTCTACACAATGAAGTCGTTCAGTCGATGAGGGACAGACATTTGGGATGAATGCCTACCTCGATGAAACCCGAAAAGCCACTATTGGACTTCTTCAATGATTCAAAGATGGATTGCGCCTCCTCAATTTTGGAATAATATTGCTTGTAGCAGTCAAACGTTCTGGCGTCCTTAAACTGAAGTCCATGAGTATACTAGCACACATCCAAACACGAGACCAACGCCCATACATGCTTAAGGAGAACATCGCCTATTCCGCCAACCTGTTTTGGACCATTCGGTGACAGCATCAACTCGAGATCAGCCAGAAGGGTTTCGTTGGCAAGTATAATGCTATCCAGATTGCCGAACATTGTTTTAGCTTCGTAGGGTGGGATAATAGCAGTGTCCTTAGCACGGGCAAAGGAGCGAAGGGGGTCTGCATAGGACCGCTTAAGGACGTGCAATTTGCGGACGTATGATCGTTCCGTCCTGACGAGCTCGTTGAGGACCTCCACCAGCGTTGCTACTTCTGCTGACGGCCGCTTCTGCTTCGAGACTCCCTTCATTAAAGAGATCTTTCAATATTGCAATAATTGTTCAATCAAAATATAAAGTACGTTGTTAACACCCTCCGATGCCGATTCGGCAGGGTTTGCAGGAGAGTCGGATGGCTCCTCGATTTCCTCTGCTGCAGGTTTCCCATCCTCAGACAGGCGAGTACCGAGGGAGGCTACGACATCTTTGACATCTTCATTACAAGGGATGAGCTGACGGCATAATTTACACAGCAAGGAGACATCCCTCACCAGGAGAGAGTGGTTTTCCATGGTTGCCCCCTTCGAACACAACACTGCAGAAAAAAGTACGGTGTGTAATTTGGACTTGAGTTGCGTCGCTACGACCCCTTATGCGCGACGACGGTTCGCCAGTGGCGAGGGGAACCGTCTTGCGCGGTGAAAGCATCGGGGACGGATGTCAAGCGCGTCTCTTGTTTGGCCGACTAAACAAACCAGTGATGTAAACAAAGATGACGCAGTCATGTGACTCGAGCGAAAGAGACTGACACTCGCCAATCACATTGTTAAGCAAATGTGAATGTGGAAGCACCACCAGTGCCGTTGGCCTAACACTTGAGCAGGTTACTGGGGAAGCTTAAGCGCTGATGCATGTAGGCTTAAACGCTGTGAAATGCACGCTCACATTTCTCCCCAGTGTGTTTCCCTCCAGAGTGGAATGGTTCTCAACCGCCACCATTTTTGTAGTGATGGTCTCGGCCCTGTGGTATCTAAGAGGAGGTACCCAGGAGAATAGATCCAATTGGTGGCCAACTTGGTAATCGGCAAAATTCTGGGATCAATGGCCACGCCCCGATAAGCTAAATATCCCTCGATGAGTTTCCCCTTCTGCTTGTCGCATTACTAACCGTTGAATAATAGAGGATAATGATAAATGCCCGGTCTCAACAACATTGCCAGAATCAAAAAGTAGCCTAAGAGCCCATGGTCGGTAGTAACCCCACAGGTGGGGGAGTCTACTCGACCCTCTGCGTCATTACGTCAGGCAACTTGAGCAACGGGGTGCCACTGCCCTTCTGGACCAGTTGATGAATGAGATCCTGTGCATCCTTGAGATGCACGCGCCAAATCTCGTCCGATGGCCATCGCCGTTCGGAATCGATATCTAATTCCTCCAACCTGTGAATCCCGCCATCGACGAGAATTTTGAGCACGTCAATTATGAAAGCGAAATGGCCCCCAATTGTCAATTTCATTAGGTCGTTGGAGAGTAGCTGCAGGTGAACGTTTATAAATCTGACATTAGTGCCACTGAACTGAGGCAATGTAGGCGCCGGCGCACCAGTGCGTGCAATGCCCTCGAGAGTGCCCCGTAGTCTCTTGGGGAAACCGACTGGACCTGAATGTCAAGATTGCAAAGATTGAAGGTTCGAATATTACCCAAGAACTTCGCCAAATCTCTAAGATGCGTGGTGTGAATGGACAACGTGCGTAACCATGGAAGCGTCAGTGACCAGTGCGGAGGGGCATCGTCGATGCGTGAATGGTGTAATTTGAGGCTTCGAAGTTCTGTCGATCCGTGAAGGAGGGAAGCAAATAGCCTCCATTCCATGGCAGCGTACGAGAGCGACAGTGTCTCCACGTGGAATGGATCCTTTTTGCCTCCGGACAACTCGATTCCTTCCACTATGAGCGTTCGCAGTGAGCTAGCCTCGACCAAGTCGAAATCTAGCGAAACCGAATAATCCGCATCATCCAGATCTCTTCCCTCATTCCCCAAACTCAGTCCCTCTGGGTATAGTTCTCCACCATAAGCCCGAGTGATAACCAACCGCTCGAGGGCCTTAAATGGGTTCCCAATAAGGAACTGTCGAGGCGAAATGGTTCCCAAAGGACTTGTCTCCGCAGATCCAAGCTCAACATAAAGACTCTTAGTTCGTCGCGCAACCTGGTGCTGCTGTTCCATCAACCATGCTGGCACACCAGAATTGAGTGAACGATCTGCTCGTATGACAAGTTCTAGCAACTCTCTGGAATTGATAGGGATGGAGTTACTGGGAGATCGCAGCCGCCCACCACGGGGCATACTCTTTGCGTGGGGCGAGGCGCTGGCTGGCGTGCGATGGGGCCGGGAAACAGAACAGAGACGCCTATTCAATCGATCGTTCCCACGAGATGAGAGTGTATTAATTCAGTAGCTGTCTACAAAGGATTCAGACGCAAGCGGTTCATTAGTCTCTATGTTCATGTGGAGGAATAAGCATCTATCTTGTACTTGAATCCATATAAACATCATAGTTCGACGAATCAGAAAATATTGAATGCCCAAATAGAGAAAGCGTCCAGGGAGAACTCATCTCATGATTAGGCGGTATTCCATTCGGCTTTTTTGCGCACGTCCTCCCAGTGCATTGGCCCCTTCGGCCACCCACCCAGCTGGCCGCCTTCCTTCGCACCTTGGTCACACTTATACGCCTTCCTCTCCCGTTGACGCTCGTTATTCTCCATCAAACCTTTCGCGGAAGCGGTAATGACTCTCGACGTGTCAACCAGCAAGAACTCGTATATGCACGCTGCCAGGAATGTGCTCAAGAAGGGAGTGAAGGCGCTCATTGCTCCATATCGGCCTCCCCAAGCATTTGTTCCCCATATCGCGATTGCACCAAGTCGGGCCCCAACATCTCTTGCAACGTTAGTTGACAAGGTAGCAGGATCGAATCCCCAAATGACAAGGGCCCAGGCAAGGCCAATAAATGCTGGGATGGATGTGGAGGTGACGAAGACGTTGGAAGGATCAAGACAAGCCCAGACGACAAGACCGATAAAGATGTTAGCGAAAAACTCGTTCAGGAATGTCCATCCGAGCGAGACACCCGGGTTAGGGTACTGCAGCATGGTGGAAGATAGCTCATGAATAAGCAGGAAGTAGTAGAAAAATCAAGCTCACGATAGCGAAGACCCCTGCGGGCCCTGAAGATGAAAAGAGGGACGCCTCTTTGCCTGCTGCAACGAGCCGGGTTTCTATCTCGAGGAAATATGGGCGATATTGCGCATACACGATTAATGTTGCAGAGAAAGCCCCAGCGATTTGAGAAGCAATGTAGAGGGGTACTTTCTTGAGGGGGAAGTCTGTAATATGATTGGTGACTCAACGCCCACCAGCGTATGACATGAAGTTTGGCTTACTCTTGAATAGCGAGAACGTCACAGTGATGGCAGGACTAAAATGGCCGCCAGAACTCATGCCACAGGTGATAATAGCAACGGCGATGCCAAATGCATACGCTAGACCAATTTGCAGGACGCCTTTTCCTTCATGTAGCGTCTTCGGGCTTGGAAAGAAAGGGCACGGACTTACTGGAGAGCTGTGATTGGTTAGTATTCTCCCCAATCGTCAGTGCAGCTGTCGAGCCTAATCCAACATAGCAAAAACTGATTGTTTGTCAGAAAATGAGTACGGCGGCGAGTCGAATCGATATTAACATGAAAACGCCAATGAACTCCCCAGAACATTCTTGCACCCAGGCAGGACGTCTATGCTCCCAAATCCCATACCATTCTGAATTATCATATATCAATATAACAACCAGATACCAGGCACTGAGCACTAACCTGGCTTAGTAGCGACGTCATCGACATGGAGACTGGTCTTCAAGCCTGACAGGGCATCAAGACGAGGAGAGACAACTCGAATTCTAGAGAGGGTCCGATTACTCCGAATCCTCGAGACTGTGTGTTAGAGCTTACTCAGCTTCAACCACTGATGCACGTCTAGGCCCCATCTTTTGTGGTGGTAAGCACAGAGGGGACACGACCTGCGAACTCCTTCCGGCTTTATCTGGCCGTGTTAAACGAATAATAGGTGCCAGGAAACCCTATGTATAAGTCTCCCCTTTAACCCGCGTCTGAGATATCAGACTTCAATCATTCGAAGAGGCTTAAAATAATTCATATATCATCCCACACGAAAAAGATGTCGACTTAAAAGCCGCGGCCCATGCATAGTTGTAAACCCAGCATTTCCAGTTCATCGTTTAAGGGCCTGTAGGAATTAGAGAGAAAAATTAATTAAATGCAACTAACAAGGGACGTGTTCGGGAGGAGATCCTAACCCGTGAGTGCCTCGAACGTTGACTTGGCAGCATTTCATTGCTGTGTTCGCAGGGCGGTCCCGACCCCTCGCCATGACCGCTATTGATGACACTACATCCCCTTGATCAGACGGTGGAAAGGGTTTGATCGGGATAACCAAAATATCGCAAGGACAGTTGAGCAGCCTCTCTTTAACCGGAAGAGAACAGGGACGGAGAATCCCTCCCAATCACTGATGGGTGGTCACGGAATCGTCAGCTGTTTGCGAACTACTTATCTGCATGAACAAGCATCGTCGTCCACCAAGGATTAACGACCCGGTATCGCACGCCCCAGTCGCTGCAGTCACGGGCCTGACAAACTTAGTGAGATCCCCGGTAGCACCTGCGCGAAAGAATGCTGCTCCAGAAGCGTCATATTCCTTAAGGCCTAAAATTTCTCAGCCCTAAACCAATCGGCATGGGGACCTCAGCATGCCAAATGGGTTTATGGACTGCGGAACCTGCATGTAGCATCTAAAGGGGACATTCAGTGAATGGTATAGACACCAAGAAGATAGCAACGAGTGTCCGTCGCAACCACAGACACCACCACCATCATCATCATGGGTGATGGAACTGTTTCCATTTCAGATCGGGCCTCTCACGACATCTGCAGTTCGGACGCGAGACTGGATTTCTCCATTTCCGGTTCGAAGCAATTCAGGTGCAAATAGCTAGACTCCAAAGGAGAAGCAGCATGCACACCACAGGATCATCACCAGGAGAAGGTCACTCGGAACGAGGGAAGGGGTGAATGAACACTGGACATTACTCACTGTTTCTAAGAAGCACGATCGAGTGGGGCAAGAATTAATTGGTGTACCACCATGCACACCCTTAAATCCCCCACACTAATACTACAAATTGGTATCATCTGGTATCATCGCACACTCACTGAAAACCATGGTTGGCTAAATATCAACAGTACCCGCGTAAACGAGATTGCACCATACCTACTACGATCAATGCCCTTCACTTTCCCAAAGACAAGCGGAACCCAAGGGGTAATGCTAAAGATCATGCACGTTGCCCCAGAGAGTGCCGTGACATCATCGAAGCGTGAAGTTGATATTTTCACCCCACAATCAGATCAGGTTCGGTCACGACCCCCTAGACTACGTGGTCTCTGCTTCATAAGAATTAAGTACTGCGTTTTGGGCCTTCTTGTACTGATTCTGGTTACAGAGATGGCGACCCAGTGCTTCTGGCTTTATTTCTAGGGGACAAGCGGCTTACCATGAGACCTTCGCTTGTGATCACTCATACGATGCGCGCGGCCGTCCAGGTGCACATACCTGAATTGGGCACATCAACATCTGAGGTATCCAGGATAGGGTTAACCGCCTCGACTCCACGGTGGGTTTGCAGATCAACCTATATCCACTGTTTGGGTTGTCAGTGCCAGGTATACGGTGCTTCAACAAATGCCCTGAACAACTTTCCTTCTCTCTGGAACCTCCTGCCCCAACTGACTGGAAAAACGAACAGACCCGATATTGCAAGCTTCTGGTACCCGCAGTTGGCACCCTCGGGGCATTCTATAGAAGGCGGAACATCTCGTAAACCGAAGCCCCTTGGTGTTCTATGTTTGCCCCGGCCGATACTATAGAAGGCTTCAGCCTACTGGAAAGAGTACTTCCCCATTACGTAACCATGCATAGTCGTTGCCTCAGTGTGCGACCAGTAGGTCGTTGTCGAATCGAATTTTTGACAGCGACCAGATGAACCCCAGACGACGGTAATTTGGACCTCGCAATGGCAGAGCCCGTGATTATGTGCCGGTCCGCAAATGCCAATCGAACTGAGGCTTTAACTGTCTCTGGAGCAGTTACTGTGGTCTCGGTGTGGAAACACTCTGCCCTTCGACCTGCAACAAAACCGACCGGACAAATCCTGACCGAGGCAATCCCGAAAACGAATAATCCAATTGTCCTGTCACCATGATCCTCATGCATGAGAGTCGGCTAAAGTCCTTCAGGCCACTTGCACCAGTGCCTGCAATTGTCACATATCAGGACAGTTCGTCATGATAAAATCCCCTACCCGTGGTACAACAACAAGCACCGGGCGTAAATCCCAGTGTCTGCATGTGGGCCACGGGCAAACAAGCCAGGTTTTTACATCTTCTGGCGGCCGGCCACAAGATCCCCAACAAAAGATTCCAGCCACAAATTATGCCTCAGCGCATTCATTCCAGAATTTCCAGTAAGATAGGATCAACTTTACAGGGGCATACTCACGTATCCTTCCAGCACCTGTTTGAAGTTGAAATTCTTCGTCAACTCACTGAACATTTAGTCTGCAAAGAAACTGCACCAGCTACAAGGATCACGATCACCCTTAGGATGTTAATAGTGCAGTTGCCTTAAACTCGAAACCCCAAGCGTTATGACCAGTGCTGAGAACATCAGTAAAGGCGGGAGAAAGTGGCTTACCGAAACCCAACAACGAAAAGACCACGGACTACTGTATAGGGCCTTGAGGGAGATTATTCAGAAATGATGCCATTACTATAGGATGCCAGGATTGCCGTCCACGGAATGCAATTATGCCACAAAGAAACAGACAGGCTACAATAGCTTAGGCAATTTTCAAAGCAAATGAACACGTGGAGGAATGAAGGGTCATGCGAGAGGGCTAATTAATCTGAATAAAAATATTAGAACATTCCAGGTACATGGGATACCAAAAAGGAGGCTGACTTGATCAGAGATGGCTGAGGCTGGCTTTTCGTGTACCCGTAGTAGATGATGAAGGGAATCCAGCCATAATGAAAGACAGTCTGGAGTCCCCCAAGAAGAGGCGTTGGGACACAAGACGTCGAGATATGGCGGGAGAGTGGCGTTGTAGAAAGACGCGCAAACCAAGGGATGCATAAGACTTTGATAAATGAGACGGTGTCTAAGAACATACACGGCCGAACTCGATAACCTTTAGGATTCGCTCCTAATAAGTGGAAGCACAGAGTCAGAACATTGCAACAGAAAACTCCAGGCATGGCAAACCCCCTGAGCAATCACACTCACCTGTGTCTCTTCGGAAGGCATGGCGTCCAAGAGCTAAAAAAGAACGTGTGGACCAACACGTGATGAGGATTGAAGTTCAGGCGGCATTTTCCCGCATTCAACTATTCAAAATTTCTCGGTCTCTGGGGTTGCCGCCAGTTCTGGACTTGACGCTGAGCGCTATTGAAAGATAGGATGCTGGGCCAAACGTCTGCGATCTTTCTGAATGCACCTCAATCGGGGTCGACTGGGTGGGTCGGGTTAACGGGTTCACACCGCGAGTCCTCGAACACTCATGATTTTCTCACATTCCCGCTGCCTCTATTCCTCACACTCTTTTGTGCGGATATCCAATGACTCTTCTACTTTAACGGCGGGTACATAGCCGCACCTTCACTTCAGTTACAGTCCACCCCGTAGCAATTTTTTCCATTCTTGACCACTTTCTTCGACGCAACGCTGCAGAAGATCGGGTCATCGGCACAATCCTTGGCAGCCGAATCGATGGCGTCGTCCACGTTAAAAGCGCCTTTGCGGTACTACACAAGGAGTCTGAGGACCAAGTTGCTGTTGACCTTGAATACCACCGAACTATGCTCGACCTGCAGACCAAGGCCAACCCCAGTGAGGTGATCGTTGGGTGGTGCGTAGTTATACTCGTCCGTGTTGGATTATTAAGCTACATGATGACTCACTAGGTACTCAACGGGCTCGGACCTTAATACCTTCTCAGCACTCATACAGCATTTCTATTCCGGAGAAACCTCGCCTCAACAAGCAATACACCTTGCCATTGACACTGGTGTTCAAAAAGCAGGGGAAGTTGGTGTGAAGGCATACATTAGGTTTGTCTCTTCCTGTTTAACACGCGCGTGACCAGAGGTTCAAAGCGTGTACATATTTAGCTCACCAGTAGGCGTCAATCCGAAACCCGAGAACTGTGTTTTCGTTCCAATACCGTGCGAGCTGAAATTCAGTCAGCCCGAACGTAGTGGACGTGAGCTTTTGCCCTCTCATAGTTAAAATCTTGCACATTAACCCTCGGCATCCAGTGGATCTCTTGCTTAAGACAACACAAACCGCGTCACAAACTGTGCTTCCAGTATCGCATGATTTTGAGACCATGGAAGCTTCGTTAAAGTCAGTCATCGGGATGATCGATCGTGTTTTAGTATACGTTCGCCAGGTCATCAAGGGGGAAGTCGAAGGCAACGAGCAGATTGGGAAATACCTCCTCGATGCTTTACGTGAAACCGAAGGTGTAAGTCTTAACAAGGGACAGTTAGACGGGCATTTCCATGCACACCTACAAGTAAGCGCTACCGCCATTTTTAACATGTATCCGATTGCTAAGGGTGCCCGTTTTCAGGATACTCTCATGGTCTCATATCTTGCAAATCTAATTCGCTCACAAGTGGAGGTTTCCACTCGGCTCGCCCTTGTCACATAATTGCACCTGATTCAATTTAGCATTATTTTATATTGCACAAAGTGCAATCGTAAGTAATAGACCACCCCAAGTCCCTGATAATCGAAACCAAGCTAGTATTCCGATGCCCTAAACAATTCATAGACCTTGATTGAGAGCATCTCGCCAATATGACGCCTCCCGGTCCCAGGTAGTTGCGTTAGCATATGCTTCGCTGGTATTACTTGAGATTTCTTCCTGCCCTTCGCGGCTCCTGGGCCTTCGGCTTCCTTCTGTCTAGCCGAGACTTCTTTTTCCTCCGCATCTATGAACGCTTGCCATAGGGCGTAGGGAGTATCGTAGGCACCAATGATGTTCGCACACTTCTCGGCACTCATGCCATTGATACATAGCAGCATGTGTGCAAAGAAATCCCGAACCGTCACTGAGCCGGCCTTGTTTAGCATTCGATGCGATTCATATGTTGTAAGATAGATGTGTTCTGGGAACGAATTCCGTAGATAGCTTTGGACTGCCGTGTACGAGTGCCGACGAATATAAGAAGGCGGAATAACGTAGAGGGGTTGGTTCTAAACGGGAAGCCCGTGAGCCTGCATATTAGCATAAGAATGTTGTCGACCCACTAGATGCAGCCTGAGAATTGTTTCGTGCAGGCCCACTAGGTACTCAATTGTGTCTGATAAATCTCTCGTTTCTTTCACAAAGAACCCATCTATGATCTGGGTGGAGGATAGTGCCGTAAATATTGCCTTATCCATAACGGTATCTTCCACATTCTCTCGATATTGTTCGACAAGGTAATAGATGTGTCCAATACCGGATTCCTTCAATCGAAACTGTACCGTATTGCGTCAATGAGGGACCTATTTGGCCACCATGAGGACGAACATACCTTCTGCTCATGAAACCTGCCATCTTTAATACTGCCCACGAGATCCTTGGCCCTTTTCCTCTCAAGAATGAAATCAAGCACTACTTCATTATTAGGCCCATCCAAGCCGTTCCTCTTGGCGATCCAGCAGACGTCTCCAAGTTCCAGTGCTCTTTGCTCGACACAAACGCCACGTTTCTCAATCTCTGCTCTGATGTAGTCTCGGTTGTAAAGCCTGCCCCTTATCTCGCGCGTGTCCAACACTAGCCAGATGGTGTAGGTATTTTTGGGAACGATTATTGGCTCGAATGGCAAAGCAACGTCCCGGCTGCTTGACACCTCCAGCATATCTTCAAGAGCGACACCCACACCAGTCGCAGAATCAAGATTGCGTTCAAGTGATTGGTCAATAGCTGGTGGGGGTGGTATGTGCGACGACATGCGAGGAGCTCGGCGCCCTCTGTTGCTAGAGTTTGGGCCTTGGGGCGTTGCGGATCCTGGCGGATCGAGCGAGGTATGAGGAAAATGATTAGGAGCGGAATAGGTGCGATTTGAACCAGGATATGGGTCAATGGCCGTCATGTCCCTGGAAGTCGACCTACCAGGGATTGCGGACGGCATTGACGCCGCTCTCGTCTTATCAAACGAATGCACAATGGTCGACGCCGCATTTGTGGGGACTTGACTGCCAGAAGGCCCCGCGAAGAGGGGATCAATCCCGTGCGGAGGGGGCAATGAAGGAAAGGAAGTTGATATAGCTTGATCCTGAGATTTCTTAAATCTGTCTCGTTCAGGTAGACCAGATCTCTGGCGAGTTGGATCGATAGATGTAGTAAATGTAGGACGACGTAAAAGCGATTGGAGCGTAGCTTCTATTAAGAGTGCCCTCGCTTCACCCTCCAGAAATTTCTCAACATCCACTGCGTCGGAAGAAGTATCATAGACAAACGAGGGAGGCTTTGATACTGGTCTCAAAATAGCATCTGACTCCTGCATTAAGGCTAGAAACGTCGTTGTCTTTCCTTGAGTCACCTTTGGTGGAATACTAATATCTCCCAAACGCGAAGTGAACGGGTGGAAGCGTTGAACGGCCGTAAACTCGATTCTGTACCATATTTCGCAGTCATTTTTGATGACGATCTCGGCGTGATCACGATGATCAACCCGCTGCTTGTCCGTGTCTTAATTTGGCGGAAATTCAGTGGCAGGGCTAATCACGACAGCTAAGGGAAAATAACCTAAATACCAGAAAGCAAAGATCACCCCAGGAAGCAGTTCCACGGGGTCTGAGACACATGGCTAAGCGATCCGAAGGACAATGAGAGAACAACTTACCCATAATTGGGCGAGAATATAAGTGGTCGAAATTCATTGAACTATTCTCCCCAGGCCTAGAAGTTTCGCTCATCTCGGGTGATGGGTTTACAGATTTCCTTGGCGGGGTACTATGTTCCCTGTGAACGGCACCTGTCGTGCCATTCGCGTTCCTTCGGGATTTAATGCGTGAGACTGAAGAAGAGGTGTCATGTGGCTCGCCCCCATCCTCAGATGCCTTAATACGCTTATAGCGCTTCAAAAGGCCTTTAGTAAGTGCGGGTCCAAAATGCGGCAATGACTGCACATCGCGCCTGAACAAGATTTGGAAGGGAAGCGAAAGTATTAGCACCGTTTCTAAGAATGCTTGGCCATATTTGGGGAACTGACGGATCCTCAAGAACCTCTTTACACGCCCTCAAAGAACTTATGGCTCTGCCGAGGCCTATGGTCCTGCCTACGGTTCGACTGTAGTTTGAACCAGCATTCTTCTGCGCTAATTCGTCTCTCCACTCTACTAAAAGACCGAGAAGTACCGGATTAGCGCAAGTGTCCTTGGGCATGTGTGAGCAGATAAGCAAAAAAAAACGAAGCAAGAATTCGGAGTGAAACGAAAACTGACGCGCTCCCGATGCGTCGTCGACCCGACATAAACACCCGCCAACATGCGCTCTCACTCAATACAATCGTTTCCCGCCGCTGGCTTCGCGGTCCTGCTAACCTCCCTTCATCAGTCCCAACAGCCATGACCCCCCAAAAGATTTGAACACCGAAAAAAAATGGATGTGCCACCCCCCATCAGTTTGCTGATATTTGTGACTTGTTTATGGCAAAAAGGAGTCGCATCGATTGAAGGGACCATTTGATAAGCTTACAACGGAATCTTGAGGTTCCAACCATCCTTTACTGAAGCAACCCCGATGATGTCAAGGGCTGCTTTTGCCCAAAAATATGCTGCCTAGCCAGGCGCCGCGAAATAACACCAGATATCGCACCCGATACAGTTGAAGGACTAAAATGGCGCTCAAATCTGCCCATTGCTTAGCTATTGAAAATACGGGAATGCTGGAGATCATGTCTTGTTGCAAGTATCTCACCCAGGGGCCACGTCATGGCTGGGCCTATCTCACACTCATCGTCCACCTCTGAATCGCTGACAACAGAGGTCGAAGAGGGACTGGAGAATGAGCTCGCTCTGCCGACGAGACGGAGGTGATTTGGTTTGATGCTTTTTACGACGTTATCAAGGAGCGGATGAATGATGTGCAGTAAGAGTTGTTGCGCCGCATATGGCCCTAGGATGTTGAGACGTATGGAGGCAGAGACGAGCGCTCGAGCGTGGAGGAACATATGTAGATACTGACTGCGTTCTGGAAATGATAACCCAGTGAGCCCCGAATCGAGGATGTCGTTAACATCTCATGATCACGCACCGCACGAAAGTCCAAGGGCCACTGTCATGATTCCCCAACAAATTGGTAAGTGTCCATTAATGTCTCCTCTGCGGATGTGAATCTTCAGCTCGTCCGCAAGCCTCTCCATATGCGCACCCCCAGTCTGAGTCTGAACCCCTAACTTCTCCCCGTCCAGTAAACCCTTATCGTGTAGCCACGATGGCCGAACAAAGCCCTTCGACAACAACGTCAAATGAGCAACACCTTGGGCGGTAGAAGCCCTTTTTGCGACATGATTAAGAGTCATAGACTCATACAGGTCATCTATCTCTTTGAGAGACCGCAGTGACTGCTCCAGACTTGCAGATCCGTCCACATCCCTCTGGTCTCGATATACTACACATATATCATAGACGGCCGATATAAATGGAAGTGCACTGTGTGCGTATGCCTGAACGCTATCTCGGACAAAGTTGATCGTCGATCGAGTCAGTGAGGGAGGGGAAGGCGTGGACGTAAAATCTGCTGGACTGTTTGGCTTGGTTGGGGAAGAATCGGAGATAGGTAACGAGAAGAACCCGTGCTTCACGTATGATTCTAAGCCAGCAGACGCAACAAAAGAGCCGGTAGGAAGATTACTGTCTGACAACAGTAGGTGCAGGTATGACTCGCTCTCAGTGTCCATGAGTTAGCAGTTATGTTGGAAGATCGGCGAGAAGTCGCCAAAAACTCTGCTATTGGGAGTTGCACCCTCCAACAAAGGCGTTAATTGACGAGAATTATTTCTTCATGTTACACAGAACACTTCTGTGCAATGATATCCAATGAGTGTTGTGACTGTCGGCAGCTACCGTACAGTTGAGCCCAAGCAAACACTTGAAAAAACTTGCCGATGCAAGGAAACTTCCTAAACATGTATAAAACGCTTTCTCTTGTGTGTCGGTATCATTTCCGTGTGTCAACAATTGCCCAAATCGAAGATTGAACCGCAAAGTTTTTGCCAGCGGCTTGAAAAATAAGCGCCGGGGCCCAACTCTGGTACCATTTTAAAGGTCTTTTTGAAAGTAAACATAATTCCAAACAAGCGCTGATGATACATGCAACAATGTGGCACAGCTTGGAGGGGTGGGTACGGAGCTTGGGTGGGTGTCTTGGTTTGGGTTTGTTGAATCGCTTCCGACCGATGTTTCAAGCAACTGCAGGCGAGCTTAACCCCTGTATTCGAGTGTCATTTAATCCTCTCATAACCTTCTGGGAATGCATCGATTACACTTATTTATCTATTTTTACGTTGCTATAAGAGCAAAAAGGAGTTGTTTGGTGCAGAGATGTAAATATTCGCTGGATCCTGCTGTGGGAAATTTCAGACTTTGCCCTGTCTTGACAACTGTGCCTCGGTCGTCAGAGCTCGGAGAAATTTGGGACGCAACATGCAGTCTACTGGGGTCTCGATGCTACGTAACGGTGGCAACTTCTTTATAACAATTGAATTCCTGCCACCGCGATTACACAAATTCCACCGCACCCCATGCAACCTCACTTGTACGAACTTCGGATCAAGGCTACAATCCCTCCGTTATGACGCTATGATTTCGAGGACGGAGGATATGATCGACAATGGGCTAAGTACTTCATCCAACTCATACAACTATGGAGGTCATGCACAGAGACCAGGCAGATTGTCGATATGGCCCACAGATAATGATGAATTAATCTATGCAGCCACTCAGTGATGGCAGCCGGAACGCCACTGATATGAATGATCGCACAAGATGAAGGTCAGGGTTCTGCAGTTTTAAACAATGACAATTAATCTTAGAACGGCTGCTGAGCTTGGGCATCGGCTAATATTTGTCCATATGCTTACATGCACCACTATTTCGCTACGCTACTATGTTCCACATGTAGCGCTTATTCCCATCTCATTTCTTTATCACTTTTGTTTTGCTACATATCTTGTTATTACCTTAGCTACTTACTAATGCCGCTTGCACGGTTACAATGTTATTTGAGATCTTTCCCCCATCATTCGCGTGTCCCCGACGTAACAATAATAATAAAGTGATCCACCCACACAAGTTTCTGATGTGGTAGTGCACACGCCACGCATAAACACCAAACTAAAAAGGAAAGACCTGAAGTTGGATATCCTGACATACATGTATGAATTGTATAATATACTGTGAGTAATATTGAGGTCAGCGGAGGTAGCGCTTGATAAGTTCTTCCATCTCAATGTTAACTGAGCTGATCAGGAGTATGAACCGACCCAGCATGAGTGCCTCAAGGTCTTTGAGATGTCCATTGACCCCCTGCCACCACCATCGACAAACCACAAGGTTCGGGCGAGCTAGAAGCACCCGCTTTGCGCATTCGGAAAATCGTTCTTGCGCCAACAGCTCGGTACTCTCCTCAGCACAGTCAATAATAAGCAGCTTCAAACCTGGAAAAGGCATCCGTGGTGCATGTAGACTTAATTCTTGTCCACCACACGAAGGAGAAAGGGCTGATGACACGTCAGCCTGAGAAGGGAGCAATGATTCAAAGAATTTGCCGGAGTTTTCGCAATGGAGCACTTGAATTACTTTGAGCGCTTCAGAATGAACAAGGCATTCGTGTCCGATATCTCCCGGAGTGATACCGCGAGAATTGATCTCGAGTACTTCGAGGCGAGAGAGGCTCTCTATGGAGTTGCGAGTCCAAGTAACATTACGGTCATACGAATCCCCGCTCAAAAGCAAGTGCTTCAGACTAGGAGTAGCTCCAATAATAGATGGGTGCAGAATGTTGGTGTCAAGGGAACGGAGTTCAGGGAATGATAACGCTGGGGGGAATACATCATGGGGCATACGGTGCAACACGAGGCTCTTCACATCGTGACAATGATCCAGAATAGCATTCCGGGTTTTGGAATTGAGGCGAGAAATGATCAGCCGATCAGTGACAATAAATCTCGAGTATATAGTTGGGAGTCTAGAGGGTCTGTAATAGTTGCAAACACCCAGAACACGCAGGGTTAGTGGTGGTCCAAGATCGATGGTGGCACCGGGACACAAGTACGCCGCGGTCCCGATATAGATGAACAGCTCTTCGAGACAAGGGAAAGAATCAGGAAGAGGGAGCCACAAAAGTGGGTCATTCGTGTATAGCTCCAGTGATCGACAGTGCTCATAATGCGGCACCACCAGGTTTTTGACATGGGGTTCGATCGCTTTCTGGTCGCTATCTAGGCGAATGGAAAGATGAAGTGGGACATTTTTTGATCTGAGAAGCCACAAGGAAGCGTATTCCACCTCAGAATACATCGATGCCATGCGGTCATGGCTATCCTCTTTACCGGTCCAATAGGTAGAATGTATGTGAACTTCGGACCAGAGCCGTGGTTCGTTCAATGCCAGTGAGCGCCAGAGGATATGGAAACTAGATATATAACCTTCCTTTCGGGTTCATCAAAGCCACGAAGGCCAATGACAAAAATCTGGCTGATAAGCTCGGAAGGTAGATGGTGAATGGACAATGGTGTATCTGGGCAGTTGCTCATAAATGGTAGCTGGAATGCGCGCTAGTGAGTACTGAAGATCGGCGCTTTTGCAAGTCCTGCACTGGACAGTGATGATGTCAAAATGATTGCAGAGCTCAGAGAGTTTCATTGCATACCACACAAAGAGAGAGCTTCGTCGGACTGATTTTTTTGTTATTCCCACTACTTTGCAGCGAGTTTGCAAGTCTTTGGTAATAGTACCCGGGGTCCTCTGAAATTGGAATTAAGCTCTTCTCACGGGTCTTCGAGACAAACTTGAACAAACTCCGAACTCTGCGTGAACCGCATGGCTTTCACTTGCAGCTTCCGCTTCTCTTTACATCGAAGACCCCTGCCTCAGCGCTCTCGGGAGCCCAGGAATCACACACACATTTGAGTAAATATGTTCAGAGGATCGTATTATCCGCGGAGAGAAATGATAAAGGCAACCCGGCACTGTGCCACACTCATAGGAGAAAAGTGTAGGCAAGCTAATAATCTTACAGCGTTCTCCCTGGAAGCTGAGATCGCCATGAGTTACATGTAACCAAGTTACGATCGATACTTTGTATTTCGAGGAGATTAATGCAACGGAGTCACTGGGATCCATGATCACCCGGTCAATATTGAGGAGGTGAGCTCTCTCAGGATCCTTATTTCCTTTCAAACGCTCGCTAATGTTCATCATATGCATAGATATTAGCTGCTTAGTCCAATCATCCGATCTCACCGAAACCAATGTCAGAGATGGACAGGGCAGAAAGGAATAAGAACGGTCCTCTGTGGCAGCGACCCACCACATCTACTGGTTACAATCCACTCCCTCTTTTTCAAACCAACTCTCTTTCAAACCAAAATGAAGTTCACCACTCCTTTCATCGTTGCTTCTCTCCCTTTCATGGTGCTTTCCAGTCCCATTGAGAAACTTATTTCTATTCCAATTAGAAAAAGGGGTCCCGCCACCACTCGTGATGGCGTTGTCGACATGACGGTTGTCCGGAACCACCTTGCCCATGTCACCGCGTAAGAATGAAACTTCAACAGTGCTTCCGTGAATCATCTTCCTTCTCCAGCAAATACGGCGCCGGCCTGAAGAAGGACACTGACTCAGTGCATCCTGCCGCTCGGAACGGAGTGACCCACACCTCGAAGAGGGGTGACGGTACTGTTGCCTTAACAGACGACAGGAACCTATTGTGGTACGGCCCATCGCGGTTGGAACCCCTGCTGTTGAATACACCGTTGATTTCGACACGTGAGTTGCCTCCGGATATTCAAGAGCAAGATTGATAACCGTGCCCTATCTCCTACTTCACTTCGACATAGCGGAAGCGCCGACTCGTCCTTCCCGATGTCTCTTGCCACAATTGTGGAAATCATACGCATTACAACTCTAGGTTTGTTCGCCCTTTCAGAATACGCGATGCTGCATTGCATTTATTATAACCACATTCAGCGCGAGCTCTACTTCCGTCAATACGCAAAACACCTTTAATCTATCTTATGGCGACCAGTCTTCCTCTAGCGGACAGATATACACTGACGTTGTCACTGTGGCCGGGCTCACCGCCCAAGGTCAAGCCCTGGGATCCGCCACCGTCTACACGTTCGTCTCCAATCATGTCCGATGTTGATCGTGATTCTCATTGGTTGGTTCAACAGGCAGTTTCAGAATCGAACCCCAGATGGCATCATAGGCATGGCCTGGCCAAACGCTTCTTACTTCAACAACACTGGTACACCCTTCTTCACCACCCTCGTCCAACAGAAAGCCCTCTCCCAAAATCTCTTCGCTTTCTACCTGTCAGCCTACCTGTCAGGCGTCGGCTCGCTCCACCTTGGCGGACTTGACCCATCGATCTATCATGACCCTATTACCTACACCCCTGTGACCAGACAGCATTGGTGGCAGGTTGGACTCGATAGTGTCAATGTTAATGGGGCGGCGGTGGGCAGCAATCTATCGGCCGTTGTCGATTCAGGCACCACTTATATTCTTGGTGATCCGGACACAGTTGAGAAGCTCTATAACGCTATTGGCGGTGCCCCTCTTGAAAACAGCAATGGCATGTATACTTGTGCGTTCCCATTGGCTGCCCGTGAACAACCTGACCAACTAGATTTTCCCACAGATCCCTGTCACACTGTTCCTCAAGTTTCCTTCACATTCAGCGGAGCTTCGTATTCCATTAGTTCCTTCTTCGGCCTCGGCCATATCACCAATGGTTCAACCAACTGCCTTGGTGCCATTATGAGTAGTCCTACCCTTACGAATTCCTTCTGGATCCTTGGTGACAGCTTTTTGAGGAACGTTTATGCTGGTGAGCGCTTCTTTATTCCCCTCTCGACGATATGAGCCGAGCAGATCCCGGTTTCTCCAGTCTTCGACGTTGGCAACTCCCGCGTTGGATTCGCTAAACCAAACGATATAGTCAGCACTGAGAAATAATATCGCTGTTCATCCTGAAGGCATTTACTTATTTGGGTAACAATCCTGAATCCTGGAAACTCTTTCATGTTTCAGCCTGTGATCATTCACCACACAATACAATCGTCCTCGAGATTATATGAAAGGAGAAATCTTAAAGAGAAAAAATTGAGAGTCAAAGTTGGTGTAAGCGGGTGAAACTGGAGGAAGCAAGCCAAAGGTCAGATCCTACGTACAGATGACAATAACAGGTCGATGTAAATAATGAAGCAGGGCCCCATCTTGGTGAACAATGAACGGGGATAGGATGAAGATGAAGGACCCACTATAAGCGAGTGGCCGTTAGCCAATTGATGTCATTGAACACTCAGCGGGGATAGTAACTCGAATGATAACCGCTATTGGGCCCTTGACACATGGCTCAATCACCCTCTTGCAGCCAGCAAAGTGAATGGAAAGACGAAGTGGGGTATTCCTTGACCTGAGAAGCCACAAAGAAACACGCTCCAGCTCAGGAGATATCAATGCCTCGGCCCCTATCAGTCGTATATCTGTGAAGGACTATGTGCTGTGCGTCGACTTCGGACCAGAGGCGTGATTCCTCCAATTCCAACGCACGCCAGAACGTTGAGACAGAGAGTATGAAAATCAGATACCGGATCTTCGACCCGTAATCGAGGTCGTAATGAAAACGTCTCTGATAAGCTCCGGACTCATAGATCAGAGCTGGAGCGTTACTGAGAGCATTGGCGCTTCTTTTCTCGGTTTCGCAAATCTGGATAGTGGTGATATGAAGATGACCATCAAGTTTCATTGCACGCCGCACGAGGAAGGACTCAGGCGAGCGTTGTGGGGTAAAGTTGCTCAGAAAACCGTATGACTAGACAGAACCAAGAAAGCAACCGTTGAACTGTAGTGATGCAGGAGTATTAGTTTATTAGCTGCTCGTGGCTCGATCATAAATGAACTTGAACGTTGCCTGTCTATTGTGGCTATACGATTCCCCGGAGCAAACCGCTTGGCGCTCGGAACTTGGTTGGCTTCTGAGTCCTCGCTGCTCGGTCTCTCCAAGAATGTTGGGACGTACACCGCGATCTCGTCCGCTCACAAGACTAGTGGCTCTTCCCGCAAGGCGAGGAGTTCAAGTCCAGATGCGCTTAGCACCTCAGAAAACAAAGCCTCGGGTGCCACAACAACAGATCCTTAAGGAGCCCGTTGCGGTCCCCGGCACTTCACAAGATAGGGTCTTTAAAAAGGAACGTGTAGCCGAGTATGCTCCTCCTGGCAAGTGCTCCCACTTCACGCGCCACCATGTGTGCCTTTGTCATGAGGAAGCTAATGTTTGACAGACTGCTCCTCTCCGGTTGCCCGTTATAACCAGCTTGTGAAGAACAATGCCCTTCGCCCGGATCCACATCAAGCCGGGATAATCGCCATCTTGCAAGGCTTGCATGATAGGCTAGAGTCATACACACAGCCCGATGTGGTCGTCACACAGAAATTATCTGCGAGGCTGGTATGATCAGTTCAAGACAAGTCGGAGCAAACTCACCGACTATGTTTTTTTTTAGCTTCAGCGGTTCTTCTCAAGCTCAAATACTCCCTCATTGCCGCCGCTCACTCCGAACATTCCTAAAGGTTTATACCTACATGGTGACGTTGGGACGGGGAAGTCCATGCTCATGGACCTGTTTTACGACACGTTGCCAGCCAAGATAGATCGCAAACGGAGGGTTCACTTCCACGCATTCATGATTGAGATTCATAAAGCAGTTCACGCTTTGAAAGCCGCCGACAATGGCATCGAAGACCCAATACTACCAGTGGCTGCTAACTTGGCGTCAAAGAGCACGGTCTTGTGTTTTGATGAGTTTCAGGTATGTACCTCCCATCAAAATAACCTGCACTTATGTAAATTGTCTCGATCTAGGTGACAGACATCGTAGATGCGATGATTCTACGTAGATTATTAGAATGTCTGGTGAACTATGGAGTCATACTTGTTATGACCTCCAAGTGAGTCCACCGCCACCTCATCAAAGGGACGAGGGCTCTAACACTTCATGTAGTCGGCACCCCGATGATCTTTACAAACTAGGGATTCAACGAACTAGTTTCCTTCCAGCGATTGAGTTGTTAAAGGAGCGTTTCCTTGTTACCGATTTGAATTCCGAGACTGGTGCGTACAGTTCCCTCCATCGTCCCCTTGGCTGATTCTTATCCTCTCAGATTACCGCAAAATCCCTCGTGCTCTCTCCAACGTCTGCTACCATCCCATCAATCACGCCAACCGTCGCGAATTTGACAAGCTCTTCAAGGCGCTTGCTTCCGGTTCCGGTTCCCCAATTATCCATAACCGTTCAGTACCTATCTGGGGCCGATCACTTGTAATCCCCGAATCGGCAAATGGAATTGCTCGATTTTCGTTCGAAGATCTCTGCGGCAAACCCTTGAGTGCTGCCGATTATCTGGAGGTTACGAAGACATTCGGGACGGTCTTCTTGGAGGATGTGCCACGTTTGTCGCTCAACACGAAGGATAAGGTTTGAACTCCGCAAACTTGCGCGCCGTTGTTCGATTCTGAAGATATCTTCTGACTCCATCAGGCTCGGCGGTTCATCACCTTCATTGATGGTGCGTGCGACTGGACCTTTTTTTGAAAGTTGCTTGAAATGGGTCGTTTCTAGCGTGCTACGAGAGTAAAACGAAGCTGTTCACTCTCTCCGAAGTCCCGATCTTTGAGATCTTCTCCAATGAATCGGCCAATGGGCAGATCACGGATCATATGCGAAGTGTTATGGATGATCTCGTGCGTACATAGATTCCATGAATCTCCATTCTTGTATTCACCAAAGTGAATTGCCTGTTTTGACATAAACAACAGGGTCTCCCAGCTGACGTCGTCGGCTCCAGCTCAATCTTCACTGGCGAAGAGGAGATATTTGCGTTTGCCCGTGCATGCTCGCGCCTGGTGCAGATGAGTTCGAAGGAATGGGCTGAGACTTCTGCGCGGTCAGCTACCCCTACACTTGTCGCACAGAATGAGATGTCGATCGGAGGAAATTTGCACTCAACTTTACGAACTTCTGCACATGCATAATGCTCTACAATTCTGCACACTTACATTATCCTACACATAATTAAATTGTTTACTATCATTGTATATACGGACACCATAACTGAACAGTGCACTGTACAAGACAGCTTTCGTCTGCGGTTCGTTTTGCTGCATTGCCAGAGGGATGTTACGGTGTTTTGGATTGTTCTTACAAACCGCCACATTTGGGGATTGTATACACTTTCACAGAGTGAGAGTGTGTGTGCTGCGTATGGTTTTCGATGTATATTATAGAGGGTCTAACGATACAAATGGTCTGCATGCAAATTAGCAGCAATTTCAGCCTCAGCAGCGTCTCCATTTGCGAGGAGCTTCTCCTTGTTGTACAAAAGCTCTTCTCGAGTTTCCGTTGCGTACTCCGCATTTTGAGCTGCCAGAATATATTTTGAGCCAATTGATATATGCAATGGATGAACAAGGACTGACTCTCGACAATGGCATCAACAGGGCAAGCTTCTTGGCAGAATCCACAGTATATGCACTAATTGGGCAGGAAGGGTGAGCCTCTCTTACGTATCTTGCTGAGAGGAGATTGCAAACCTTCGTCATGTCGATATCATACTTGGTTGTCCTTCGCGAGCCGTCCTCTCGAGCCTCCGATTCAATAGTAATAGCTTGAGCGGGACAAATGGCTTCGCAAAGCTTGCAAGCTAAAATCCCGGACCCATGATTTAATCCTACAAGCGTCCTAAAAGGATGTTGCACTTACCGATACACCGTTCCTCTCCATTAGGGTATCGACGGAGCGCATGCTCTCCACGAAAGCGAGGGCTAAGGGGTCCCTTCTCAAACGGATACCTGCGTAGGGAGACGATTGCCTAAACCAGCGACGATGTACATAACATAGAATGAACAAACATGATGGTATACGGAGGCCGGAAAAACTGTTCCAACACCATCCACATCCCTACAAAGCATATAACAGTAAGCGAATTGGAAATAAATTTGTGGTTTCATGATTTACCTCGTATTATTTCAGTAAAGAAGAACAGCTCTGCTGTCTTCTCAATGGCAGAAGGACCATGCTTGTATGGATTGACATAGGCACTCGGAGTGTCTTTTGAGCCAAGGACACCAGTCTTCGTACCCTCTGGTGACTGCATCCACTCAGCGGGGTGCACTTCTGGCTGAGGATGCTTCTGTGGACCGCCTGGGAGCGGATTTGCCAGAGCCCGTCGACTTGTTGTACTCAATGCACGCAGAGAAAAGAGAGGAGAAAAAGCAGGCCCAGCTCTTAGCAGAGACCGTGGTAACTGACGAGATGATAGGACGCGCTGCATCCTCTGTTGCGCGAACATCGATGTCGTCGAATGGAGCCAAGTAATTCAATTTCTCACGGCGTTTCCCGTTTCGACCCAGGCCAATTGAGAGTGGGCTAACTCTCAATACAAAGATCGTGGCACCAATTGAGCACCAATGGCAACTTCGTCAAGCAAGCCGGTGGCTACGAAGAAATTAACGAACCAGGGTGAGGATAATGTCCCTGATGATATGACATAACGATGATGTGCCGGTTGCACAGAAATTCAAGCAACGTTCAATCGATTTCAGAATGAACTCCAAACGCTGGCGCAGAAGATCGGTGAGCTGGAATCCGAAGCAGAGGAGCATGAGTATGTCTATATTGCTTAATAAATACACCCGGAAAGTTCGCGGCTCATTTTCAAATGGGCAAATGAGTATAGGCTCGTCCTTGCCACATTAAATGAAGCGTTACAGAGGCAACCCGATCGCATATGTTTTCGGCTTGTTGGGGGTGTGCTTGTTGAGAGAACAGTAAAAGATGTCGTTCCCGCACTCAAAACAAACAGGGATGGGGTGAGTCTTGGTTCTGAATCCGGATTTGCGCTGGACTTTCTCTCCTTCCCAGATAAAGCAGGTCCTTACAAACCTCATTGGTCAATACAAGGGGAAAGAAGGGGAATTTAATGCCTTCACGGGGGAGTATAATATAAAAGCAGTTCCAGGACGGTGATGGTCCGAGCTTTTGCTGTTCACATAGTCAAGTGGGGGACGATTCAAGCTGGAGCTTTTAATGCGAAGTATTGTATTAAGTGGATAATAAACTCGCGAAAGATGAACCAAGTGTGTTTTGGGAGTGAGTTGGACTAGATCCCCCCACTGCGCATATGGGACCTAGTAATTTGAAGGTGTTGGTGTCGTTCGACCGCTGGCCCCTAACGGAGTCTTTGGAGTCACTGCCCCAGGTGTTTCTGGTTCTACAAAACGTAACCGCTGGCGGTGGAACTGTGGCAGAGATCAATGGGAATCAGTTGCTGCACCGGGGGTCATCCCTTACCTGGGGGAGCTTGGGTATCAAAACAACAATAAGCGCCGTGAAGTTAATGGCGAAAGCCCAAGGGTCGTAATGCGTGTAATGCGTGGAGATGAGGAACCTAGAACGTTTTTGGTGGAGGGTCAAATGCACAAACTGACTTGGTTGGCTGGACGTACAACGCTATTGGAGTGCAAAAAAGCCATTTCTTAGCAGGCGTGTATTGAGCACCCTCGTCGATTTGCTCCCACAACGTCAAGTCATCGTATGCACCACCATGGGAGTCAGCACCAAATGGTATGCCAGTGACATAGTGAAACATAAGGTAGGAAAGCTGCCGAAGTCGAGTCAGGGACCGAATGAATCAATCCTGGATGTCAACTTGGCGGCGGTTCGGAGAACACCCACGGTCATGTAGCTCAGATTCACGATGGTCCAGCTTGTGTTCTGGTGCATCCCAGGAATCGAATCAATCATTATCTTCCCAGTAAAGATGAGTACGGGGTGTATCAGCCATGCTCCTGAGTGGATTGGATCGACAGCGCGCAGTCGCAACGTCAGAATCGCTCATTCTGCTCCGAAATTCGAAAGAAAATCACACCCTTAGAGTTAACCCAATCCGCATTGATGTTCCCGAAGGCGCTTTGGTCCAGCAGGTCCTGCTGGTCTCCTGCCACTTCTTGCACAGCAACGATACTGCCGCTTCGCCCCCTTCGCTTGGTGCTGGACGATTCAGGAGAAGCACTAGAGGTGATGATATTTAATGAAGGAACAGTGATTGGCTTCGGGGGTGAGGTAGGAGATGGCATTCGTGTTAATAAGGAATCTCCGTCTGTAGACGTGTCCTGCAGAGCCGACCCGCTCTCGGCACAGCCTCATCCGAAGTCTTCCCACCAGTTGTCGCAACTCGCTTACACAAACTCGCAGTGTGTGCATAAGAGCTCTCTATAGACTTAGTTATAGCCTGGCCTCCGATTAGCGCTCGATATATGTCCTGGAACCCTGGAAAGCTAAACCTAAGAGGCAGCGCCTCCTTGTCCCATCATTGGCACCAAGCTCAATCTTCAAAAGTCAGGCCTGTTCCTTGTGCGTCGTGATGTCCATGCACAAGGATCATCATTTCTAATGCGCCCTTATTTCTCTTCGGGAACAAGCGACTCCATGGCCTTGGCCAATCTTCACTTCGTCAACGGTGACAGTTCAGAAATCCTCGTTCATTGCGGCCGCTACGCGTCTCACGTCTCCCGCCGAACTCCCGGTGCTATTAGAGTATCTAAGGCTCATTACTCCTCGAATCAAAAAAGCTACACATCCCGCTATATACGCATACCGAACACGACTGAATCACTCGTCATCACCGTCCACAGGAAACTTGCAATTTGCAGTCGGGCATAGTGACGATGGCGAGCACGGCGCTGGCTTACGGCTTGAACGTTTATTACAACTGAGTAATGCACAGGACTGTGCCATAGTTGTCACCCGATGGCACGGCGGCGTGCCTCTCGGAAGTGCCCGGTGGAAATGCATATCGAAAACTGCTAAAGAAGCACTGGCTCTTCATAAGAAATGAAAATTGATGGTATCGACATCCCGATGCGGCCCTATGTCAGGCCCTGCCGTGGATTGACGTCCGCTGCCGCCCTTCAGGAAACATGCACTGCTGTCACGTGCACCCGGCATCTGTGGTCTTGACGCGTCCTTGTGCCGATTGACGCATACTTCGGGACAACGTAATTGATACCGCTGACGACTACAATGCCGGCATACGTGTGTGTAGTAGGAAGCATATAAGCTGCACTGGCCTGGCGTGGACCCGCTCCCTCCTCAACTGAACAAATGTCTCCCAACGTCGAACCACCAAATTTCCATCACTATCATCCCTATGGACCGTATCCACATTGGGCACACCACTATTACCGAGGAAGCTGGTTTCGCCATGGATGCCACCGCCTTTTTTGGTTCGCACTGGGAGCAGGCGCAGTCACATGGTACTTCTCTCGCAAGGAACTTGGACATGGATGTTGCGGACCACGTGAAGAGCATCATCGCTGGAGAAGGCTCAGAGAGAGAGAGGAGCATACCAAGGGACTCCCAGCCGGTAATGATGAAAGTCGTTCTTCCCAAGGCAACTGGCATGAAGAAATTGAACGGGTGAAACGGCTAAGCCACCAAGCAAGCAATAAGGTCAACTAGGACTGGTTCTCCTTTCGTACCTCTGACACACTCACAAATTCTATTTTATTTTCCAAACTTCAGGTCGCTGAAGTGACCGACGCCAGCCTGGACTCCGTTCTCTCCGCCGTAGCAGCTCTCAAACTCGTCAGTAGTCGCAACTTGCATACTTTTTTTCCTGTCTTCTCATTTACTCGATAGAAACTCCGTGAGGCTGAGGAGAAGGCTCGCATCATGCAAGACCAAGCACGTGCGAACCCGCCACCCAGCAATAATATTCACGTCGATCAAACTCCAACCTCTTCTAATATTCCTACACGCCACGACACCTCCAGTTGGCCCAGTTGATTCACTCATCCAAGGATTCCACCAAGAAGTCTGATTTTTGATTATATCTGTATCCAAACATTTTCACCTGGTCCCGATCACCATTTCCATTCTTTCCTCAATCTACTTTTCATTTTCCAAATGGGTCACTCACAGTACATATGTATCCTGAAATTTAATCAACGTGGCTTCATCCAAAATCGTCGGGTTGATCGTTGCACGCTTGACAAAACATCGAAACAATCCACCACCAACATTACATAGATTATATACAAAGCTTTGAGAAATCAACTCCCTGCGCTTGCGCTGGTGCGAACTTGTGATAGCAGTGGTGAAGTAGGGATCTGGAGGACCACAAAACATTGAATACCACACTTGCGCCTCACCCCGCTTTCCCAATAGCCAGAGCAATAACCAGGAACTGGAGAAAAAAAAAATGAACAAAGTGTCTTTCCTCAGCAGGAGGTTGCAAAGTCATAACTTACCAGATTTAATGCAGCGATGAACAACCAAACGACGACGCTCAGGAAAGCGACGAACCATCCATTCGAAAGATCGACCGACTGAGCAAGTAACGTTCGGCCTTCTTCCGCATTTCCTCTATCTGAATTTTCCCCCTGGTTATTGTTATTTTGTTCCAGCGGCGGTGCCAGCGGTGCAGTAGAAGGAGGACCAGACGGATGGTGTACTTCAACGGACATGATGTGTTTCCGGCATGTGAAATACACCAGTGGCGCTGTGACGAAGGGAAGAATGATGCTCAAGGCGACCTAGAATAGAAGTGAGCGATATTCTTTGGTGAAAGAGAAGCTTGACACACGGACCTGACTCGCGGTCAATACGGCCGACAACCCACGTCTTCCAACGGCGGAGGCGATCACTATGCAAGGAACGATAGATATACACCGGGTGATAAGACGTCGCTTCCATGGCACAATATTCCATCTCAAGTGCCCTTCCATGATCATCTCTGATAAACATAAACCACTTGTGTATCAAGAGAAGGAAATCAAATCGGGAGGACACTCACGGCCTGCCAGTGTCACCACAAGTCCAGCACTCTCACCAGAGAAGAACAAACCAACAGCATAGATGGTCGCTGCTGCTGGAGAAAGCTGTTCTTTCAGCAAGTCGTAGATGGAAAACAGGTCAGCATTAGCCGCTTCAGGTGAGTCCGATAAAGTGGCTCCTGCAAGGATCAGTAGGGCTCTACATTTACCAAATTGTTCGATACTCGTTAAACCCTCAAACCAACATCGAGTATAGAAGAACCAACTCACGAATTTACGTAAAACGCGATCGAAATAAGCGCAAGCACCAATTCGATGGTCGAATAAGGTAGGCAATGCCTGATTGCCTGAAGGGAAGGCCGATAACTCTCTTCAGCCTTTTCTAGTTCTAAGGCAGTAAGTGTTTGTGGAGACGAAAGCGATGCTGAGCGAGCGAGAGCCGATGCGGGTGTGTAAATACCATGTTTGATGTCGTAGTCCTTTACGCGTGTTTGGACGACACCCGAACCGAGGAAAAGAGAGTGCGGCATCACCGTCGCGCCTTTGAGGTAAGTGTGATGTTAATCCAGGAAATTAGCAATAAAGAGGTGTCCTTGAATGGTTGGTTGGCTTTACCGATGATACCGCAGCTAACATACAGAGCACTTCCTCGGAAAATTGTCGCGGAAGGAATGTAGCCCTTCAAGACTTCCCCGACAGTCACGCCCGTGATCTTGGCGAGTTCCATTGAAAGGCACGTCGCGAGAGCGATCACGAGAACCGCGATGCCCGCTTCGAAAATTTGCGTCTTCGTTACGCCCTGCGTCCCATCCCTTTGATAGAAGAACAATATCACCACGACATCGATTAAAGTGATCGCCACTCCAGCAGGCAAAGGCAATCTTCCTTTGCTTAAAAGATTCAGTGCAATAGCAGAACCTACTGCTTCTGCAATGTCCGTCGCCAAGATAGCGGCCTCGGCAAAAAGGTATACGAGCAGGTTCAGCCAGAGTGGCAAGTGAGTGCGACATGACTGGGCAAGATCACGACCCGTTACGGTCCCGAGACGAAGGGCAAGGTATTGAAGAAAGATTGCAAGGATGTTGGAGAGGAGGATGATAGTTAAGAGGGCGAAGCGAAACTGAGCACCTGCAGAGATTCTTTTAGGGGAGAAAGAAACGAGATATGTGCTCCTCGACTAGTGGCTATAAAAGAAGAGTATCATACCCAACGTTGAAGTTGCCAGCATCGACGAAGCTGACACTGACGAGGAATCCAGGGCCGATGAAACGAAAGAAACTCTGCAACCAGTGGGCCATTCGCTGTCGTTCACCAACAAATGCGACAATAGACCCTTTCACGTCAGGACCAAACCATTCAAGTTTCCGAGGGAAATGTTGTTACCCACCGATAGATCAACACAAGACGACCGACGGGCCTGATCACGATCGGATTGTGGGGACTTGGCATCCGTCTTGGCTGCCTTCCGTGTCTGGAAGGTCTTCAAATCCGCCCATCCTTTCTCAGTCTCCGCCTGAGATGGGCCTTGTGTATGAGGTCGGTTGTGGGTTCGTCCCACCGTAATGAAATTTGAGTTAACACACCATCTAATGCACCGACAATGTCGTCCGAGCGACTTGGGTCGCAAGGAACCACTGGCAGATCGACAACAGAGACTCGTTCTGCCGGCGTAGCAGGTCGTTGGTCCATTTTGAGAGCTGAAGTCTAAGTAAGAGAGAGAAGGGACGGAAACAACGAGACTTTCGGGAGGACATCCAACACTGAAGAATTCGACCGATCTTTGAGCTAGAAAGTGAGTCATTTTTCATTCCACAAATTTACGTTCTTTCCCCACAATGATATTAATTCGCGTTTCACATATTCTTACATGTCCCCCTCTAAGCATCCTGCTTTCTCCAGTACTACAGGGCAGCTACTACTACGGTCACGGGGAAGAAATCTGCAAATTTCCGAAGGAAATATCCGCAATAATATTGCTTTTGTCATTGATCGTAGATCATGACTGGAGTGACCCTTGAACAGGATCGGTCGTCCAGGATATTCCCCTGCATCACTGACGACCAAAATTAAGGTAATGTGCGGTGGACTGTAAATATTCCGTACCTCAGATTTCAGCTCGAACTTGTAGGCAGGATTCCAGCCTCATCATACATATAGAAGCTCGAAGGGGCAATTTTGGAAATGGATTAATCTAATTTTTCGCAGCGTGTGCAGCTAGAACCACCGTCAATGCCCACGTAGTGGGTTTCACCTGCGAAGAGCTAACCTTGTTGCAAGAAATTCGCGTCTGTCGCGTTTCAGGGACAGGAACACGCACATGCGCGCACAGTAGCCTGTGATAGGTGAGCCTGTGATAGTTGATTCCGGATGTCTGTGACGAGATCGAGTACCGTGCGTTAAGCCGCTAACGGTATAATGCAGTTTCCTCATTAACGTTAACGTCTCCATGCTATGTAATGGCACCGTATTGCCAACACAGCCGCAGCATGCTTTAGGCCATCAGATTCATACAACAAGTCCCGAGGTAGATGTCAGTGTGTACATCCGAGCCTTTCGTGAGCTCCTGTGAACCAATCAAGACTCAAGATTATTTTGCATTTGGTCATAATTTGGACTATTGCCCTTGAGCACTGCATTTATGCTTGACGTGTCCATTGAATACCCGTACTCGCGATGGTGCCTTGCAGCACATAGTATCAGCTTCCTAAGTTCGACCACGCTGCCTCCATGCGTCTAACCGGCCAGGTGAACGGCGGCTGATCTGCTTTTGAGCGAGTGCATCTCTGCCTAACTTTGGCTTGACTTCTGGATGTAGAAACATGCAGGCTCAGGTGTTTAGGCTTAGGTCGGCGGCGAGGCGTGAAATCTGCAGCTTCATCTGGTGTACTAACCTACATACAACGAAAGCACGGTCTGATTCGTCCTGACGAGGTTTGCTCAATATTAGGACAACCTTTGTGCCTCGCTTACTTACATAATCTGAGCAGTACAATTGCAAAAACAGTTGAATTATTTGAATTTGTTTTTACCCCAGTTTTTGCACTGCCTTCGATGCGCTGCCCAGTACCTAACTTGGTGCCTCAAGACCATCCCATCGGTCGATTTCCTTGAAAGCTATATAGCTGGTTACTGCGGCGCCTCGGGTCACCTTGCACTTGCAACCACATCCTAACAGAACAAGCGCCGGCTTAAGGATTACAGTATTATGGCATTGGCGTGGCTGCTACCAAAGGTCGGGGAAATCAGATCGCCCATTTGCACGACGCTTGCTGAGACAGAGAGAGGGCTTCTTAAATTAGGGTCCTCGATATCTTCCTCTGAACGTCGACTCTGATGGAGCATACTTATTCTTCGGTGGTGACTGCAAGATCAAGTTCGTTTCAAAACCTGGAGAACCATTCAAAGCGAGACAGTGGCTTAAGGCCGACTCGCCGTATACAGGCGCAGGAAAGAAAAGTTTAGCCAACCCACCTCTTCATTACCACCTCTATCAGACCGAATTGTTTCAAGTGGTAATACCATCTTGCATGTTATCTCCATACCTGCGTTCGGAAATTCTAACGCTGGCTGTTTCATAATTAATTCATTGAAGGTTTCTGGTGTAATGGGATTCGTTCTCGATGGGGAAGAAGGAAAGCTTCATCCTGGCCAGAGGGTCGTTATCGAGCCGTACCAAGTTCACACGTTCTGGAACGACCCAGATTCCGGGGAGGATCTCGTTGTAGAAGTTTCACTGAAAGGAGGTGACAGACGCGGTTTGGATGAGACTTTCCTGAAGAATTTCTGTAGGTTGTCATCAATCCCATATCATTGAAGGATCTTTTATTTCTCCCATTCTTCCGTTCTTAGTTGGGTATCTCGATGCTCAGATAATGGCTGGAAAAACGCCTGATACTCTTCAAATGTTCACTTTCATGGATTCTGCTGATGTTGTTATCGCGGACGTTCCTTTGGGATTAGGCAGGGTGGCCAACGTCGTAATCGGTACGACTGCACTTATGTATTAATCCAACGCAAAGTTGACTTTTTGGCTCTCGTAGGACGAGCCATTGCCCCATGGATCCTTGGTTACAAGACATCCATTCCAGAGTTTGAACAATCATGATTCCAGGCTTCGAGTTACATTGTGTCTCTTCCTATTCGTTTGATCGTGTAACGACTATGAAAAAAAAAAAAAAAAAATTCCTAGGCGTTTTGGACTGCCTTCAGTTCCTCCAAGACTTTGGTTTTCTTGTCGCGCAGCTTCATGACTTTTAATAATTCCGCAAAGCTTTCCAGGGCATCCACAAACGTTGCCTTCCCAGCCTTATCTTCCTGAAACATCGTCCGTTCCAACTCAACGGCTTGTTCCATGCAAGCAAAAGCTTCGTCCACGTTCTGCTTATAGACACAAAGTGAAAGGTTCTGGAGCGTCGTCGAAAGATTAGCACGATGATCGGGATGCCATGGTTCATCTTTAACGAGCGATTTCAATACAGGGACGCATGACCGAAGAGTCGGAACTGCCTCTGCTTCTCTGCCTAAACCATTGAGAATGGAGGCGTATTGGTTCAACGCCATAAAATATGCGTTGCGTTCGCGCGGAGGCGCTGTTTCGAGTGAAGGGAGTACAAACGTCTCGAGTGTCCGTATAGATTCCCCGGCGCTTTCCAGAGCGCTAGGAACATTACCGGATGCTAGCTGTGCCTCTGCAAGGGCTCGAAGAAGAATGGCTAACTCGAGAGATGCTTGGTTGGGGAGTGAAGGGGAATCCAATGATGTCCTCTTCTTCGCTACTTTGATGCCATTCTTTGCTGCAGCGCAGGCATTTTCGTGCAAACCCATCTGGCTGAGTAGAGAAGACAAATCCCTCCACAAAATGGGCACCGACGTGTCGAATTTTTCAGGCTCGATGGCATATTCCGGCAATATGATATCCAAGGCCTCTTCGTACGCTTGTCTGGCCTTAGGAAGGTCGCCAAGTTTGCGAAGGTACAAGCCAAGTTGGTTCAGGCGGAACGATACAAGATCGGCCTTGAAGTGTCTTGGCGATGTTATAAAGTCCTTAGTAACGGCAACGGCCCTCTCCATCATCTCGCATGCCTTGGAAACTTCATCCAACCGAAACAAGGCATCCGCGTATCGAGTCAGGCAGTTCGTGTAAAGGGCCTTGTACTCCCAACTAATAGCTCGTCCATGTTTGACAGCACGCTCGAGAGCGGCAAGGCCCTTCCGTACATCACCCGCAAGAGAGAGGGCATCCCCATCCGTCATCAATGCATAGCATAAAAGGAAGTCTTTCTTGGAGACTTCTTCTTCCTCCGGAACGACTTGTTCAATCGACGATATTACCCCGCTGCATAACTGATGCGCTAAAGCTGGTGCGTCGTCTTCCAAGAGCCTCACTGCAAGTGCAAGGGTATTCTCTGCGCGCAAGAAAACCGCCTTCGTCCCTTTGAGTTGTCCTCCACCAAACCACTCTTTTCCCAGCTTCTCCTCGATGCGTTGCCGTAAACAATGCTTTCCTCTCCAAGTGAGTTGGTGCAGAGTATGGGAGTTCTCAGAAAACTCTACAAGGTTTAGGAATAACTGCCGAGCGAACCATCGGCAATTCGTCGTGAAGATCCTGTACTGGGTATGTGTACCTTTAGTTCGGGTGACTTCAAGTGCGAGATCAGTCACCAGAAATCTTGTCCCAAGAGAAGACTTTGATTGATGGTCGTCAGATGAACTCGCGCCTGAACCATCGTAATGGAGAGTTGCGAGCTCATCAGAATTAACCACCAAGTCGTTTTTCGAGCAAGCGAAAGAGACCCATTCTCGCGCCTGAACACCCCGATATAAAGGGGCTAGATTATCCGGCAGTGGCAAGTAAGGGTTGGGTCCAAGGAATGCGGCTCGCTCCAACCTAACCACGCTTTCTTCGCCACCAGCGGTGACGAAACACAGGACGATGTATTCGTGATTGAAAGGTTTCTTCCGACTCCTGAAATGATGTGCGCTGCGCAAAGCCCCGAAACGGGAGAAGCTTGCTGCTCGTGGAAATTTGGATTCCAGTATCCAGTTCAAGAATAGATGTACTTCACACCGCGCGGATGAGGTATAGCCAGCGGACCGCAAGGCTGATTCCAGAGGAGACCTTGTGGCGAATTGGGAGTCAGCTAGAGAAAGGCCTCCTATAGCTTCGGCGAGTTGGCTTGTTGAAGGGGGCTCAGTTCCAACTTGTTCATCAGGTCTGGACTATAGCGGCCAAGAACCCCAGGTATGCACGCTGCTCGGCAAGTGTAATAGAGTGAGACTCACAGCGGTATCAGCGATCCACTTCTGAACGGAGCGACAATAGTGATCGAACGGGGCGGGATCAATCTCGTAATCAGCCGTTAAATCCATTCCCATAGCAAGCGAAAGCGATAGAACAAAGCTACGATGAAAGGATCTCAGATAAGACAAAGTTACAATAAATCAAAACCCCATACTTATGAGCAACAAGCAGCCTGCGAAAACCGCCTGTGTCGGGTTCTGAGCTCGTTACAAAGTCGCTCGAGGCAGGATCTAAAGTAGCAATGGAGGCGTTATAAGTCTCCTCCACCTTCGACAGTACATCCCGGGTCAGATTTGCTGCATTGCCAGCCAAAGCGCTTAACAACTCATTAGTTTGCTTCGATCCATGTCGTCTTTTCTTGACGGAATCTCCAAAATGTGCGAGCCTAGCTTCAAGTTCTTCGGCGTTTCGAAGTGTGAGATTGGCAAGATGCTCGATGGGCGCTTCAATGATATCATATGATGTTAACTGCGATGCGAGTTTTGCTGTACTGAGACTATAAAAGATCATTAATAGCGGTAAATGAGATATCGGGAAGCTTGAACACACGGGACAAGAAGGCTCATGACGGAGGCTGCACGACGCGGCGAAGATTGAATTGTCGCCCAAATTGGTAGGTGTACAACAAGACGTCGAGGGAAACAATCTATCTCATAGGCATAGAAGCGGAGTTCTGCTTCATGCTGCATATAAACATCATGAGTAGCAGGGACCGGGTTTCGAAAATTTTACGGAATGCATCAGTTAGAGACCTGTTCTCAAGGGACGGCTCATGCCAAAGATCTACCACCCTTTCTATTCAATGGTGGACAAGTGACTGCAGATATTACTCATCCGTAATCACGCGAGCATGATTCCCCTACCGGATGAGTGTTCCAAAGAGGGTAGTCTTTGCTAAGAGTCAAAGTAAGCCTCGTATCGCGGGTTGCCGTTGTAGGGATTCGCAACGCTACACCGTCACGATCTTAACAACAAGGACGTTTGATAATGATTGGTTGCTGTTTTGAGACGTAAACCACGATGAAGGCTCCCTCTTCAATCCAGCTGTGATCCCCAAGACCACCCTTCGTTGTATACGGTGGCGTTAGAGCGTAACTTTCCCCGAAGCCGAGCCACCGAGGCGCTCCCATAGCATTGGAGACATATGGAGAAGCCCGTTCCCATTAACCGAAGTTGAGCCCCAGAAAGTTGGACGAAGGAAGGAAGTAAATTGTAGCCTGAATTGAGATCCCGATCCAGCCACGAGGCAACAACCCAGCTAGGTAGTGACTAGCTGGCCTCGTGGATTTTCCATTTCTTAGTACTCTTTATGGACTGCCAGACACCAGGGCCTATTCGTCTATTTCCATTCGCGGTCAAGGTAGACGGGGCCGTATTTTGGGACCGACAGTACCGGACGCATAAGGCAGGCGTCCCAATTGCCTAGATCGTCCCTTGAATACTCTTTCTTCCTCCCCACCAGCGGAGAGCCGGGATGCTGAGCGTAGACTAGTGCTTGCATCAACTTTCGACAGCCTCGGACAGTGCGAGCAACCCATTTATGGGAAATCAGCTACGCCCCATTAGACCATTTCGTACATTATATAGAGCACTTAGACTCTGGATGTGCTTGGTCATAACTATGAGAGCGCGGCCCAAATCCACAAAAATGCCAGAGTGAGCCCAATGGAACAATTGACGAATAAGGGCCAATCAGTTTTTGATGTCCTCGGGATATCTCAGAAATCTCGGAGGAATTAGAGGAAGCGCAAAAGCCCGTAGAGCGGTCCCAGGTACGCGAATAGACGTGGAATCCCAATGGGGATATCCCAATAAGCCCAAAAATCAATTGTGCCCATCCCGCGAGGGAATTACAGGCCCTCTTTGGCTCGCAGTCAGTGCAAGAAAACGTAGACTGTCATAGAGGGGGGCCGCAGGGTCAATCCCAACGACAATCTGCCTGTTGAAGGCTGTTGAGAGTCAACAACAGGTGACTGAATTGGGTTCGAGGCGGAGTTGAGTCGGCGCTAACGAATCTCAATTGAGATGTTATGGAAACTGGTTTCTGTTCTCGTCGTCGTCGAGAGCATTCTCGAGAGCACTCCTTGACGCATCGTACATCACTTGAGACGGTTCTTCAGGTTTCTACCAAGAGCGGCTAACGACAATGGACGGGGGGAACAAACTACAGGCGCCGTTTGTAGCCGCGCTAGTCCCGACGCTTTATTTCAGATTTCCCAGGCTCCCTGCGCAAGCGCTAAAACGCCGCTAGGGACAAAAAAAGATTAAAATTTGTTCACGTTTTCCTTCGCTCCGAGGACTTCATTGAATGAGGATAATTCAACAGGGATTGCGACGGGCGTAGAGGGTAATCGCCCCTTTACATCCTCTGTACCACCGCATTGTATATCGGTCGTAGGGTGACCTTGCGAAGCGTGTCTCGATTATAAAGGTGGCAAGAGTGAAGTTATCTTACCCTCACTTAACTCTTGTTCGTTCTCTTTTATCCTCCCGTGAGTGCAATCCATAACGACAGCACTTGAGCCTTTTAGTTAACGTCTCGTCACGTTAAGTAGTAACCTATCCACCCTTCGAGTTCAAGCAACCCAACATGCCAATTGTTGAACGCTACCCATATACGCCTCAGCACCTGCACACCGCTGCCAAGCAATCCCCTCGACCAGTCACGCGAGCGGTGCTAGATCTCCTCCCTCCATCTCTCGCATTCAACGATGCCGAGTCATTGCTCGCGTTCATCGAGTCGCTCACATCCCCAAAGCAGCTCGGTTCAGTGTCTTCTTTCGCTATCAACTTCTCCTTCCCATGCGACACGCGTCAACCAAAGCACCACAACCTCGTCATGGGCATTTCTGTTCTCCTTCGTCATCTCGTTCATCTATCTGAGCTCACACTGAACTGGGAAGGCATCCCTTCCTCTGTGTTTAACACGGCCACCGTCAACTTGACATATTTCGAATCGAACGTCGAAGTTGACGACACCGTCATCTCGTTTCTGAATGTCCAACGCGAGATCACCTTCTTGGATCTGAAGAACTGGGGTGCCCACCTTCCTCCCCGTTCAGGATCCACTTCGTCGAAGAAGACCTATCCGATTCCAATAGAGCTCGCTCCATCTTCACTGCCTCATTTGGCCGAATTCGTTGGACACGCCGAGGTAGCTTCACAGCTCGCCTCTTCCCGACCTTTGAAAGCCGTTAGCCTGAAATCTGGCCTTGACGCTCACATGTCAGGTGATGATTGGAGAGAAATCATGAGTGGGCTCGGGGAGTCTACGCATTGGGTGTCCCATCTCAGCATTGGCCCATTACCAACTTTCTCACTTGAAATGCTCGCTTCCGTCGGTCGTCACCTCCAGGCCCTCGAGACGCTGCACGTTGCTATTCAGCGTTATCCTTACTCGCAGGTTAGTTGGCTCTAAATTTTTAAATGCTAATCTGAACTTTTCTTAAATAGGAAGTTTTCCATTGGGACTATTGGAAGAACTACGTTCTTCCCCTCGTCGAACTGGAGTCGGTCGAAGTTGAAATGGTCGACACGACTCCTAAGTATCCCATCAACCTGCCCACCATTGATCATCTTCAGTCTTGGCATCGCACGTGCCCACTCCTCAGGGAAGTGACCGTCAAGCGTGCAAATGGCGACATTGTTATTCAGTGGCGATGGGAAGGATTGAAGTGGACCAAGGTCGGACAACGATGAACTCAGCGCCCGCCTTGCATCCTCATCACATTGAACGCGCCCACCACAAACCCGGTCCATTCCCACTCACCCCTCCCCATAGCCATCTCCACCAAACTGTATTCGTTCTTGCGTTCAGCTACAGCTGTAATCACTTGTTTATCGACTCATATTTGTTGTTTCACTTGAATCCGCATCCTGTTTGTTTGTGTTCATTGCACTGTCATAACTTATCCTTCCATACTTTTGTGTTTGATCCCTTGTGTATTTGGATCTACAATGATCTACAATGAAGTCAGGTTGAATCTACAATGAAGTCAGGTTGAATGTATTGATTCCAAGTAATTATATAAGCTTTTCCCGCGCTCAAGGCCTCAAGGTGGCATCTTGCCATTGCATTGGATGACCTGTAGTGAGGCAATAATAACGAATGGAGAGGACGTTGGCATGAACCCATTGCAAAAAACCCCATGCAAAACGGTTGAAAACTGAGAGAGATATGGGGTGTGGCCCATGCCAGCGCGTGTTTTGAGTGTGGGAAAAGTGTCCACGGCCTCATACAGGCTGTTTGATGACTAAAGTTAATAATACGGTATAGAGAGGCTGTTTGGACGAGCTCATTGAACAAAACCTGACGAAAAACGAACAAGATTTGACAGAGATACGAATGTACATGTGTTTTTGTGTGAAAAAATGTGAAAAAACATCCCACCGCCTCATACACCATCATTCGCAATGTGCGCCAATAATATAAGATAACGAGGACGTCATAAAGAGCATGTCCAAAAAGAAACGACGAAAAACGAATGATAATTGACAGAGATACGAATGTACATGGTTTTTTTGTGAAAAAATGTAAAAACATGTCCTACCGCCTCATACGCGCTCATTCGCGGCTTGCACCAATAATAGAAAATAACCAGAGAGGTGATCCGAGCCCATCAAAAGAAACCCGACGAAAAACGAATGAAAATTGACAGAGATACTAATGTACATGGTTTATTTGTGGAAAAAACGTTCCACTTCCTCATTCATGCTGATTCACGACTTTCACTAATAATACCAAATAGAAAGGAAGTTACTGCGGGCCCATTGCAAAAAGCCCGACGAGAAACGGTCAAGAACTGACAGAGATACGAATCCTGTGTCAGCTCCGCGCATGATCTGTGCGTGGGAAACGGTCCCCAGCACTCTACAGATGTTCTAAAAATATGTAAAAATATTAGGCACTTGCGTCAATGGTATATAAAATGGTTCGCAAAATTTCAGGACATTTGGTCCAGTATCAAGCGAGATATAATAAATTATTCCATTAAATTTCACTTGGCACCCTCAAGATCGCGAAATATCAAGTTTGGGTAATAGTACGGATTGTATAGGACATTAACACGCACCCGTTAAAAAAAACCCGAAGAGAAACGAATGAGAACTGACAGAGATACGAATGTAGTGTCTGCTCTGCGCATGGTCTGTGCGTGGGAAACGTCTTCCAGCGCCTCACGGATGTCAAAAGAAATATAGAAAAATATGAAATCTTTGCGTTAATAATATATAAGATAGGACGCAAAACTATAGAACATTTGATGCAGTATTCAGCGAGATATAATAGATTACCATACAGTGTGTGCATGGGAAATGAGTAAAATCGCCATCATCTCCTCTGGATCGCGGAACGATGGGTCGGACTAATAATACAACATGTAGAGGACATCAAGACGCGCCAATTGAAAAAAACCCGAGGAGAAACGGATGAGAACTGACAGAGATATGATAGGTTTATGTGAAAAATCACGTGTATATGTTTAGTTTGAGGAAATTCACGTGAGCAATTGAGCGTAACCTCCCACAACTTTTTCCGCGCACAGACATATGCGAAAAAGTACTAATACCCCCACTCAAAACCGGTTTACACCCCCCCATGGGAGCAATTCTTTTTTGTTCCCATGTGACTTTGGCATGTAAAATAGATGAAATAGATAGATAAATAGATAAAATAGGTAGATAAATAGGTCATAATAGTCGTAAATAATAATAATAATAATAATAATAATAATAATAATAATAATAGTAGTAAATAGTGAATAAATAATTATAGTAATAGTAATAGTAGTAGTAGTATTTTTGTTGTATAAGTTATTGTTTTTTGTCGAAAATTGGCATGTACAATCAATGGTGGTATTGTTTTTTTCTTTGTATTTTCGCTATTAGCATGTAAAATAGATAAATAAATAGGAAGTAAGTAAGTTAAAATCCGGAGTTTCCAACAACAGAACCAAATGAACTAAGGTTCCAGATAAGGTAAAAATTCGAAAAATTCACGGCAACATGGGACAACATGAAATAGAAACATCCAAAAATAAAACCAAGGTATTCTATATAAAATAAAATCTGAAAAAATTGCGGCAATGTGGGAAAACCAAGAAAAATAATACCAAGGTATTCTATACAAATTAAAATCCAGATAATTCACGGCAACAGGGGACAGGAAAGAATAAAAAGATAGAAAAATAAAAGGTGCTCTCTATAAAATAAAATCAAAAAAAATCATGGCAACATGGGGAACACTGCTTTATAAATAACAGCAAAAAACCTGATAGAGAATGAACAAATTTCATGGTAAATTTGTGGAAATAGCCAGAAAAACAGCAAATAAAAATACACAAATGTGCTCAAGGGTGTAAGGTGGGTATGTGGTCCATGTAATTTGTGTGTAGCAGGCCCCACTTCCAGTGCATTGTCAACAGGGGAAAAGGCATTTCTCATTTGTGTACATGATTAATGGGGGGGGGGGGGTTTGGGGCGCAGCCCCAAGGCTCTCCGCAGGAGTGGGGTTCGGGGCAACGCCCTGATGGCCCTCCGCAGGAGCAGGGGTTCAAGGGGCTGGCCCCTTGGTGTAAAAAATAATCAAATATATCCAGGGGGTTTGGGGCGCAGCCCCAGGCTCTCCGCAGGAGTGGGGCTTGGGGCAACGCCCCAATAGCTCTCCGCAGGAGCTGGGGTTCAAGGGGCTGGCCCCTTGGTTCATAAATAATCACCATATATCTCATTATTTCTTTAGCACATGGGGAACAATAATACCAAGGATGTCGTTGCATGGGGCGGAGCCCCAATGGGGTCTGGGGCAACGCCCCAGGGGGGTTCGGGGCGCAGCCCCGATGCCCTCCGCAGGAGCTAGAGACCGAAGAACGCGTGGGTGTGCGAGGAACGAGCACCCCACGGGTTTAAGGTCTCTAGTACGTGCTGAATTCAAGTCATCGAAGTTGTGATTATTATGCGTGAGTATTAAAATCCAATCCGTCGCCAACATCGTCCCTTATATTCCATTCCGAAGTCCCAAAGATGAGATATGAACAACTTTACGTACCGGGTACGTAGCTTGGTAGAACTATAAAGCGACAAAAGTAACTTCGTGAAAAACGGAAAAAGGAAATGAAATGCATTCAGAAACGGTTTGGGGATTATTCAAGCCTTGAACACAGAGCGCGAGAAAGAGAATCGGTGGGTCATATCAATGTTGGATGGATGATATGAGAGGAAGTGACGGGAATTCGGGAGTGAGAAAGTGAGAAAGTATGTGAGAAGGTATGGGAAATGGTGCAGCCTATGCATGTAAGAGAAAGAGGTCATGAAACAGAGGTTCAATCAAGACATAGCAAGAGTTCGGGGAAGTCTGTGGATGTGTGGGGCAAAGAAAATGTTGCTTTGGGTGCATATCGAATATGGATGTATGTGTATGTGGCGTGTTAAATTGCGCGTGTGAAATGCATTATGAACAAATCGAAAAGCCGGGCTCTATTGTGCCATGAGAGTGGGAGAAGACCACTAGGATGTGGGAAACTAGTGTTCGGAAAGATCGAGACGAGTGAACAAATCGATAACATTAAAGATTGAGCAAAAAGTGCACCAGGTGTGAAACGAGCTCCTGGATGGCTGACCCTCCCTGGATGTGGGGGCTAGTCGTCTGGGAGTTGTCTCGTTGGCGATGGACCTAATGATCCCCCACGACTTAGTGTGTGTTCCAAAAGTCCCTTTGATCTCCGAAAGCGTGATCTTGGAACTGCAAATCACCGTTCGTACTCAGCTACAAGTGCACAACGTCAAGGGGATGTAAATGTCGTACCTCCAGGGCCATATTTACGCGGTGTCCCATCCATTTCCACCTCGCCAGCCAATGCTGAAATGCCTGCTGCAATTGGCTCCATCTTCCGCTTGCTCCCTTTCGGTCTCCGCAATGGCAATGATAGCGCATTCTCCTTATCCTCATCCTCGTCACAGTCGGACTCTGAGTTCGACAGCTTGGAAGTAGTCAACAGCTGTGGCAAGTCTGGTGCAATGTCAAAACCCGGATAATGGCGCGATGAAGGTGATGGTGCCCTTGGACGCTGTTTTGAGCTTAATGGCGCATTAGGGATGTTTGGATTGGAGGAATACGTGATTATTGCCAAAACATCGGGTGTACTATTCCCCTGGGCGATTTTGCTGATGGCGCGCGGTAGTAAGCGAGGACTCACGGAGCTGATATTGGGGGAGGGGGCAAGGGGGGATGAAGGCAAATGGGTAGTTGGGATTGGAATTGGAGCTGGGGAGTAAGTTGGATCAGGGGTGGAAGCTACGTTGCAGCTGGGCTGTGCGTCATCGTCGGGGTACAGAACTCGGCCCAAGGATGCAAATCGCGTTCCTCTCGGCGGCTCTCCATCCTCACTGGCTGCAAATGATCGCCGAAGAGGACTAGCGCGCGGCGTGCTTCCTCCCGAGGAGTCAGAAATAGGGGTTGTCCATGTTGGCCCAAGGCCACCAAGGCCCTCAGGTGATTTGAACGTCGATGGGAGAACGAGTTTGCGTTTCGATGGGCTTAACCACGAGCTCGATTCGGATGATGATGTCCGCGAGTGTGAGGCAAAGACCTTGAGAGGAGATTGGCCGTGGGGGATTGGTTTCGGCGTCAAGCTAGAACTTGCAGATGACGAACTGCTCTCAACAAAACGTTCCAAAGGCAGCTCCATCAGTGGTTGTCTCAGAGGCGGTCGTGAAGACATGACCCCGAATGAGGATCTAACGTGTCGAGGCGTAGATTCGGAACAAAGAGAGAGAAAAGTGATTGATTTGATTGTCGCTCGTTCGCAAGGTTTTGGATATGTTGAATGAAAGCGGGGATACTCTGAGAGAGAAGGGGGAGAGGGGAAACAACAGCTTTTCCTGAGATTTGAAGGTCAAGTCACTGTCTGCAGAAGCGGAGGCGTGTTTCCAGCGTGTCCGGGAAACGAAGATGCAATTACAAAGAGAAACGCCCAACAAAACAATTGTCAACAGCCCAATTCAAATCAATCGACGTGTCCAAGCGTGTGGCCGAAATTATCCAACAGCTCATCAAGTTGTCACTAATTGGTCTGTGAAGAGCTGTAAGTCCGTGCTGACTGCTCACGTAACACCCTCGCTTCTCCAGCTTCTCTCTAGCTCAATCCAACACAATGCGCACCTTGCTGCTGCCGGTGGCGTTCCTCCTGTCGCTCAACTCCTTGTTCGCAAACGCGCAATTTGGAAACATATTCGAGATGTTTGGGCACGCTGGCGATCAGGTAAGCTACCCACTGGGTTTCATTGTCTCTCCATCACCAAAACTTCCCAATGAGTTCACAATAGCGTGAGTTCTGAATCACTGATTGCATTCGCGCAGCACCACCACCAACAACAACAACAACGACCGACAAAGGGACATTCACCAACGATGTGGGCATCTCAGGCCGATGCAGGTACGTCCCTGGGGCACCCTGCTATTCTGATCCCTTGACTGATCCCTATTGTCCTTGAATTTATTCCCCAAACTATTCAATCATAGTCGGGTGCCCGTCGTACTTATGCCCTTCAACGCTAGTATGCGTAGACAACCCATCGGATTGTCCATGCCCAAGCCCACAGGATATTAAATGCATCATACCAGACTCCCAGATTAAAGCCACGGGGGCTATTATATGCATGAGCGGGACGGCTGGGTGCAAAAGCCTCGAACGATTCCAGAGTATATAGAACCCCCGAATATGATGACAGGGATGGGAAAATGCGATTGTACATGTTACACCCAGAATACAAGAATGGGGTTGAAGCTGCATTGGGAAAAAATGAATGAATTGTGATGAATGAACATTGATTAAGGACCGAATGGAAAAGCAGAAGGGTATGTGTGACGAGGTGTATGTGGTGAGAAGCATGGTAGAACAAAAGAGAATGGTACGAGTTGATGACATTCCCGAAGCTATGGGGCAGCCAGGGGCAAAGATAAGCTGAAGGTATACAGCAGAATCCGAAGAGGGGAGTGGGGGTGGATCCCATTTTCAAGCCCAGCCATCCCATCGTCCAAAACGTCTAAACTCCTCCAGCACACACTCACGCCCCCTCTTCTCACTATCCACATTGCCTTCCCCCTTCTTCCCTCTGGTGGGGGATGAGCGGTGAGGCCTTGCGGAGGAAGGCAGGGGCAAAGACGTCGTGGACCGGGGGGCTGAGGGCGTCCGATGAGGATGTCGCGTGTCTTTGGGTGAAGGTACAGCCCCTCCGGCGATGGAAGGTGGGGGAGAAGCTAGGGGCGGAACTTGACCAGTGAGCGCTGTACCGCTAACTGCACTGCTGACTAGACTGGAGGTTACCGAAGATGAAGGTATAGACAGACGATACCAACATCCAGAATAAGTCAAAGCGAGCAGCTGATACTGCATCACTTCTTCCTCCACAAATTCCTCTTCAACGCGCACCTTTTCGGCCGTCGGTCGCGCTTTCCCTTTTCCTTTCGACTGCGACTCAGGGGAGTGCTGTTGGTGAGGTGCGCCAGAAATAGTGCGCCGCCGGCGGATCTTGACAGGCACTTGGATCCACCCTACGACGCATTTCTCTGCCTCTCCCGCGTCAATGCTCCGAGGATTATCACCTGCGGAGCCCAGAGCTGACGACAGCGCAATATGAGCCGTTGGACCTGGTAGTCTGTAGGACGCATAGGACCACTCCGACCTGAAGTATTTTGGCAATTTAATGAATGGAGTCAACGGGTTCAATGACGATTGTCGATTGCTGAACGAATGGGAAAGGAAAGGTGGAAAGGATGAACACCCAATTAGTTTATAGACATTAGAAGCCAAACAACGAGGGTACCTGGATTTATTCCCTTCCGCATCACGATCAAAAATGTTGAATATGTGTACCGTGCCTTTATCACTCCATACACAAACTTCGGTCTCGTCCCCTCTGAACGAAACACCATAAAACCGTGCCTTATCCATCCCTCTTCGTAACTCACGGACGAGCTTCCCAGTAAAAGCGTCCCATATCCGAATGAGCGTCCCCTGTTCTGACGTCGTCGATAAAAGGCGACCCGAAGCAGCAACAGATAACGTAGTGAGAGGCGTACTATGAGCAGCGATGAAACTCCCGGGTATTCTGGAATTCGTCGTATCAAATGGAGCTGGGGATGAAACGGATGGTAGCTGACGGTTAGGAGAGTTATCGGAGGGTTCACGGGGGGTGGCGGAGGAGGGGGACACGGAGGAAGACGGACAAGTTGAACATGGCCCAACTGTTTCCCAGGAATGGTTAGAAGTGTCGAGTTGTGTGCTGTTGCGACAGCGACAAGCCCTACCCCACGAGGAGATGAGCAATGAAATTATGAACAGAGGGGGAGAAAGAAAGAACTGTCAAAAGAATACCCACCTCGTTTGTTGATACAGGTCTCCCATTCTCGATACCTCTCAATAACACCATTCACAAATCGAAAGACGACCACTCTCCGTTTCAACGCAACGCAAAGCCAATCCCTCCTTACCGCTAACCCCAGTACTTGCTCTCTAAACTCCAACTCACCAACTTCCCTCCCAACGGCATCATCCCAAAGCACAACTTTATTCAACGGGTACCGTGGACTTCTCCCACCTCCAACTAGAAACAGGAGTGAAGTTGTCTGCATGGGCTGCACGATCGACAGAGTTCCATTCTGTAAATCTGTGCATCGAAAGGAAGAAAATAACAATTCCGTCTATTATCAGCACAATCCAAGTTTCCATTCTCCCCCGTAAAAATGACCATAAACTGATCGAAGCGATCAAAGACGAACAGTGGTGGAAGGGTCGTAGCGACCACGTCACCCCAACAACACAAGCACACACAAAACAATATCGAAACTCACCTCGTTTCCTCAGCAACGTCATAGGCCACGCCTTATAAATCGCAAACCCAGAAGTTGTACACGTCGTAAATATCTGATTCCCCTCATCGAACCGAACATCAATGACATTGACAGGACTCCCAGGTTGAATACTATGTCGAACGTGCATTGTCAAAGACCCCCCCTTTCCTTTTCTCTCTAGATTCCCTCCCCCGTTCCTGAGAGGTAGAAACCCTTTTGCTCTTTATAGTGCTAACCTATTACAAGGTGACCAATCCGAGAAGTTGCATGTAAAGCGAGGAGTTGTTGCAAGAAGGGAATGTTAACGCGGCTTTGAACAAGGAAGATACCTTCTGAAAGGGACTGATCGAGGTCTCTAAAGGAGAAAGGGTAGCGCCAGTTGTACGGCAGCTCGAGGCGCCGGCTTGGTTTGAATCCCCCAATCGGATCCGATGTCAACATTTCAAAACAGACGAGTGAACCTTCCGGCCGGGTCGGCTGAGAGTAAGTGAACGGTAGGGGTCTCGAGTTCGCATTATACATGCAACCGAAAGTTGGTCTGTACGTATCACGTCACAAAACTATGGAATTATGAAGATGGACAATACAAATGGGTAACGAAAAAAAAAAACAAGTCGGGGGATGGGTCCGAGCCGAGGGGGGCATTGTTCGCGGGGAAGGAAGGGGGAGGGAGGGGTAGACTTGTTCGAATGGATTCTACATGAAAGAAACGTGCAAGAGAGTGATGTGTGCAGTTCGTCAAGATTTGTCGTATAAGTTAGATGTGCATCCTAATGAGAACTGTGCCCGCCTTCCCTAAGCGCAGTCCAATCTAGAATCCAACCGCATTGGGAACAAAACCTTCATCATACACACGCTGCTCCAAATCCCGTAACCGATCATCAGAAGTCCACTGGACGATCTCAAGCGGTGAGACGCCCCAATCGATGCCAAGTTCATTTGGTGCTGTCTTGTCTGGAGGCGTACCAACTGTGTTCGCTTCACGAGGTTTTCCATACGGGTCATCCCAGCTATTATTTAGACATAGTCAGCTCATCGGAAAGGAGAAAAAAACAAACAAACATACTTAAAGTCAATGCACAGCGCACTGACAACACCACCGTGGAAGAACGGCCTCATACCCCTCTCAAGAGCCGCTCTCCGCCTAACCTCCAAAGTAGCTGGCTGGATAGCTTTCCCATCATCCTTCGCATTGGCCAACATGTCTGCCTCAACATCATTGGGGCCTCTCACGACATCGGGTCCACCCACATCAGGATAAGGATACAATCGATATCGTTCCTGTACCCTGGATGAACGTGACTCTGCCTCCCACCATTTGTCGGTGGCATTTAACTGTGCTTTAGAGAATTCTTCCCGTGTGATAGGGCGGAGGGGCGGTGTCGGGTAGGACATCACTTGTTTAGTACGGCCCCAACTGAATCCACGACCAACGCCAGACGGAATTTGCTTGAGAAGGTCTACATTACGAAAATGAAAACCCATGTCAACGAAGGCATCAACGAGAAGACTCAAGACACGCACTGTAATGCACGAAAGCCGGTCGACCAGCATTGTCATACTGCTGCATTGTATGACTACAGAACGACCCCGAAGCCGTCCCACTAGGCAACCCAGCAGCACCTACATACCTCCCAGGCAAAGCCCATCGCTTCCTAAGTGCCAAGAACGAAAACCTAAACACGTCTTTGTCCCCATCCGAAAAATAATACCAATACTCCCAATTAAGCAACAGGTACTGCGAAAGTAACATGGCATCCAAATGACGACGTTTATCGATCACGATTTGACCTGCTTCTTGTTCCCATTCATCTCGGCATTGAACCCCAATAATGTGCCAGATTGGGTTGCTAGCGCTGGTCTTCCAGTAATCAACCCAGAACATCGCCCCAAGACGTTTGTAATTAGGTTGTTCAAAGTAGAGTTCCGGTGCTTGCGTGGGGAAGTTGTCGGAGTCAAGGTAGAGAACTTCTGCCCATTCGGCTTCGACGATGGCTTGAGCTTTAAGGTGATAGTTCTTTGTCCTACCGGCGTCCTTGCTACGATTAATCTGAACGAGCTTGGCACCCAGCTCTGCCAGTTCCTTGCGGATAGGATCGTCATCGGCAGGCTAAGATGAGAGCGCGGCAATGGATTCAATTTAGCAAAGAGTGCAGAATGTGGACGAAGCCTAACTCACCCGCTCCGAAGCAAAATGGAAAATAGCAGCAGGTAGTTGGGAGTCGTAGTCTAGTGAAAAATTGCTTAGTAGCCATCATCGTGTGATCGCACCCAGAAAACTAACACTTTCGAACCAATTTGAGAGTATAAACCACCCTCTTCAATGTATCCACGTTCCCAGCGGTGAATACCATTCCCCTTCCTTCCCCAACATACCCTCTCCCGCCATGCACGACATGGCTCCTGGTATCAAACGCGCCCTCACGCTTCATTCCTTCAATATAGCTCGCCATATTCTCCCGGTGCGTTAAGATGGCGGTGGAGTTCATCACTGCCCAAATCAGGCTCGCTTTGGCGATCAAATCCTTATTATGATTAGGGATGACATCCGAACAAGTCTGAAGATTCCACGCGACGAAATCAGCCGGTTCCCATCCAATTCCAGGCGCATTGCGCCATGTGGCTAAACGTTGTTCAAGAGTGGCATGCAGCGGGAGAGGGTAAAGGTGAGTGGGGTGGACATCACGCCATGTTGGCCAATGAACGTGTCGCGTTGGGGAAGCCACTGTAGGTGATTCCGTGGGTGCCTAAAAGAAAAGTAAATCCGTGGAAAGTCAGCTGTCCAACGTCGGAAATCACGCCCCAAGTTCGGAGACGAACGGTCCCAGAGAACCCAAGCGCGTGTGGTAATTCACACTCACAGGTAAGACATAAGAAAATCCGAAAACGCAGATGATCCCAAGCAGTACGGCAGAAAACAATCGCTTCGCTAGGCCTCCAGAGAGTGTCTGGCCTGTGCCCGAAGATGTAAAGTACTGGCGAAGGCAAACGATTGCTCGAGATATGTGTGCAGAGAATGGAACGTGTTGACAGTAGGCCTTGAAATAGTGACCAGCACGACTACTGCTCTCGCTGTCATCTATAAGTGAGCTGCGAAGAATCCCATTACTGTTCAACCTGTCTTTTTCGTCGTAAACGCGGCGGTCCTCTTCCTCCTGCAAACTGTCAAACGAGCGCTTTGGGGGGTGAGATAAGAGGGAAGTAGGGAGTTGTCGTTGCTCGCCATCGTCCCAAGACGTGGTCTGAGTAGTCGGGAGAAAAAGATCAAGTGGTGGTGATGGATAGCCTCAAACTTGTTCCGTGGCGCCGCGACAGCTGCGCAAACTTCTGATGGGGGCCAGGCGGCGACTCATTCAATTCAGTCCGGCAGTGTTTACTGTTAAGGGAGTTTTTGAATCAATCCAGGAGCTGTGCCGAGGAAATGGAAAAATGGATTATGTTGATTATGTATGTAACCACGCCTGGAACGAAACTGGGCTACGTCAACGAAAAAATGCGTTTTTCAGGGCAAGCCACGTAAAGCCCAGGAAACGGCTGTATACTGCGAGTTAACAAACGCTATGGCCTTCAGGAAGACCATGTGTAAGATCTTATCCGACTTCGAGGAAGCTAAGATCGCACTACACTGGTGCCCTGGCCACGCCGGCATCCCGGGTAACGAGAGAGCAGACCAACTAGCGAAGGAAGGAGCACGCCTCAGACCAGCCCGACCCAAGTTCAAATCTCTTTCGTACGTAGAGAGCCTATGAAAGAGAGAGATGGCCGAAGAATGGACACACCGGTGGACGAACACATTGAACCCCCCGAAATCGGGCTTCTACGCAGCCACCAACTCGCACCGAGCTCAAACCACTCGCACCAGAGCTCACCCCTGCAGTTCCGAATAGGACACGCACACATTGGCGAATACTGCCACCGATTCGGAATCACAACAGAAAGCAAAGAGTGCTAATGCGGCAAACCAACTCAGACGAGGACCCATATCTTAACAGAATGCCCTCGGACGAGAAGGTACCGACACATACTAAGCCGCGGAAACCAGACTAAGTTTAACACCCTCATGGGCAGGGTGAAAGGCGTGGAGAGACTCGCGTCATTCATCAACAAATTCAAGACAGGCAACAAACGTAGCACCAGTGGAAACCGAAACACCCCGAGGAACACCACTCCCGGATAACCGACCGCAAGGCAGGCGCAGCGGCGCACCAACAGAAGGGAGGGCAGATGGCCAGGGACAGACGTACGGAGGAGAGAGGAACCCATAATTATTATTTCTTATTAACACCACGACAATACCCACGGACAACACAGAACCCGACGACCATTGATACCCGACGATACCAACCAGAATACCCATATTCAGTGCCCGTATTGTAGAAATGATCCCCTCATGTACGCCACAGTATAATGTCGGGATAGCCGCACTGCCACGTCATCACGATAGATTTATCATCATCATCATCATCAATGAAAAAATATTATGCTTATGGGCAGGGGAGCTGTAATGTACACCGGAAAACCTGAGACAGGGAACCGCCTTTAGCAGAGGCTGGGATCCTGCCCAGGGAACCTCATCACATCCTTTTATGTTTCACTACGCGCTTGCCGACCAGCTGGGCATCAATCCCATACCATTGGTCTCTCATGACATCCGCAGTCTTCCTATCGACGCGCCAGAACAGCCGCGTCAAGTCCAACTGCTCATAAATTTCTTTGTGACCAGTTGATTAGGTTTCCCAGAAAAACGATCATCCCCCGCACATATGTAAGGAGATACATACGTAGTTTCACTCCATTGATCATCGGAAATACCTATGACGATTCACGAAATCGATCGATTCGTCCCAAACGCTATCACCACAATCGCAACCGATCGCTAGTAAGATATGTAAGAACTGAGGTGTCCCCATGGCTGCAACAACGTGTGTGGCTCCTTGACCAAAACTTTCGACAGATCGACCACCTTATCCTCTACAAGACTTAAAGCTCGTTTTACGACCCATCGATTCGTACATAGCTGGCGCCCTTTTGTTGGTTAGATGCGCATCCATAAATCATATCCGGCCTGAAAGTGCAAGGAGACTCATCATGTCCTTGGATACAATATTGGCGTATACTACGGACAGAGGATCTTCTGAGCCTACATACTCAATTACCGGCCAGACACACTAAACAATGTCGAGGGACAAGGTTGTGCACTGCACAACCCCTGATCCACCCCTATCACACATGAGCAGTTGGCATGCAACCACGGTCTCCTGAATATTGCAACATTCCCATGTCGACCATCTCATGGCTCCCCACAACCCATCACATAGATCGGATGAGACAGACACTTGCCACCAGTTATGTACATGCCCACCATACGTACACTGGATAGGCTCGCTACAGTAGTATCAATATTATGATATTGGGCATGCATACCATATGCTTTACGAACCACAAAACGATCCGAAAGCAAATAAGAACAGAAAAAATATCCAAAACAAGAACAAAAGCGTCGCAAAAATTGGGGTTAACAATGTACCAGTACTTGTGCCAAGCTAGTCGGTGAAAGGAAAAATGAGTTGATGATTAAGGAGTGGGGCAAAATTAACAAATGAATGGTGTTGGATAGTATAAGCAAGGCAAGGCAAGGGAGTGCGTAACCTTTTGTTGATATGAATACAAGGGGGATGGAGAAGGCGAGGGTGAGAGTTAGAGAACGGGATTGTAGATACAGTGGGGGGTGATGGTTTAAGGTATAGGTGGGACACGCTCCCAATTCAATCGCATCCGATTTAGTCTGACAACTTGCACAACAACAGCAGCTTTGACATGCCGAGAGAAAAAAACACGCGGATCCAAGCGATCCGGGAAAATATTGGATAAATAAAACCACGGTTTGTTGGCAATAAAGAGGTGATCACAAGTTCGTGTGGCGGAGGTATTGAAACTAAAGTCGGGAGGCTGAAGGGGCTGAGGATGGAATGTGTAGAACTCGAGGGAGCCGTAGAGTGTGGATATATCGCCATCTCAAACACAATTTACCGCCCAGGGTAAATGTTGCTCTCATACGACGCCTGGGACTTATGTTCCTGCCCAGGGGCGAACTTCCTGTTCTCTTCGTCGCTCCTCGATTCGTACACTCCAAAACCCGTTTGCATCGGTGTGGCAATCGTCGATGATTTGGGACGATGCATTGCAGAAACAGGAACCTTTAGCAATGAAGCACCCCCTGGAACTGTAGGCATCTCATTCAGAACATCATCATCCGTCATTCGATCGATCGACTCGATGGTGCAATTCGACCCCCGGCGTGGATTACGAGAAGTAGAATCGTAGTGATGCAACGAAGCTGATCGACGGGCATTTTCCAGATCGACATCATGGTACTGCGTGGAAGTGATTGATTTCTGGATAAAAATTTTCTCGCCGTAAGCTCCCACCGTCTCTAAATCGCCTTTGGATAGACGAGTGTCGACTTGGGTGCGGGTTCCACTGGAGGAACCGGAGTTTCCACCGTTAAATCCTGTGACGAAAGCGATCTTCGACCGGATGGAATGCAAGAAACCCGAGCCGGTGTCGGGGTCTACAAGACGGGAGGCGCCAGCCATCGTATCAGGCTTCGAACCACCCCCGAAAAGCTGATCCCGTCCATTAAGCATACCCATCATCGTCTATACAAAAGCGCTTAGTCATCGCAGAACAGCGTAATCCGATTCATTCGTCAAAACGCACATTGGAGTAGAGGCGAGGCAGTAGCATGCAGATGACGAGGTGTACGTTGTCGTGTCTTGTGTAGATGAAGATGAGTTTGATCGTCGCGGAGATCGTTGGGACAGCGGCAGCCTCAATGCTCAACCTCATCAAACGGGCCACGACCGAATCTGTATCCTTGAAGCCCGTCTTCGATCTCCACAAAATGCGGACGATGGTTGAGGAGATGAGAATGTCTGCGAGTATCGAACCTCCCAGCCAGAAAGCAGGAAGAAAGTCCCGAATGTAACGGAAGCTGCGAACATTGTGAGCCTAGTTGGAAGTAGTACGATTAACAAAGAAATAAGCAACAGGGTAGCAAGGCGAGAACTTACGATGATCGAGGTCCTGATGGCAAATGCACACTGAGTGACTGTGACCATGGTGATGATGAAGGGCATGGCGAAGGAATGGCTCAATCGGTAAATGCGATATACGAAGAAGAGTTGCACAATCATCGAGACGAAGCCCGAGCTGAACGGCAGGAGCGCCCATGTCCAGGTGAGCTCGTGGAAGATGTTCACATCTCCCCAGTAAGCAACGAGCACACGCCATCCCGCATGGGTCATGCATATGATGAAGAAAGTATCCAATGTGAAGGTACCGTAGGCCAAGGTCTTGATCCACTTGTGGTCATTTGGGAAACGGAGATAGTAGATATAGATCTGCAAGCAGAGGATCCCGAACAGTGCCCAGTTGAAGCACTGGCCAAGAAACTAAGATGCACGCGTCAGCATCAGTGAGGACGCATGGGGAACATTGAAGTTGCTTACAAACGGACCAAGCATGGTCCCAAGATTGATCACGTCCTTGGGGAGTTCGCCATAAGGCAAGGTGACATGGGTGTAGTTTGTCATGTTAACGAGGTATCGCTGAGAAAGCAGAAGAAAACGGGTGGTATTGATGTATGGATTACCGCAGTTCGGGGTTCGTGGACTCCGGCCTGATGGAGTTCGAGGAAGAGCACAGAGATGACCAGGCAATAGCGGTGGAGAGACCACCACCCCAACTCATGAGGCCCAGGTTTTATAGCTACAGGGCATCAGTGCGGTCGTAAATTGCAATAACATAACTAGTGCCGCATTATCAAAACAATTGCCGAGATCGGACACATGCAGAGATTAGAATGCACAAGAGAAGGTTTATCTTCCCTCGATCAATTCAGTTTACATAGTGTCACCCCCCGCCACAGGCCAAAAGCAGGGTGTGCCCAGGAAACGCAGCCTCTCGTATCGTTTGCAGATGTTGAAGTCTCGAAATCTCCTTCAACCACTGCAGTCTCGTCACATATCATGCACAGATGGTCACCTCCTCGGAGGTAACAATGCCACCTACGACTCAGAGGGATATCAGCCAGCCGCCTTACGAGCGCTGCGTCGAACAGACCAAAAGCAGTTGTCGGACTTAGAGGGGTAAGTTACCAAAAGGCGAAATCTGCCACCGGGGGAAGCTATCCAGGGCCACATCTGGTAGCCACTTGCCATTCCATGAGTCAATAGGGGTGATTGTTCGTTGCTCAAGCTACGTCGCTGTCACAAGCAGTGACCCCAACTGTGATGGCGAGATTTCCGTGGCTGTGCAAATTGGCGGTCTATTCGGCTATTACCATTCCAGGCTAAACCCGCGGACCTTGTCAGGAGACAGGCACTCACTCCCACAGGAAATAGTGAAAAATATTATTCATACTGTTCAACTGACGATGGTACGCCCACGGACAACCCCGTGTTCAATAAGCCCAGTCCATGCACAACACACCTAACGCCGCGTTGGCCCTAGCCCAAACCCACGTCCAGTGTAACCATAACTCGTCGAGGAGAACCCATCGCTGCTACTGCTTTCTTGCTGAATCTCAACCTCCTTCACCTTAACTTCCAGCTCTTTAACAGCGCCATCAATCCACTGAAGGCTTCCCAAATGAGCATTGAGAATTGCTTCAATTTGAGCGATGGGGTCGACGGCTCCGGCAGCAGAAAATGGGGCGCCCGAAGTAAAATCAGGTGGGGCACTGAGGGAATTTACCGTTTCTATCATTGAAGTCAATGAGTGGGAAAGATCATCCAATTGCGAATTGAGACCCGCGGCAAGTCCATAGCTGCATACCAAAAAAGGATCAGTACACGTGCGGAAGCGAGCAAACAGAACAAAAAGAAATCTTGTCCTAACGCCGATGACGCACGTCCGAGCAGGGTCCCGGGTGGCAAAGCGAAATGGCGCAGGCCAACAGGAAAAAAATCCCTACCTGTTGTCCCTTTCGCGGTCAGCAGGACCGAGGTCCAGTGACCGCCCACTATTGTTCAGAATTTGTTTTACAATTTCTTCATACCCATCGAGGGTCTTGTTCAAGGCCCGCTGTTGCTCCTCAATATGCTTCAAAGACTCATCAATCGCCACTTGCGACGCTTGCGCTGCCGTAACTTTATTGAACAAGAAATTGATCTAACAGAATAAGCAAGTTAGGGGGCCTTCTACGAGGTTGACCAGGGTTATTCCTCACCTTCTCACTGTTCTCCATCAACGCTCGGTCCCACACTGCAACTTCGCTTGCCACCTTGTGAAACTGCTTCACCTGCGTCTCTAGTTCATTGTTCCACTTGGCGATAATCTCATCAATCGTCTTTCCTCGAAGCATGGATGGCGGCGGCCCGGGTGCTGTAGTGGTACTAGCCGTCGTGCCCGCAGGCTGAGCGGTTGAGGTGCTTGGGGCTGCAGTAGCTGGGGTAGCAGACGTGCTGGGGCCGGCTGAGTAGAGCCATATTGTGAGCCCAAGTTCAAGTACGCTGAAATAAACATACGGGTGAATGAGGTAGATTTGGACGATTCTTGGGCCTTCAGGAAGGCCGACATAAAATTCGTTGGTTTCGGGTCCTCAGCCGGCTTCGTTGCATCACTCTTCGTTGTGGCATCCCCAGCTGCCTTTTCCTTCTCTTTCTCCTTATCTTTTGGGTCAGACGTGGTCGAAGCCGTTGGTGGGGCGAAGGACGCAAAGGTCCCTCCAAATGGGGAAGGTTTTGCCGGGGCCGGAGCTGCTGTTACCACAAAGGAAATCAGTCTTGATGTCCACAGTGTGATTATTCGGAGCACGAACAAGATGTAGACTCGGATGTGCCGGGTGCAGGTGTTGTGCCAGTGGAGGGTGCTGATGCAGGAGTCTTGTTCAGGAAGCCTGCGAATGGGCTTGGTGAAGCCGCTGGCGCCGAAGGTCCGGTAGCTGCGGCCGTTGATGCTGAGAATACTTGAACATCGACAGAGGGATTGGAAACAGGTAGACCACTCACTTGCAGGCGTGGTGGCAGATGAAGTCCCGAACAAGTTGGTTGAGGTGCCTGTGTTTGACAGTATAGCTAAAGCATCTAATGCATTGTGATCCACTCACCAGCAGTCGCTGGCTTGCTCGTGCTAAACAGTGACGGCCCTGTACGTCAACTATGTTAGAATAACAATTTACAACAGTCGCCTCAACACACCTCCCGCAGTAGTGGAACTAGTTGCTGAAGGTGAGCTTCCAAATATGTTCGTTGATGGGGCTACACAAAGGTTGGCGCAATTAGCCACTCGGAGATACCGTGCATGCTCACCACCAGTGGAAGCTGCTGCTGATGTGGCGGTAGCAGGGCTTGCAGAAGGTTTGGTAAATGCATTGAACCCTCCAAAAGGAGAGGTGGATGGCTTATTCTCGGTTGATGTGGCCGTCGAGCTAGTTGTTGGGAAACCAGTCCCAGTGCCGAACGTATTGCTACCGGCCGTAGTCGAAGCAGCAGGAGTAGTTCCGGGGCCAGCACCTGAGCCGAAGGCGCCTCCGAAGCTCGCAAAAGGGCCTGTTCCGGCAGCAGCACCACCTCCAGTAGAGGGTGCGCCACTTCCAAACACATTTCCAGCAGTTAAGCCAATAGGGTTTGCTGCACCAAATATGTTCGTCCCTGATCCGCTTCCAAAGGCAGAGGGTGTCCCTGCAGGCGTTGTCGATCCAGCACTTCCACCCAGGAATGCGTTTGTTGTGGGCGCAGGGGTACTTGGAAGGTTGGTGGGATTTTGACTACTCTGGCCGCTTAAAGCGAAAGCATTGCCACCAAATGCAGGACCTGGCGCGTTAGGTGCAGCCCCAGCAGTGCCTGTCGATGAAGTTCCAAAGATGTTTGGCTGGGGTGTGGTCCCAGACCCGGTAGTGTCCGACGAAGACGACGGGTTGGAAAACGCGCCAAAACCACCAAAAGACATGTCTCTGTAGAAATGTCACAAAAGATGGCCTCTGTGGTGACCACCACTCACTAGGGCAAACCACCGCGTCTTGTGGTGACTTGATGATTTAATTTGCGGTATCACGTGTCTGCGCTTCGATTCAATTCGACTGCTAACCATCATGGAGGATGACTTTGGTTTCTCATCGGTTTGGCAGGACACGACACCAAGAGCCGTATCACCACCACTTCCAGAGCTAAAAAGAAGCGCCCTTTTGTCTTTCGATGATGCTTTTGATGATAAGGAGGATGATGCCCTCCAAAGCACTATTTCGACAGTACTAAGCGATGAACTCGGGGACGAATTCGGGGACTTCGGGGATTTTGGGGACGCTCAGACATCCAACGCGTTCGATGGCATAGACTCAGGGGATTTTCCAAGCACATCCTTCACGGCGTCCAATGGCTTTGATCCTTTGCCGGCCGATCCTGGCCCTTCCTCAGGGCATCCCCTTCGGTTGCGCCCGATGCCCCCTTTACAACAGCTGTCTAGAGATGTAGAAGAACTTTTTGAGCCGATGTATGGTCACATCGATCCCATGGATTTTATGACCAACGAGGGAATTAGACAAGCTGAAGGAGACGCGCAGATACTCGTCACTCCAGAGAGGTCAGCACGTAAAGTCCAAATAATCAAAGTGACTTATTGAATTTCCATACGCAGTCGGAAGCTATACGATTCGTTGATATCATACGTCCCACCAACGCAGCAAGTCAACTGGACCCGTTCACGAATAAGGCGACGCCATCTTATCGAACTCGGAATCCCTGTCAATCTCGACGAAGTTCTCCCTCAACCGACAGCTTTAAAAGGCCTCCCCACCCTTCGAATTAGCACTCGACCCATGTCGGCACCGCCTGGACCGCGGCTTGAAAAGCATCTTAACGGCGTTACAGGAAACCGGTCAAGCCAATCGCGGACGCAAACTCCACAAGGAAGTCCTGTACGCAGCGGTCGTGCCACCCACAGACCGCCGCATCTTCTTTGAAGATCGGATCGAAACCAGTGCTAGATAAGGACAAGATTGACCGTGTTCTTTCCCTTGATCCAGGTATGTCAACATGTTGACAAAGAATGCCACTTGGATGATCAATTTCATGTTTTCAGTAGATACACTGCCACTGCTTTCGGTAACAACCTTGATGGCACACTTGGAGACGCTGCAAGCGTTGACACTCTCAACATCGGAGTTGCTATCGTACCTGCTACAACAACGAGACGCACTGCAACAAGACTCTGAGGCATACAACAAACTAATCGGAGGGTTAGTTGTCGAAGCTCAGAAAATGAAGTCCGGTGCAAAGGGCAAGGCCAGCAGCATGCGGGGAAGTACGTTCACATGAAAATATTAACATGAACGATCATCATGAACATAACATTATTGGAGACATTTATCGTATAGTTAAATCTTAATATGGACATGTTAATTGTGGAGCTGGATCCCGCTTGGCCTCATCACTACTTTCCTGGTGATTGGGATAAGCGTCATGATCTTACATGCTTGTATCAACAGGCCTGGCACCTGTCGTTCTTCCAACTCGAATGGGACATGTTCCGCGTCCCTTTCTGTTCCAACTCCATAAATGGGAATCACCCTTGAATCGGCAAATTCCCATCTCCGAATTTTTTTGTAAGTCAGTTCGAAAAAGATTAGACGACGAGACTCAAGCAGGAGTGATCCCCAGAAATGAGGTGCATCATTCCAGGCTACTAATGACGGCCAAAGGCAATTCACGATAAGGTGCCACCAAAACGCCACGGAAGCGCCACAAGTCAAATAGGCCGGAATTATCCGAATCACTACCCTTTTGCGATTTGACCGCATTGCACACCAAGCGGTTCTCATACTGCTGTTAACGGATTTCTGTGGGTTATGAAGGACGCATTCTCCACTGCTGCTCTCAGCGACGGCCTTACAAATAGCAATGGACTTGCAAATGCAGAGAAGGAGCTTGGGAATCACTTTAAAGGTGCAGCACGGCGTCCCCTTTCTCATCAATGTCTCGGATTCCATTTGCTGACGATTGGATACTTATTACAGCCGCCGCACTGAGCATAGCGACTCTTTACAAGGCATCACTTGCTACATCGAAGCAGGCTTACAATGCCGGTTACCTGGCATGCCTCATGGACTTACAAACATTCATGCACGCTGGCGTCTCTATACAGGGGGAAGGTGAACATGCATCAAATTCAGAAGCACTCAGCATCGAACGCGTAATGGACTGGGTCGATGGAAGACTTGAGGCCCTGAGAGGCGATGAAGATGACTCGGATGATGACAAAGAACGGGAAGGTGGCACCGTTCCGGACCCTTCTCAACGGCGCTCAGCGGTGCGGCCCCGAAGCGCTGCTAACCATCCTCCCGCTTCATCTAGTTCGTCTCGTTCCGTACAGCACCCAGAAACCAAGCTTCAGTCCTCACGACTAGAACGCCGATCCTCGATCGACACAATCGCCGGTGAACACTCGATCGGCCTCACCTCCACTTTCCCCCGTCAAGCCTCCTAATACACGGAAAGAACGTGTTGCATCACTCCAACCATTTCAGCACTACCCCTTTGGCTTCATCGCTGCCTCTAATGGCGTTGTTGAATTTCCGCTAATTACCGGAGCTGGTGCTCCACAACTTGATGGCTCACCTCTTGCACTATCCGCCATTAATATCACTCCAGACGCGCCCATCTCGGTTGGGTCGAAACGACGACATTCTACTCTTGTCGACCAGCCCCAAACCCCAGCGTCACGCGCAAATGGTGCGCCATCCAACGCGCCACGGCGGCGGGCGCGGCATTCGCGCGTGACCAGTTCTCAAGGAACCAACTCCAACGTAGGACCACCAAGCCGTGAACGTACGAATTCCCTGGTGAACGCCGAAACCGGCCTTGACGCAATGGAGGTCGAGGAACGTCCAAGGAAGACTGCAAGACGCTAACCTTATCGCCTACAACCTATGTTCTCACGACTTGTACTTCCACCATTCCGTCATGCTCTTCGCTTCTTTGAGCATTTCTTCTCCATTCCTTTCTTCCACTTCTCACTGCATTATACATTATGTCTTTCGCCTACCGCAATCAAGCTGCTTTCGTCGCATTGTCCGCACACCTTTCATTTGTACCTATCGAGTTTGTCCACGTAGTTACATGTTGTTTGACTCATACCCTGCATGGTTTTGCAAATGGCTCGAAACAGGTGAGACGGGAGGATAGAGTCTCGTTACAACATCATCCTGCAATATAGTTGTTACATACAATAATATGGGTGCATAGGAACCAACATTAGAATCCAACATCATGAAAGGGCTCGACAATCATGAATCCGCGGAGCACGGTGTCACTCCAAGTAGGTCAGCAAGATTGCCTCAGTCCGGAAGGGAACGGCAGGCTTCAAATCCCACCAATGGAATCATCTTGCATCACCACGGATTGACCCATATTCTTCGCTTCCATTCCGAAGACCATTCAAACGTTGTTGTGGACGAAGCGATACGTGAGACTGTTGTGAATGATTATTGTGGTGGTCGATGGGTTGTGCTCTCGATAGGGCGATGAATGGGCATAGACATCGACAGGGGGGAGACGTGTGGATACGGTGGGAGGAGGTAATGGAGAGTCTGTATGGGATGAGTGTATTGGTGGTTCTATCGTTTCACCCATCGATGCGAGTCGCTCGTATAGAATACTGGAATTGCCACGAACCAACGTTGTGAGCACAGTCAGAAATAGATCAGAGTCAACTCACGCTCGTTCGAGCCTCATGCGTTGGATGTTCCTTTTCGCCTTTAGGATTCTGACATGTAGCTTGTCATTCTCCTAAACCAATAGAAAGCAATGAATATACAAGAAGGAATGGGAAACACCGTTTCGTACAACTTCAATATCTCGAACTTTGCGTTTGAGGTCCTTATATTTCGTTTGGTATTTTAAATCATCACTTTGAGCAGCAATTGTCGTCGTGTATGCCTTGGACTTTTGACGGGTGGGCTGTTCACGAGAATATACTGGCGTGGTTCCAGAAGGTTGGGGCACAGATAAGGCAACGCTACTGGATGGCAAAGGCTCGTACGACGCAGAGGCGCTGAGATTCGAAGGAGGAGGAAGCGGAAGCCCTTGATTAATGTGTTGAGATCTCCTAGCATTTGGTGAAGCCCGCTGTCTTGTGTTCGGCTGAGTTAGTTGCGTTGTTGGAGAAATTCCAACGTCGTCTCCGTAGTATCCCTGTGGCGCGCTGGGATACGACGTCGACCCCGGAGACGAGGGGCGCCCATACATTCCCTGATCAAACGGTGAGTGTCGGTGGGACATGTTCGGAGTGTGGAGATGTGCGCCCGTATACTCGGGGGAAGCAGTGTGTCAAGGCCTTAATTGAGAAAGCATTCATTTTGAGAAATCACGTGCAGTCCATTTCTGGAAAATGATCGGAGGGGTTTTCCTGGCCGCGAAATTCCAACGGCGCTTAACGTGACATAAGGTATGGCCAGAACCATCGTTCTTTTTTTATTCTCCTTTGTTTAATCGCCGCACATTTGACCTACACTGATAACGTTAACAACATTGGTTCACTGTCGAGGTATATACTAAGTAGGAGTCAGCGCTCCTTCCTATAAATGAGCATCCAGCTAGAAGTAGTACGTGTACGTATGCCTTCGAGGTGGCAGACTCAGAGGCTGAAACTACATAGAAAACCGGGACTTAATCACGCGCGCGGCCTGCTCAGTTTACTGCCTTGTGTTGCACCACGTCTGTCGCCGCAAGATCGTGAACCCCAAGTTTGGCCAGCTCACTCAACAATCTGTATGGTGCTCTTTCGGAACTCGGACGGCACTCAGAGGCACTCCCATTCATCGAAGATAGCATCGAACTCTATCGCCGGTTAGTTCCCATTAAACCCAGGATCACACACCCCGAATTTGGCAGGGTCACTCAACAATCTCTTTCCGAACCAGGACCGTACACCCAGGATTTGGCCAGGTCACTCCACAGCCGACGTAATTCTCGGACAGCACTGGAGGCGCTCCCATCCATCGAGCGTCAAACTCTGGCGCCAGTTATTTGCCGTTAACCCAGGATCATACACCGTGAATTTGGCTAGGTCACTTATTAATCTACGTAGTACTCTTGGATCTCGAACAGCACTCAAAGACGCTCGCCAACTAGTTGCCGTTAACCCAGGAGCACACACCCCGGATTGGCAATATTACTCAACAATCTATATATTGCTCTTTCGGACCTCGGACGGCACTCGGACTCCCATTCATTGAAAAAAGCATCAACCTCCGGCACCAGTTGGTTGCCGTTAACCCAGAATCATACACCCCGTATTTGGCCATCTTACTCCACAATCAATATTTGGCTCTCTCGAATCTCGGACGGCACTCGAAGGCGCTCCCATTCATCGAAGAATGTGTCAACATCCGGGCGCCAGCTATAACCCAGGAGCATATACTCCAGAATTGGCCAACTCACTCGAGAACCAACGTAATGCTCTTTCGAATCTCGGACGTCATTCCGAGGCACAAATGGTTCACATTTGAGCGTGTATCCCTATCACTGCGTTTCTCACTTTTCTATTGCACGCGGCAGGCAAGGTTGAATCGGATATTCGGCTCGCCAAATCTGACCTCAATTTTTGATTGCAAACTATTTACAAAGTTCACTGACCACATGCACCCTCAAATCACGGTTGCATCTATTCATTTTTTTCTAACACATTTTCCTCCCATCGCCCATCGCTGATGTACTGATCCATGCGTGTTTCTGCATATGTACCGACATAAGCGATGACACTGAGGTTGATGGTTGATGCAAATGGCGGTGACTTGGGGGAAAACCTAAATATATACATACTGTCATCTCGCTGGACAAGAAGTACATGTGCCTGTCGGATCATCACCATTGAGTTTGAATGGAGCATGAAATCCGAAGTGTGTGAGTTGTTAAGTAACGGTGGCTGGCTTGCGAGAGTTCAGTTTGTGAAATGGACATCGGACATTGAATGACTGTTCCTTGAACCCGCTGCCATGTTGATACATAGTACAGTTACAGATCTCGACTAACGCTGGGCGTAGCAAAATTAACCCTTCCTCTTGTATGTGCAATTCTTCCACCGAAAAATCAACCTTGCTATCTTGAAATCAAACAAATTGAAAGTGCTCGAATTTAGCTATCCGCTGGACTCATGTGGACCCAGCATCCTCCCTGTTACGATTGAATCAGCGAGGTTCAACGTTAATCATTCCTTCCGAGTCAGTCTAACAGTGCAAAAGGGTCTGACGTACTTTGACGAATAAAGTAATCGCCATTCCAGGCCATACTTCCTCGATTCCCTTTCTGCCTGGGGCGCCTTTCCAAGATGGAGGTGGGTATGAACCATCAGGGGCATCCTCTTTCTGGCGGAGCGTGAAAGTGTCGAACGTTTGGAGTATTCGAATCATCACTATGTATCGTGAAACGAAGTCAGTGAGATATTTAGGCAGAGGACATGGAACAGCGTACTAAAGCTTGCTTGATTATATGCAAAATTCTATCAGAAAAAAAGGATGAGCAACCACCTATTCTATCATCCCGAACACGGCAACGTCGTCGATGCAACTGTGCCTACCTGACCCAGACAAATCCTTGGCCCCGCGTTGAACGGTAGAAACATGAATGGATCATCGGTAATCTTCTTCACTCTTTCTTTATCAATCCACCTCCTAGGATCGAATTCATCCGCATCGGGGCCCCAAAGATCTTTCCGACGTTGCATGAGAAGTGGCGCATACAGAATCACCGTATTACGAGGGGCGTAAATGGGCGTTCCTTTAGTAGTTCGATCGGGGGGGAAAAGTGTGGACGATTTCGATGTGCGAACGTTTAATGGGACGGAGGGGAAGAGACGGAGCGTTTCGTTGAGAACAGCGCGCACTGTGAAATTCGTTCAGTGGCTCTTGATTCAGGGACTGAACGGGAAAAGAAGGGAAAGGAGGAATTACTTACAATATTTCATCTTTCGGATATCATCGAAAGTAGGAGAGCCATTAGGGACGTACGTTAGTACTTCTTTTCGCAATGTTGCCGTTACATCTGGATGTAGGCAAAGCAGGTATATGGCATATGTTAGCAACGTAGTAGTTGTATCCCGAGCTGCGGCAAGCATGGTGAACGACTGTTGTATGAATACATCAGAGCCTGCAATGAGAGCGAGGAAGGCGCAATTTTACCTCATCCCTAATCAGCTGAGGATCATCCGTCATATCCACCAAATGATCCACCAAATTCCCCTCATCCGGATCGCAGTTCTTCATCTCCCTCTTCCCTTTCTTCTTCAACGCTTCCTCAATAAGAGGATAAAAGAATTCATCGACAACTAAACCATAGGGTTTCGTCTCGTCTTTCCAGAATTCCATCAAACCCCAAAGCTTCAAACTTCCTCTCAAACTCCTGATAAGCATGATTTCCAGCAGCTTATCGAATGCATGAACGAAAGAACCATAGGAGCCCCCTGCCTCACTTCCTTTCGGACCGAGTTTTGATAGTTTGTTAGGGGGAGGAAGAGGAAGGTCAAGTGTGTTGAAAGTTGTGCTGCCAAAGAAAAATTCGCCTGCCGCATCCATGGTAAATCGGGAAAAGATATCCTGGATGTCAATGGCTTGGAGCTGTTGGACCGAGCGAGGAGATGGGCGAGGACTTTATCAGTGTATCGTTCGAAGATGGTAAAATCCTGGACACGTTCTCGGGCTACGATTCATGTAGACAGTGGAAGGGGTGGAATGTGATTAATACCACTGTGTATAATGAGATGAGGAGGACAAACCCAAAAAGGGGCGCGTCATGGCTCTGTGGGCTTTCGCCTCGGCACCGTCAGCCCCCCCGATCCCATCACCGAACGACCTTCTGGTCCTATAAGGCAGATAAATATCGGTCGTAAGTAGTTAGCGGAAGGTGAAAAGCTGGTAGGGCAAATGACCTCATCCGGAACTCAGGTCCCTTCCAGAAATTATCGAATTCCGTAGCTAGAACTGCCTGCATAACCCTGTGATCCCTTGTTACATAGGTATCTCTCCAGAGCGTTCCAAGGTTAAACGTCGTCACGTCGTCTCCACCTCCAGGCGACGCAAACAGGCGCTCAAAGCTTTCCAGAACATATCCTTCCTCGGAGAGTTTTGCCAATCTTTATGTATATTGAAATTCCAGATATGACATTGCAGTAATCTTTTGAGAATAAAAGTCCTGGAAGATAAGTGGGTAGCAACGTACGATAAAGCGATATCCAAGTTTCCAGGCCACTTCCCCTTCAGCCTAGGAAGATACACCCCACCCATTTTCTTCGCCTCGTTGCCATTCTTCCAGTCTGTATACTTGACGTTCACCGTCCAATATACAATACATATCAAGAGGCGCCAGAGGCTTTGTAAGAAAAACCCGTCCGAGAGCAAAGATGGAAGGAAGGAGAGGAGGAGAGAGGCGATGAGGAGAGGCGGGATGAAATCCTTTGCGAGCTCTAGTAGGAGTTGGACGCGGTAGTTATACTTTAGACTGGACGACATTGGGGAGACGGTACTATGCCCTAGAGGGGTCACAATATATATATGCTGACTAAAGTGCAAAGGGCGTCCAGAAACGGACAGGACAGTCGTGCTGGCACGAAAAATAAACTGCTTCAATCATCATTCTGACAGACGTTGCCTGAAAGTCCGATTGTCTTGTCTGCCAGCGATTGGGTACGGAGACGGCCAAACGGCCAGATGAATTAAGGGCGCTGCGCAGACCGGCGGCGTTATGTAGAACCCCCGAGTCACACGCAGAGTCACTCGACGTAGCGTTATTGCATTTGTAATGCGTGTTCATCAGCTTCCCGCTTTCACGTTCTTTACATGTTCTCTCACATAACGCCCACTGGTGCAAAGAAAGTCCAGAAACGGTATGAAAAGTATCAGTTCCTCAAACCCCAAACACTTGCCGCTTCCCGGCATTACTTCCGATATGTAATCATTCTTCGACAGACGTTACCCTAGATGATTGGAAGTCCGATTGTCTGATCTAATGAGAATTAATTGGTACTTAAAGTGGCTAGCGTAAATCATTACCCTTGCCTTCCGCTCAACCAACCCGGCCACTAGTGAAGCCTGGCATGGATGGCTGCCTTATATTTAACCTTGCGGATTAATTTCTGCATTATATTACCTAGTAGCTATGAATATATGTCAGGATCGACGATCCGTCACAACTTTGGAGCTCAGTTGTGAAGTGGACATGCATGGACAAGTAACATTGAATCACTGTCCGTTGAATACTCATTTGTGTTGAGGGTACAATTATCGATCTTACGCGGCCCAATAGGGCCGAGCCCCCCTTCTGTACAAGCAATTCTCGTTGAAAATTCGTTCACTATGCTGGAAATCAGGCAGCTGAAAGAGCTTAAATCTAGCTATCCGCAATACTCATATGGACCCAGCATCCTCCCTGTTACAATCAATCAGAGGGTGCGTTCAACTTCACAAAGAACCGACGCACTTTGATGAACAAACTAATACACATTTTCGGCCATATCGTCTCGATCCCCTTCCTACCTGGTGCGCCTCTCCATGATGCGGGCGGGCATGAACCGTCAGGCGCATCTTCTTGTTGGCGGAGGGTGAATGTGTCAAATGTTTGGAGTATTCGAATCATTACTATCGGAAAGAGATGAGAAAATCAGACAGAAGGCCAGGGTGTACGGAACGGCATACTAAAACTTGCTTGGTTGTACGCGAAGTTCTGTAAGGGAAGGAGCAGCAATAAGCAACCACCCATTCGGATTCCAAATGTAACATTGTTATCGGCACAACTGCACCCACCCGACCCAGACAAATCCTTGGCCCAGCGCCAAAAGGTAGGAACATAAATGGATCATCAGTCATCTTCTTCACCCTCTCCTTGTCAATCCACCTTTCAGGATCGAATTCGTCCGCATCAGAGCCCCATAAATCTTTCCGACGCTGCATGAGTAGTGGCGTGAACAAGACTGTCGTACCACCAGGAATGTAGATGGGTTTTCCATTGGTGGTTTGGTCAGGAGGAAGGAGTGTCGATAATCTCGATGAGCGAAGGTTTAGTGGGGCGGGAGGGAAGAGACGGAGTGTTTCGTTGAGAACAGCACGCACTGTTTGATTCAAAGATTGAATCAAAAGGGGGGAAGGTGGAAAAATTCACTCACGATATCTCATCTTTCGGACGTCATCGAAAGTCGGGGGCCCATTGGGGACATATGTCAGTACTTCTTTTCGCAATGTCGCCATTACATCCGGATGTAAGCAAAGCAGGTATGTGGTAAATGTTAGCAGCATAGCAGTTGTATCCCGAGCCGCCGTAAGGATGTTGAACAGCTATTGTACAAAATGAATCAGGGTTTGTCAAGAAAATGAGGATGTAGGTGTGTTTTACCTCATCCCTAATCAACTTCAAGTCATTCGTCATATCCACCAAATGATCTACTAGATTTCCTTCATCAGGATCACGCTGCTTCATCCCCCTCTTCCTTTTTTCCTTCAAAGCATCCTCGATAAGAGGATCAATAAATGCATCAACAGCTAACCTATGGATCTTCGTCTCATCTTTCCAGAATTCCATCAACCCCCAAACCTTCAAAGGCCCTCTCAGGTTTCGAATAAGCGTGACTTCCTGCAACTTCTCAAAGGGGTAAGCGAAAGAACCATAGGAACCCTCAGGCTCAGTTCCTTTTGGACCGAGTTTGGATTTTTTGTTGGGGGGAGGAAGGGGAAGGTCAAGTGTGTTGAAAGTTGTGCTGCCAAAGAAAAATTCGCCTGCCGCATCCATGGTAAATCGGGAAAAGATATCCTGGATGTCAATGGCTTGGGAGCTGTTGGACCGAGCGAGGAGATGGGTGAGGACTTTATCAGTGTATCGTTCGAAGATGCCAAAATCCTGGACACGTTCTCGGGCTGCGATTCATGTAGACAGTGGAAAGGGGTGGAATGTGATTAATACTATTGTGTATAATGAGATGCGGAGGACAAACCGAAAAAGGGGCGCGTCATGGCTCTGTGGGCTTTCGCCTCGGCACCGTCAGCCCCCCCGATCCCATCACCGAACGACCTTCTGGTCCTATAAGGCAGATAAATATTGGTCGTAAGTAGTTAGCGGAAGGCGAAAGGAACCTTCTCGGACTGGCAGGGTGAATGAAACTGGCTCACCTCATTCGGAACTCAGGTCCCTTCCAGAAGTTATCGAATTCCGTAGCTAGAACTGCCTGCATAACCCTGTGATCCCTTGTTACATAGGTATCTCTCCAGAGCGTTCCAAGGTTAAACGTCGTCACTTCATCCCCACCTCCAGGCGACGCAAACAGGCGCTCAAAGCTTTCCAAAACATATCCTTCCTCAGAGAGTTTTGCCAATCTTTATTGCATATTGAAATTTCGAATATGAGATCTTTGAGAATAAAAGTGTTGGCAGATAAGTGGGTAGCAACGTACGATAAAGCGATATCCAAGTTTCCAGGCCACTTCCCCTTCAGCCTAGGAAGATACACCCCACCCATTTTCTTCGCCTCGTTGCCATTCTTCCAGTCTGTATACTTGACGTTCACCGTCCAATATGCAATACATATCGAGAGGTGCCAGAGGCTTTGTAAGAACAACCCGTCCGAGAGCAGAGATGGAAGGAACGAGAGGAGAAGAGAGGCGATGAGGAGAGGCGGGATGAAATCCTTTGCGAGCTCTAGTAGGAGTTGGACGCGGTAGTTATACTTTAGACTGGACGACATTGGGGAGACGGAACTATGCCCTAGAGGGATCGCGATATATATATGCTGACCAAATGTACAGAAGGCTCTGACTAACATGGGTGCAAAGGGCGTCCAGAAACGGACAGGACAGTCATGCTGGCACGAAAAATAAACTGCTTCAATCATCATTCTGACAGACGTTGCCTCGAATGGTTGAAAGTCCGAATGTCTTGTCTACCAGCGATTGGGTAGACGGCCAAACGGCCAGATGAATTAAGGGCGCTTGCGCAGACCGGGCCGGCGGTAATGTGGAGCCCCCGAGTCACACGCAGAGTCACTCGACGTAGCGTTACAGCCGTTTTTGGCTTGGTTGTCACGTGATCCGGTTTGTTCCTCGTTGCCCGAAAACAAGGCTCAACAAAGAGTGCACCATATCTCAGCAACCACATAAGCTAATCACTTGCGGTTTGCTGCAAAACGTTTGTATATTTATTACGCCCGGAACTTTCTTAGCGATAACGATAATTTTTATTTTTCATGATTTTAGGTTTTACCCCTTTTACACGATCTTCTCAACAATGGCTGGATAGAATGGGCCGTAAATTGGGCAGAAATAAGTCTCAATGTGTCCCTTGGGACCGTTTTTTTTCTTTAGTAAATATGTTGCATTTTGAGGCTTTTATCACTCAAACATTTTCTTTGGTAATGGAAATCCGTTGTACATAGTTTTCTCAATAACCACTGCGTGGAATACGATGAAACTTATGTCGAACGCACTTGAGTTATATATCTCAGGATACCTTTTTTTCAAGTTAATCGGTTGCTTTTTCCGCTGGCATGAGCATGTATGACCGCGGGGAGTGTGTAAATGATAAAAAAACAAAAATGCAACCGATTAACTTGAAAACAAAAAAGTCCCGAGGGACACATTGAGACTTATTTCTGCCCAATTTACGGCCCATTCTATCCAGCCGTTGTCGAGAAAATCGTGTAAAAGGGGTAAAACCTAAAATCATGAAAAATAAAAATTATCGTTATCGCTAAGAAAATTCCAGGCATAATAAATATACAAACGTTTTTCAGCAAACCGCAAGTGACTAGCTTATGTGGTTGCTGAGATATGGTGCACTCTTTGTTGAGCCCTGTTTTCGGGCAACGAGCAAGGGCGGAACCAAAAAACAAAATGAATCACGTGACAACTAAGCCGAAAACGGCTGTATTGGCATTTGTAATGCGTGTTCATCTTTCCCCTTTCACGTTCTTCACACGTTCTCTCGCACAATGCCCACAGGTAATCATTCTTTTACCCTAGATGATTGATTGTCTGATCTAATTAAATGACGAGAATTAATTGGTACTTATAGTACTAGATAATGCAGAAATTAATCCGCAGCCATTCGCTTAGGTGGGTCGGAGTCGTGAGTTGTAGGTGTTGATCCTGGTGTCGCTGTTTGTATTCCGTACGGTGGGCATGGTTGAGGGCAAGGGTAATGGTGGGAAGTGATTTACGCTAGTCAGCTGTGAATCCACACAACCGAGGTTCCGAGTGTGACACAAAATAGTCAACCGGCTTCTCCTTGTGACCTGTGACAAGCAACCGGAAGAGGTGGCAAGGTTGGTGTGACACCAGCCACAGTGGCGCTGGAAATGTCCAACTGGCAAATTTTCGTTTTGATACATTTTACACCAAAAAAACTACTTCCTTGCAGACGGCTTTTGTTTTCATTGAATTTAATTCGATTTCACACAGCCGACAAGGATCATTCAACCGGAACGTCCCACTTACAGCCGGACCGGAAGGTGCGTGTGATGCGTGACCGGTAATTGGTCGTGTGGGTACAGCACTGGAGCTCAGCTGTGAAGCGGACATGCATGGACAAGTAACATTGAATCACTGTCCGTTAAATACTCATTTGTGTTGAGGGTACAATTACCGGTCTTACGCAGGCCCAATCGGGCCGACTAGCCTCCCTTGAAAATTCGTGTTATAATAGCGGCATTGCAGCCGGACACACTGAGCACGACATCAGTGTCATTAGATATCGTACTCTCAGCTCACACAATGCACTTATATAGATCTCTGAGGGACAAAAGCGCTAGCAACAATGAAAACCTTAGCTTTGTCTCAATGGTGGAAACGTATTGTTGACTAGCCAACCATCGGCACAAAGGGCATCGGAATGCCATATCAACAATTCGTTCATTCTGCTGGAAAATCAGGCAGCTGAAAGAGCTCAAATCTAGCTATCCGCGATACTCATATGGACCCAGCATCCTCCCTGTTACAATCAATCAGAGGGTGCGTTCAACTTCACAAAGAACCGACGCACTTTGATGAACAAACTAATAGACATTTTCGGCCATATCGTCTCGATCCCCTTTCTACCTGGTGCGCCTCTCCATGATGCGGGCGGGCATGAACCATCAGGCGCATCTTCTTGTTGGCGGAGGGTGAATGTGTCAAATGTTTGGAGTATTCGAATCATTACTATCGGAAAGAGGATGGAGTCCATGAGAAAATCAGGCACAAGGTCAGGGTGTACGAAACGGCATACTAAAACTTGCTTGGTTGTACGCGAAGTTCTGTAAGGGAAGGAGCAGCAATGAGCAACCACTCATTCGGATTCCAAATGTAACATTGTTATCAGCACAACCGCACCCACCCGACCCAGACAAATCCTTGGCCCAGTGCTAAAAGGTAGGAACATAAATGGATCATCAGTCATCTTCTTCACCCTCTCCTTGTCAATCCACCTTTCAGGATCGAATTCGTCCGCATCAGAGCCCCATAGATCTTTCCGACGCTGCATGAGTAGTGGCATGAACAAGACTGTCGTACCACCAGGAATGTAGATGAGTTTTCCATTGGTGGTTTGGTCAGCAGGAAGGAGTGTCGATAATCTCGATGAGCGAAGGTTTAGTGGGGCGGGAGGGAAGAGACGGAGTGTTTCGTTGAGAACAGCGCGCACTGTTTGATTCAAAGATTGAATCAAAAGGGGGGAAGGTGGAAAAATTCACTCACGATATCTCATCTTTCGGACGTCATCGAAAGTCGGGGGCCCATTGGGGACATGTGTCAGTACTTCTTTTCGTAATATCGCCATTACATCCGGATGTAAGCAAAGCAGGTATGTGGTGAATGTTAGCAGCGCAGCAGTTGTATCCCGAGCTGCCGTAAGGATGTTGAACAGCTATTGTACAAAATGAATCAGGGTTTGTCATGAAAATGAGGATGTAGGTGTGTTTTACCTCATCCCTAATCAACTTCAAGTCACTCGTCATATCCACCAAATGATCTACTAGATTTCCTTCATCAGGATCACACTGCTTCATCCCCCTCTTCCTTTTTTCCTTCAAAGCATCCTCGATAAGAGGATCAATAAATGCATCAACAGCTAACCTATGGATCTTCGTCTCATCTTTCCAGAATTCCATCAACCCCCAAACCTTCAAAGGCCCTCTCAGATTTCGAATAAGCGTGATTTCCTGCAACTTCTCGAACGCGTAAATGAATGAACCATAGGAACCCTCAAGCTCGGTTCCTTTTGGACCCAGTTTGGATTTTTTGTTGGGGGGAGGAAGGGGAAGGTCAAGTGTGTTGAAAGTTGTACTGCCGAAGAGAAATTCGCCTGCTGCATCCATGGTGAATCGGGAAAAAATGTCTTGGATGTCTATGGCTTGGGAGCTGTTGAATCGGGCAAGGAGATGGGCGAGAACCTTCTCAGTGTACCGTCCGAAAATGTTGAAGTCTTGGACACGTTCACGGGCTGTATTTCATACAGAGGGCGGAATGTAATTATTAACGGTATATCGAGGTGAGGATGACAAACCAAAGAAGGGGCGTGTCAAGGCTCTGTGGGCCTTTGCCTCGGCACCGTCCACTACGAAGATCCCGTCACCGAACGACCCTTGAGTCCTATATGGAAGACCGCCAAAGAAAGGCAAAAATTAATTAGCCAAAGGTGAGCAGGAGGAAGCGAAGGCTTGGAGGGAATTGAAACCAGCTCACTTGATTCGCAGGTCAGGTCCTTTCCAAAAGTAATCGGAGCTTGTAGCTAGCACCGTCTGCATGACCCTATGGTCCCTTGTTACATAGATATCCTCCCAAAGCGTTCCAAGGTTGAACGTTGTCACTTCATCCCCGGTTCCAAGCGACGTAAACATACGCTCAAAATTCTCCAGAACATATCCTTCCTCGGAGAGTTGTGCCAGTCTTTATGGATGTCGGGAATTCAAATATGATAGTAATCTTTCTAGCATGGCAGGTGAGTAAAAAGCAACATACGATAAAGCAATATCCAAATTCCCGGGCCATTTTCCCTTCAGCCTAGGAAGGTACACCACACCCATTTTCTTTGCCTCGTTATGATTCTTCCAGTCTGCGTATTTGACGTTCACCGTCCAATATGCAAGACATATCAAGAGGCGCCAGAGACTTCGTAAGAAGAACCCATCGGAGAGCAGAGACGGAAGGAACGAGAGCAGAACAGAGGCGATAAGGAGAGGTGGGATGAAATCCCTTGCGAGCTCCAGTAGGAGGTGGATGCGATAGTTATAGTTTAGAATCGATGGCATCAGCGAGGCGAGGCTGGAACTATGCCCCTGAGACTGCACGCACAGCAGAAAAGGCGCAGAATATATAGTGCTGACTGAATGTACAGAAGTCTCTTACCAACACTGGTGCGAAGACTAGAAACGCCAAATAGGACAATCATATTGGTATTATGAAAGATAAGGTGATCAATCCCTCAAACCCCCAACATTTGCCTCCGGCAGTGCTGCACGGAGGTTGTCCAGATGGTCGAAAGTCTCTACTTTAGTAGAGGTTGGGATCCTGCCTACGAAAGTCTGGTGCAAATGAATACTAAACCTAAATGCCCCACCCAGCACGTTCCACAACGCTCATGTGCATGCGAAAAGAAAATGTAAAATACGATTCCAAAAGCAACCAGAGTATTTAAATTGTAAATATGTGAGATGTAAGTCTAAGCAATGTGTCCAGCTATCGTACTTCGTAACTATGACCCAACCTTCCCAACCCCCCCCAACGACCCAACGACCCAACCCAAGCCTCCCACCCCCTGACCCAACGCCTAACCAATTCAAAATTGTATAGACACATAAACACACAACTACCCGCGACCCTTCCCGACCCCCTAACCCAACCCCCTACCCAACGCCCAACCGATTCAAAATTGATTAGACACATAGACACAAACACACAACCACCCGACCCAACCACCCGACCCAACCTCCCAACCCAACCTCCCAACCCCCCGGCCCAACACTCAACCCCTAACCCAAATACTCAACCCATGGTAGGTGCCAAAGAAAAAAAAAAAAACAACAACAACAACAACAACGAAAAAGGGACAACAACTCTGAATCGAACAGGAATCCCCAAAGCAGGATGGCCACCCAGAAGCCGGTTTTAACCATTAGGGTAAAGAACCACCGATATCGGCTGCCGTTGAAATCATAAATATGTATTATTATACACAATAAGAAACCGGAATCAGTTCCATACAAAAAATAAACAATTTCTCCTCCGAAAAAAAAGAAGCACGTGGTCATTCACGTGCTTTTTGAGGAACGTGCTGGGTGGGGCATTTAGGTTAGCTCAAAAGAATTAAGGACATGATGGACTCGACCAACTGAATAGGAGCTAAATTTCAAATATATAATAAAGTCAGGTTGAATGTATGCTTCTATTCAGTTTTTGTATTGTCCTATTCAGTTTAATTAACGTAAGCAATGCAGTTCTCTGAGCCGTGGGAGCTGTGTCAATGTTAACAATTGTACTAGATGACCTATCTTGGTGTAATAATAAAAGATGGAGAGGTCGTTTGAGCGATTCCATTGCAAAAAACCCCATGAAAAACGGTTGAAAACTGAGGGAGATACGAGTGGTGGCCCATCCCAGCGCGAGTTGTGTGTGTGGGAAACAGTGACCACGCCTCATACAGGCTGTTTGACGATGTGCGTTAATAATAAGATATGTAGGGGCTGTTTGTAAGAGCTCATTGAAAAAAACCCGACGAAAAACGAATGAGATTTGACAGAGATATGCATGTACATGTCTTTTGTGTGTGAAAAAATGTGAAAATCCGTCTTACTGCCTCATAGACCCTCATTCGCGATTGACGCCAATAATATAAGATGATGAAGGCATTGTTACAAGTATGTACGAAAAAAACGGTGAAAAACGAATGATAATTGACAGAGATACGAATGTATATGCTTTTTTTTGTGAAAAATTGTGAAAAACCGTTCCACTGCCTCATGAACGCTTATTCGCGACTTGCACCAATGATAAAAAATAGCCAGGGAGTTGGTACGGGCCCATTAAAAGAAACCCGACGAAAAACAAATCAGAATTGAGAGAGATACTAATGTACATGCTTTATTTGTGGAAAAAACGTTCCCCCTCCTCATTCACGCTGATTCACGACTTTTACCAACAATAACAAATGGAAGTGGAGGTAGTACGGGCCCATTGAAAAAAACCCGACGGAAAACGGTCAAGAATTGAGGGAGATACCAATCCAGTGTCAGCTCCGCGGCTGATCTGGGCGTGGGAAACGATCCCCAGCACCCTACAGGTGTTTTAAAAATATAAAAAAATATTAAGTACTTGCGTTAATAATATTTAAAGTAGCATGCAAATTTTCAAAACAGTTGGTGCAGTATCAAGCGAGATATGATAAATTATTCCATTAAATTTCACTTGGCACCCTCAAGATCGCAAGATATCAGGTTAAGGTAATAATACACATTGTAGAGGGCATTGACACGCGCCCGTTAAAAAAAACCCGAAGAGAAACTAATAAGAACTGACAGAGATACGATTGCAGTGTCAGGTCTGCGCATTATCTGTGCGTGGGAAACGGTCCCCAGCACCCTACAGATGTTCTAAAAATATGTAAAAATATTCTGTACTTGCGTTAATAGTATATAAAGTGATTCGAAAAATTCCAGGACATTTGGTTCAGTATCAAGCGAGATATAATAAATTATTCTATTAAACTTCACTTGCCACCCTCAAAATCGCGCAATAATGAGCCGGGCCAATAATGATAATTGTAAATAGCATTAACACGCGCCCGTTAAAACAAACCCGAAGCGAAACGAATAAGAACTGACAGAGATACGAATGTAGTGTCTGCTCTGCGCGTGGTCTGTGCGTGGGAAACGTCTTCCAGTGCCTCACCGCATGTGAAGGAAAATATGGAAAAATGTCAAAAACTTGCGTTGATAATATATAAATTAGTACGCAAATTTATAAAACATTTGGTAAAGTATCAAGCGAGATATAATAGATTACTCTACAGTTTGTGCATGGGAATGCGATAAATCGCTGTAATCTCCTCAGGATCGCCGAACGACGAGTCGGACCAATAATACAACATGTAGAGGACATTGAGACGCACCCATGGAACAAAACCCGACGAGAAACGGATGAGAACTGACAGAGATATGATAGATTTATGTAAAGAATCACGTGTATATGTTTAGTTTGAGAAATTCACGTGAGCAATTGAGCATAACCTCCCACAACTTTTTTCGCGCACAGACATATGCGAAAAAGTACTAATACCCCCACTCAAAACCGGTTTACACCCCCCCATGGGAGCAATTCTTTTTTGTTCCCATGTGGCTTTGGCATGTAAAATAGGTAGATAAATGGATAAAATAGATAGGTAAATAAAAAGTAGATAAATAGGTCATAATAATCGTAAATAGTAATAAAATAATAATAATAATAATAATAGTAGTAGTTGTTTGTCATTGTATTAGTTAATTTTTTTTTTTTTTTGGTTGTTTTCGCTAATTAGTTATTAATAAATAATGATAGTAATAGCTGTTTTGTTGTTGTGTTAGTTATTTTTTTGGTTGTTTTCGCTAATTAGCATATACAATTAGATAATAATAGTAATAGTGGTGTTGTATTAGTTATGTTTTCGAAATTGGCATCTACCATAAATAGTAGTACTGTTGTATTCTCTCTTTTTCTTTTATTTCGCTATTAGCATGTAAAAATAAATAGGTAAATAAAATTGAATAATTGAAATGCGGAGCAGAATCAAATGAAGGGTTCCATATAAGGCAAAAATTCGAGAAAATTCACGGCAACATGGTACAACATGAAGCAGAAACATCCAAAAAAAATAAAACCAAGGTGTCCTGTATAAAATAAAATCTGAAAAAATTGCGGCAATGTGGGACAACAAAGGAAAATAGATTTTATATAAAATAAAATCCAGAACATTCATGGCAACATGGGACAACATAGAATAGAAGATAGAAAAATAAAAGGAAGGTGTGCTATATAAAATAAAATCGAAAAAAATTCATGGCAACATGGGGAACACTGTCCTATCAACTTACAAAGGAATTCCATGTGATGGGAGGTGGTTGGGGTGGTGGATTTGGAGAAATGGCCAGAAAATGAAGAAAAACAACAAATAAAAGGGCCTCACTCCCAGTGCATTGCCAAAGAGGGGGGAAAGGCTTTTCTCATTCCTGTGCATGATTAATAGAGTGGGGTTTGGGGCAAGGCCCTGATGGCCCTCTGCAGGAGCAGGGGTTCAAGGGGCTGGCCCCTTGGTGTAAAAAATAATCAAATATATCCAGGGGGGTTTGGGGCACAGCCCCAGGCTCTCCGCAGGAGTGGGGCTTGGGGCAACGCCCCAATAGCTCTCTGCAGGAGCAGGGGTTCAAGGGGCTGGCCCCTTGGTGCATAAATAATCACCATATATCTCATTATTTCTTTAGCACATGGGGAACAATAATAACAAGGATGTCATTGCATGGGGCGGAGCCCCAATGGGGTCTGGGGCAACGCCCCAGGGGGGTTCGGGGCGCAGCCCCGATGCCCTCCGCAGGAGCTAGAGACCGAAGAACGCGTGGGTGTGCGAGGAACGAGCACCCCACGGGTTTAAGGTCTCTAGTCTACAATGAAGTCAGGTTGAATGTATTGATTCCAAGTAATTATATAAGCTTTTCCCGCGCTCAAGGCCTCAAGGTGGCATCTTGCCATTGCATTGGATGACCTGTAGTGAGGCAATAATAACGAATGGAGAGGACGTTGGCATGAACCCATTGCAAAAAACCCCATGCAAAACGGTTGAAAACTGAGAGAGATATGGGGTGTGGCCCATGCCAGCGCGTGTTTTGAGTGTGGGAAAAGTGTCCACGGCCTCATACAGGCTGTTTGATGACTAAAGTTAATAATACGGTATAGAGAGGCTGTTTGGACGAGCTCATTGAACAAAACCTGACGAAAAACGAACAAGATTTGACAGAGATACGAATGTACATGTGTTTTTGTGTGAAAAAATGTGAAAAAACATCCCACCGCCTCATACACCATCATTCGCAATGTGCGCCAATAATATAAGATAACGAGGACGTCATAAAGAGCATGTCCAAAAAGAAACGACGAAAAACGAATGATAATTGACAGAGATACGAATGTACATGGTTTTTTTGTGAAAAAATGTAAAAACATGTCCTACCGCCTCATACGCGCTCATTCGCGGCTTGCACCAATAATAGAAAATAACCAGAGAGGTGATCCGAGCCCATCAAAAGAAACCCGACGAAAAACGAATGAAAATTGACAGAGATACTAATGTA